TGCATATTCTAGATTTAGAAAAGAACATTGTAAAAACATTGTAACAACACTTCCCTGTTCAATGGAACAAATAAGGTCAGTTTGAGTCAAAAGAAGCGAGATGGATGACTGACCATTTTGGACGACAAGGATCCTGCAAAATGAAAGGAGATGCGATGAAGTGAAAAAGCAATTTAAGAGAAGAATTCCTTGGTCCATCGAATCGAAAAGAGAAATTGAAAGAGTGACACAAATTGGGGAAAGAGACACTTCGGTAATCCATCTTCATTTGCCTCTCAAATACGACAACTCTCCTTCTTTCCCCTTTTGCCTTATCTTTTCTCTCATAGATGGCTGACCAATCAAGGAAGTTAGCTCGTTCAATGTCCTTCATTACATATACATATTGTCATTAATGCTGCAGATTTTATAAGGCTTTCCAGAAAGTCTTTTCGTTCCTTCTCGTACTTCCGTTTAAAACCAACAAATGCACCAATTGAACTACGGTTTATTTAATTAGAAAGACCAATTATTTTTCTGCAAAATAACATTAAGACAATTGAAAAATAAATACTAACAATAAACAAATTAAGCCTACCCTTATCGCGCTTTTCTCTTAGGCATTTTGCCATCAATCTCTTCAAATCTTTTACCAAATGAACCAATTTAGGTTCTATTTTCGGTGAACGGATCTAGAGAAAAAGATCGAATCTCATAAAGAAAAAACCCATAAAATATCAATTAGCTCATCTCATCTTTCTAACGATCTTTGGAAGAATCGGCCCAGAAATAGACCCGGTGGATGGCACCAATTGGGAAATCACCAGATGTGATTTAAATAAGAGAAAGGGAAACTACCAGCGGTTAAGCTTTGTTTCGAAAATCAAATACTTTATAAGCAATAAAAATTTCATGAGTAACCTATACACATATACATGTAAATGAGGGTTTTCACTGAAAGGAAATCAGAGAGGAAATCTCTATGAAATGAAGGGTAATGGGAAAAAGAAGGGAAAATGAACGGATTGGAAAGGGGATTGAAAAGAAAAAGAGAAAACAATAGGGAAGGGGACTATTGGATGCATATTTATGGCAGAGGATCAACCATTCTTCACCTTTTTTCTCTTCAACAACATAATTCCTGGTTTTCGAGGGTAGCCAAAAAGAGAAAAAGGGACAGTCACTGTCTGGGACTTTTCCTTGGAGACTGACTGGACTATTCATTGCACGGTGGCACTAATAACCACAAGATCTAACTTATTCATTTCAAGGAAAAGCTTTAAATGAAACACTTTCCAAAAAAGAAAATGAGCTCATTGCGTTCACTCAGAAAGCTATTTTTTATGCAAAGTAGCTTTTATCATTGAAGATTTTTTGGGGTAGAAAACGAATAAGTACGATGTATTTTTTTTTTCACCTTTCCCCAAACGGCGGCGATGAGACATTTCCGCTAAAGGAAATGTCACTGAACAGTTAGGGGAAAAGCGAGCCAACTCTCACAAAACATTTACATTTAAAGGGGAAACAAAACACATCACTGTTATTGTCCTTTCACAAGTTCCACTATGACAGTTGATTCGTAAGGTAGGACTGGAAGAATAACAAAATCAAGTGGTTTGCTCTAGATAAAAAGTGTTTATTGTTTAATTGTTTTAATGTTATTTTGCAAAAAAATAATTGACTTTTCTAATGAAACATGCCGTAGTTCAATTGGTGTATTTGTTGGTTTTAAACAGAAAAGGAAAGAAAAGACTTATTCACCAACCTAATAGAAATTGGAAATAAGATGAAGGGTGAATGGATTTATGACCTCCTTCAATGGAGTCACTCAAAAAGAAATGGGAAATGGATAAATGGGTAAAGAAGAAGGGAGCCTTCAAGTCTTCAAGTCATGCCACTTTTTGTAGGAAAAGGCAAAAAGCCATTGCGATCGAATTGGGAAATTTATCATTTGCAAGTCTATAATTAAAGCAAGTTAGAAGGCCTTTGTAAATCAGTTTCAAGAACACCAATTTGGTGTGTTTTGAAATGACAACATGTACTTGTGGTTTTGAAATCTTGTCATTGAATCTAGTTTCCCTTCGACAATTCCCCTTCTTTTTTCTACTCACTCAATTTGTCTTCTTGCGAAACATCAACAACTGCTACCCCGCCTTGTCATCCAATAATGGACCATCTCTGTGAGTTTTCTCATTGTAATTTATGGAAATCTCTCAATTTCAAAACATAAGTGCCGTGTCCTAAAACTCGTTTCTCAAATATCAATTGGGAATCGGGTCATGAGATTGGACATAAAAAGATCAAAGGATACGATGGACTAGAGAGCGAGAGAGCGAAGGATACTGTAACTAGCGATTGGTTGGTTTTATGGAATCGCCTCTTTTTTTGAAAAGAAAAGAGAGAAAAGCACTTTGCCTTGGCTCACTCAATCCGTATTTCCCATACACCGATTATCCCCACCGAAATTGTTTTGTTGACGAGAAAATTTCGACCTCCATAATAGTCTCTTCTACCCAACAAGCAAATTGTATTACACCCTTCAATGACCGTTACAGTAATTTTATTAGCATTAGTGCAGGATTTCAAAAGTGATCAAAAATCTAACTAAAGAATCAACAAAAATCCACAGCACCTAGCACTTTTGTGAATACGATTTAAGGCTCAAATTGAGCAATGGAAGCCATCAAGTCGTAAAAACCTTTAGTATCAGAAGAGAAACCGGTATGTTCAAAGCAATTCTCCACAATTTGCTCAAATTTACCCACAAAAGGGCCGAAATGAACTGCAAAGAGTATTGTAATCGATCTTTTTCTTGTAGAATAGGGTTTTCTATAAAATTTCGTTGAACAAAGAAGACTCAATGCTGGGAAAGAAGGGGAAATTTTTGTGAATTCTGGTAAGGAATGGTGGTGAAGAAAGATCAATTTACCATTACTCGTCTTTTCTTTTTCTTTTTTTCACTTAAGTCTTTTCGAAAGAATCCTTTCATCCGTCGCCACCTACCGAAACTAACTATTCATTGTGTTGGGAAAAAGAGTGGTCTCTTTTTGAGAAAATTCTTTTTCGATTCAAAAATCCAAAAGATGGATAGAAGAGGAATTTTCATTTTCGATTCTCTTACTGAATTTTGTGCCACCACATGTCTCTTTTGCCTTTTTCTTTACACATATTTTACGCAAAGGTTAGCAGCAAGAGTACGGTAGTCGGTTTTGTGAGAAATATAGATAGTTATATTAGGTTGATGCATAAGTCTTTTTGTTCCTTTTCGTCTGCCGTTTCAAGCCAACAAATGCACCAATTAAACTACGGTTGATTTCATTAGAAAAACCAATTATTTTTCTGCAAAATAACATTAAAACGGGTTTAAAAATATTTAATGCCTGGATTTTCTTGAGAGTATGAAGTCGGGTAGTCAAAAAGGGCTAACTCGATGATGCGGTTTAGACACCTTAGCTAAAGAAAACCTATCTTCGTGTCAATAGATAAAAGATAGAGAAAAAAAAGTTTGATATTTCGCCAAAATTTCAGAGAAATTCATTCAGCCAATTTTTCCGTAGAGTTTTTATAGATTTTTACGAAAAAGGCGTTTTTCACTCTCGAATTTGCTTGAAAGTGAACCGAAATTGATTTAAAAAGATGGAAATTGAACAAAAAAAAACACTTTTTTTATAGAGCAAACTATAGATTAATTGGTGAATTTGTTACTTTTTAACAGAAGTACGAAAAAAACGAAAAGACTTATGCATCAACCTATTAGTTAGTTAGGTAGTTTTCGAAAGGAATACAATTTCTCATTGTCAAAGCCATAGAGCTCCACCATTCCTGAACCAAAAGATAATGAAAGCAAAAAGTAAAGCTTGACAGGTATATCTTCGGCTGAGAGGCAGGAGCCTGGTACTACATAAAAACAAAAATCCTTTAAAATTGTTTGCAAAAGTAATCCAAGAAGTATTTCCTTTCCCCTACCCTCACCTTCACTCACGGATTTGCCTCGATGCACAACACTGAACAACAACTATCCTTTTGAACAACAGAATACCAGTTATTACCGCTTTGGTTGATATTTGGGATTCGAAATTTCTTATTTTATCGATTCCCATAAAATAAATCGGTTTGAACAAGGCAAGCTTGGCTACAGTAAGCTTTTCCGGAAAAAATCAGACGAAAAAATGATTCGATGAGGGATTTTATTGAGGAAAACTCATAAATTCGCTTGAATGGAATGTGGCTTTCATGCTGTAAATGATGAAATGAATTCATCGAGGAGCGGCCCTTTTTCTCTTCATTCAACACGTGTATTCGGAATACAGGAAATACCAATGAATAGGATTTGCCGGCGATGATTGATCAAAAAAACAAAAAAATTGTTTACTGTATGTACTAATATTGAACTATTAATATTAATAGTAAATGCTTGTACTAATAGCAAAGAAAAAGCTGTTTTGGTTCGGGTAAAGATGGTTTGAGACGCAATCTTTCATCAGGCATTTTGAAACCTTTTTATTTAAAAATATTTTTTAAAAAGTCTTTTAAAAGCTTACAAAGATTTTGTACAATTAAACAATTAAATGAAACACAATTAAACCAATTAAATTGCAATGAAACCAAACGCAAACGGTAATCAGATAAAATTTAAGAATTATCGCTTGTTTGTAACGACAAGTTACACTGACTTACTGGCAAATTGTTTTCAAGTAACAGAACTCGTCATGAGTGAGTGTAAACATGTTTAGCACTTCGAAAATTTGTTTACTTCTCAAAGACTTGCATCAAACTTCACTTTTCTTAAAGCTTTAGCTGATCTAATTGTAAGTTCGATTGATCAATTCTACAGAAAGCAACTAATGACAAAGAAACCGTGTATATTAATGTGATCTTATCATCTCATGGAATTTGTTCAAAAAATTAAGTCAATTACTTGTTTACTCGATTATTAGTAAAGTATTATTATCATGGATCGATTATCTGTGACTTCTCTTCAGAAAACTCTTGGTATTCGACTTTCGGTTATTCAAGCTCCAATGGCTGGGACAAGTACTCCAAAATTGGCAGCAGCTGTATCAAATGCTGGAGGCTTGGGATCGATTGGAACTGGAGCTATGAATGCAGATAATGCACGAAAGGCCATTCAACAAGTTAAATCACTCACCAACAATCCATACAATGTCAATCTCTTTTGCCATCAAAAAGCAAAGAGTGATGCTCAAGTTGAAAAAGATTGGATTGCACATTTGACCCCATCGTTCAACGAATTTCATGCCAAGCCTCCAGATTCTTTGCGAGAAATATACAAAAGTTTTCTGGAGGATTCAAAAATGTTTGAAATGCTTTTAGAAGAAAAACCACCAATTATCAGTTTTCATTTTGGATTACCACACCAGAAACATATTAAAGAATTTCATAAGAAAGGCATTTTTCTCTTTGCATCTGCTACATCGTTGAAAGAAGCAAAACTCGTTGAAGGTGCTGGTATTGATGCAATTGTTGCACAGGGATATGAAGCTGGAGGACATCGAGGAATATTTGATTTGAATGAATATGATGAATGTTTGGGGACAATGTCTCTTGTTCGTCTGTTAGTCAAGAACTGTCATCTTCCTGTAATTGCTGCTGGTGGGATAATGGATGGAAAGGGAATTAAGGCGGCGCTGACTTTAGGAGCACAAGCTGTGCAAATGGGAACAGCTTTTATTGGATGTCCAGAAAGTGCTGCTGATGATGCATATCGAAAATTGTTGATTGAGAAAACCAAAGAAACAACGATGACAAAAGCGATTTCGGGGCGACCAGCAAGAGGCTTTCGAAATCGACTCACTGAATTGGGGACATCAAGTAAAGTTCCAATTCCGGTTTATCCAATAGCTTATGATGCTGGAAAAGCTCTGCATGAAGCGGCAAAATCAAAAGGAAATTGTGAATTTGGAGCTCATTGGGCAGGTCAAGGGGCTAAATTGTCGAGAGCGTTGCCAGCTGCTGAACTTATTCAAGTGTTGCAAACAGAAATGGAATAATTATTTGTGTCTTTCAGATTTTCTTCAGACTATAATAAAAAGTGATTCAAAAGAAATTGTGTAAGAAAATGCAATAAAATGCTCGAGTGTCTTAAAAAAAAGCAAAACTGCACACTGACAAACAGAAGCTTGCTCACAGTTACTATCAGATTTCACAGTCAGATTGTCTCTTTTGTGTTTGAAGATTGTAGATAATAGTGATGTCTTTGAATATATATGTTGCATCCGTTTTGGATTGAATCCAAATCAGATATCCGAATGCAAATCGGATTCCGTTTTGGATTTCAATCCAAATCGGATACGACATAGACACCTTTGCTGCTTGGTAAAAACAAAGTAAAGACTCTTCCTCTTTTGTTTGATCTCTTTTGTTCTTTTCTTCACTTTTTCCTTTTTATTAATCCCCTCCATTTGCGACGGATGAAATTTCAAAGTCGTTTTCAAATGAATGCCCCTTCTCTCTCCATTTTCCACTCGAATTTCCTCTTCAAATCAGCCAATTCCGGAAGGCGGATTGCTGACTGAAAAACGATGAACTTTTAATTTGTTCACTTTCAATTTAGAAAAATTGATGTCAAGTCTATTTTTGGCCTTTTTTATTTGAATTTCTTCGGCAATTCATTGTTGGCTGTGGTCCATCATTTCGATTCAAGCACCGGCCACTTCACTTTCTTTCTTTTTTCAATCCGCAGCGCATCTCAAAAGTCCGAGGGTTCATCTTGAAAAACCCATGGTTTTTTTGGTTTTTGCTCAGAGTCGCTTCAGTTTAGCTGCAATCAATCCAGCTTATGACGATTCAGTTTGACAACCTATACATCAATATCTGCTTTTATCAATTTACAAATCAATCAACAAAGTGATAGCTTTGATCTTTCTACTGAAACTATAAAACGTTTCCAATCCAAGCTTATCCCTGCACAATATCATCAAAATCTCCACTTAGATGATTTCTCCTCTCATAAGCGACGCATCTCACATCCCCTTTCCTCTTTTTTCACAATGGATGGATTCATCGGGATTCCCTCTTCTCGTCTTCCTTCAAAAAAGGGTAATTCAATATCGGGACCTCTTCCTCCCCCTTTTTTTTGTTGCTTTCCTTTTTTTGTGTTGCTCGTTGAATATCCTTCCACAATGTCTTCACCTTTTTCTCTTCCTCTTTTCATCTTTCTCAAACCATTCATCTTTGAATTACTTTTCCAGGATTTTGATTACCTTCAAAAACATTTTGGTTTCTAGTTCTCAACCTAAAATTTTTTTAAAGAATCATCAAAACAGTGCTGAATCCACTATCGTTCTTAGCTTATCTTTAAATCTTTTTTAACCTTTACTCACAGTGAATTTTTAATTTTTAAATTTTAGTTCAAACGCAATAATGCTGCTATTATTATTGGGATTCATTGCTCCAGCTGTTCTTTTTGCAATTTTGGGATTAATTGCTTGTATCAGAAGAGCGCCTTACGCCCAAATTGATGAAGTTAAAGTCACACAGAGTCAATCAACTGTTGCCACTTCAGAGTCTTTTCAGAGAACAAGGTAGAGAAGAAATCAATCGACAAACTTTTTGGAACAAATATAGACAACTTATTTCACTTACGAACTTTCAGAGCAGAAATAAACCGAAGAAGAGCCGATCCAGTCGATCCTCCAAACTCTCGTCCTCCACTTTCACCTGATCTACATGATTGTCAACAATCCTATTCACATGGATATCAAAATCATTATTTTGAAACATTCACTCTGCCTCCTTCATATTCAGAAACCATTGCATTGGACCAAATGGGTGCTGCCACGAGTCCAACAGAAGGCAAAAAGGATGCAAGGTTAGTGGATACCTTGGTCAACAAACGGTTAACAAGGTTTCACATTGCTTTGTTTCTGAAAAAAAACGATTTAATAAGTTTGCAGGTCTGAAAACTCTTCAACACCTCATTCAAAGCATCTTCCCTCTCGTCAACCTCGAATTTTAATCACAGCTGCCTCTCCAAATTTACGGGATAATTACTATTAATAAATCTTGATATAAAATTTGCCTGAATAAATAATTTTTGCAAAATACCCTTTGAAAAGATATTATTTCAAGTTTCCTTGTAGGGTTTCGGAAATTGTGTTGACTACAATGAATCAGTGTTATTTACTTTTTACGATTCGGGTTCGAGAAGAAAATCATAGGAGAAATAGAGTTAAAATGAGAAATGAAAGAAATAAGGGGTTTCCACCTAATGAGGGGGGAAAATATAAGGGAAAAGTGAAAGAAATCGAGAGTTTGAAGAGAGGCAAGTGACAGCTGTTCCCAATGGCAACCGGTTAAAGAAAAAAGAAAAAGAAACACAAGGGGAATTTCGAAAAAAGGGATAACCATCATACACTTATTATTCAAATTAGTGTTACTTTTTTGAAGTCTTGAACAATTACTTGCTTTTCTTGACTTGGTTGTGTTGGTGTTGGTGAAGTTGGTAAACCAAACCGAGAGTTCGATTTTGAAAACAAGATGTGCAGAAAAGTAGCTCTTTTCTGTGGAATCTTATTTAATGTTTTGATTTGAATATCTGATTCTCTTGTCCCGCTTCTAAAAGATAGCTTTTATGATGAAAGGGACGGAGCCCACTTTATATTGTCCTTTCATATCCTTGTCTCGTTCCTTTCGTATTGCCCTTTCGTATTGCTATGAAACACTGAACCAACGCTTGATTCTATTTTATTATATTTTCTCGCTAGATTAGTATTGTGCTAGATTCGGAATAAATATCTAATAATCATTGCCCCATCGGTATTCTCTCTCGCACTGCACACAAGACAAGAATTTAGATGTTTGAATAGATATGACCAAGAATGGCTCTTTTCATATCAAATCTCTTCATTTTATTCCTCTTTGATCTAAATTGGGCAAAGTATTCACGCGGAATAATCGCCACAACTTCTGAGGTTCTCTCTTTCAATTCATTTAATTATTGGACAATTGAACAAAGGAAGGGAAAAGGGAAAACTTTCAGACAATGACTCTTTTACTTCCTTCAATAAATTAGCATGAAAAACCTAAAAACACTTGAGTCTTTATGAGTGCCCTCAAGTATTTTGTAATTAACTTTCTAAATACTAAGAACTTTAGTATATGCCATGGGTCTATTTGGATCGATTTTGTTTTGTCACGGAAATGGGAACGTTGAACTTTACGATCAGATATCCAACGGTTTAGATTTACTTTCAAGTCTAATGTCGAAGCGTTTTTAGGATATCGGTGTCCAAAGTCTTCTCCTTTACTATGACACTCCAGATCAATGGGATGCTGTCTATGATACTGCACTTACAGTACGTTTTAGAATTGATTCTATAAGTAAACAAACCTTTAGTGTGAACAACGAGTAGCTGTTTTGGATCCAGAAAATAATCAGCAAGTAATAAGTTATCATTTGTTTTAAAGAATCCTTCAATTTCAGATAAAATTGACTCCTTCAGATGATAGATTTGATTCCACAGTGAGGTGCTATTATGAGGAAATTGATGCAAATCAATGGACCATTTGTCGAGGAAATCGACGTTTTTAGTTGGCTTTAGAATTTCTACATAAACTCGATTCTTTTCAGTTCTCAACGATCTCGTTGGTGGTTCTTGGCAGTATCAAAATGTGATCCTGGATCTATTTCAAATTATTCAGATGGATTTGGTGTCTATGCTGGTTTGGAACAGAAATAATCAAAAGAATTCAAGTTCAGAATATCAACTTCAAATGACAAATGGACAGCCAGGAGACCTTTTCTTCTACCAATTTTCCGCTGACGAATTTTGTAAGTCTTGAAGAGTTTTGAAAGCAAAGTTTCTAGATATTCTGCCTGTCGATGTCTTCTTCCTCATACTTGATTCTATCATGTTATTGCTATCCTTTGCTGTTGCCTGTAAGTTGTAGAAGTGTCCAGCTTCTATTCGCTTTTTAGATTCACTCAAAGCTCGCCATCTTCTCCATCAGACATTCAAATTGTATCAATTTTGTGTATTAATGGAATGTACCTCATTGCTTGGCCTTTCTTTTGCATATTGTGAGTCTTGCTGCTACTGTGATTAGATCACTTCCAAATACAAATTCAATTCAGATCTTTATGCTTTAAATGGATATGGAATGACACAATTAAGACAACTTGGCTACTTTATCAGGTTGCAAATTAAAGCTAATCTTATCCAAAATCATATTTAGAGGTGTTCAAAATTCTTTATTTTTGCTTTTACTATTATTGATCGCAAAAGGATATACAATCACAAGGTAAACCTTAATTTTTTTGATCTATTAGTTAACCCCCTCTGGAGTAAGGGAGATCGAGTCGGTTGTGGTGTAATGGTTGGCACAGTTGCCCGGTGAGCTAAAGGTCGGGGTTTCGAGACCCAGCGGCGCACGAGTTTTTGATCTGCCCTAGCTCAAGCTCTATCTTCCAACTCATTCATTTCCCTTTCAGAGGTCGTCTCTCCGCTTCTTCAATCTGCAAATTGATCACTTTTATTTTCACCTATATGATTGTTTATATTGCAATGTTTTTCTATGCTCAAAAGGTACTTTAATTGTGAATCCTTCTAAATGTTTTTAGACGTTTGACCCAGCAAAAGTGACGTATGTATCCGAGTCAGTGCCTGGATATTGTTTGGCTGCGTTGAGAGTAAGCTACAAAGCTGTTCTTGAGTTATCAATTACAGATAATTGGATGGTTATCATATTTGATTTCTTCAATCACCACTGCTACTAAATATCCTGCAAAACGATCGTTTTACTATGTTTTGGGAGCACTGATGACGTTTTGGTGAGATTTGAGAGCATATGTAAAATTCTGAATTTGATTTCAGGTTTTTCATGGGTCCAATCTCTTTACTGATAGCTAACTTTGTTCTCGATGATTGGGTGAGGGAAGAAGTGGTGAATCTTGTCGAATGTTGCGTCACTTTTTACGGGTTCTTCGTATTCACGGTTTCAGCCATTCTCATCGTATCACTCAATCGTTATTCCAGATTTTAACATGGCCTTCATCCGCTAATCACAATTTCCCATTCCATGTCCGAACAACACAAATTGGCGATAGTTATCAAGGAGATTTCCCACAAAGCACTTATGAGGTGAAGTTTAGTGAAAACAAAAATAAGAGATACTCAAGCGAGAAGATGGAATTTCATTTCTTAAGAAAAACATTTACTTCGAATCTTGAAATAATAAATTGGGATGAGTGGGTGGAAATGATTGATCTATTTCCCCAATCAATCAATCTCAATCGTCATTAAAAAGAACTTTTCATCAATGAGCAAAACATGATCATAATATGAGAGTCTTCTAAAGAAAGAAAATCCCTTCATTTCTTTAAAATAGCTATCTTTTCCAATCCTTCCATCTTTGCACAATCTTTTCCCTTTTCTTTCCTTAATTTCTTTCTCTCATCCATCTTCATTCCTTAATATCTTTTCCATTTCCGGCGCGACTTGTTGGCGCCTTTTTTTCCTTTCATTGATTATGTCAATGATTTAATGATGAACAAAGAAACTGTTTCCTTTTCTCACAAACCGACAACCAATCAAAAATAATAACTCAATCAATATGAGTTATTGGGAATCTTATTACCGTAAATCCTCTATTAGAACGGCACCCCCTAACGCTAATTTGAATCTAACTAAAAGTTAAAGTTTTCCCACAACTATTTTGTGGAAAGTGCTTAAAATGAGGTATCCTATCACTAGTTATAACCTACAGGTGATGACAGTAAAGTTTAAATCGATTAGAAGAAATAATTTGAAAAAAGTTTTGGTCAAAAATGATAAGGGTCCCCTACATGAATTTTCGAAGATTGACCCTCGAATGGTCAGACCAGAGGAAAAAAAGTTCTTTTTAAATCAGTTTTTTTGTATGTTTTAGACCAAAAGGAACCGATTTAGAGTAATTTAAGCAAAAATAATTTTTTTCAACAATGTGGTACCCCCCTTATGTGATTCTTTGGAGATCCGAAAAATGGGCACCGAACAATAGAGGATTTACGGTAGTTCTCAATAAGCTTTCTCTCAATATAAGCTCAATAACAAACGAGTTTGTCCTCAAATCTCACCCCCCCACTCGCGAGATCAACCATTTCAAGATACGATCAAAATATTTCTTCAAAATTTGAGATCTCTGAAAGTGATCTAAAAATCGATTCTCAAAAATCAAATCTGCTATTTAGTTGGTCAAATTTTGATATGTGTTAGATAGATTTTCGTAGATGTGAGAACAGATTTATTCGTTTAACGCCAGAAAATGAGAGCTCACTCAATGATCGACTGGATAGATTAATAAGAACTCAAAGACTATCTGAGCTAAACGAATGATTGATTTAGGTTCGATACAGTAATGGAAATGGAGAAGCAAATATTGAACAGATTAGGGAACTTTCACCGGGAATGATGAGAAATGGAATGGTCGATGAAAGGAGAAGTACAGCGAACACTCCAAGATGATCAATATCATTCAGTTCTTGAACTTTACATTTGAGATCATTCAACTACAGCTTCCAAGCTTTTCTCGTTTGAACAAACCATTCTTGTCACTTTTATTCTTTAAACGTGATTCTTGATTGACTCCTTTAGATACGGGTATAGAAAATTTTATTAAAATGCAAACCGACCATAAAAAATTGTGAGGAGAATATTTTGCACTGAATAACATGAGATCTTCATAAAAAAACTAAGCTGATTGGGTAAAACTTTGAAATATTAAAGGAATATTAAAGGAAATAAGCTCAACTTGGAACAAACTGGTAAAGGGATGAGGATTGATTGTTGAAGAAATACTCGTAGTAAGTTCATGAAAAAAAAATGGTGAAAAATGAGGATTAATGACTGAAACTTGATTCTGAGGGAAAAATTGAAGACTGAGCTCCATAAACATATCGAATTGATCGAATCCTTTGAATACATTGACATTGAGCCACTTCATCGCCCCTTGCCGGTGTCCATGTGTACATTCCGAAAGCTGAAAATGTTGGGCTTTGGATTTGGTTCTGGAAAAAGGTTAAAGTTCGATGTTTTTTGAGTTTTTCAATGATTTCTTTTCTCTACAACAGCCAAAACGGCGAAATGTTGGTTAATTTGATTAGAGCTCCCTTGATTCTTTTGAGTGGACCGGAAATGCTTTCTTTTGACTAGCCTAGAGATGATCGAAATTCTTTGTAGAGACTGTTTAAGCTATTTTGTTAGCTTGCACCTATCATAGCTCAATGCAACTCGTGTTTCTGTCAAGAAACACTGTTATTTGTCAAATTCTTTCCCAATAACAATTGATTGACAATAAAAGTAAAAAGTAAGAGATGAAAGTAAAAAGAGAAATGATTGAAAAGAGAAGAACAAGAGAACTACCGGAAATCAACCAGTCATCCAAATTGACAACCAATCGACAGAACAACAAAAGGCAAATTGGATGGCTTTGTTTGCGAGAGAATTTCGATTACCTAGTCATTTTCGATTGGGCTGGTTTTTCGATGGTTGACGTATAAATAGATTTGGAAAAGTCAAAGAACCAAAGAATTGTGTAATATTGATCAAGACTTAAACAGGGGTATTAACGAGGCGCTAAAGAGGATGGATTTCTTAACAAATTCAACACTCTAGTGTTGAATTTGTTCTCTAGACAATTCAACAATTCTAGTGATAAAGGACAAACCTAAACTAGGCTTCGTCTTTTTCTCTCCAATTGGGTTTAATTACCCAAGTTTTAGAGTTTTGTGATGTCCGTATTGGCTCGCAAATTAAATTTGCTCAAAAACTAAAATAATGGATTCAAATTCTCCATCCCAGAATGCCTCCGGTTACAAATTTTCATATCTAAGTCTTTCATCAGTCTAGTTATTGTCAGCAGACACAAAGTTATTCTAGTTATTGTCAGTAGCTAAACTCTGTGACTCTGGATCTATCGCTTACATAATCCCTTTTATCTCATTAAGAGTTAAATGTCAATATCTCTCACCTGTGCAATATTGATGACATTCCTCAACACTTGGCAGTTCAACATATCTCCTCGATCCCTCAATCAGCACATTTTTCAAAATGACCCGTTGCCCTAAAAATTGCTTGATCTTGCATTTACCTTCAATCCTTTACCATGATCTCTATTTCCCATCAATCCACTTGTCCATCCATCTTCTTCTTCTGATGAGTCAAATGCTGATTTCAGGTAACACCTAGAACTTCTCTATTTAATCATTTTGTTGTTAGATTAAACCTTAGCTCAGATTGGCTGTATGCAAATCCAAGACAACAATTTGTTTCACCACATTTGTGCAGACATTCACTGTATGTGGCATTCAATTCATCCAATGTTCCTCCAACCAATTTGATCTTCGGAAGGTTATAACAGTTTCTCACTAAATTAACGGGATTTTGAAAGGTGAAATTTCCATGAACTTTTACAAGCTATCAACTTAAAAGAACTTACATGCTCCTTCAGTAATGGGCACAATTAGGAATAGGAAAAACGTGGGTAGAACAAATAATAAAACAGAATTGGGGTGAGGTAATCGAAGAACTTGAATCCACCGTAAGACCATTGTTGATGTTGGAAGAGAACGATGAGAGTTTAAACGACGAAAGTAGTTAATAGTAGAGCCAGAGGTTTAAAGCTGCTGTGTAACAATTGAAATAATGTGACAAACAGCTGACTGTAAAATCTTGATAGTTATTTATCTCGAGTTTGATTTAGTAGCGACAAATGATTGAAATGAAAAAGAGAAATCGCGTATCCACAGCTCAAAAAGGAAAAGGGAAAAGGAAAAAAAAGAGAAAAGGATCCGCCCACTGTAACTTTTAGAAAACGATGAAAACAAAATAACTTTTACAAAAAAAAGAGAAAGTGAGCAGCACCGTAGCCGCATTTGGCCAAGATTCCAATGATAATGCATCAGACTTGGCTTGTATTCAGCTACTTTACTTTTCTAAAGTTTACAGTAAGCTGAGTGATTAATTGTTTCAATTCAGCTGAGTGATTTCAAGTAAAAGTTACGAGTATTGTTTTTTGCAATACTAACTAGTAAAAGAACCACAGAGAAAACATGAACCAATTATAGCGCAGCACCTCATCGTCTCATCAGAATTCGGAGAATAGAATGATGAGATGAAAAGCCTTTTCTCTCCTTTTCCCCTCAAGCACCTCTTTTCATCTTTTTGTTGAATTGATGACGTTGATCGACCTTTCAAAGCACTTCGATGTTAGTTATTGAAAGGCTCCTTTTTCGGGCCAAGTAAGCAAGTACCGGATAATTGAAGAATAATTGAAGAATCACACCAAAAGCAACATTTTCCCAGGGGTTTCTCCATAAACTAATTGTTATTTAAGCTTCAAATTATACTTTTATGAATCACAGAGATCAAAGGACGAAAATTTTTGAATTAAGTCAAGTAGAAAGAGTCAATTAACAAAGCTATGAGTATACACAGTCCATAAAAGTTGTGCAACCTATGCTAAATGAAGGCACTTTTGCCACCACATTGTGCTTTTATGTGAGAAGTGACGAATAGAAGATTGCTGCAAGGAAGTTGAAAAAAAATTGGGGTGAAACACTTATGGAGTGGGGGTTTCCCACTTTCATTTTCAGAGAATTCGGACTTCAACCCAATAATGGCCGCGTTTTTTGAGCAAAGAAAATGTGAAGAGAGAAAGATTTGACGTGTCGGAAGTGTGCATCGATGGATACCACTAAATGAGAGGAAGGCAAGGGAATAACTAAAAATAGCAAAAAACAATAGCTTTCAACTCAGAAAGACTTTTTTTTTCTTATCCATTTTTAGCAAACAATTCGAGTGGGTGGATCTTAAATATAGAATACAGAGGTAACGGCTCTTTCCTATAGTGAGACATAAAGCCCTACCCTGACGGCAATGGGATACGTGTCGGTGTAGCTCATAGAGCGTTCGCCTGGTAAGCGAGCTCGAATCGAGGTCGAGACAGGTCGCAAGTTCGAATCCCAGCACCGGCCATGTTTTGTATTCCCAGCCCCAACCCATAAAAAGACCCGCGTGTCCAACTCTATTAATAGGCATCTTAAAAAAACGGGTACTTTAACCGTGAAACGAGTACCTTAAGAAAACCTTAAGGAAGTGGTGATACCCGACAATGATTCCTCGACAACTTACTTTTCCGCAACAATTCTCTCAACAACAACATTACCCGAATGCTCAAACAAAGTTCAATCCGACTCTTTCACGGGTGCTGTCTTTTTTCTAATCTTGGCTTGCCTTCCCGGAAAGCACTTGTCCAATTAAAAGCGAGTTGGTGAATCGCTGTATAAGGTACCCGATTTTCGTAAGGTATCCGTATACGGTTAAAGTACTCGATTTTTTTAAGGTATCTAGTAATTGGAAAAGGTAACTTTTATTGAGGTTGGAAGAAGATTCCGCAACAAAAATTGATTCGACAATGTACAATACAGGTACTTTTTCGTGTACATTACTGAATAATAAAACAAAAGCAATCTTGTTTACTCAATTACTTTTTGGTAATTATTTGCCTGCAATTTCTTTCGTTACTTATCCAGTTACTTATCTTGCAAAAGCGATAGGACAATCGTATAAAATTTGCATATATTTATTACTTTTTATTTGGGAAGACAATATTAAATTGAGAATCCTTTAAATTCTTCAATTTACTCAAGCCTAAAATTGTTATTTACTAGAACGCGCTCAATTGTCAACTTCACAATGCCTCTTCTCTTCTCTTCACTTTTGAAAGACACCCGATCGACCGTACCCTTTTGTGGGGAAAATTGCAGGGCGATCTGCCCGCGGCTCTAAATCCTGACGTGGAACTTCGACTTGATCCGGATTTCCTCTTTCTCTTTGTTGATTATGATTAAAAAACATGCTTTACGATAATCTGAAGGCTTAATTGTAATTTTTTTAAGTGACTCATTACCTGTAACCTTTCTAACAAGTAACAGAAGCGGAACTTTTTTAAGAACTTTTGCTGAAAACTTCTTTACTAATTACTTGGCTTTATATATCATTTCCATTAAAATCAAAGCAATTATTGGCAGCAAGTTATCGATTGTCTTATTTGCATCTCAAATTCCACCTGCTTGTTGAGGGAAAGCTCTTGTCTTTTGAGAAAACATCCGTATTCATTTATTGATTTGAATGTGTTCAGCTTTGAATGCAATCCTTAAATGAGAATTTTTAGATCTCCGTACATTACTCTCATCGGTGCTTTTGGGCTTTTAGAAGATGAATATCTTTCGTCTAACGGGAGATCTTTCCCATCTGATCGCGATTCTCATTCTCATACAAAAGATATGGAAAAGCAGGAGTTGTGAAGGTAACGGTTTGGTTGTGTTTCAATGCATTAGAAGAATTTACTAAACTTGAATTCCAAAAAATCATTGGCATTTTCATTGGCAATCAATCTCAATTCCAGGAATTTCTGGTCGATCTCAGATGTTGTTCGCAATGGTTTTCGTCACTCGATATCTTGACCTCTTCACACATTATGTCTCATTCTACAATACACTGATGAAGGTAGGAAATCACATGAATTTGTGCTCATTCTAAAACTAGGTTAAGCAATACCAAATACGCAACAACTTTCAGGTTTTCTACCTCGGATCTTCGTTTGGAGTTCTCTGGTTGATGTGGCATAAATTCAAGGCGACTTACGATAGGTAAATCAATCAAACTTTAACAGAATCATAAATTACTATAACTTATATATAAAAGGGAAGTATCTATCCGTCATGACACAGCCGGGAGTCGAACCTGAGTCGTGTGGGCTGTAGACAAGCGCCTTCGACTGCGCCACTAAAAAACTATGCATTAGCCCCAAAACATCCAGCCGTTAGGCGGGTTTTTCGGCTGGTTTTTTGGCATGAAATTACGCCTAGCTTCACCGTTCATTAAAGTTCATAACAGAAAAGCAAATTTTCAGGAACAACGACACCCTTCGAGTGGAACTCTTGGTGGTTCCTTGTGTGGTTTTGGCTCTCTTGGTGAATCACGAATTCAGTGTTCTGGAGGTTTGTGGTTACAACTAAAAAGTCAAGCGATAGCATGTAGCATTAGCAATTCTCATTTTCCCTTATACCTCTTAAAGCTAATAGAATGTTTTTATTCTTTACAGATCATGTGGACTTTCTCGATCTACCTTGAGGCGGTCGCTATCATGCCTCAACTTTTCATGCTTTCGCGAACGGGAAATGCTGAGGTTGATCATTAATATTTAAGCGACATTATTACAAGGCTGTTTCCCTTACTAAAAACCTCCTATTTGTCTACATTATCAAATTTTTATTTCCAGACCATCACCGCGCATTATTTATTCGCTCTTGGACTCTACCGTGCCCTCTACATTTTCAACTGGTTCTACAGGTATACCAAACAAAATCAAGAAAGGCGATTAATTGTAGAAAGGACAAGAAAGAATCTTAACTATAATTCTTGCTAACAACACAGTCTATCTCAATATTTCAGATATCAAACCGAGTCCTTCTTTGATCCAATTGCAACAGTGGCTGGAGTCGTCCAAACAGTGCTTTATGCTGACTTCTTCTACCTATACATTACTAGAGGTAAATATCTTAATAAAATAAAGGTAAAATAGGTAAAAGAATGCCAGAAAGCAAAGAAATTAAGCAATAAATATAATACTAACACATTCGCGAGGATGAGGAATTCGAATTCGTTATTAGTTTTTAAAGAAAACTGCTCTATTTTTGAAATAGCTGTTTTCCGAAACGGTATTCAAGCCCAAAATGTATTTGTCGTGAATGTGTTAAGATTAAACTTTTAAGCAAAACCGAACCTTTTATTTCAAGCAGCAAAACTGAACCAAAGAAATCTAAAACACTTACAATTTTCAGTGCTGAGATCAAACCGACAATTCGAGATGGGAGCTTAAACAATTAAGAACAAAAATGATCATCTTTTTTTTGTTATAGGTCTTTTAAGTGCCCTTTTTGTGTTTGTTCAATGTATAGATATATCCCAATTTTGGTAACTAAATATTCTTCATGAAAACTGAAATGTTTTCTTAATTACGGGCATTTTTTTCTGATGCCTTTTTCGGGTTTCTGTCAAAAAATGCTATTTATCAAGCTGATCATTATAAATTGTTCAATAAATGTTATTGATCTTTGCCTCAACTTGTTTTTGTCTGTTTTTTACTCTGAATCTTTCATTTTCTTTGTGTGATTTGTGCTCTTGGGTGACGGATCGAATAAATATTTTTAAGCAAGGTTCTGAAAGAAACGTTTAGAAAATAGCTATGGAATTCGGCTTTTGCAATAATGAAACAGATATCCACATCTTTCGTTTATCAAATTGATTTCTTTATGCTTTTAAATGTCTGAAATATGTTATTCTACTCCATTTTTTTAATCTATTATCACAAAAAGTGAATCATGAACAAAAGCAAAGAAGACAAAAGACAGACACCGTTTGATCATCATGTTAAAAGTGAAGTTGCGTGTTCACTTTTTTCAAGATTCATTTCCAAAATCAAACATTTTGCAATCTTTGCAACTATGAGACTCAAAATTCTCTTGATCTTTTCCTGTTTATCCTTGACGTTTGCCAAATATCGACCTAGATCGGTAAAAGTTTGATCTTCAAAGTAGACCTTGAGATAAAGCTGATGTCAAGTAAAGTAAAAACATTTTACAAATGTTCAAGATAAAGAATTGTAATAAGTTGGTAAGTAGCTTTATAAAAAAGTTAGGTTTATTTAGATAAACAGCAGGCCTCACGATTGTGAAGACTACTGTCATGATTACGACCGTTTGCGGTTTGTATCAAACACCACAATCAAGCAAAAGTATTTTAGAGATAGAGTAGAACTCCTGGAAGAAAGGATTAGAACAATCGAGCAGAGAAAGTGCACCAAACAAACTGAAGAATTTAATCAAAGAATCAATGCTTTGGAAGCTCGAATGAACGCCAGTCTCGTAGTACAAAATGAAATCAACAACGATTTTAGGTGACAATTTTGAGGCTATTAACACATTTTGAGCGTACAGGCGTAGTCGTTCACTATTTTACTAATAATTTAGTGAAAATTCAAAGATAAACTAAACTATTATAGTCATTCGAGAGCCCAGAATCTCCTCTTGAAAACTGGTACAAAATTATCGAGACTAGAAATAAATAAAAAACTGACACCAAATAGTAATCGTCATCAGTACGACCCACCGGTGGGCCGTATCGTCAGAAATGTGTTAATCCTTGGAATATTGTTTTATTTCTATTTAGTGCAAACATTACTTCTCTTCAATCGGATGTTGATTACCTTCAAAACATCACCACTCCAACAACACCGCCACCCACTGAATCTTCATCCTCAACGATTTCATTTGCATTGGCGATCCTTTTTTCCTTCTTTTTACTCAACTTCTATTTCTAAGTATCCCTGGATAAATATTAATTGTTTACACGGCAAAGATGACAAAACATTTCAAGGAGAGACAGTCTGTGCCCGCACTCCCTAGAGACCATTTTGGTTCCTTCTTTCTGCAGACCGCCTATTTTCTCAATTCTCGGTGCACTTTTTTCACCAAGGAAATAGAACCTATGATTAGACCAATTAGTGATGGACTTTGCTCGACTTTTTCTAGACAATCTTAGAAAATGAAAATCTAAGACTCATTTCTATCATTTTCGATGTCAACCAGCGCTCCTCCGATTCAATTACCGCAACAATATAATTTCAATATTGTCCTCAAAGACATAATACTTTTCATTTTTCTATGTCCAACTCTCTTTTTGATTCATGCAATCACTCTGCATTTCACCAAAACCGGTTTCAAAACTGCTTTTGCTAAAATTTGTTATGTGTCGATAGTGATTGTAAGCAATTAAAGTTTTAGATATAATAGAAACAACACTTTTTAGGATATGATCAGTCTTTTTTTGATATCTTTGCTTGGGACTTGGCAAATTGGGGTTTTGTACCATTCTATCGCAGCATTGAGGTGAACGGGATTGAAAAAAACTTGGAATCTTTCTTGTTTAGATCGGATTTGCACCGTACTTTCTCACTTTCATGCAAAATACAGCCAGAAATTTCCAAGTTTGTTGCAGTTCTCTCCTTGCTTTCAATCGTTTCACGGTTCTTTACTTGAATCATTTCACAAGTGATCAGGTTTGTAAAAAGTTTCTCAAGTAAATGGTATTCAAAATCAAATTGTAGCTCTGGGCTCGTTTCACTGGATTTTTTTTGATCATATGTTTCATCTTATCATCTCTAATGTCTTTTCTGAGTACATGGCCACTTGCTCTATATTATCAAGTTGGCCTCAATAATTGGTTTTTGGTGACTGGAGAAACATACTTTGTAAGTATTCCTTCATGTAAGAGGTTTGATTCAATATTACACACTTTAGTTGAGCATCAAAGTCGGCGTCTGGGCTTTGTTTTACTTGGTTACTTTTGGTACAATAGCTTTTTTCTTCAATATTATCGTTCTCATCAAATTTATTCGCCTTAGAAATAAACACAATGGCTTAAACGCAACAATCGCAATAGTAGTGAAGATCAGCTTGGTAATTGGAAGTTGGTAATCAATTTTAGGTCGAGAAGAGACTATGTTTTGTTAGTCTTTACACATTTTCCTTTGTCTTACTCTTTATCACTTCTCAGGTAAACTTTGAACGAAAAACCAAGTATAATTGTTCTACAGATCCTCACTTTTCTGCTTCCTATAGACAGTTATACACTACGAGATATTTGTGCGGTAAGTCATTGAAAAAAATGATTTCAAAAACCTATTCAGTTCATGACACCACTTTCTGCAAATCTCTTATGCATGGCGACAGTATGGATCTGGGTGTCGCATTCATCAGAACTACATGCTATTCTAAAAATACAAATCACTAATTATTATGGAAGAGTATTTACATCAAGTCATGTTGGCTTCAAATGAAACCATAACAAATACAATGCGAGAATAAAAATGTCTTTATCAGTTTTTGTTAGCGTATATGTCTTGTGTTTGGTATATTGCTTGGCACATTGAAAGAGAACTTTTATAATACTTGAGATCAATTCTAGTCTTGTAAAACAACTATACTTTTAGTCCATTGGTATTATGTTGATTTGTAACGATGGGATGTTTTACTCCATCTTTGATCATTTGAACGATTTGATGAGTTTCATAATCTTTTGTTTCCGGTAAAGAAAAGTAGAGATAGATCACGGCGAGAAGACAAGGAATTACGAAAAGGAAAAGGATGCTGATTGAGCCGATTGTCTGAAATATCAAGTCCATTTAGTTAGTTTGGAGGTTTCAGTTCTTGAAAATTTATAAACCGAATGTGCAAACCTCCATCAATGGTTCAACGGCTACATTCGTGATCACGACGAAAATACTGTTGATTGAGAAAACCAAACAAATTGTGCTCGATCGATATTGGAGTGGAACCAATTCGGAGTCGATCGAGAAAGAAATTGGACCGAGAGATAAACTGAATTTAATATAATTTAGTCAAGGCAAAGAGGAAACTCACCCAAAGCACAGCATGTACCCGAAAATCCCTCCCATAGCCAAATACTTCAAGACTGAGAATTTGCCCGCAATAGCAAAAAGACAAAGGAAAGCTATTCCAATCACTCCGATTATTAATAGAAGTGAACGTCGATTGTATTTCTTCATCAAATAAGTTGACATAAAACATGCAAGAATAAGAAGAACAGCAATCAATGTTGATGCTAATTGAGAAGTATGGCTAAAAGTCGTATTCTTGATATTGGAATCATCTTGTTAAGAAAACTCACTCTGAAATCCCAATCTTCCCCATAAAGTATGTTGATGAGAGTAGAAATGAGAAGAAGGGAAGAGCCAAAATTAGTGAAGCATTCCCGAGGATTAAGGCTTTTCGGAGATGAGGTTGGGTAAAGAGATCAAAATATGATGATTTCTCTTCTTCTTCTTTTCTTTCCGACAAATAACCATTGAGAATCTGATCATTCTCTTCTTTTACTCCTTGATAAAATTCCAATGATTTCATTGCTGCTGTTTTATCTTGTCTAAATTTTGATGACTTATTTCTTATTGAAAATGACTTACTTGGTAATCATCAAGAATTTCGGAGTTTCTTGCAAATAGAAAAGATACAAACAACCGATTAGACCAAGTGGAACGGGAACAGCCAACAAAACAGTGAGATCTCTTCCAAGAACTCCTTTCATACCAAGAATCATTCCGAGCAAAGCCATCACCGAATATCCAGTAGTGAAAAGAGAATTGAGAACACCTCTCATTTTTGGTGTACTTGTTTCTTGACAATACAATAACATTACAGCATCATTCATTGGGGCAAAAAGAGCGCCAACGAAACGCCCAAAAATGAGAATTTCCGGATAAATTGTGAGCGTGGCTCCAGCTTGAATCACGCAAGAAAGAGTCATCATTATCGTTGTTGCTATGTAGGCTTCTAAAATACCAGTGTATATAAAGGTTTTCTTTCGAATCACTTACTCTTTCGTCCATATTTGTCGGGCAAATGTGGTCCAAGAACAGCTCCAAGTACTTGTCCTGCATAGTAAATGCTATTGTAAATCCCTCTAATCAGGGAGATTTTCCCATCATCCATTGTCACTCCTCTTTGTTTATAACTTTCCTCCAAATATTTGTCGATTTCATCGACTGCCGTGTTGATTGAAGTATGAGTAAAAGCAGAAAATAGATTTGTGATACAAGAGAGAACACAGCCCATCACGAAAAGTTTGAGGTTTTTATCGAAGAAACTTTTTGATTCCATTATTACCAATCTAAAATCTAATATTTTGAAATATCTATTAATTTGGTGAATAAGTCTTTTCATTCTTTTCATACTTCCGTTGAAAAATAAAAAATTCATCAATTAATCTATGGTTTACTCCAAGTAAAAAGTGTTTAATGTTGAGTTTCCCATCTCTTTAAGTCAATTTGGGTTCACTTTCAAGCAATTTTGCAGAAAAATAATTGGTCTTCTAATGAAATAAACTGTAGTTCAATTGGTGCATTTTTTGGTTTTAAACGGAAGCGAAAAGAAACTAAAAGATCAACCTAATACTGCGAACCAAAAGGATAATTTAAATAGAATTTCAAATGATGACACAAGGTTTTCAAGTGAGATATATTGCGTCGGTATTTCAATTAAACGTAGTTCTAAATTCAATGTAGATGAGTATGTTTCGATGATTATTTTTATTGCTATACAAAAATAAATTTCAAATGATGACACGTTTTCAAGTGAGAATATATTGCGTCAGTATTTCAATTAAACCTAGTCCTAAACTCGTAGATGAGTAGGTTTTGATGATTATTTTTATTGCTGTACAAAAATGCTGTACAAAAATTAAAAAAAGAGACAAAAGTTATATGAACGTTAACCGGCTTGAAAGTGACAAAAGTAAAACGGAAAATTTGAATTTTTAGCGATCTTTTGGCGGAATTAAATCCAGACAAGACCGGAACTTTATCGGAGGAAAAACACAGGACAAAAATTATGCTAAAGAGTCGGCAGACTAAACACTTTGCGTGACATTATAAGAAATATCTCTTTTTGTATATTTGTGGGTAAAAGATAGTCATTTATCAGTATGACCTGACCAGTTGACCGAATGGGCAAAAAGGGAAAAAGAGACGATTAGTGGAACGGATAATTCTCGGTAATACAATGATATCAGTCAACTGTAGCAAAAATAAAATTAAGTCATTTTACAATAATTCTATTTTTAGTTTTCCGGTGACACCTCATTACGCTCCCGTGTGTATATAAAGTGGTTGAATTGGGCAAGAAAATCACAATTCACTGTATAACTCATTTATAAAGCCAACCTCTGAAGTATTTCTGCAATGCCACAAGCGAATGACCTACTGAACCACATCGACACCGCGCATCTCGTCAAAATGGATGAAGTCCTTGACCAACTTGACACTCTTGGCTTTGCTCATATTAAGCCTGACTTCTACTATTCTACCGATGATTCAGAGAGTTTTTCTAACATTGAAACTCTTCAAGATACTTATTCGAGTCTTTCAAGAGATTCAGACCCCGGGAATCGTCATCGAGCCTATGCTAGCTTTCAATGGTCTCCTTTAAACAATGAGTTAATCAAAAAAGACTCAACTGATTATTTTCAAGCTAAGGAATACAATTATATTGATGGTGGAAAGATTCGAACTTTTGATCCAATTTGTCCAAGATATCTCAAGAATTCTCTACTAAAAAGTGTCGTGGAAAAGGATATTGATTTGGCTAAAGAGACGGGAATCATTGATTTCTCTTCAAGTGTTGAGATTGGCCTTCATCAGATTCGCTATGTTGCAAATGGAACTGAACCGGCTTTCAGGTAATTTGCTATAACACTTTATATTGCACTAGTTTAGTTCAATAATTGTTCAGTCTAATATCCCATTGATTCACTTTCAGCTTCCTCATACTCAATAGTTTTCAGTTCTCCTCTCTGGCTACATCGAGATGATGAACCCCTCGTTTTTGTCCATCTGTTCTCACTTTCTGAAAATGCAATTGGAGGAGACAATCTGATAGCCAAAGATGTGAAAACAATAACTCATTTAATTCGACTTCAAAAACCCTTGGAGACTCTTGTTCTCACCAAAAAGCCCTATCATGCAGTGACTCCTCTTGGATCATCTCATGGGGCAGCTTTCAGAGATATTCTATTAGTCACTTTTATGAATAAGAAATCTTCTCTTTGAAGTCATTATTGTTTTATTGTGTTCGATCTTATTTTGCATTTGACATGAGCTTTTGGTTCTCTCATTTTCTCTTATTTTTCTCATATCTTTAATTTTCAGTGAGCTTTTGAGATCTTTCATTTTGGGGTATCCGAGTTAGTCTTTTTGGTCATTTTGCAGCTAGTTTGTGTTCCGTTATAAATTACTAATCATGATACTTGCTTTTTGTCTCATTGAAATGAATAAAGAATGCATTTTATCAAGTAATTCAAGATAAAGTACCCCAATTTACACTACTGGACAACGAAATATCATATTTGAAAAAAGATCGTCGCTTTCGCGGTCTGTAACTCCCTTGTCTTTACCCTATTTCTAAATATTAATATTACCATTGTGTAGCCCTTGAAAAGAGCTTTCAGAAAATGAATAACACTAATAGTTTAAACTCAAAGATAAGGGAGTTACAGACGCGCCAAAAATGACGATCGTTTATTCAAAAATGATATTTCATTATCCAGTACTGTACCTTAACTAAAAGATCACTTTGCAAATAAACACTGATCATTTCTAAAACAAGTTTGGACGTGAAAGAAAAAGATTCTTTTTCTCTGCCTCTTTGATATTTGAGTACACTCTCTTCATGAATCACGGCTAAAAAGAACTGAACGATTTGAGAGAAAATAGAGATGGGGAAATGTCTCCCATTTGAACAGAGAAGAACCCGTCCCAACAAGAAGGTTGAAAAGGCTAGGAAATTTTGTATAAATGGTCATGAATACTCCAGAGAGCACAAGCAAAATTTCAACTTTGCAATCTTTTCTACTTTTGACTGACACTCAACTTACCTATTCAAAATGCCCTTGACTCGAACAACGAAGAAATCACTTCAGATCGGCAGTGAGGTTTGTTTTGGCTTCGATTTTACCTCCTTTAAAGCAAATTTCACAAATGCATAGAGTCTTTGACTATTGTTTTATTTTCAGATCGGCCAACATGGAATGATTCGGTGGTTTAAGAACTCTCGTTTGTATGGGTGTTCTGTGAGGGATACATGGACCAATTCACCGAAGAAACTCCCGCAAAATGTGGTGGAATTGCGATGGGATGTGAGTTGAATAAAGAATATAAAAGCAAATGAACTAAGTATTGTTAAACCTTTTGCAAACCAACAAATTTCAGGGCTCAAAGAAACCCGTGTTTTGCTTTACTCATCAAGTGGATCTGTTTGACGGAGAACAAGTTGAATGGCAAGAACAACAACCACAACAAATTGATTATTTCCTGAAAATGGAATTTGTGAGTTATTGTTAATGAACGAAACTGTAATTAGTTGTAAAGTTAAATATTTATTCCAATAATATTTCAGGATCGAGCTCGAAAGGCGGTCGTTCAAATGAAAGCTCAACGTCGACGAGAAATTCGTGAAATGAGAAGACAAAGCAGAGGATCGAGATCTCCATCGCATTCAAGCCATTCCAAATCTTCATCACCAACTCCATCACAAAACTCGATTCAATCAAAGTTGAGGCCAAGAAGATAAATTCAACTTTGTAAGTATCACTTCTGATCTCATTCTTATTCTTGCACAGTCTTTGAGAATTTTCTTTATATTCTTATATTCATTTGATGTACCTACCTTTTGTTAGTTTTTCTTACATTTAAAAATTGTTTAATAAACGTTGTTCATTACACTTTCTGCGAGGCAACAAATTTTGTTTGATTCTAAACTAAAATTATCACGCCTTTGTTCAAATAATTTGGCGTTTATGAGATAATCAAAAAATTCTTGAAAATTTTTACGAAAAGATAAGACGAAACAAACAAAAGAGAACAATTTTCGGGTTTATCCGAGTTTCTTTTTTGAATTCACTCTTTGCTCACAACTTTCTTGCTGATTCTTACCAATGCGTTTAAAAGATTTATTCCCATTGCCTGATATTGATCAAATGGGTGATAACGGTAAGTTATTTCCTTTATTCTTTCAAGAAATCTTTAGTTCTAATTGAAAATCCAAGACTGAAAGTGAAAAGTTCTGGATTGGTTTTATTATTTTTCGTTATCACTGGGGTATTGGCTTTTCTTGCTGAGTGGGGAGGTAAGCCAAAGCTAAAACACTTTTGTACATTTTTTAGCAAATAAAATAATCAATGATTCAACAAAGCATGATCCGGATGATTGTGGAGATCTGATTCGAACATGTTCTTATAATGATCAAGAATGTTTGAGAATCATGAGTAAACCGAGATTTCCCTCCACTTATCGCTGCACTTATCGAGTTCATAAAAACTAAAGAACTTTAAAAGATGAAACTTTTAGATTTGGATAAACTCTGTTAGTTGCAAAACAGTCTCCGTAGATGCAAAGTTCTCAAACTCAGCCACACCGTATACTTTGAAGCTTTTCTCTCAACAAGGATTACTGGCTAGGTGTCAATATCTTGTGTTATTGTTATAAATACTTATCAGATATTTTCCCTTTCAGATATTCTCCTTCAAACGTTGCTAATGTATCAACTGTTCTTTTTGATGGAACATTTCTTATTATCGATTTTCATGCATTTGGTACATGGACTGATAAGGATAACTGGCAAGTATCAATCTCAGCTCAAGGTTAGATTAAAGTCTACTTTAGAATTGTAAAGAATAGCTTAGAAAGCTTTTTTAGCAAACAATATCTCAAGTAACGATGCTACTGTTTTTGGATCGAGAATTTTTACCGATACCGAATTGCAAACAATCACAAATCTGGTCAATCACTTTTGATCAACTTTATAATACCTTTTCAGAATGAATATCATTTTTCGACCACTGGGGGAACGGGATGTCCTGCTCAGCAAAAGGTTTATGGATTTGTTTATGGACTAACGACAAAAGATGATGAGAACTTCACTAAGGAAATATATGTCAAATCTCGAAGTCAGCCTTTTAAAAGGTCAGCTTGATCAACAGAAACAGATAATTTTTGATAGTAGATAGATAAAATTTCTAAACTCTGATGATTCTAGATTTTCTGAGTTTGGATTAACTTCAAAAGAAAATTTGGATCCTGTTTTCCCTTTACAAGAATATATTTCAATAGAGAACAATGCGAGCACACCATTCGCGACAAAGAATACATCAATTCTTTATTTTCAGACAGATTACGGTAAGTTCAGATCCCTAATGAATCTAGAAATCATTTTAGAGTCATCGGAAATAACAGTGGTCCAAGCTCTTGACGGACAAATTTCAAATTTTACCCGTAAATCCGAAGATAAAGTATTGGTTATTGTGATTTTGATTCCAAAAGGGAAACTGACACTTTCCGAAGTACAAATTGATGGGGTATTTTTGGGGAAACAATTCATTGAAATATTGATTCAGGATGATCAGTTCAACTTAATTGATGGTGGATTGGCGGAAATGAATTCGCCATCAAAATATCTTTATTTGCAAAGGTGGATTTCTTTTCTAACTTTTCTTTTCTAGCTTCTTTCCTAGGTAACTCTAATATTCTCGAATAGTCTTCTCAAAAAGTTGAGCTTGAACAAGTTAAGAAACAACTTTAGCGATGTTAATTCTCTGCAGAGCCCAACTCAAATCGAATCAAATCGACAAGTAATCACAATCCAACCATTGGATGCAAAAACTATTGGTTTTACAATTAAATTGGTGACTTGAAAACTTTATCGTGCCTATTTAAATGATTTCTAGAGATACATAATAAAAGTATCGAGTATCTTTCTTTTGTACTTTGGGTTTTACACCCGCAATGTTACCTATTTTTAAAGTCTCATACCTAGTCAGCTCTCAGTCACCTCTTTATTTAAACCTTCATATTCTTATCCCTTTCTTTATTTTCTTTAAATTTGCAAGATCCAACTTGATTCTGAGTTTTGTCTTTTTATTTTTAAATTGACTTTTTTCTTGTCTTTTTTAAACAGAATTCAAGCGATCTTCTAAAACTTGGATTTTTTGGATGAAAAACTAAATATTCAACTTCGATTATAAATGCGAATATTTCCTTTTCCCCGTATTGATCAAATCACGATTCCGAAACCAGGTATTTACCTTGATTAAATAAAATTTATTTACCAATTTAGTTGAGCCAAAACCCCTTATATTGAGCAGTCTATCGATTGTGTTTGGATTTTTGGTGGTCACTGGGGGAATCGCTTTTGCAATCGAATGGGCAAGTAAGCGGTTTAGCAAGAGAACTTGTAGTTGTAACGGTTGTTTAAGCGTCAACAATTTACAGTTTATCGCAATTATGGAAAAACGAAGCCAGTTCATTATGATGATTGTGGAACAGCGGTTATTAACTGTGATACGAATGGTTGTTCAATGAGTAATCGAGATAATTGGCCGGCTGAAATCCGCTGTGTTTATCGCGTAAGTTGACAGCTTTGCTCGATTTCTATCCGTTTTAGTTCTGGCTACCCACAGAATATCAAACCAACAATCTAGAATATTCAATGAACATTTTCAATTCGGATGCATATTCTCTTAAATTTTATTCAATCGAAGGACTCATCTTGTCATCGTTTGTAAAATCTTTTCTTTTCCTCAATTTCTTTTCAGAATAATAAGCAAAGACTCGGAGCTTTCCTTCCATGGAAATTTCTTAATTTTGGATTTTCGTGCAAAAGATTGGTCCTCAAATGAACAGTGGAATATCACAATACAGACAGGTATCAAAAGGTGATAAAAAGCTGGATAAAACATGTTTAGGCTCCAAAACAACACCTAGTGAACACATCATATACTACTCTCGTCTGTTTTCACTCCAAGAAGTGAAGCCAGATTTAGGGATTGGGGTAAAAAGGCTTAAAGCATTTTTAGTAGTTCTGTTTTCAAGTCTTTAAACTCAGTAATTAGCTATTAGGTTGATGCATAAGTCTTTTCGTTTTTTCGTACTTCTGTTAAAAAGTAACAAATTCACCAATTAATCTATAGTTTGCTCTATAAAAAAAGTGTTTTTTTGTTCAATTTCCATCTTTTTAAATCAATTTCGGTTCACTTTCAAGCAAATTCGAGAGTGAAAAACGCCTTTTTCGTAAAAATCTATAAAAACTCTACGGAAAAATTGGCCGAATGAATTTCTCTGAAATTTTGGCGAAATATCAAACTTTTTTTTCTCTATCTTTTATCTATTGACACGAAGATAGGTTTTCTTTAGCTAAGGTGTCTAAACCGCATCATCGAGTTAGCCCTTTTTGACTACCCGACTTCATACTCTCAAGAAAATCCAGGCATAAAATATTTTTAAACCCGTTTTAATGTTATTTTGCAGAAAAATAATTGGTTTTTCTAATGAAATCAACCGTAGTTTAATTGGTGCATTTGTTGGCTTGAAACGGCAGACGAAAAGGAACAAAAAGACTTATGCATCAACCTATTATATTAGGTTGGCAACTAAATAATGGCCCTCGCCCTTTTTTGATAAAATCTTTTAATCTTTGCGTTTAATCTACCCTCGCTTGTTGTTAATTGAATATTACTGAATTTCTGGTGCATTATTATACGTTTTTTATTTCCTTGATTTGGTACTTTTCAAATAATTTTGTTTAGAAATGGAAGATCTCAAATATCGAATGCGTTTCTGTCTCTGGTACGACTACAAACAAGACAAAACAGCTGCCGAATCCCACAGAGATTTATTGCGAGTTTTTTGGTGATGAAGCTCTTTCCGAAACACAATGTAGGAGATGGTATCGACAGTTCAAGGAAGGGGATGAAAGTCTTGAAGATCAGCCTCGCCAAGGACAACCCGAACTTCTGCAGAACGATATTTTGGAAGCAGCTTTAAAGGAGGATCCAAGTCAAACATCACGCGAGCTAGGGGATCGATTGGGCTTTTCGCATACTGCAATCGAAAAGCGACTTCATGCATTGGGGAAAAGTAACCGCAGTGGAAAGTGGATTCCGCATGAATTGAGCGAAGAAAATAAGGCTACTCGTGTTATCACAGCTGGAATACTACTAAAACTTGCGAAAAAGGGAAGCTTCTTGGATTCCATTGTCACTTCTGATGAAAAATGGATCTTTTATGATAATCGAACGCAAAAACGACAGTGGCTTAGCACAAACGAAGACTCAAAACCAACTCCGAAGCCGGATATTCACTCAAAGAAAACTCTCCTCTGTGTGTGGTGGAGTTCTCGTGGGTTGGTGCATTTCGAGGTTCTCAAAAGCCGGCAAACGGTTAATTCAGAACTCTATTCGTCCAACTACATCGTGTAGATCAAGCAATTCGCTCCAAGCACTCGAACGCTCTTCAATTCATTTTCTCCATGATAACGCAAAACCACACACTGCAAAACTACAAGGAGAAAATCGAGGAGTTGGGCTGGAATGTTCTTCCTCATGGCCATACAGCCCGGATATGGGGCCTAGTGATTACCATCTTTTTCGATCGATGCAACACTTTCTAGCCGAGAAAAAGTTCAATGACCTTGACGAAGTCCGAATTTCAGTGCAGAAGTTCTTTGACGATCAACCAGAAGAATTTTTCAAGAGAGGAATCCAGTTGCTCCGTCAAAAGTGGAAAGAAGTAATCAAGAATGACGGAGAATACCTTTTGGATTGATGTTGATATTTGTTCATCTTGTTAATAAAATTTTTGTTTTTACTGAAAAGGGCCATTATTTAGTTGCCAACCTGATAATTCGTCATCTTGTGACAATTTCAGACAGAATATTCCTTTGGGTTTTCACCTTTTGGAAATCTTTATGTCTTCGTTGACTCCTCTGATATGGAATATTGTGAAAGAGTTGGACTCTACGTTACCCGTCCTGGATTGGCGTCAATTGTCACAACGTGACTCAATTTACAGCTAAATGAAAATTCTTTGTTCAGCATGACAGCGGCGCGTGGTTCTGATCTTCAAGTTGGTTGTGTCTTTGATGCAACACAGAATAGAATCGGAGTGACGAACAACAACACCGAGTCAACCAATTCCGTGTCCTCGTTTCTTTATTTTGTCGAAAAACAGCCATGTTTGTTGTATTGAGTTAGCCATGAAAAGATTAATTCTAGATGTGATATCAAAAGTGATACAAGCAAAGAATAACAGATGGGTGAATGCAACAACTTGCTCGTCTGCTACATCTGGTGATCAATCGGGTGAATGTACTGGACAATGTTGTCTTTCAGCATGTGGATGCTGTAGTAGTCAGGTAACATGCTTATACGTAATATGTAGTTGAAATAAACCCTAGGTTTAAAATAAAATAAACCAATTCCAGCAAGCCATTGTTGTTGTGACGATAATCACCAAGAACTCTGCTCTCACCATCAGAAATCTGGCATTAACTGGGGTCATCAAAATGGAAGAGACTTTTAAGAAAAATTCTTTCAGAAAGGAAACACAGATATTGTTAGTATCTCTCGTGATGGGATTGCTGGCATGAATGACCCTAAGAACTATATTTACACAGACACGTGAGTTACTTTAGTGACAGCTTAAGCAAAAACATCAGTTTTAGGTCGATCTCCGCTTTACAAAATGAAATCCGAATTAATGGAAGTTCGGCAATTACCATTCAAGCTTTAGACGCGGAAATGATCAGCTTTGAGATAGTTTAGCTTATTTTAGGTTGCATAAATGTATCTGTACCTTATAAAGGCTCTGCTAAATATATATTTACCCTGTATTGTATAAAAACAATGCCTTCGATGTCGTTAGGTGACGGAGCTGTTGTTCACCCATTCATCTCAATCTAAAGAAGAAACAGGGGTTTGGGTTCTTTTGTGTTTCCCCTGGCACCCACCTAAAAGAAGAAAACCCCTAAAGAAACCCGCCCCTTTGCCTTCATTGCCAATTTTTCTCCTTTTTTTACTAAAACTCAACTTATATTCTTTCTATAATCATGTTTAAAAGTGGGTTTACCGATTGTTTAACACGATGAAGTCACTTTTTGTCTACTTCCTCTTCATTCAGGTAACTCTTGAACTGGAATCTGAACTCATTGTCAGCTAACTCTTGAAAGTTTGAACGAATACACTTGAATAACTCTGAACATTGTCTAAGTAATAAGGCACAATAAACAGTGAATACTGAAAAAAGAATAACAATAAACAAGCCAATACTAAATTGACAGATTTAGATTATTTTCTCTGCAAGCAACGACGATCTCGTGATTACGATCAAGTCCACGAGAAATAATCACTATACTCGTCTTCGGGATATTGCTGCCACTTGGCTACAATGGTTGCCGGAACGAGTAAGTAAGAAGTAACAGATCAGTTGATCAGTTGAAACTTTATCAAAACATTGAAACCTTTTTACGTTATCTTATCACAACCCAGAGGTCAAATCTAGCCTTTTAGATGTGCAAGAACATGTTTAAAGTTTTTTATCGTTTAGACTTATGTGATATCTGATGCATGGGACAAAAAGTTGAATGAGACTTTTCATGGGCATTTCATCGCCACAAACTGCACGCCAGGACATTTCAGGTTCATCGAATATTGACCCGAAAAGAAGTGCCTTTTCAGAAAACAACTTTCTTGTAAAATGGGTGTAGAATTGCGAGTGATGATGGAAAAGAGTGCAAAGTATGCAAAAATCAAAGCTTTTGTAAATTATTCTAGATGGTCATGTCATTTCGATGATGATAATTATGTGAATGTGCCAAGATTGAAAGAAATTTTGGGAGGATTCAACTACAAGGAAAAGTTCTATATTGGACGTTTATCAACCGGACCGATTACTGCCTATCCAGAACATGTAAGAGAAGAAAATTAATTTTAAAAATAACATTTTTGTTAGGAAACATTTATATTTGCAACGGGAGGAGCTGGGATTTGTCTATCTCACGGACTATTGGTTGAAATGAGTCGATACATTGATGATTTTGAGAAAACTGCAAATTGGCTTCAATTACCCGATGATGTCACTCTTGGATATATTATTAGTAAGTATTATGTTAAATTATTGTATTTCTCCATTAGATTAGTAGCTTATAATCATTAGACCATTTCTTCATTAGATAACTACATATATGGCAGTTGTGAGAATTTTAATTCTTTATCCAAAATCGGTACCCCTTTGTCCTTCAAAAGAATGAACTCGAAAATGGAAGAATGGAAGGGAAAAATAGGGAAAAATGGCGGCTAAATGTCACGAAGATTGAATAATGGAGACTCTTTCTTTTGAAAAAAGAACAGGCTGACTGTTTCGATGGGAAAATTGGGGAACTGGGAAAGGGAAGGGAATTGACAGTTTGACTGAATGTGTTGCTAGGTAAAAATTCTGAAAAATGAACGGAAAACCATTTCCGCATAACTGAATATTCTAGATTATCTTCTTATCGTAAATGTGACGGAGAATTTCTATTTCCATTCTCATTTCGACAGCCTCATGAATATTCCCATCAGCAAGCTGAAATTGCAGGTAACTGGAATATTGCTAGGAAAATTTCGAAAGTAGCTATTTAATAATAAAGTAACAGAAAGTTTATTTGTAAAATGTTACACTTGTTACATATAAACATCTAATTTCTAGGCTTCTTTGAGTGGAATGAATGGTGAGATCATTCACAATGTCAATCTCCCTTCAACAAAAGATGATCCACTCAAATTCAGAGCCATTCACAAAATCATCAAAAAGTCCCGTGAAGCATTGTGATCTTTTATGATATTTCAATCATTGTATGTAAATTCCGGGTTTTTGGCATAAATCATAAATGAATTCTAAACGAAAAAGACTCAAATGAGTCGATCAAATCTCCGATTTCCCATCAAAAACGTTTGCATACGCGATCGAGAAAGAACAAAGAAATGAATTGCCAATTTGGCATCAAATTCCTGAAATCTGTGCATAGATTTTCTGAAAAGATTAGCTCTGTCAATATGGATTATTTTTGCATTTGAAATTTTGATGCACCTAAAATAGTAGACTCAACATACTACAGTTCACAGTCAAATTCAAATCTCATCTTTTCCTAAGCTGGCTCTCTTGGTTTCCAATTGGTTTCCTTTTGCCCGAGAAATTGTTTTTCATTCTACCCTTTTGAACTTTTCCTTTCTATTCAGACGTGTTCTCCTTATGTCGATTTGATCTTTCTCTTACATCGAACTCTTGCTATTCTTTCTACAAACTGCATTACATCGTTTGTATTTCAAATTTCCACTCTATTAAATTATTCAAATTTTTATATATTTAGAAATTTGCATGCCCTGGTGTTCATTCGGTCTAGTTTTGCTCTTTTTTTCCATACAGGTATACATTTAGAATACAACCAAATATTCTTGGCCTAAAAAGGAAGGTCCATCTCATTTCTAAAAGATTTGAACTATCCAAAGCTTGAGAAAAAAAGGATTATTCCTCTCTTCTTTGGATATTTTGGATATTTTGAGTCTTCCACTATTGGACTAAATGATTCACTGAAATCTTGGTACAATTAGAACACCTTTGAATTTTAGGTAAATGTAAACGCTCAAATTGAAATCGACAATGGTGTTGTCGGCGATCCTTTACTTCAATGTGGCGATGGACATATTGAGGTAAAGTTTTGTGTTGTTTTAGAAGAACAATGATTTTTGTTTTTTTTAGATTCGTTTTGAAACAAGAGCCCCATTTCGTGGATTGGTATTTGTGGAGGATCGATTGAATGATCCATCTTGTCGATCTCCTCCATCTGATGGAAATGGAATTAGAAACACGTCTCTTAAGATTGCTTTTGAGGATTGCGGAACACAAAGGGTTTACTCTGTAAGTTGGTTTTACTTCTAGAAAACAAGATAATTTATTAAGTTATTAGAAAATACTTTTCTTGAATTATAAATAAGTGCAAGTGCAATAAAAAGAAGGTGCAAATGGGCAAGAAATGTGGTCAAATTCGATGCTGTTTATCTTCCGTTTGGCCAACCATTGTTCATTCCTCCCATACCTCCATAACCTGTAAATTTACCAATGTACTTTAAATGACATGACAAGATGACAACCAATCTTTGTAAATAACAAATATATAATCACAAACCTCCAGGCATTCCTCCTCCACCCATCATTCCACCCATTGGTCCTCCATATCCACCCATTCCGCCGCCCATATCTCCTCCTCCATAACCTAGAAATACAGATGTGCAAAGTTCTTTTTGTTTCTCATTTCTTACCTCCATCTCCTCCTCCCCATCCTCCATCACCGCCACCGCCATATCCACCGTCTCCTCCTTAACGATTTCTTTAATGTTTAAATCTTATTGTTTACCCCATCCACCACCACCTCCCATATCTCCTCCTCCCATTCCTCCATCACCGCCCATACCACCTAAATGATTGTTTTATTGAATAGTCGAATTCTTTATTCACCTCCCCATCCACCGTCACCTCCCCATTGAGCTGCACCAAGGGCGACAAATGTGGTCAAAAGAATAAGAGAAAGTCTTTTCATCTAAACAATTTTGAAAATAAAATAAAATCTAGCAAAAACAAATTAGTTGAGGAATAGTTAGTAAGTAAATCTATTATTTAGAAATGTTGTTGGTTTTAGAGGATACGCAAAGTAGTGGAAAGCGATCCTTTATCATTGGTTTGCTTGGTTTATATAGGATTGAAGAGAGAAAGTGATGAAGGGTTGAGATGATCGAGATGCCGGATAGGATAGAATGGGCCGGTCTATTGTTTGGGACTTCAAAGGAAAAGACTTGATGGTTGGGCGAAAAACGGCACCCCGATTTGATTGAAAAAGAAAAAAAAGGAAGAAAAGAATAGGAAAGAGACTGGTGTTTCGAGAGAAGAAAAGACCAAACCACCTTGTGTTTACCGTTCTTTGAAAAAACCCCACGTGTGCACCATTTGGATGAGTTTATCATTGGCGTCATTGCCCTGATCATCACAGAGAAGGCAACAAACCGGAAGCCTTTGAGATTTGAGAAAAAAAATAGGGACCAAGATCTTATCACATCTAGAACAAATTACTAAAATGGTTCTAATTGTGACAACAAAACGAGATGTAGAAAACGAGTTGTAAAAAGTTGAAAGAATCAATCAATCAATCACTTTAGCAATCACCCCGTGGATTGTTCATTTCGACAAAAGTCCTTGTTGCTTTCCATCCGGAGTTCTTGACCAAAGTGAGTTTCATTTCTATAGAGAAAGCTCATTCATTCTTTAGTTTGATCGACTTTATTATTTGAAATGTTTTTACATGGAGATGGAGAGAAGATTACAAAAACAGATTCAGATCAGGTAATTTCAAAAAATGGAAAGACATAGAGATTTTTAGTATGCCACCACCAACAATGCATAGGGCAAACATTCCGATGCCAATTTGTAGATATGAAGTGCTTGATGGAGGGCCAACTGGGCCTCCTGTTTTACATACAATTGTTGGGCAAATGGTAGGGAAATCAAAAACATTTGAGCTAATTTCGATAGGTTTACCATAAATGGACTTGTGACACCGATTATCCGAATACTTTTTGTATGACAGTGCATAGTTGTACAGTCGATGATGGGAATGGAGATCGAGTGACACTTTTGGATGACAGAGGGTTGGACAGAGGGTCTTCTTTAAAAAATCTGACTTATTTAGTTGTGCGCGGGATAAATATTTGCTCAACAATCTTGAGTATATCAATGATTTAATGGCTGGAAGAGAGGCTCATGTGTACAAATACGCGGATCGAGAGAATATGTACTTTGATTGTGAAATCACCATATCAATCAAAGAACCAGGAAATGAGCTTTGTGAGGTGAACAATAGACAATTATAAGACAATGAAATCTTATTTATTATAAGGCACAGGGTTTATGCGTGAGGTAGTAACGATTTAACCTTACTCAATACCTTTTTACTTACCAATCCTTTTTCTAAAATAATTAGACATAAGACCCAAGATTTGATTTGGTAGATTTTGTAGGTTTTAGTTGAAAGAGAATTGGTTAAGCTAAGTTTATACGGCACTGAGAAAAAGACTCGAAGACAATGGAGTAGAAGGGAGGCGAGAGTAACGAAACAAAACCATTTTAAACAGGAAACATGGACGAAACAATATAACGGGAAGGGAATCTGGGGAGACAGATAAGACAGATAACCTTAAAACGCGCTACAAAAAGGAGAATAGATTTTACAAAAGGAGGATGGAACCTATACAGGACTCGACATAAAAAACCGGAGAACGTTCACGGTCCCATCATGCAGAAAAATGAATGGCAAAAGAGGAATTTTTGTTCAACTCAAATCATTTAGTACCCAAATTGCCCGAATCCGCCAAGACGAAGACGTTTCTCGAACGCAACTTCTCGAGAAATTACCGTTCAAAAATCGATCATAATTAACAAAAATCAAACTGGTGACCTTAAGACTCTCAATAAAAAACAATATTTTTAGTTTATGAGATTGAAAACGATATGGTAACAAAGGCGTCTTTTCTTAAGATGAATTTCAATTTGAGTCAAGTGAGTGTCCTATTTTAACAGTCTCATATTTCTTTTCAGTTCGGCTTCTGTGCTTCATCAATTGGAGCGATTGCTTTCATTTTTATCAATCTAACAGCAATTTTTCTCTCAACGACTCTTGTTTTCAACACCTTCGCGAACTTGAAAAGCTCCAGAAAATGAATCGTTTACCCAAAGTGCAAAGCCAAAGCCCAATTCAAGCTTTAGAGATAAACAAATCAAATCGATTAGCTTCTGTGACTGAAACTGACTCAATATGATTTATTCCTTCGCACAATCTTCCTTTTATCCAATTGCATCGCCTGGCTTATCATAGGTGTTGTAAATCTCTCTGAAGTCACTCTAAAGACAAAAACTACCAAGAAAATCATTCTTTTTTGGCACATTTTGTAGATTATTGTACGCTCTATGTGTAGATATTCGCTGTATTCTAGAATTTACGCCTTGATATTGCCAATAAGAGCCAGAACTGCCAGCTCGACAGCGGAACAGCCTATCAGTATTCGACTTGATCTAAATTTTTCCACATACCGTATTTTTCCAAAAAGTAATAGCCCAAAAAGTAATAGCCCAGTAATAGCGTAGTTGTTGTTTTTCTCGCGAATCTGTGAATCGCGAATCAGATTTTTTTCCAAAAAATAGAGAAATGAGACACCATTTTTTGAAAAAACTCGAACAAAATCGGTCCAGAGGTTCGCGAGAAAAACAGCGACTAGACGACGCTTTTCTGGGCTATTACTATTAAGAAAAATACGGTACTTACAATCAGAGTGACATATTCTCAATTAAATTTCAAACAAATGATCAGATGTCCATATTCGTCATCGATATAGTAGTAGTCAGTATTGTTCACCATTCCCGAATTTCCAAATCCGACGACGGAAAACCAAACCTGAGCACGCGTTTTAACAATCTTTGGTTTGCATTCATTACAGTTGCATTTGTGTTGTTTGGTCCCGTGCAACAATAAGCAGCTACTTGACATTTTGCTTCATTCACTCTAAATTTCAGCTAAATAGTTCCTTTTAGAATTTTTTTGTTACGAATAGGTAAGATGGAAAATGCCATTGTCGTCATAAAATAGACGATCATGAAGATTTTCTGGGCAACCATTGATTCAAGCTAGAATAAAAAGATATTGCTCTGAAAAAGCAAATTGATCAGTTGTAATGGTTGTCGTTGTTGTGGTCGTCTGAAAGCTTTAGTTAGCAACCAAAAATTAGACTAGCATCATTCTAACCAATTAACCCACCGATAGACAAACTGGAATGGTGTTATTGGATCGTTTGGGAGATCAAGACCACATTGCATTTGCTTTGTCTTCAAATTTTTAACCTAAGCAAAGCGTTCTTAATTTATTTACTCAAGTTCACCACGGGTGCACTTGCATTACAGCATTTTTGAGCTCCAGAGGAAGCAGTCGTTGCACAGGTGACGAAACGTGATTGCAAAACAACGCTGAATGTCTTAGATTACTTTTTTTTCAACCTAATTTACTATGAAGTACCCATTTGAGCAAGGACAGCCAAAGGCTTGTGATAGGCAATTCCTCATTTGCTTTACTTGAGCACATCCACCACAAGTTGCATTGCAAATTCCATAAATATTATCATCGTTTGTCCAGGCTGACCAAAGAGCTTGAAACAAAGTTGAAAATTAGTAATTGGAATGTAGTTTATTAAAGAGTAATTGAAAAGAAAAATTGAACGCACAGCAACCTCCGTGAAGGATGCAGCTTTGCTAAAACTAGTATTTCTTTTCAATTTCGAAAAAAACAAACTGATTAAACGACATTTGAGAGCTACATAATTATCGGCTCTTTTCGAATCACGGCAGCAATATTTCTTGGCAACTGGTTGAAACAACTGAAACAACTAATGCAAAAGTTAGAACCAATTCAACCGTTTGCATGTCCAGCAATACACTGAACAATTCGTGAATAAGCTCCTCTAAAAAATTCAAAGAATTTGATAAGAATGGCCAATACAGAAAATTCTGATTATACAGTTCAGCAATTGTTTTAAGTTTTATGCCTCTTTTTGTTTCTTTTCATCTATCCAATCAGTAACTCCCTTACACACATCCTTTCACTCAAGAAAGGCATGTTCTTTTTTGAATCTTTTGCCCGAAAAAGCCATAACTTTTGGGAAATGATGTATAGTCCGTCCATGCTGACCATTCACTTAAAGTGAACCTTAAGCTTCGTGGTTTTATTCGTCAAATCCATAGCTGGGCATGTTGCACAAACAGGGAGCGTTGCTTCGGTACATGAAAACACTAAAATGTCAAGGACTCGCAGAGAATCTAAGCGGTAAAATCTGTAGCGACTCACCCAAAGCTAGAAGGTAGAATGAAAACTTTGCCAACATCCTTCTAATTCATTTTATTTTTCTATCTTTTAGGCATTTGGCTGATTAAGTTCTTCAAATTTCAATTCTAGTTCTTTAAAATTGAAAGCTTCGCTTGTATTTTCTAATTGTGATTGGTGGCTTTTGGCGGCGAACACAACTTTCAGCTGGTTTTTCAATACTAACCAAAAATCAGGATTTTTGCAAATAGGCTATTGAAAGGATCGCTTTCCCCTACACATATCGGTCTTTTAAACGATGAAGTATATGGATTGTTTCAAAAATGGGATCAAAGTTTATAGAGGGACATGTAAAAGCAGAATTGTTTGATTTCAAAATAAAAAGTGACTTCTTTTTCGTACAAATTAGTTTGTAAACAACGCAAAAGAAGCTCCTCTTTACAATGCAATTATTGCATTTCTTCTTCTTAGGGTGTTCGTGAAATCTTGTAAGATACACAATTTGCAGGATTCTTATTTTTGGTCAGTAATGTGCAAAACAGCTGTTGAGTGGACCCATCTCTACTCCATTTTCTCTTTCGTGCGTCACAAATCGATCAGCAAAGGAAAGGCTTTCGAGTGAACGATAGGGAATGGGGATAGAGAGATTGGAAAGAGAAATAGAAGGCTGTTCACATGATTTGCACGAACAATCAAGATGGTGAGAGACAAAAAGACCGCAAAAGAAAAAGCAATCCATTTTTAGCTAACAAATGATCCCCTGATTTCTTGGCTCATATGATTCAACTTGGTTTTAACAATTCACTTAGTCCTTTCATATATTAGAGTGGTTGTTATAAACCAGAAACGCTGTTGATCTAGAAATTTGTTTTTCAGTTTTCAAAACTTTAAGCCAAATTATTATAGCACATCTATTCTGACCTACTGTTTTAAGAGATATAAATCTCTCAGACAAATTTGCGTGTTCACTTTCATGGTGAAAATTTCAGCGAAATGAAATCGCGCCATGTGAGCTCTCTTTGCACATTCTCTCTCTAGATTGCTCTTTTTTAGAAAAACCCACATAAGATTGAAACTTGTCGATTCTAAAAGATTTTCGTTCGCATTTTGATTCGAAAATATTGATTATTTATTTTTTTACAGGGTAAAAACGGGACATCAAACGGCAAAATGTCTTCAGGTAAATGGGATTAATAACCATCAAATAATTTCTTTTCAGAGGCTGGTCCTTCACACGAAGACACATTGAATTTGTACAAGAAAATGCTCTTGGGAGGATCAGCTGCAATCATTTCGAAGACAACAACTGCACCCATTGATCGAGTTAAACTCATTTTACAGGTAATTTCCAGTAATTGGTTTTTAATAGTGATTCTAAAGAATGCTTTGTTTATATTAGCATTAACGATAAGCTTTAGGTTCAACCGACAAGCACCGTTTCGTTAGCTCAATATGAGGGAATGCGGGATTGTTTCAGAAAACTATTTAGAGAACAGGCGAGTTTAAAAAATTGCAAACACAAACAAGGATCTAATTTGAACCGAAATTTTAGGGTATTCTATCATTATGGAGAGGTAATTCAGCAGGAGTGGCTCGATGTTTTCCCAACCATGCTTTGAATTTTGCATTTCGAGATGTATATCGTACAATTTTTTTGAAAAATGTCGATCGAAATCAAAATTTTGGACGCTTCTTCTTTGGTTTGTGAAAGATTAAGAATTAAAAAAGAAGTATCTTTGTAGGCACTGTAGCTGCAGGTGGAGCTGGAGGAGCAACAACTTTGATCATCCTCTATCCAATGGATTTTGCCCGAACAAGGATGGCTGTGGATTGTAAACGGTAAGCAGGATCATAAATAAATCTAATATTAATCATTTTGCTTTAGTGATGGTTCTAAAAGATACAAAAGTATGACAGAATGTCTCTTCAGAATACAGGAAATCGACGGATATTTGAGGTTTGTTTAGCAGATCTTCTACTGTAGGTTGCAAATTTTCAGCTGGTATCGTGGATTTTGTGCATCACTTTATTTCGTTGTTGCTTCAAGGGCTGTTTTCTTTGGCCTTTTCGATACAATTCGAACTCATTTCACTCATCGAGGCGAACAACTAAATTTTGTGTTTACGTGGATGATAGCGCAGGTTTGTGAAGGAAAAGAAACAAAACAGACAAAGCTTTTAGAGCTGTTTAATGGTTTCTGGACTTTCTTGCTATCCATTGGATTCGGTGAGAAGAAGATTAATGGTTCAAGCTGGAAAAAAACGTAAACATTACCGGGGAACTATGGATTGTTGTCGAAAAGTCTACAGGTAAGTCAAAAAGGTTACTTTTGAAATCCCACCTAATTACTAAAACTTTTTAATGGATATTGTATTCCAGATCTGAAGGCTTGTACGGTTTCTACAAAGGAGCTCTCACAAATTCGCTAAGATCAACAGGCGGAGCTCTGATCATCACACTTTATTATGAAATGATCAAATATCTATAATGATATTGGCAATAAAGCTTTTATAGCCTAGATTTGCTTTCATTTTCTTTGAAACCCCAATTTTATGGCATTGCAGCTACAATCTGAAAAAGAAAAAAGAAAAAAGTTAGATACAATCTAGAAATTAGAGCTTTGATATAGATGAATTTTACTCTTTTAATGATAGATCTCAGTAGTATTCGATCAAATAACCCTTCATCAGAAGAAATTCTTTGGATTGATTGTATAACTCGATCACCAACTCAATCGGTAAACATCTATACGCCACTTTTTGATCCCAAATTTAGCCTCTATGGCGTTTCCCATACAAAATTTCTTCAAAAACAACAAACGAAGATGTTGTTTTAGCTTTTGCTGTAAGTTTTATTAGTTCAAAGTTCTCAAAATAACAATTTTATAGTTGGGTCTTTTGTTGATTGCTCTCTTTGTTGCCACAGGTACCTTATGTGTATTCGCATGGTACACCTGCAAAAGAAAGTTTTCGTCTGACTCAAAGATGGAGGTTGTTTTTAGCGGTTTTTAATGCGATAGTTGAGAAATATAATATATCATCAATTTAGATAGCGATCCCGGCGCAAACCCGAAGCAATCTCGTATTCGCGAAAAAGCTTCTCGATACAATTCCCGAAGTCGATAGCAAAGACAGCAATTTATCTCATGTTTAACTTTTTACAATAAAGTTTTTCCCTTTTATTTCTCAACCAAAAACTTTGTTAACAAAGTGGGAATTTCCATTGTTTCATCTTCAATCAAAACAATATCAAATCCTTCAAGATATCGCTCAAGTACCGTTCCGAACTGAAATCTTCACAATCTTGTTTTCTAGGATGCCAAAACTTACATCATTGTTGAAAAATCCGATTTTCAGCGTGGCTCCTTGAGAATTCTCTTGTTTTCCCATATAGAGATCAGCAAGATTATCGCCCATCAACAGAACATTTTTGTGATTAAGAAAACTTTTTATCAATGGCGATTCTTCCTAAAAGTTTAAAGAATAAAGTTATTTAAAAATTGTTACTTGTTCAATTGTTGAAACATTTTTGTTGAAAATATGAATGAGCGGTGGTTTAAATGCAGACGACTTTCCAAGATCATCATAAACCAAAGCATTTGAGATCACTCGAAGATTTTTGGGAATCTGAAATGGGTGATGAAGTGTTGTAGGCAGGACAAACCTTTGAGAGCTCTTTCTGCACAATAACCTCAATAATATCTGTGACACCTGCAGAGAAAATGAGCATTGGAATATCTTTTTCTTCGAGATATTCACTCCATGATTTTGTTCCATCTCTAAAATGATGACAAATCCATTTGAGCAAAAAGTAAAGAACCTGAGTTGAATTTTGGCCATCAATGACCATTGTCTAATCAAATTTCTTGTGATTCCAGTCGAAAAATAGATTTTATGGGCTTCAAGAGCACTAGAAGTATTTACTTATGCAACTTTATAAGACAGAACTTTATAAGAAAACAAACCATTGTCTCATGAAAGGTAGTTTATCATCATAACTCATATTTGAATCATTTTCAATTAAAATACATCTATTATATAAAGCGATTAACTGAAAAATTTCCTGCTTTGATTTAAATGAAATTTCCTACTTTGAATCTTGGCTCTTCCGGGAAAAAATTGCGAAAAACACCAAGAGTTGACCATAAATATTCCCCATTTGAAGCATATGCTTTTGATAAAGTGTAATCAAAATCAGAAAGAACCTGAATAAAGAAATTACACGAACAACTTTTAGTTATCAACCGCCAAATTATTATGACCATCATTCTTGATTATTTGTAATCTTTGAGTCAAGGAAACCGGGTCACTGAAATTGATTTGTTTGAAAAAAGTCCCCAAACGCTTACCGACATCTCACTTGTGGTAAAGATAATAAATCAGAAACGAAACGTTCCGTGCTAAGCGATGTCAAAATAGAAGCCAACTTCAACCAAGGTGCCATTTTTACAGTGAGTGTAGCAAGTATTTGTTCAGTTCAGGAATTATTTGCAATTTGCGAGGCTTGCAAAACCGAACGTCAAAGTTGGACTGACAAAATGAAATTTTCTTCCAGAGAAACTTCCCGGTTCATTTCATGGACTTTCTCGAAAGCTCTTTCTCCTTTTTTTGATATCCTACCCCGATTTTTCTTTTGATCTGATAATAAAGCATTTTCGATATCACAGTACGGAAAAAAACCCATTTTTGGGAGATCTAAAATCTCATAAAGAACACGGTACCGCGTTTTTTTATACTTTGACCATCCGAAAAACCTGCCTAACGGCGCCTAATTCTTTCTGCTTTTGATTTTAACTTAATTTTTCTATTTTAAATAACACAACTATATGATATTTTAAGACTTTCTAGAAATTTCAGTTTTTTGATCCAAAGGCCGCTGAGAAAAAAGCTCGTACAGACAGACGGACAATGCTCTTTTACATATAGTAGATAGGAGTGTTCAGAAATGTTCTGTTATGATTTTAATAATTTGGTCTTTTACGAAAAAAGCATTTTATTCATTGCAATGAGAGAAATTCGAGTATCAAACCAGGTACTTGCATTGTTTGATCATCAATCAAGACAATATCATACCCATTCAGATATTCGATCAATGTATCGTTGTTCTAAATTTACTCTTATTTTACGTACACGGACGGAAAAACAAGTTAAAAGACTGTTAGTAATTGAGAATCATTTTTTTAAACACTTACATGTGAGTTGAGGAATCCGATTTTCAGTGTGACTCCTTGTGATTTCTCTCTTTCTTTTCCCATGTACAAATCACCCAGACTATCTCCCATCAAAAGAACATTTTTTCGAGAAAGAATAGTTTTTGTCCGTGAAAACGTCTCCTGAAATAGTTTTGTTCAAAATATTGCAATCATTTTTACTTGTTCAATTGTTGATACATTTTTGTTAAAACAATGTATCAATGGTTCTGCAAAGCCAATTGCCCTTTCTGTTTTGTCGTACTTCAGCGCATTTGAAATCACTTGAATGTGGTTTGTCGACTAAACTTAAAGAGTTGAATATTGCGAAAAACAAAACCTGTCCCAATTCTCGGCCTAAAATAATTTCTACTATATCCGTAACTCCGGCAGAAAATAAAATGAGTGGAATCTCTTCTTTTAGCAAATGATTAGCTATTTCATTGACGCCATCTCTGGAATTGATTCATTGATTCATTCATCGAATTCGATCAGCCAAAACCTCAGTTCAATTTTGGACATCAATGACCATTCCTTGATTTGACTTTTTGTGATTCCTGCAGATAGTATGATTCTATGAGCGTCGGTCCAGCTGTAATTAGCATATAATATCATCAACCATCCTCAAACCGACCATTTTTCCATGAAAGAAGCTTTCTCTTCATAGCTCATACTAGGATTTGTTTCAATGATCAAACAATTTGCCCAAAGATTTGACAGCTAAAATGGTCTGAATAGGCCAAGCTTCTTGTAAAATCACCTCAGTACTGAGATCTTTGGGTAAGAAATTGTCAATAACACCGATAGTTGATAATAAGGGATTTCCATGTAAATCATAAGCTTTAGAAAATGTGTAATCAAAATCCGATAAGATCTAAAAATAAAAGATTTTAAATAAAGTTATAAACAACAAACCAGTAACTCTGTTTGTTCATCTTGTCTTATCGTGTCAAGTTTCGATGAGAGCAAGCTTGTATCTCTGAAATTTTCAATTTCTCTACTGCATGATGCTTTCAAAGTCAAAAGCAACCTGCATTTGACTTGTGGAAGTGATAAGAGCTTATTCACAAAGATATCTGTATTTAATAAAGGTAGTAAAGTAGTAAAAGAATTCAACCAAAACATTGTGGAATAAAGATGATGAATTTTCTTTTTCTTTTTGATTTGCTTCTATACGATCCAAAGATAAAATCTAGCGAATTTTTCATCAAGTTGCAGATATGGAAAAGGAAAATGTGTGTTTTGGATGTCTTGTGCTTTGAGAAATTTATTAAAACAAGAGTCTTGTTATGAGATTTGGTATATTAAACGTTGGAATCTTCAACCAAAACAAGATCAAAATTATTCAAAAATGTTCTTGCGGAGACTTCATCCTAGAAGCTTTTGCACATTAAAGAAATTAAGCTAACAACTCACCGAAGTATTCAGAAATCCAATTTTGAGAGTGATTCCAGAATGTTCTTGTCCTTGTTCAATGTTTAAATCACCCAAATTATCACCCAACAGCATAATATTCTTTCTTTCGGAGTGTGCAGTCCAAAAAGGTGAACCCTGAATAGCTTTTAAAGCCAAAGTCAAGTCATAGAAGATACTTTTTGAATGACAGTTGTGTTTTTGTTGAATACATGAATGATGGGTTCTCTGAAATGCGAAACTTTTCTCATTTGATCAAATTCCAGATAATTAGCAATAATCGATATATTTTGAGGAATCTAAACAAATTATTGAAGAGACTTTGATTCTTGTTACTTCTCCGAGTTCATTCACAAGTACAACCTCGATAACATTTCCACAGTTTGTCGAAAAAAGGCAGATTGGAATGTTTTGATTTGACAAGAATCGAACCCATTCCTTGAATCCATCTCTATATTAGGTATTTATTGTTTTACAACTATCTACATTTCCAAACCTCAATTCGATCAAAGCCTCGTTAGTGGCTTCTTTGAGAAAGTTCATTTGTAATACCAGATGATAGAATAATGTTGTGCAGTTGAGTCCAGCTAAAACTTGAATTTGTTTGCTCTTTTACTTGGTTTGAATTGATATGCATATTATTGCAGTTACTACAACTGTTACTAATATGATTAACTTCAATCGTATCATTCTTTTCACCAACCATTCAATCATATGCGGAGTCTTCTCTTCATCACACAAATTTGGATCCAATTCAATTGGAGTGTAGCGAGTGAAAACGTTTTTCAGCTGAATGCATGAAAATATCTGCCTTAGCCGATTTGCGATTTCAGCCAATTTGCTATGAAAGCATATCGACTAGCCAATTTGCCAATTAGATTTTCTCGGAGTTTATTTTAATTTTTAGAATCTACTTCCAGCTTCTTTTTTTTGTTAAACTGTGCTCGGAGTGCGAGTTGAAGAAGGGGGCCTCAAAGAAGGGAATTGTCATCAAGCCAATTGTCACACAGGAGCAGAACACGCGATGCCTAGTCGATCTCATTGATCTATAATCCGTTCCCAATGGTGATGACGAGTTTCTTATGCTATCAGGATCACTTAACCAAGTTCATCATTCTGAAACCACTCAAATCTAATCCACAAATCGGCTAGCGAAAATTGTTCAAAGCAAATCGGCAAATTGAAAATGAAATAATCAACATGAAATAATCCTAACTGACCTCTTCACTTAAACCACCTTCCATCTGATTAAGCAATATTTCAAAAACTCCTAAAGTTGGCCAACATCTCCGGCCATTCTCATCGAAAGCCTTTGTTGCCGTGTAATCAAAATCAGAAAGAATCTATAAAAAGATGGTAAACATTGTCGTTCAAGAAACAACCAATAATTCGTTTGGTCCATCGTTTTGTATTTTTGCCAGCTTCTCTTGCACTGAGGTCAAATCGCTATAAATACATTAAAACCCTTTGAAATTTATCAAACTAACCTGCATTTCACCCTCGAATTCGATAGCAATTTATATAAAAGTTCAGTTGAGTCCATTTTCAAAAGCTTTACTTGCTAGTAAGCAAATATGAATTGAAAATTGAAAATAGCTGAGGCTTTGGTTGTTTGTGAGAGCCTTTCCGCCAAAAATGTTGCTCTTTTTCCCTTTTCTCTCTTTTCTTTTCTTTTGGGTAGTAAACAACTCCTAGCCAAGCTTTTTCCCATAAAGAAATCAGAGATCACATGAGCATTTCAAAATAACACAGAATCAAAACAATTTATTTTACTATAATAAGTTCAAATCAAGCTCTCTCAATCAATTCATAATCGATTTCTATAAATTATAATCATTCTTTCATTTCAAACAGCAGCTTTCTCGTTTTTTGAAGAAGTCACCATCTAAAATAATGTTCTTTATTTGTTTTTAACATTTTTAGGTTTTCTTTAAAAACATTTGAAACAGATTATGAACATTTGCATAAACTCACCTTTGTAATCATGTCAGGGATTTTCATTGTTTGATCATTCAAAACAACAATATCAAAGCCTTGAAGGAATCGTTTATACAAATCGTCACTCTAAAATCATTCCATTTCTCTACGTTAAAACCTTGGCACTATCCCAAAACAAGGGTTCGAACTCTGTAACTCATTTTTTATTTCTCAAACCTTAACCATAAGTATATTTTGAATGAAGAACTTACAATCAATTGACGTGTTTCTACTAGACTTGCCATTCGATCGAAATTCTGTCGAATCGGATCGGATTCAATCCGATAGAAAGATTGACCAGATCGGATCGGATCGATCCGATGGATGGGGTCATTGGATCAGATCGGATCATATCATCATCCGAGGCAATCCGATCCGATGTAATTCGGATTCGATCCATCGGATGCCAAGTCTAGCACGTAATAAAGAAAGTCGTTAATAAAAAATGAATAGTAAAAAAAAACGTAGTAAAAACCGAATCTTTACTGAATTGACTTCGCAGAAGATTTCGCATTAATACAAGATTTGCATTTAAAACCAAAAAATTAATGCTAAGTGCAAAAAGTATGATCTTGAATAATCCGATCCTTTCTGTCGGATGGATCGGATCGAATTCAATCCGATAGAGGCTTTTATCGAATCCGATCGAATCGGATCATCATCCGAGGCAATCCGAACTGATGTAATTCGACATTGATCTATCGGAGTCTATTTTAAAGTCGCGTGAAAACCTCACACGAATTCACCACAACTCCTCCTTAAGTCGAACAGAAAGGAAGAAACACCAAAGAAAGTTGAGACATGTTAATTGATGGTAAATTCTTCGTTAAAAATATACTGATGGTTTAGGTTTGAGTAAATAAAAAATGAGTTTTAGAATTCGAACCCTTGTTTTGAGATAAAGCCAGAACTTTTTTGCTAAATTATAAAAGACTTACATATTTATTAAGAAACCCAATCTTCAAAGTCACTCCTTGATGATCTTCTCCCACATCCATATGAATATCACCCAAACTGTCTCCCATTAACAACAAATGTTTCCGTGTTGAATGAGCATCCCAAAATGGACCATTCTGCAATAGGGTTTGTCATTTTACAGTTCTGTCCCTTCTGTTCACCTTTTGAATGACAGTAGCATTTTTGTTGAACACATGAATGAGTGGCTCTTTGAACTTCTCGAGATGACCCTTTCCATCATATTCGATCATATTCGCAATGATATGAACATTGTCTGGAATCTGAAAGAATGATTGCAAACCTATTCTCAATCTGAAACTTCTAAACCTTTCCAAGTTTGTTGTTTAGATGCATATGAATAACATCACCCGATCCAGCTGAGAAAACAACCAGGGGAACACCCGAATGTTCGAGATGTCGAATCCATTCTTCGCCTCCTTCTCTGAATAAAAGCTTCTTATCACCATTTCTACTCATTTCAACAAACCTGAGTCTGACATTCGATTTTGCGACAAATCCCTCGAGTATCTTTTTGGTGAATGGAGCTGAACAGATGAGTTCGTGAGCCTTTGACCACCTAGATGTCTTTGTTTATTTAGACTTCAAGTCAAGCTACAAGTTGATAAGCTTCCACTCACCAGTCTTCCATGTGCGGAATTTTCTCATCGAGGCTCATGTGCGGATCAAATTCGATTGGGTGATAGTATTCCCATAATTGAAGGATCTGAAACTTGCTTTAGGGTGGTCATGTTATTGCCAGTTACAATAACTACCTGTAAACTGTCACCTAGAACGTGTTCCTCGCGATTAATGCACTTGCTAAAGCGTGCGCTTCAAAAAGGCTACCGTAGTTATGTAAATTTGTTTATATGCAAATTTAAACTTTACATTCATCATTTGCGGGTTCTTTTTCTCAGTAGTGCGAATTATTCGCATCTTTTCTAACAATTTTGCTAAATATTTTTGGATTTAGATTTAGATCCGAGAAAATCCAATATTTAATCACCAGGAACACACTCATTTGTTTATTTTGTTTTTAAAAATGTAATTATTGTAGTGAACACAAACCTCTTTACTCAACCCGGGTTGAACTTCATCAGCCAAAATATCAAAAACACCAAGTGTGGACCAACATCGATCACCATTCTCATCAAATGCTCTCGATAATGTGTAATCAAAATCAGAAAGCACCTAAAAGTGATTTCCCATCTGATTGTCCTACTTCATCACCAACCAATAATTCATTAACACCATCTGTCAAGATCTTCTCCAATTTCTTTTCTACATCTTCACGATCTCTAAAAACGATTAGGTAATTGCATAAAATAATTTATGATAGGCTTTTCAAAGTAAAATCTTAGTACTTTGCGGCTACGCATCTTAGCATAGAAAAGTAATTTTTAGGTTTTACCTGCATTTTACGTGGGATTCTGCGAACAGCTTCTCAAAAGACCCGGGCATTTTATCTGAAGCTGGGTTAATACAGGGTGATTCAAAAGTTCCAGTACAACTTTTTACTAAAATTTGACTTTAAAATGACTGAGAGAAGCTATTCAACTAAAATGAAACGAAGTATTTTATTTTTATCTTTTTTAAGTATATTTTTAACATGAAGTGAAATGAAGTTAACATGAATTGGAAGTTGACTAATTTCAGCAGCATGCCGTCGACTACTTGAAAGGGCCAACCATATAAAAAAGCTATGATAAGCTATGGGCTCCTCTGGGAACTTTCGGATCACCGTGTATGAGTAAAAAGAATAAAAATTCCGCATAGTGAACGCCAGTTTGCGGAAGTTTCTTATACAAAAGAAAACGATGCTTAATGGACGTCATAAAATGAAAAGCTTAACAATTGAAAGTGTTGGTTGTGACACATGTGCTTCCTTTCAAACATTCCTCTAAGAAAAAGAAAAGCAAAAAGCAAAAAAAGAGATCTCTTTACAAGTTGATCCCTTTAAACCTCTCATCTGAAAAAGAGCTATAAGGGATTTTTGTGAACAAGAAACCGAACACTCGAATACAAGGAAATGTCTTAGAAATAGCTTTTGAATTGTTTATTTTGTAAGTTTGAATTGTCTGCATAGATGGGTCAATTAACCTTGCCATATAACGACTAATTGTAAGCAAACAGTTGTCTTTAGCAATCACTTTTTGGGAAAATCAAGAGAATCCAAATCAAAATCTAAATACGAAAAATGGCCTGATTGAGTCGTGGAAAAGGACAAAAATGTGTAAGAAGGAAATCCACACAAAAATCGATGATTCACTCCCTTTTTGCTTGTACATTGGTCTTTTTTTCTCCCTGAACAACCATTGAATGAAAAAATGGCTCAAAATCTGACAAGAAAAATTCTTACGAAACATTTTTTACAAATCAGGCGGACTATTGAATTTATCGTAAAACGGAGGATAAATCTAACAAACGTTTTACAGTATCTTTTAAATAGACAGACGAATTCTTTTTCTCGTCGATTTAAAATAGAATTTTTGTTGAGTGTGTAGAGAATCCAGCTGAACAAGGCAACACGATGATTGGAGAAAAGAAAAGATCATTTCGAGTGCTCAACTAATAGATAAGTGACATCGATAGGAATTCTTTCAGTACTTTGACGCACGAGAGAATATTGATGCAATATAATAGGAGTCGGAAGGTATTTCTTGATGGGGTTTTCTTGAAAAAATGTAAATTATAACAGCCAGAGTTTAAATAAACATAACTGATCTTGCAAGAGTCATTTACAACGATAGAAACACACCAAAGATAATCAATTTCATTTAATTTTGTGTTCTTTCTTTTAACTTTAGAACACAATCATAGATCAATTTCTCTTTCTATCGGATCTTCCTATCGGATTGAATCCGATCCATGTGCTTTCTCTGCCTTTAAGAATCGTTTTGTCCTTTAAAATATCCGGAATCGCCATTCGTTCATCTTTTCCGATTTAACATTGAATGTTTTGGAGAAAGTTTTTGGAGAAAAAAAACGAGAATTCTCGAACTGAAAAGCCTTACAAACGAGAAATTCACACACCGGACAATTAGTTCCGATCCAAGTTCTTCACTAGCCATTCTTTGCCATAAGCTGACTAGATCCTAGCATTGAATACATTCACTAAATGCCTGCATTTATTATACTTTTGTGTTTCATTTTTTATTATGAAGTAATTGCTTTGACTCCACTCCCAATACAATCAAACGATGGTTTTTGTGTAAGCTATGTAGGTTTTAAAGCTTAATTTAGATACCTATAATAAAAAACGTTGCAAGTGTAAATGCCAGTAGTAGAACAGTAACAGAACGAGTAAAAGCTCAAACTGGAAACTATTTCAGAAAATGGGCAATTTACTGTATCTTGGACCAGCAAAAACAATGACGAAAATGATTGGAAGGGTGAGATCAACAATGCTTTTGAAATGTTTTGTATTCTTGCAGGTGCATTGTGAAATGAGCTTTATGAAGCAAAAAGGTTCAATTGATGAGCAAAAAAGCAAAAAGCTCGCTAAAGCGAAGTTTAGAAAATGGTAAATTAAAAGAAAACGAATGATTTAGCATCTGTTACAAAGAGCAACAAGATGAAATGATTGCTACAGCTTTTGCTGGGCCGTTCAATGGTTGGGGTGGACAAAAAAGATTCTTTATTTGGAGGGATCCGTTGGACCGTTTCTTATCGATATATGGACATATATGCAGGTATGCACATTTTAACACATTCGCGATAAGACGGCTTGCTAGTGGAGCGTACGTGGATTTCCCACTTTTTGAGGCTGATTGGGCTGAAGATTTCCAATCAAGGGTTTTCGAGGATGCGGAATTCAAATCCGTACTCGGTTATTGAAGAAAGCTGCTCTATTTTTGAAAAACTTTGTCGTAAATGTGTTAAGGAAATTCAAGGAACTTGAGGTAGATTCATCACCATTACTACTGTTTTTAGGCGCGAACATCTTTGTGGATCAGCCGGAAAAAATGTTCACTCGTTCGCTCGTGGAGTCTACGAAATGCTCAAATCGGGACATGCACCAGATGGATCAAAAGATTATTTACGACTCAAGCATCACGCAATTCCACAATCATGGTGCTTACCTTATCTGTATTTTGTACACGTTTGAGCTGGACTTTTGAACTTTGCTTAAAGCTTTGCTAGCTGTTTATTGTTAGTGAACTCTAAAACCTCAATGTCTCAATTGATCTTTTTACAGGTACTGCGATATTTCAAAACATCGCAAGACGGATCAAGTCATTGAATACACAAAGAATTCAGCATTAATGCAGAAAAAGCTGGAACGAGTCTTCCGCACATCGACTGTTCCTAAATGGATGTATAAACAAGTGAGTTTCATTTCAAAGACAAGTTTAGCAGATAAATAAGATATAAGCTTTTACCACTTTCAATTATTTCAAGGCTCTGAGACGGGTTGTGGAGGCACATGTGAACGATAACAAAAAACTACGTGGACAATATGTGCAATGGCGAAGAGAAATACTGACCCATCCAAATACATTAGCCTATTTCAAAGCTATTTATCATTCGGATTATACTTTATTTGGGAAAGTTCCTCCTGGTTCGCCAAGAAAAGCGGTAAGAAGAGGAACAAGAAGGAATTGGAGATTGATTCATGTATGATTATGTGACTCATTTACAAATTATTATTATGCTAATTGGTTCCTGCATTTAATGAAAAGTTTTATTGAATATATTAAAATGAGAGTTGCGTAACAAAAGTTTTTGAACTATTGGCCCAACCTAAAGACAACCATAGTACAAGATTGAACCATTAAAGACAAGACATTTTTGAGACCATTAAAGCTACACTGGAGAGTTTGATCATTTACTTTCATTTTTCATTTGCTATATTTCTATTAAACCGTCTTAAATTAATGCTTAAAGTTGAAAGCAATCTTTTCTGTTTTGCGTTGCAAGCTTTAGTGATAACTTGTTGGGGTGAAAGTGAGGAGTGATTTCAGTCTCTGCTCTCATGACGCAAAGAAATTTCAGGACGATCTATCAAATTCACGATTCATCAAATTGGGGTTTTTCCTTTCACTGGGAACAATAGGGAAATTCTCAGAGTGATTTTAAATTTTGACAATTATTAAGTTATGTCGCATATGCAACAAGACTGATACCCTCAAAAAAACTAAATGCTATAACTTTAAGCGCTTCATGGTGCTTTGCTGTTTTTCACGTGAATTCCAATTTTGGTCTTCAATTTCCCTAATCTCGAACATAGACAACCAGCCAGGCGATCCTCCGATTCCAAGATTTCCTATTCTGAACACTCAGCGACATTCCAAAAGGCGTGAGAGGGAAAAACGTCTGCAATGTGGGGCGAGGATGAAGCGGGTGAGGCGGGGTAAGGCCTACCCCAATTCGACTCTTTCTCTTCACTTTTTTTCTTTAAAGCGTTGGTCACTTGGGAAGGGGAAATAGGCAAGGGGGCAAGGGTCCATCCTTCTCTGCGAAGAACGGAAGGAGGCCGAGTCTGGAAATAGGAATGAGAGTGAGGAGAGGGAAAGGAATGTTTCTAGAAAGGTCCATTTTGACTCAAAAAAACAACGATAAATTCAATAAAGCTGATTTTCAGTTAGTGAAAAAGTTTTAATCAGTTCATTGTTGGCGATTTATATCAATTTCCAGGACTTTAACTTGAAAGAGCTGCAGCTTCAAATGTTTGTACTTCTATTAGGCTGTCCAGAAAGTCGTTTCATTCCTTTTCGTACTTGCGTTTAAAACCAACAAATACACCAATTGAACTACGGTTTGTTTCATCAGAAAGGCCAATTATTTTGCTGCAAAATAACGTTAAAACAATTGAACAGTAAACACTTTTATTTAGAGCAAACCATAGGTTAATTGATGAATTTGTTATTTTTCAACGGAAGTACAAAAAGGAACGAAAAGACTTTCTGGATAACCTAATATAATTGATTGTATTTTTTCCACAATTGTTGTGTTTGAAGCAGTTTCATGTGCAAATTTCGCAACACTTTCTAGCACATACAACACTTTTGCAAAGGATTCGTCACCTCACATTCTCCCTCCAGTCGAGGTCATATAAAGTGAGGAAACGAGTGGTAGAAGAGGGGGATTGCGTGTCTTCGTGGAAGGGTGCGTGATCAGAAGAGAAAAGAGAAGGGTCGTGTTGAGGGTAAGCCCCTCTCTCGTGTCTCGACAAACAGATCGCACGTGGGGGTCGATCGGGGCAGTGAGGGGACACCCCCTTTCTGCTCACTGAATGAGTCAGTTTTACCCCTCACCCATTTGCTGTGGTCTCCCCTTCTATCTGACTGACAGAGAGGAGTAACTGAGGAGGGCCTCGAATCGTCCATCCTCTCAAACAGACACGTCAATGCAATGCACACTCTGTCAAAAAATGAACACTTTTTCTGTATTTTATTTTAAGCTTATTTTTCTACCTAGAAAAGAACTATTCGATTTTAATGTTATGAATACTTTTGATCAAGTAATGGTGAATATGGTGGAAAGAAAAAGCGTCACTCGTAAACATCCCAAGGCTCGCGTGAAAAGGAGAAAAGAAGGGACAAAGTGCTTGTTTGTGAAAGCACATGACACACCACAATTTTTCTTTCCGTTTGTCAAAAAATAACCAAATGATTTTCAGCAAGAAAATCACCGATAACGAATGTTCTGCAGGCCATTTTTGGGGAATTCTCTTCGCTGAAGGGTTCCATGTGATAGGGGTGTTCCCATTGACAGTTCATCTTATAGCGCGTGACCACCACGAGAACAAGAAAGGATAGGAAGGCTCTCTCAGTCGTTGCAATCTCGTGACCGTTCTATTGTGAGTCCACCAAGAGAGTTCAGTTATGTGTAGTGAAGAGCGAGAAAAAAATTGGAGAAAATGAAAAGAAGGGAGTGATCGAGTGATCTGAGCAGTCAATGGAGAGAAAGGAAATAGTTGGTTGTTGACGGTCCTCATCATAAGAGGCAAAAAATGAAATGTAAAAAGGAGGACATGTGAATGGCACACCCCTGAAATTTAAAAAGAAAAAGTTGTGTATTTGAACAAAAAAGAGGTTTATTTTGATGGAACCAGTGGAATGACTGATCAACTTGAAATTCATCGGTTCCTTCTCCATTAGCAAAGTCATCCGTGCATGACAATCAAAAGATCCATGATCCATCTAGATGCTTCTAATTAGTACAAGTGAAAACTTCTAAACAGCTTTAAATTCACAAGATACTAGACTTTCCAGTTCGTTAATAGAGTTTTGGTCAGTGTGTTCTTTCATGTGGATTTCCCCGGCTTCACCGTTTATTTCAGTCGCCCGTTTGGAAAGGTGGTGAGAGAAAGCATTTTTAATTCGCCCTTTTCGCTTTTTTTTCACACAAAAACTCTTCGAATGGCCACACACAGAGTCGATCAGAAAAAAAAAGAATGAAAGGGTTATTGGGGAGAAGAGGAGAAGACGAGGGGAGGAAGAGGGAAAGGGGTCTCCCTTGGAGGGACGACTTCCCCGAGACGCTGAAGTGCCTGTGGTTCCTGGTCTCCACAGCACAGAAAAATGCCGTTTTGAGCCCCTGCAAAAACTTTTAGACACACAGAAAGTCTTTCTATAAAATGATGAAATCAGAGTAGCCCTCAAGTTACAGATAAAACCCATCACACCTTTTCCACTGATTGTGAGTTTGACGAAACAGAAGCGTCTTCGGATTCACATTTCATATGCCTTTTTTCCATTTAGAGTTTACATAGAACTCATTTTCTAAGGCGTATAAATAACTATGATGTTTTATGATCGGTTGTTTGCTAGAAAAATGCCCTTTGAAAAAAAGAGACAGAAAGAGAAGTCAATTCCAATTTAGTGTTTCTTGAGAGCGCGAGGAAGAGAAGAGGAGGCCAGAAATGTTGGATGTCCAAAGGCCGAGCCTCAATTAGCCTCCATCCCGGGGAATCCCTAGGGAAATGGAGAAAAAGGGGAAACAAGGAACTTCTGTGACCTTCCCCCTTTTAGCTGCCCCGATGGTGCCAGCTTCTCGCAAATCGAGATGTGGACGCTTTCAATTCCATTTTCTTGCTAAGCCTGAGCAAGACTTGGTAAGTAAAAAACAATCAACTGATTTCAATTCTAACATCTCAATACGTATCACCCATCAGAAAGCTCAATTTCTCCTCATTCCCTCAAGAAAAGAGAAAGGGGCAATAGGTGAGTGGAGAGGCACACGTGGACAACATGTGTGGAAAAGAGAAAAGGGAAAATGGGGGAGAGACTTCTGGGCGAGTGGAAAGGGTTGTTTTCGATGGAGGGAATTGGAAGACACACTCAGGCTCTTTTGAGGGAAGACTTTATGCTCACTCTCTACTCCAAATCGAGGAAGAGTTGAATTTATGAGGGAGAGGAGAGAAAAATAGAGGGAAATACTTGCATCCACTCCCACTTTTCTATCTTTTTCCCTTTTCTCAATCGGTGGATGGCGGTGTGTGTGTGTGGGGCGAGTCGGGGCAAAGTACGACTCCTTTTCTTCTCTCAACCCAAACGAGAGACACGTGGGCCGATTTCGAGCCTTTCATCACACGTGGTTCCCCTATATGAGCGCTGAACATTTTAAGTGGAGAAAAGGAGATTTCTTGCTGATTCATCTCTTCCAAGCCATTACCGTCAATGCTCAAAGAATCTTTTCGTGATGTTGAAATTCACTGGCTAAGAAAGTCTTCTAGAGAAACCGAACAGCGCTTGGTTATTTCACTTTTGTGCTCAAGAATATAGACAAAAACAAATGTTATAATAAATTCATTTTGAACATTTTAGTAAGCGCAATTGTATGACAAAAACTTGGATGTAAGGCACAAATAGACTTTGCAAGGGCTAGAGGTATTTATTTGATTCAGAGAGAAAAACACGTGAATCACCGATCGCCACGTGACATGCAAATTGTCCTTCCTTTCATCTGTCCTTTGTTTCTTTTTTAGATCGAGTGAATGAATGAGAAGAGCAGTTGATAGAGAGCAAAGAGGGAAAAGAGAACAAGAAAATAGCAAAGAGAAATTTTTAAATGAAAAGAGAGAGACTCCTGTAATTTCCAATACTTTTTAAACAAAAAGACAAAGTTCACTTTAAGATTTGGTGCATCAAAACTGACGCAATTGATTCTGTTTTGCTCTCGTTGTTTTGCGTTTAACAAAATTAAAGCATCAGCTTTATTCTAAACGTTTTTCTGAAAAACAGTAAACCATATAAAATATTATGGACCGGCAAACAATCAGATGTTAATTTGGCGTTCCTGAGGAGGTCATAGACCTTTCAAGAAACCAATTCAGGGACAAATTCCAACGGAATCATACAAATCACTAGGCAATAACAAAAACAAAACGAAAATTCAATTAGAGGCTGAGGATGGAGAGAATTGAACACGCATCATGACAAAAGATCCGTACGACAAAAAATAACTAGCAACCAGCGCTTAAACCAGAGTTTTATACTGAGTGTATGAAATGAGGGCCTAAAAGCTGACAAAAACTACGATCAGTCAGCAATAACAAAGAAACCACGTATTTTCAGGAGATTTAAAAAATGAGGGGGCTCACATAAATGAGAGAAAAGCTGGGAAACACAAAAGCCAAATGCTGAAACTAGATGGGAAATTGGAAATTCTAGAGCCCTGAGAGCAGAAAATTTTGGGAAAATGATTTAGAGGATGAGGTGACGAAGTGGCAAGCCGAGTTCTTGAAGAACCGATGCATGCTGAGCGAGATCGAAATGGGGATACAAAGAACGAGATGGGTAACAAATTGGAAAAGCTGACACAAGACCTTCTTTGACTGGATCAATAATAAGAGGTGATGGAGATGGGGAACTCTTTGTGATTGGAGAGTACTCAGGAAGAGATGGGGAAGCACGAGAAGAAGAAGGGACTGATGAATTGATGAAAGAAAATGGAGTGGGAGCACGAGATGGCTCTTGAGATGCAGGGATTTCCGATGGAATTGGCTCAGGGATGGTCAATGAAGACACATCAGCTCCAAGCTTGGAAAGATCATCGATCAGAGCTCGTCTTTCAGCTTCCAATGTAGCCAGTTCACGGTCAGCAAGAGCCATTTGAGAATCGAGACACTGAAATAATTTGATAAGATCAATAAATGGTCATGTTTTTTTACCTCAATGTGATCGTGAGCTCTGGTCAGCAAGGCCAGTGTGGTATTCTTGGCCGCGTCAGGTGAATCCGGAACAAGACTTTTGAGTGTTTCAAGACAATCCTTCAAGTTTGCTCTTCGATTTTTTTCCAATTCGTTATGAGCAGTCCTAAATTTTATAATTAGAGTATTTCATTGGTACTTTACTTTCGCATTTACAAAAACAAATCTGAAAATAATTTTACCTGCTTTGTTTGGTGCTCGAACTTTTTCTTGAAATGGTGTAAGGTTCGGAAGAAGTAGCCGATGAGGTGGAGGCTGGCCGCTTCACACGAATTTTTCCAGAAATCAAATCACGAAGCTCCATTTCTTCACTGATTGCCGAATCTAGAAAAGGTTTTTACATTGTTGAGCTCTAGTTTTGTTTTCAAAATATCTTTGTTTTTGCTCTATAAGACTCACCAATCAAGAAAGAGCTTGTTGCTGCCGAGGCTTGATGTTGAGCAGCGGCTGCTTCGAGAAAGCGAGCAGCGTTGAGAAGAGAGTCGATGGCGAGAGCAGATTGCATGTTGAACGTTGAAGAGTCAAGGAATAAAATCAAATGGAAAAGGTCGTGACTCGGTTTGCAAGAAAACGAAGAATTGAAGCGAGGGAGTGCGGGCGGCACCGGGCGTGCTCGACACAGACTGCGCCCTCCCTCAACCCGCCCCAAAACGAAGAGAGAAAAGAGAAGGCGGACCCGCATCCCCATCTCTGCGACTCTCTATATAGACACACTCTCTCGCCCCACCAGAGAACACACCGAGACGGGCATGTGTCCTCCACGTGCACAAATCAAGTGAAAAGACGGAAAAGAGATGGGGAAGGCCCGTCCACCGGTGGGCGAGGCCTTCCAGGCGCCCCCTATTTGAGAGATTGGGCATAAAAAGGAGAGAACAGACAGGAAACGACCATGTGCGGATGGGGAGGACAATGTGCAGAATGGGCGCACCCAAACACCCCCTCTACCCTCTCCGTCGCCGAATCTCCCCGAGGGCTGTGAGAGTGCTCGGGGAAAGCCTCCCCCTCTTCTCCTCTCCACGACGAAGATGGGGGCTCCCCTTCAGGCATAAACAATCTATGCTTCTTTTCTGGGGATCCCCCATGGGCAGTGAATAGGTGAATCGACAGGGAAGTTTTAGGCTTTGCTCTCAAGTGCTCAATGGTCCGCTAACAAGAACTCCAAGAATTAAAAACTTTACTTGAGATAGAGTCAGCAGACTCTATCACATCTCTATCTAAGTCAGCAGACTCTATCTAACTTTGTCAACTTGGTCCAGGGTTCAATCCCCACTCCGGAAATCTACTTTTTCTTGCCAATTTCTTCATTTCTTTATTGCAAACACATCACTCATCAGTAAAGAATTGTTTTCCAGAACAGCTCTTTTGAAAAAGCAAATTTTCTATTCGAATGGTCAATGGCCCCATTCAGTGATGGAATGAAGAAAGCTGATAAGTGTTTTCCTTGGAGATTCTCTGTAATTGGTGTGTGTCAACGACAACTTGTTTTTTTCTGGTCCATTCTCCTGGGGATTTCTTGCTTTTTCCCCTCCCCCACTCTCTTTTACTAAATTCCATATAATCCGAGGGAGGGGATTAACGGATGGAAAACATTTTATCTATAATCACAATTTATTTGAATGATATAGCTCTCTTGGGAGGAAAATCACGTGCTGTGTGATCTACGAGTTGCTCTTTCGTTTCATAAGGTGTTTACGGTTCTAGGTAATAGTTTGGGAAATTAGTGGACAATAAAATCTCTGGTAAAACATGGATATTAAGCCGGAGGAAAATAATGTGCAAGTATCTTTGCTTTTTTTGTGAAGACCTCACTACAAAACTTTTGGGACTAGGATCGGATGTTTTCGATAAAATAGAAACATTACGCTGATCTACATGTCTTTTCCCCTCAATTCTTTATGACGTAAACGTAAGAGGTCGATGCTTGGAGGAAGGGAGCACGCGCATACACGTGTATCCTCTTTCCTTCTCTTCTTTCTCCTCCACTTTTCCCCGCTCTCCCATTCAAGTCCATGAAGTGGTGATGAGAGCTCAGAGGGGCTTCCCCCAAAACGGGTTTGTGTCGCAAATTTTGTGAATGCTCGAGTTGGGATTCACAAAAGTGCTATTTTCAAATCAAACAAAACAATTTTTGGTTCATTTTGTTCACACATATTATTAACAAATAAACACATATTGTTAACACATTGATCTTAACCTCAAGCTAATAGGGAAAGGCAAGCACTTTCGGAACGAGTTCAAACCAATCTTATAGAATCGGTCACGCTTAGTTCGAATCTGGTTTTAGTTTTTGCCCTCGAGGTCTGTAACGCAGCATATCTGGCCTACAAGTTTTAGGTGCATTTTTCTTCTTTATTTATTTTTATCTTATTCTAATCTTCAATGTTCATTGCGTGTACTTTGACCTGAGGGATTCCCTGTTATTTTTACACTACATCAATCAACCAGAGAGTCCACGTGCATTTCTCTCTTTTCAATTCTCTCACTCAAAATCACCACGCACAATTTCAAATCGGTCAAACTACCTTTGGAAAATACAGGTTCCCGTAAAATGAGAAACTTGGAAGTAAAGAGAAAGGAAAAAACTTCTTACCATTTAAAGAAAAAGAGATTCACTTTCGGTTGTTGAGTGACACTGTCACGAGGAAAAAAATATATCCCTTTTCCCAATTAAACTTTTTGAGTTGTTTTGCTGCAAATATTGGCATGCTGCTATTCTGAGCCAAGTTTTGCAGAAAATGAAAAAACCAATAGGATTCAACCATTGCTAAAATGAAAAAAGATCCAATGGGATCCAACCATTGCTGTGAAAAAAGCATCAGCATAGAAAGATCAGTTCACGTGATTTCCTAGATTTCCATTAAATCCAAACTAATACATTCTTTCAAAGCAAATCTATGTGTGGGTGAGGATTAAATCAAAAGAAAAGTAATGAAACACCCCCGCTTTGCTTATCCCTTCAAGTGGATTATCTCTTTTAATAAATGAATGAAAATCCTAGCCAACCGAAAGTTTACAATGAACAAAATATTAGTTGAACACATGTGGATTAATTTTTGGAAGTGAATGGAAATGGAATTCTGGAGCAAAAAGGGTTTTTGCGGTTTTCTTGGGCACAAATTTGGTGAAATGGAAAAGGAGAGATTGAATGTCACCAGGGTAAAGAACTGCACACTGATTGCGAGTGTTCATCCGTTTATCTTCATTTATGTAATTACCGTCTCGATTCTCGATATAAAGATATAGCGAAATGGAGTTGTTATATCGAAAATCGTTATATAAAAGTAAAAAACCAAAGTTTTTAACCCAAATTGTTATATCAAGTTATAATAAACCGTTTATCACAAAAACAAACAAATTTAGTTCATGTTATTACAAACAAAGAGATGAAATTACTGCAACTGATGTGATTGCACCATTTACTGGGTAGACTGGATATAAGATTCTTCATTTGATGGAATCCGATGAATCGTTTCTTGTCGATATATGGACATGTATGTGCAAGTGAGAAAGCTAAAAATATGAAAAGATCGAGGCTTGAACTAACAAAAGAAAGGCATCGAGTCAAGCTAACCTTTTGACTTGGGACCAAGTCCATCTTATAGAGTCAGTCATAGGGATCTCGAATCCGTTTTTAGTTTTTCAAAATGCTTCGCAAACGCGAGGTATTTGGCATGGAAAATTACCTTGAATTTCGAGCTCCTTATAACGCCGTCACATGCTTCAACTCTATTATTCATTGTAAATACGTAGGAAAACAGTTTTTGCAAAAAAGCAAAAAAGTTTGGCGAGAGTGGGACTCAAACTTGAGGACAAAGAATATAATAGGTTTGGTAGTCTAGAAGACTATCCACTAGACCACCGAAGCATTCGCTGATCTGTGACAGCTTCTTAAGGAGCTCGAAATTCAAGGTAATTTTCCATGCCAAATACCTCGCGTTTGCGAAGCATTTTGCAAAAACTAAAAACGGAATCGAGATCCCTATGGCTGACTCCATAAGATGGACTTAGTCTCAAGTCAAAAGGTTAGCTTAACTCGATGCCTTTCTTTTGTAAGCAGATCTAACTATAAGACTAGCTATGTATTTAAATATAAATACAAAATTTACAGCTTAACACATCACTAAAGCAGATTTACAAAAACTCGTAATTTTTGTTGTTTGTCTGTCACAAACTATCATGCTTACTATAGATTTACGGGGTTTCGAGATGAAATCACCTAAAAGAAATGGCCTGAAGCGGCTCTTATCTTTACGATCATTCGAAAAGAAAATCCCAGTTTTTCTGTTCTGAAATTAGTAGTTCATTGTCTGTTCAAAGGAAATACAAAAAAAATCAGCGTCGATCTCAATATTTTCCAATGAACATCTTTATTTGTTTATTTGCTTTGTTTTCGTTTACATTTTCTCAGCCAAATTCATATCTACGGGTAAGTTCCCTCTTTAAATCCAATCAGACCGGAAACGCAGGAAGTCGAAGTTGATGGATTTACAACAATCTTTTCTCATGGATATCCACAATTATTACAAACGACAACAAGAACCGTGAAAGTGAAGTTGGAAAAGAGATTGTATTAGAAAAAAATCAAACTTTTAGAGGAAATAACTCTCTGGAAACTGATGTCACCGAATATGTCAATCCCTTTCGGTAAATAACTGCATGAAGTAACAAGTATTCAATTTTTAGACTGGATTGGAAACTCACCTCAAAGGCACAAACGGGTCTCCTTTTTTTCTTTGATCGATTAGGCCTCGATGCTGCGGATCAGTTTTGGATTTGCAGTGAATCACAATACTTGTTGTGCCTTCGAGATCCTTCATCTTGCCTATGTGTTGATGTTAGTTTAAGTTCTCATAAAAAACTAAAAATTGTCAGGTGACTAGGGAAGTAGATTCAGTCTATTGGAATGCGACTCAAGGTCCAGCCTTTGTTCTTTTGGTATATGGAGTTTCGAAACAGTTTGATAGCGGAATCAAAGCAAGAGGTGGCTTCAGAGGAAAAGTTATCGAAGTTGGTAAGTAACCACTTATAATTAGGTTATTTGTTTTGATTTCAGCTGATAAATATCATGATTGTGGCACAACGAAGGATATAAGCAGTATGAGAACACCATATTATATGATTTCCTCTGGTTTCTCTATACAATTCCACAGATAAACTAATCATATTTATTTGAGGATATCCCTTTTCGGCGGGAAATCAATCGAAATGTGATCTTTTGGTAACGGCAACATCGGGAATTCGAGTACGAGTCTACTTTCTGATACCGGTTGATGGATACCTTATGGTAGCCGGGACAAATCCAAATGGAACTTTTACAAACACCACCTTTACCAAGTTAGAAATCAACCATCCTACTTATTATAAGGTTTATGTAACCCCTGGCTCTGCCGGGGTTTAACTGCTGGTCCTGTATAGTGAGTGATTTTCAGTGAAGTACTTTTTGGTGGTATTCCTACTCTCTATTTCCGTCAAAATGTCACATTGAGTACTTTATTGATGGGTGTTACGGATGACTTAACGTCTTACTACATTGTAGCTATTGATTCATATGACAGTAAGTTTCCAGCTGCAATAGTTCTGTGATATTTACTAAGAACTTATTGAATTTGTAGTTGCGGCTACTATGGCTTGTGATCAATATGATGATCAATCGATCGATCAAGAATTGACTATTTGGACATCTGGTCATTCGTATCTTGAAGATACAATCAGAGTACACAATAAAACTGTAATAATCATTCAAAAGGTATTTTTCAGCCTTACTTTAACAACGCTGAGTGTAATTACAAAATAACAATCACTCAAGCATATCAAATGTTTCTTGAAATAATCGGGATGAACCTTGAAGAAAATGCCGATTTCTTTTATGCTCCGGACTTTAATCAAGAGTTTGTGGTCAGTTTTAAGAAATCGAGTCAACATAAACTGTTTCCATAAAGTTATTATCTTTTTCTAGAATGGCATTGCTCTGACTGGATTGAATTCATATAGTCTGCATGCTGGAGTAATTGGATTGAAAGAAGCGAATATAAAATGGATAACAGATGGATTGGGAGTTGAATCGGGAGGGATTGTCAATGTACTTCTTGCTGGTTATTGAGCTAAATGTATCATTATTAATATTATTAGATTGCACTTGCACCGGAGGAGTGTTTGATTTAACAACTGATGCCTCATCCAAATCCTTCGCAAACCCAGTCAAAAAACATGATGATTTTACCTACAGCACCTATTGCCGGTAAGCTATATTTAAAAGTTAATAACTTCTTGGGTTAATCACTATTTTGTTAATGATAAACAAGTAAGTTTCTAGAGGAATGGAGTGTATTTGGACATTTCTTGTCGATCCCAAACATCTCACAACTCTTAACGTTACTGATGTTGATCTCGGATATTTTGATGTTTTTCAGGTCGAGACAGAGAAAGGCCCTTGGGGGAAAATTGATCGGTTAGTAAGTTTCATGCAAAATAAGACAATCTTTCAGATGGGGATCCTATGGATTCACTAATTTTTCAAATGTTACACTAGTCCTATCGAGTAGTCTTCTCTTATCTGATGAGTTTAAACAAGAAGATCTAAAGCGACGAGGAGTCAACTTTAACGTAAAATCAGGTCAGAAATATCAGAATCTAAAAAGTAGCTTGCAGAGTTTAGAGGTAGTCATTCCAAAAACAATTGATCTCTGTAATTTATCAATTACAAAAATCGATGAAAATGCTTCCCCGATGCTTGAACAGGAATTCATTATTACTTCGTGCAAAACGTGAGCAGAATGCTTTATCAGTTCGTGACTTTTTCCGAAACAAATACTTTAGTGGCGCACTAAAGCAAGAGTAAAATACCGTCAACCGCCTTAAGTTGGAATTAATTTGGCTGATACTCTGCTACGAAAAGCTTTCTGGGTTAATTTTAGTAATTAAATCAACTTTAGCTTTGAATTCGCTCAGATATTTGGTGAAAAGTGTAGTTGCTGGAACTGAAAATGTTTCGTAAAATATAAAACCTTTTGTCTTTTTTACTTTCATTTATATATCAGGTTTTTCAGGAGACTACACCAACCATAAAAAGTTCTCTTCTGTTTCAGAAAAAGTTTCTCAAATTGAAAATACTTTTTTCCTTTTGAAGATGAAGAAGAAAATACTTTTCCTACATCCAGTAAACCAAAAGAACATGAGTAAACGTGGTTCTGGTAATTTTAGGTCACCAGATTTACTGAAGGCATGACTTTTCAATTCAAAAACTAATTGAAAAAGCCGCTTGAGTAAGATTTACCTGTAAGATGGATTGTACTAACAATAAGCTTTCTTCTATAGTGTTTTTCTGAATTTGATAGTTGCAAGTGTGAATTTCTTTAACAGAGGAGCTCTTAAAAATGTTTTAATCAACGTTGAAAGCTTGCTCGTATATTTAAACGTAAAAGTATACCTAGCTGAGACTCTAGCTATTAGTTATCTTCGATAGACCCTCTTGTTGCCTTTTATGGTGTTCCTCTTACGAAAAGTTATAGAAACTTACCTTTCGGAACAGCGTAACAACCAAATTAATTTCAACTTAACTTATCATAAAAAATAAAACATATTCTTAAAGTTGAAAAGCGAAAAAAATACAAAAACGGCAATCAATTTGCATTTATGGCAGAGATTTCCTACTTAGAGTACAGGATTTTATCCAGGCTTTAGTGCGCTACCTAAATTTTTGTTTTGGAAAAAGTCACAACATAGCTTTATCGTCTAAAAATCTTCTTTAGGCCTCTTGCTATTTATGCAAAAAGTTATGATGAAAGTACGTTGCAGATTTTTGATGGAGATCTTGACAATGGATTGCCTATGAAAATAGAGTAAAGTTTTTGAAGAGGAAAAGGGTTGATTTGTTTTTTAGAACCACGATGATCATCACACAAAACAAACTCTCGATTCGCATCACAAAAGGAGATCCGTTTGCTACTCGAACTCTTCTTTATGTTAGTGATTCATTTGTGGACCAAAGTACTTTTGAAACACACTAACATTCACCTGAAATTTTAAATAGATCACTGGTTTTGTGGTGGATTTTCACAAGGGTCACTAAATGTGACTTCTCCTGGTTGTTTACTGGTTTACGAAGAAGATGAAATTGATGCAATCACAGTAAGATGAAGCGAAAAAGAATATTTTCACCATACAATAGGTGGCCCGTCAATCTCTGCCAATTTATAGAGGAATCTCAATTCAACCAGATGATCTCATTCCAAGGTATCATTTCATTTCAAGAAAATATCATTGCCTTTTTTAGCACACCTGATTTTCCTCTTCGTTTAATGACTTTAAATGCAAAAGCTTCATTCACCTTTAAAATTCCCGAGAATTTTGCCTATGGCGGTTCATTCTCTTCAATGAGTGGATTTGGTAAACAAGTTTGCAATGGCTTTAAGTGAATTGTCTCTAGAATTTATTTCAATCACTGAACAACCTTCTCTTGTTGTTTCACCGGACTACTTCGATCCAACACAAAAAGCTTTTGATTGGCGTTTTGAAGTGTTCTGTGTAAGAGTTGAACGTAGTTAAAACTGGATCAAAGAATTTAGGATTTTAACTCTTTTAATGGAAAGTTTACTTTGATGAAACCATTAGGACAAGGAGCGAGTTTGTGCCGGTCAGATCAAGTTTGGTGAGTCGAAAAGAACAACACACCCTTCAAGTAAATGGAATCTAGTTGGGGTCCAAACGATGGAATGGCTACAGGCAACTTTGAATGTGATTCAGCTTTGAGTTACAATGCTTCAATGGATGGGACAGCTCTCATTTTGCAGTAATCACATATTTAATCTGTAAATGATTCAAGTTTCTAATCAGAATGCTGACGGTACCAGTCAGATCGACAACAAGCCAGACGATTGGGAGTGGAATTTGAATAAAAATCTTTTGATAATTTATTTGGTCAAATATGCATTTTAAAGCCTATGCTTTACATAAATGTCTTAAAAGCTAAACAGCTTAAAATTGTGCATATTGTATAGTGAGAGCACTGAGTAGCAATGCTAAAGGATTTTTTCGATTTCTTCTTTCGGCTGTTAACACAGAGAGTTGTCATACTATTAGAAAAAATACGGTAAGCTAAAAAATGAGAACTAGAGGCACGGCCAGTGGTGGAAATGACCAGCTGTGGCTGACCTCTACCACTCCCCATTCTTTTCGAGGAACGTCTCTCACTCACTCTTTTCCCTTCTTTTTCTCAACATCCAATAGTTTACAACGGATCTTGCTTTCCATTCCTTTCTCCGCCACTCAATTTTTCTTTACGCTTACTTATTTAAATGTCAACTTCATGTCTAATTGCACTTATCGCGAATTATAGCGAGAAGCAAACCACTTTTTTTAAAGTTAACCTAAAACCAATCTACTTTTGAAGCAAATGTTGCAATTTTTTCCTTTCTGTTTTAATGACTTAAATAGTGCCTTGTCGACTTGTTATCTGATCAAAATTCTAGATTAGATTGGATTAGATTGAATTCAATCCGATAAAGGCTTTTATCGGATCATCATCCGAGACAATCTGATCCGATGTAATCCGGACTCAATCCATCGGATAGCAAGTCTATTGCCTTGCCTTGTTACAGAGTTGTTGTTGTTGTTGTTTTGAAATTTAATCAAAGCAGTTTTTCAAAGAACCGAGATGGATGATCAAGAAGATCTCGAGGGAAAGTTACTGGATGAACCATCAACATCATCAGAATTGAGTGACACGGAAGATCCGTTGATGAAAGATGAAGGAATGCAGACAAAAACTCCTTCAAGACCATCAACACCAATCGACCAGATTAGGGGGATTCCTCGAATCAAACCCATTCACAACCAAATTCCTCTACCCATATCAATGCAGGGTACGAAACGATTACAATTATATTCATCAAAAGAAACATTTAGAAACGTCCAAAGTTGACAAGCGTTTTTATCTTTTGAGTATTCCAATCACTCTATTCTTTGCGATATCTTTTCAATACGGGTATACGAACTATTATTTGATGCCTAAAATGGAGAGAACTCTGATACAACAAACAAATACAATCGACTTGCAAAAAGTAAGCAGTGCATATCGTAAAAAAAAGCAAACGTTTTAAATTTTAGGCACTGTGGCGTCCTCTATCCAAATCAGATCTCTTCTCATTGCAGAAACCTCAACCAAATTCTCCAAAATTCGGCTTTGGCTGGGTAGAAAAATCAACAAAAACGGTTTCAAAAATGAAAATTTTGTTGTAAAGAGTGGATTTTAGATCTTTTCAAACGTTGAAGATATCGAATCGTTTTCTTGGGAGATTTCCGATGGTTTAACCTTTGGTAATCAAAATTTCCGAAATGGAACTGCCACTGGTTCATTTCGATGGCTGAATTCGAAAAATGTAAGTAAAAAAGCCTCAGGAAACAGTTTTATCCACACAATAAATCGGTTGGACTAACGAGAAACATCATGGGCGAAGTCGAACTCGGACCTGGTGACTCGCAAGCGAGAGACCTATCCACTAGGCCATGCATGCACAAGAGGAGTAGGATGATATTTCAGACATGGACTACGCGGTTCGCTTTGAAAACCGATGAATACGAGGAAAAAAAACAATTTGGAGTCTTTTTCTACTTTCAGGTGTTTAAGAATAAAAAAAGAAAGGTATTTGAAAATATTTTAGGGAAATGGAGACGAAAAAATCGTTTCTATTAACAAGACTTTGCTGAAAGGAAACTCACAACAAATGGGCAATTTTTCGCTCTCTCTCGATCTATGGGGCGATGAGGCATTTTTAATCTTTTCTTTTAAAAGAAACTTTAAATTTAGATTAATTTTTCAACTTTTCATTTAAATGAGCTCAATCTTACTACGATCAAAAATGTACTTTTGGAAAACTCTACAATTGAAACGTCGAAAAATTCAAAGGTAACTAAATAAGATTATGAAGGCTTTCCTATGTAACATCTAGATTATATGATGTGGATAAAAGCTAAATTTGAATTTACAGATTACTGTTTTCTACACGGATATTCCTGCACAAATTGACTGGGAATTCTCTTTTCAAACTGAAAAAGAAAAGCCGTACATTGGAGAGCAATTCTTTTTGGAGATGAATACACGCATATCGGAATTCAACAAGAAATTTGAAGAAAGATTTGCACTGAAAGAAAAGGCATTAAACAGATTTTGATTGTGATATGGTAAATTTCTAGAATTTACCCGAATTTTACGCGAAACTGGGTGTTTCATCGCTATCGAATTTGCTGATGGGAAGAATTTATCTTGAAGATTCACCAATTATTCATGGCAAGTACAATAAAGAAGTGAGATACAAAAAAGACGAATATAATCACGTTTCTAAATTTTAGTTTACTTATGGTACTCTGAACACTATTCTTCCGTGGGCATCAAAGGATTTGAAAGAGACAACTTTGGAGGATCTCATTCCAACAATTCTTGTGCTCAAGCATTTTGATTCAAGCTTGGCTCTAAAGGCAAACTCTCAATAAAGGAAAATGTAGAAACTAAGAATTTCAGTATCTCGAATCGTGGCTGAATATTGCAAATGAACACCTCCAAATTCTGCCCAAAATCACTGACAAGCCTATAGAATTGAATGACAACATTTACCCACAAATATTTTTTGCTTTAGATCAACTGTTCGACTCCCAGGTATAAAACTTTGAAATTTTTTGAAACTTCAATCCCTTTTAGTTTTTGGAAAAGTACTCGGATCAACTTTTAAATCTCTATCCTCGACTAGAAAAGTATGCAAATACAATCCATGAGGAGATGAAGACTGATCAAAATGGACTTTTTTCTTGGCCACAAAACGTGAACTTCTCAATTTTTGGTGCGCATGCTAGAAAAGAGGTAAATGAAATGGAAATTATTTTATCATCTGGCCGATTTAGGGAGCACATATTGACGCACAAGTTTGGCTATATTACACAGGAAAAACAATGCAGAAATTATCAACTCTCTTTGGTTCAAATCAAGAAAAATATCACTGGAAGAGCATGCTTGACGAAGTTTCTAAGCAGTGGCATCGTTTCAAACATGGAGGACGGTTCTGTGATGTTGAGGTAGCTTTCCAGTCCTGTAAAATATATTCATTTTTATAGTTTGTCAAGCCAAACACGGATTTAAAGACGGCATCTACCGAGAAGTTTTATAATTGCAAGGTTGAGTTTACACTACTGAAGTTGAGTATTGCTTTTTAGACCGGAAAAGCCGTTCTACCAATATTACTGGGGTTGAATGAGACGAGTCACGAAGAATTTGACAAAATTCTCTTGGAGCTACTTGATGCGGTTTGTTTCTACCAATACAAGAATTAGCTTTCATTTCAGAAATGGTTAACTAGTGTTGGAATCAGAGAAAAAGAGTCGATAGGCCAAGTAAATATCCTCTTCAATTATTGGGTTCTTCAATCGGCTTTCAATCACATTCATGAAAGTGGACCTCACCAGGTCAATTTCAATTTAAGACAAACTAGACTTATAAGGGCATGGTCTCAGCTCAAAATTTAGAAGTTCTTGGTTAAGGGAGGATTCGAACCCAAGTCAAAAAGACTCCGTAGACTAGCACACTACTCAACTTTGAACTGAGATCATTCCCTTCTTAACATGTAAGCAGTTTTTATCAAAGGCGTAGGAACAACTAAAACTTTCGTTACTTACACCTCGTCAATCCCCAAATTTTCAGAGTGATGCTCATCAATTATATGGAAATCTGCGATCCACCATCATTTCAGCTCTTGCCAATCTGTTTACGGTAAACGAAGCATAAATGAACCCAAACCAACAAGAATTGTTCAGTCAAACGGCCTTCTTTTTGACTCATTTGATCCATTAACTTCAATGGGTGTTCCTCCAAGAAATCCCACTTCCACTTCAATTCTGCTTTTGATTTTGGCCGAAAAGTATTAAAACATATTGAGCGTCAACAAATCACCAACAATTTATTTAAAGCCTATTGAAGTGAGAAATAAATTTTGAAAGAACGAAATGCACCAAAATGAATTTGTTCACAAACGCTTGGCTCCTACAAAAAAACAAAACAAATGGCAGGAAATTCAAGACAGTGCGGTCTTTTGAAAAAGTTCGTTCTCGTTGACTTGATTTTGTCTGATGAATCGTCGTTTAATCTGAAAAAAATATGTTTAATTTATACCTTAAAATGCTTTTGTTACCTTGTCATAAAGTGCAAACTTCCAGCCAACGAGAACAATGATAAAGATGAGGAAAACAGATAGAGCCGATGAAAGTGAAACCCACACTAGAGAACTGTCAAGGCTTACGTGGAGGACTTCAACTACCTGAAAGAAAAATAAATGAACAGTTTTGACCGCCATGTGAACAATTATTCGTGTGAGTAAATGCATTTTTTAAAATTTAAACAGTATTAACCGGATAATGCATATCCTGAGAGAGTCTAGCCACTCCCAATGAATTCATCGCTTCTGCAATTGCCGAATGATTTGTGTTGAGACCGGATGGTTCTTCAAAGACAATGAAATGAACAGAAAGAGCTTCTCCTTCTCTTCCCATATCTCGCAACTAAAATTCGCCTTTTTTGTATTTACGAATAAATGGCAAACATCAACATCGAGTTCTTGCTCATCAGCGCTTCTCTTCTTCTTTTCACTGCCTGAAACACTTTCTCTTACTGCGTTCACGAGATCATTTTGTATAGAGGATCGAAATTCGGGATCAGAGATATTCACAGAATCCGGAACAAAAAGTCGCATCACCAAAGCATCATTTATTGATCTGAAACACACTAAAAAGAATATAAGCTTGTGTTTACCTGGTGAATCGCCTTTTTCGCTCAACAATCCCTTCAGGTTTGGGAAATGGAGCTTGTCCAGGAGCAACAGTAAACATTGGTGTCTCAGACGTGTAGAGATCGATTGCATTTATTGTTGCAGAGAATTCAAAGAGACCCGGACTGGCTAAAAGGATTCAAATATCATTTATCTTTGTTTAAACAATAGTTTTGAAAGTTTGGTATTAGAAACAATGAACAAAAAGACTATGATCGAAGTGAATGCTCAAAACAGCAATGAACTAAAAACACTGACACTGAGATTGTTCTTCATTTTGGTATCCATTTTGTGAGAACTGAGCAAACTGTCCAATGACAAAACCATCGGTTGTCGCTGAAGTATTAAAGTTTGAAAAGTTAAAGATAGTTTAGAAGCACTTTGTGCAAAAACATCTGGAATAGATCGAGGTTCATTTCTCGTACTCACATCTGATTGCTTTTTACCTAAATCGAGAAGTTTGTTCTGCGTAACAGAGGCACGGCAAACCTCCCGCACACCAAGCCATGCTTTTAAACAGAAAATCAAAAATCGAACTAGCAAATCGAATATGTACAGAGAACAGAATAAGTGACTAGCAATGAATAGTGATATGTTAGCAAGAGTTCTTTTCTAATTTCGTTATTTCCATCATGGATGGTTTGTTTTCTCCTTTTTTCCTTTTGCTTTGCCTAGCGCACGAGTCGTTTTATGCTTTCTACTTGATATTGTTGATGTTGAAATCCTCAGCAAAGGTGCCGGCAAAGGAAAATCACTCAGATCATTAGGAATTGTTTGTTTAGGATAAAATGGTGGAGGTAAAGGGAATTTTTGTTCACCGATAAATCTAGGCTCGAGCCAATTTGTTTCGAGTGTTTCCATCATCACGCGAGTAGTTCTGGTTGATGCTGTGCTTATTTTCGTTGTTTTGAACGTCTGGTTGTCTTGGATTTGCCGCTTATTTCCAAGGTATGTGGAGTTGGAAATAAATCTCTAGGGAAGCGTCTCAGCTTTTGGGAATTCAGCTTCCATTGTTGATTGGTTCATTTGGCTAGGAGTTGGAAAATTTTCAAGGATTCCATCACCGAGATTCTCTGGAATGGGAAAATCCGTTGGCGCGGTTGGAGCAGAATAGGAGCGAACATCAATAGTGGCCGGTGTTGGGAAATCAGTTGCAATGGTCGCATCAAGCTCACTTTTGTTAGTAATCAAGGCTTTAGGTGTGGGGAATGTGTCAGTGATAAGTTCATTCTCTTTCCATTCACTCGATCCACTCGATGAGGTGACGGGGGGAAGTGGGGTGCTGTCTCTAACCACAGTCACACTCACATCACCATCACCAAGAGGACCAAGAGAAGAGGGAAAAGGAAAAGACTCGGACACGGCAATCCATTCAATGTCAGTGGTGCTGATCGGGGAGAACGAAGAAGTGCTCAATGTTGATGAACTCAAGTTGTGAGGGGAGAATGAACCTTCATTCCTTGGGGTTTCCGACACCACAGTTGTCTCTTCGCCTGGTCCTACCATTGGTATGCCTAAAATTTTAAGTGGTAAAGACAAGAATTATTTACCAGGTTGTGTTGTTAGATGAGTGTTATGCTCTTCTCCATTTGGGTCTAAAAAGATAATTCAAAATGTCTACGATCAAGATTCAACCTGTTTTTGGAGTCAAGTCGGTCCACATTACACTGGGCGATTCGTTTTCACCGATTTCAGTAGCTGTGGTTTGTTTGGAAGTAGTAATTGAATCAAACGGATCATTTAAAGGAGAGGGTTGGGTTGAGAGTGATGAGGATGTGGTGTCTTGTTCAGTGGTTGTTTCTTCAACTTCTGTTACTCCTTGAACGGATTGCTCAGTGGCTTTTGTTATAAATTCTCCATTTGCAGGGATTACTGTAGTTAGAGCTTGGGGTTCTTCAGCTTGTTTTGTCCCAGTATCTGACTCTTCATTGTTTGCCCCGGTATTGCTGCTCTCATTTTGAACGGGGCCAAGACTATCATAATTGTCTTTTGGCATAACAAATGGGGGCACAATTGATGGTAGCACTGCCCTCTAAACATTTTAACTTTTCGAATTTAATGGACTAATTTACCTCTTCAACAGCCAATACTTTAACAGTGATATTTCCCGTGTCCAATATCATACGTGGAATTCCACCAGCCACCGTCAGATTATGCACAGCAGCTGTGAGCCCAACCTATAAACATTTACCTAGTTTTTTTTCACTTTCAAAAACCTTTGTAAGATTGCCCATCATGTCAATGTGACTTCGATTGCTGTTTGCTCTAATCACATTGCCTTCGAGATTCAATTGGAGATGCATCGAGGTGACATTCACTCTTTCAGCAATGGTAGAATCACTTCCCACACTCATCACTCCTTTACCTCGATCAACTTCCAATCTAACAATCTTTTCTCATTAGCTCTTTTGTTATCATTTTACTTTGAATATTGTCCAACTGAAATTCCAACATCAGTGCTATTTGGTGAGAGAGTGGCGACCGTTCTATCATCTTTACAATTAACAAGTAGTTGGCTAAAAATGAAGAATAAAGAATTGATCTCTCAAATTTACTTTTCAGTCATTGACACTTCAAAAGGAGAATTTGTTGTGTCTAGAGATATATTTCTTTTGTTAGTGAAAATCATCATATGTTTGTAGCTTCGATCAATTTGAATCACCGATGGTCCATATTCAATTTGGACCTAAATTTCGTTCAAGGAAAAGATGATAAAAGATTCTAAACCTCTGCCGAGTTCAAGATGATTTTCACTTCAAAAACATTTGATTCAGCTAAAATATAAGTATTCTTTATAAGCTTTCGCACAAACCTATGATCAATAGCTTTCTCATATTATCATTTTTATCAACAGCTGAAAGTACATTGATTTTCTTTTCCACATTTTCCTTTCGAGTCTTTCCATTTATCAAAGCCAAAGCACCTTAATTAGGATCTTTCATTTGTAACAGTTTTGATAAACACACCATCCAAAGCTTGAACTCCCATATTCGAATCATTGACTCGAAGCGATACCGATCCTTCCAATTTCTCATTGAAACTTGTTTGTCCATCTTGTGTTCGATTTGTTACCATTGAGAACTAGAAATGAAAATAATTATGATTAGTACTCGATTTTATTTGATAAACCTGTGTTTTATTGGCTTGTTTATGGATGATGGCTGATTGGATGTGGAAAATATCCTCAACATTAAGAGCCGTGTAATTCACATAAGTGTCAAAATTGTCAAAGAGCAATTCTGAGGAATTCGACCATATCGAAGCGTTTAAAAATCTGAAAAAAAAATTGTTTTGGCTAATTCTAAAGCTTTTACGTTTCTTTGAGATCGATTCGCGATTCTGCGGAAACAACTCGGACAGCGCTTGTCACAGAAACATTTGAGTTCAGTGAGTGAACCTGAATTTTGTTATGCTCACGATTAAACAGGCTAGTCTGTTAGTATTTATATTGAAGTTATGGTCTAACTCTAACCTGAACATGTGTCGATGGAATCGCTTGTCTTTTCCATCGAATCTGTCTTGCATCACTTGTGTGAAAACACCAGATAACAATCAGAAAATAAATTATTTTTGTTTGAGATTCGAGATCCATTCTGCCAAGCTCAACCAAATTGAAATATTAGCATTGCTGATACCAGCTAAATATTATCGATTGTAATAGTAGTTTATTCAAAAAGTATTAGATGAATAAGTCTTTTCGTTCCTTTTCGTACTTCCGTTTGGAACCAACAAATGCACCAATTGAACCACGGTTTGTTTTATAGGAAAGGTCAATTATTTTTCTACAAAATAACATTAAAACGGATTTAAAATGTCTGATATCTGCATTTTTTTGGGAGCGTGAAGTCGAGTAGTCAAAAAGAGCCAGGCTTAATGATGCGATGGCACTTTAGCTAAGGAAACCTATCTTGGTGTCAATAAATAAAAGATAGACCACAAGAAGTTAGGTATCTAACCAAATTTTTAGAGTAATTGATTCAGCCAATTTCTTCGTAGAGGTTTTTATATGCCTTTATGAAAAACAAGTTTTTTCGCTCCCGAATTTGCATGAAAGGGAACCCAAATTGACTTAAAAAGATGGAAACTTGAACAATAAACACTTTATATTTACAGCAAACCATAGGTTTGGTGAATTTGGTGAATGTTAATTAATGTTAATTGGTGAATTTGTTATTTTTCAACGGAAATACGAAAACGAACGACAAGACTAATTCACCAATTTAAGAATACATATTGCAATGCAAAAAATAATGCAAAACATAATCCAAAAATGAGTTAGTTACGACTAAAGAAAGAATTCGTGAATGCAAAAGGGCCATAGAGTAATGGCCAAAAATCTCTATGGAAACTCGTAAAGGATTGGGGGACTGGTCAGTCCCTTCTTTTGATCCTAAAGATCTAACAAATTTGCTTTGAGAGTCGAGAAATGAACGTGAAACACGCTAGGTAGGTTTAAGTTAGATAAACATTTTTAAATAAACAAATTAGATAGTTTGAATCTGATAACCCGTTGGAGCTGATAACCGATAGGACTATCGGTCGAACTCTCTTTGTAGCAAACTAGCTGAAAATGTTTTGAAAAAACACAGGAAATTAGAAATTTCAATTTTTTTAGCGTTGTATAGTTGAAAATCTTTTTTAGGAGCTGAGAAAAAGTTGAGTCGATTTTGTAGCGACTGTAGTCACCTTCCTTTCTCTTTCTTTTCTAGGGATGTTTTTCTTTTCGGAGTGACCAGTCGGCAATCCCTCGAGCCACAATTAGACTGGCCATTTTTCCCAAAGAGAGATCTGACTTTTCCAAGCTCTAATGAGGGGTACACCTGTAGAGAAAAGGAAAAAGATTTCTCACGGTTACCATTATTAGTCTTCTCTTTTGGTTGATGCTTTTAGTAGGGAGAAAATCCAAATAAAACAGTACGAAATGGAGTCTATCCAAACAAAAAGTTAAGTTTTCTCAACAAGATCTCAACTTTAGTCACAAAAGTTTTGCAAGGTTGGATAGAGTTTGGAACCAAAAGAGATGTGAACACCAAACATATGAACGAATGAATGGATTGGTTATGAAATCAAACCTAGTGTGAGTACAATCAAATATATCAATAAAAGCGTTCAAGTACCGCATTTGGATCAAGAAGCGAAAAGGGGAAAAAGAAAAAGAAGGGATGTCGAAATGGAAATCCAGTTATACCCGCGTATTGTTCATGTTTGTCTTTCTACTTGTCAGTAAATGTGTGAATGTTACCTAACGGTGTCCGGTAGTTTTCTCTCTTTCACTTTACATCAAGCGTTACCCAAAAGGGAAATCGTCTGTGTCGATGGGATATGATTGGATTCCATTCACCCAATCATACTCAAACATTCTCTTTACTCTTTCCGGTCAATCGTAACAATACCATCGTCGAGAATAAGTTCAATCCTGAACTGGCTTGCTCAGAACCTTCATTGAACATACATTTCATTTCGTCTTTTGTATTTAACCAATTGTAAAAGTAAATCTTTATCAAAAACAAATACACGCTTTAGTAGACTGATTTCAAAAAGTATTTTGAAGGGAAAATAAAAAAACGAATAATGATCAAAGAGCACCTTCCAAAAAGGCTGACAACGAGAGGTGAGTTTAAAAATAAAAATTAATTGTAGACCCGGAAAAAGTACATCTGAAATAAGAGGAGATGTTTAATAAATAGGCTGTATTTGGAAAGATCTCTAGAAAGAATTAAGAACAGACAAACAGCGGGCAGCTTTTTGAGTAGTTCGAGAAAACGGAGAGTTAATCTTTCTGAATACAAAAGATATCATTATCACAGCCTAATCTTGGAGCGAAAAATTGTTTAGCAAAGTAATTTTCAATAGTAGACAAAATAGTGAGATCATACGAGTTGATTTGAAGTCATATTAATGCTGATAGTGAGATTAAAATTCGAGATAAGTCATTGAGGTGAAATTGATTTTAAAATCTTTTGGCAAAACTTGCAATAAAGCAGAAAAGAGAATTCAAACAAGATCTCCATCAAGCTGGGAATAATGCATGGGTGCAGTTCTGACTCCAGACTGTTGAATGAAGGTTGAAAGGGGAGGATGTTGAGGTGAAGTGTTATTATTATTCGATGGATTTATTGATTGTCCTTGATTTCTTCGTGAAAGGGATCCCATGTGATAATTTGCAGGCTGAGGCGGTTCCTGAAAGTTTTGCATTCATTAGATCTTTGATAACAAAGGCAAAGCTTGGGGATTATTTCAAGGCAAGAATTTGCTTTTCTTAAAGCTACACTCAATTAAACCTGCATTTTACTGTTAAACCTAAAAAATTTTAGTTTAGCCTCAAATATTCTCTTATAGACTTACTGGATAAGGAACGTTGCTATATGATTCCCCTTTTGCCCGAAGACTGCCGATATTATTCGAGAAATCTCTTGTGCTTTGATAGGCTAAATAAGATGATCGTTAAACCTGGTTTCAATTCAAAACTTACGATCAAATTCATATTCCATTAGATGATTTCTTTCATAATAGGCTGGATCAATCTGCTGCATGTAACCGTTTGGGTTGACTTCCTAAACATTATTTTAAAATATTATATGAGTATGAGAAAATAAAATATAATATTACTAGTCAAGAATTAAATCTAAAAGAAACTGACGATCATTGTTCTGATGGAGTGATCATCTTCGGAATGATCTCTTGTCAATTCTCCACGAGAACCAGCCGTTGCCCGATTGCCTGGACCTGGAAGTTGATAGGTTTATACAATTTGTTTCCATCAATAGAAAGAAAAGTGTGTAAGCAAGTGAATCACTTACCAACAATGTACTCTTTGACTCCATCGGCTCCAATCGCTCCATACATTTGCACTGGTCTTACTGCTGCATCTCCATGAGTCCGAATCATTTCGGTCTTTTCTAAATCATGAATTTGATCATGTCAATTGTTCAACAATTCTTACCCTGAATCATTTTTCTTCGCTTCTGATTCTTTCTGTAGACGCAGATCAAAAGATTGCATAGCAGGCAAAACACAATGAAGGAAACTGCCGCCGCGATGAAAGACTTTGGTAGTTGGCCTTCCTGAAACATTTAATTCTTATGCTAGCAGAATTCTTTTCTTACCCGAATTCTCGAATGTCCAATATCAGCTCCATCTTGTGTCAAAGTCGCAAAGGCCACCGGTGGCCGCGTGTATTCAGAAGAGAATCCACGGGTATTGTGTGATCTCACTTGAAAATGATACAAACGGCCAGGTTGAAGTCCCGAGATACGGACATGCTAAACATTAAATTTAGATTTAGCCAGAATAACATTAAAGACGTGTTTTGAATTTCGCTTACATTATGGGTGGTGTTAACTGCCGTTACATCATCATTTCCTTGCATTTTATAAGCAATTTCGAAAGTCTGATCGGAGCCACCATCAAAGCCTGTAAGTTATATTGTTATCAAAGAAAAGGTGTAAGTTTTGATTTTGTAACTCGTTATTAAAATAAAATGACTTTGTGAACTTTTAGAATCAAAAAATTTACCAGGCTGCCATGAAATTGCTAGTGATTGAGCTGAGGCATTGGTCAGATGTGGTTCACTTGGCTGATCAGGAGCGGTAAGAGGACCAATCATTATTGACTGAAAATGTCAGTAATACTAATAATATTTTTATATGAATTAGAAAAATAACAATCCCTCACATGACTATCCTCTCCAAGTCGATTCGAGCAAATACATTTCACTTCTCCGTAATCTTCCGCACCACCGATTGTTACCCATAAAGTACTCTAAAAACCGAAGTTGTAAGTACTTTTAATTCCAAAACCTCAAAAGTGCTAAAATCTAGCTGTGTGGTATGGAACGAATATCTCGATCCATTCACTCGAATCAACTCTCCATTTTTCTCCCAATAGAACTCGGCATCTGGTACTGCATGAGCTCGACATCTAAATTATCAGTTTAGGTTGATGTTTTGCTTATTTTTTAACTTGCATCTTTGCTGTATGATTTATCAATAAGGTGCATAATTTTTGTTAATCCTATACCTGGCTCTTGCTTTCCCTCCAAGTGGACCGGCGGCTCTCGAGAATGTCGGTGTGCGAATAATTGTCGGTCTTTGATTAACCAGCAAATAAGCGGCAGCCTATATTCATTATTTTATAGATAAAAACAATTCTTTTTACTTGAGCTGGATTCCCAAGTCCATTAAAACCTTGACACACATATTGTCCAGCAGTATCAAGAGAAGCATTCACTTTCAAAACTGCTCGAGAATCACCTCTCTTTGTACTTTGAATCTATAAATTACAGTAACCTCCATTTTTCAAAAGTTTTCTTTACTTCATGCCCATTTTTCATCCATGCAACCATATCTTTTGTGGGCGGAACTCCTTCAACTTCACATTCAAGAAGAACTTCTTCTCCAGCCGATGCAATCACAGGAGAAGTTATGTGAACAATCTAAAGCTATTTTATATTAAAATCCCTCAAATTTCCATTGATTTACCTTTGCTGGATATTCAACAGTGAGATGAATTGATAGGTTTGTTGTACCAACACTATTGATGGCATAAAGAGTGTAATGTCCAGCATCCGAAGCCTGGATGTTCCGACCGGAAAGTGCAGCTCCGCGAGCAAAGACGCCTGTGAATAAACGATAATCGTTGATCAAAAAGATTCTTTTACTTCCTATTGTATGCTCAAAAATGATTCCATTCTTTTTCCATTTCCAAGATGAAACGGGAGGATTAGCCTTGACTGTGAGATTCTCCCGGAATGAGTCTCCCTCTGCTACAACAATCGACATCCGATCACCCACAACCATTCGAGGAGGATCTAGAAAACGTTTGTGATTTGAAATCCGGCAATCATTTTCTTGTTATTAGTTACTTACAATAAACATTCAACGGGAAAGTCACATTCTTGGATTCGGGCCAAAGAGAATTGCTTGCTATGCATCTAAAGTCGATTGAAGAGTCAATCAAATCAAGTTTGATAGAATACCTGACAATTGTTCCATCAAACTGCTCTGTTGGAACAAATGACACAATGTTCTCAATAGTATGACCATGTTCTCGAAGTCTAAAATCATAAATTAGCGACAGCGGCTATAAAGCCTACGTTTCGTTGACAACTGTTTCTCCAGTATAGATAAGTGGTTGAGGTTCTCCATTTGGATGAAAATGCCATGTGATTTCAGCAGGTGGATTGCTAGCGGGAGCTGAACAGAGAAGTCGAGCCTCTTGTCCGGCAATAATTTGATGGCGAGCACCTTCTGGAGTACGAATAGCAAGACGGCGAGGAGTGACTGTAAATGGTTTATTATTTTGATCAGTTTAGGAACTAAATAAAACTTCAAACTTTGAAAGACTTACAGAAAATGGTGAGTTGTTTCCAATCAACCAGTGGTTCATCGAGAGCTGCATTGGTGGCCTCACATCGTATTCTTTGTTTGTGAAGAGTTCGATCAAGAGTAAGCGGAAGAGAAGAAATTACAGTGTCACCAGAAACTGATGTTCTCGCACCAATCAACTGAAATCGAAAGAGTTTTCCAATTGCAAATGCATACATGTATCAATGTAAACGACCACCACCAAACTACGTTTTTGGTTTTGAAAATTGCTCTTAATATCGCATTAAAGGGACATAGAAGGTCTAGATCTTTTTTGAACAAGACAAGGACAAAGTAAGTCAAACTTTTTGATCGAATGCACTGCACTGACAATTAGGTGCTTTCCTCAATCACAAACCTGGCTCCATTTTGGTTTCTTCTTCGATTTTATCAATTTCTAACAACAGACAAATATTAGGATAGGAAATAGGTTAAACATAAAACATGTAGAAATGCCTCACAAAAAATTGTACCTTATCATGCCCTCGATACCAAGCAATGTCAGCAAGTGGATGTCCCCCGCGTACTTCACATGTTGCATTCACAACATCTCCCTCCAGTAATACTCCATCATCCAATCCAGTTATTCGAGGCATTTCGGGAGGTACTGAAAGATTGTACAGTTTTATCTGTAACGTATGTAAATACTTAATAGTCTTTGTAAAAGTTTGTTTTAACACATTCGCGACGATACAGCCCACTGGTGGGGCTGTATCGTCGCACATAAAAGATTTAGCACTTTTTTTGCGGCCGATTGGGCTAAAAATTTGCAATGAGGAGTTTTTGAGGTTGAGGAATTCGAATACTTACTTGGTTTTTAAAGAAAACTGCTCTATTTTTGGACATTTCACCCGGTTTAATTACTCAAGTCCGATCCCACATCCAGGGCCGTATGCCGGAAGGTGCGCGATTACAAAGACGTGAAAATTTTGGCTTCTGCCGGCCTTCGGCAGAATTTCGGCCTCTAGGGATAAAGGACAAACCCAAAGTTCGGTTTTGCCTTTTTCTCTCTAGTTTGGCTTAATTACCCAAGTTTTTAGAGGGTTTTGTGAGACCGTATTGGGCCAGAAATTAAAGTTGCTTAAAAACTCATAACAGATTCAGATTTTCCATTCCAGAATCCCTCCGGTTTAGAAATTTTCAGGTCTACAGCTAAAATAGATAGCTGTCGTCCGAAACGGCAGCCAATACAAAAATGACTTTGTCGTGAATGTGTTAAGCAAATGCTCTACTCACCAAGAATTTTCACAGTGTGCTGTTTGTTAGCGCTCCCCTCTTCATTTCGAGCTGAGCATTCAATTGAAATCTTGTACTTGCTGTGCATCATCTGAAAATCAGCTAAAAATTCTCTGGTTATCATCTAAAAGCCCATAATAATGCAAACAAAGGATTTTATGAAAAGCATCGCAGATAAAGCGTTGCTTATTGCCAGATAACATAAGGGGTAAGCCATGGGTCTTTGCGTTTTGAATCCCAAAGATTTTACCATTTTTTCATCTTTTCGTTTATGCTGTAAAGTAGTGAAGTCAAGAATGATATTTAGATAGAGAAAAAGGTTTACCTCGAGAGAATTAATTGTGAGATTTGAGATGGAAATAGTTCCATGTGCTTGTTTATGTTCGGATTGAAGCTGTCCTGGAACTGGATGTCCATTCACAAACCAAGAAATTTTTGCCGGAGGATTGGAGGCTCTAAAAAAGAGTTTTGGCAAAATTTAACAATATCTAAAACGCTTGAATTATTTAATTGTTATTTTTTTATTTCAAGACCCCTCAAATATGAATGAATCTATTAGCTGGCTTTTGCATTTTCCTCTCCCGCAATGACTGAGCACATCTGCCGTTTTACTCTTCTCTTTCTTTTCTAGTGTAGACCCTTAGTTGGCCGGACACCTTATCGAATTGGTTGATTTAGTGTCCTTTGCTCATTTTCGACGAGCGACTCTTCTTTCGATTGAATTGGATTCAAGTGGATGACCATTCTGTTTGTTCCTTAGTTCTCAGGGTGGTTAAATCAGTTCATCCCACTTGGATAAAACGAACTTATTTCCTGTACTTGAGGTTCTCGAAAGCTCAGCTGGGGTTTTCCACAAAGTAAACACTTGATTCTTTTGTCACTTTATTAACGTAAAAGCACATACCTCGACCGACATTGAATAGTCGTTTGACCGCCTTGTCGAATATTGCTTTCACCGAAGATGTCAACTGCTTGTGGTGCAACTAGAATGGAAAAAGTATTATCTTAAGTCATGGACACTTACAAGCAACTTTCACATGAATGCTTGTTTTCAATGCTGCCACATGATCTCTATTTTGGCTTCGACATTCATAAGAAGCCATGTTATCCGAAGCTTCCGCAATAAATGAGTAGGAGTTGGATGTTTCCTAAAATTACGAAATATTTCTGTGCTTTTTCAGCATTAGCTTTTAATTCACTCAAAGAGAAATGCCGATTGGTTGAATAGACGGATAGAAGGAGGCTTGAGTGGATATTGGGGATTAAGCGAGATGATGCTTGAATGGGAAAAGAGATAATGCTAAGCAAGAGCTAATAGAAAAGAACATTGGAGCTTAGTTTTAGCTGTTCAAATTAAGTTCAAATGAGAGATTAATCAAGATTTACGAGCTCTGATTTTTCTTCAAAGATTTTTCACATAGAGCTCTTTACAACCCGATTTGTGGGACATCAAGATCCACTATTCTAATTGTAAGTGATGACTCTTTGAAGAAACCGCACTTCTTTCTTGCCCATAACATCAACTGCTACAACATCTTTTTCCTATCTCTCTTTAGGTTTTAGTACAATTCATTTTAAAACTATAGTTTCCATAACAAAAGCCTTATATCATGAAAAGAGATTTGTCTCACTCGTTCAAATTCTCAAGGGTATTTGAGAAACGAAGGGCTTTTTTGTGGATAAAATGTGTTAGTGACCCTTTTGTTACTAATATTTTTTGTTACAATCCATAAAAAATTTTTGAGAGGTCAAAAAAGATTTGCTAGAATAGAGTCAACCATCTGTGTGCTCTTGAAGAATTCATTTTGATAACAAGCGCCCACTTATCTATCCGGGTTTCACTTTGATACCCCCGACCTTCATGATCTTCAATCAATTAGCCGTATGAGTGGTTTATGTGGAGCATCTATGTATTTATTGCTAGTAAAATCTAGAATATGTTTGGTTGCTTTTGAATAAAGTGGTCACAAATGAGTTCTCAACTTGAGGTGAGTCCTCAACTCTTTTCTGGTTGTAACAGTAATAAACCTTTTGTGAGGTTGTCAGGAAAAAGACAAAGTTGAAAAGAATAAAAGGAAATCTGCGCGTCAGGTGGCCCATTAAGGTGAGAAAAAGTAACACTTTCTGGTTCATCGACCTTTAGAACAATTAGATTGTAGATTCAAGCAGTTGATTTTTCTTACACTCAGGTAATGATTGAAATTATTGTAATTTTCCATTACCATTTATATCATACTCTTTCTAGAATCGCTAAATCTAATGGGAACCGGGTTGGTGTCGATTACATAACGCCGACCGGCTAATAACCGGGAATTGAGAGGACATTGCTCGGACATTAATAACTAGGTAATGACTATGCCCTAAATGGCGGACAGGTGACGAAAGAAAAAGAAAAAAGCAAAAGAGAAATTTATAAAGCAATAAAGGTTCCAGATCGGTAAGCCAGAATGGAAGGTGCGACATGACTAGAAACTTTGAATTGTAATAAAACATGCCTGAGTGTCATAATTGTAGTGGAAAGAACCGTCAATCGATCTTCCTTCAAGATACCAAGTAACATTTGGTGGCGGATTTCCACCATGAACTTGACATTGAAGTGTCACGTTATCTGCAGCTTTCACATAGCTCTCCCCTCCCAGAATCTTCACTCGTGGTCGATCGGAGGGATCTGAAATTGAAATCTGTCCGATGTGAAACTGAAATCGAACGCTTAAAACTTTTTTGTTTATAAAAATCTTATGAGTGACGTCCTTTACTACATAGTACAATAATGTTTGTGAACGCATCTTTATTTTTAAATACATTTTTTGTGTCCTTGCACGAGTTAGTTTTGTCGTGTCATATTCGGAAAAGAGTGTTGGTTGTCTATGAGGGAAAGGAATAGTATTACGATGGATGACAAATCAGAGGAGAGTCTGTTTCTCTTCTTTTGAATGAATAAAGGAAAAGACTCCTCAACACAGCCACACAAGATATGCAAAATGGGCCTTTGAGGTGAGCCGTGCCCTTCCCTTCTCCCCTCCTAGAACATGATGGATTGCGAATTTCACGCCCATCTTTCTACCATTTTATGAATCTCAACTCAGCTATAAAATAAAAACTAAGAAAAGTTTTGCTGTCTTTTGGATTAAAAACTCACAAAGTACACTCAAAGTAACATTTGCTCGAATTTGGGTTGAGGTATCAACATGAACCGCTTCACAAGCTAACATCTTCTTGTGATCACTTCTCCTGAAAAATTTAAATAGGAGAATATAAACGATTTGCATAAATCATTTTGATTGGGTTGAACATACCGTGGTTTCCAAAGTAAAGCGGCATAAGCAGTGACAGTTTTGTTCAAATGATAGGTTTCCCATTTTTGAACATTATCTTCAATCTGCCGTCCGTTTATATACCTGAAAAACTGTTATAAACATGTCAAAATTTTGAATTAACCATTTCAGCTCAGCAATGGGTTTTGAGTGCAGAGCCATACATGTGATGTTAAGCGGGGTTTCCTCATTGATCTCGATCTCCGAACTGGCTTGATAGTTTGTGAAAAGGACCTCAGATGGTGGTACTAAAATGTGAATATATGTATCTTTTTAAAAGAAAGCACACTGAATTAATTGAAAACAAACCAATGACGTTGAGATGTGCTGCAGCTCGCAACGGGCCACTGTCCAATCCCAACATCTGACACTCAAATTGACCATCATCATCAAGACTGACTCTCTCGATTTTCAAATGAAGCTCCTCTGGTGTGTTCTAAGTTTTTTATACATTACAAATATTTAGGCTCAAATTTACTTTCACATAGCTGTACCGCCCTTGATGTCCACTTAAAGCTCCAGCTTCATGATAACCAAGCAAATCTCCTGTATTTGTCCTCCATTGGCTATATCTGAAAAGTAATAAGGTTAATGCGAAACAGAATGTGATCATTTACTTTTGATGAATTCGATAAAGAACTTACAACTCGACGTTATTTGAGGAAATATCCGCCGCACACTTGAGTAGAGCTTCCTTGCCAATAAAAACAGTGAGGTTTGTAGGTTTTTCTCTCAATCCTTGAGCCCGAAGGCCAGCTGATAGGAATAAAAAAAGAATGAAGTATCGAATCATTTCATAACTAAATGAAAATACTAACCTTGAATAAAAATGATCTAACATACGAACAAAACTTCTAGGCTTATAAGGTCAGATCAGGTGCACAATTGTTTGCAAAAGAGGAAAAAAGAGGTGGTAATTGTTGACAGGAGTTGATGACCCCGGGACACGATCCGATGGCAAAGGTGGTCCCCCCAGTTATTTTGAAAGGATGGACTGTGCAAACGGAAGTCCCCACATCTGCCCCATGTATGGAACATGAGGGGAATGAAGGGGATGAAGAGGATAAAGGGAACATGAAGGGGACACGCTATTGTTGTTGCAACATTTATAAACATCGAGATTTGCTCTTTGACAAATCGGGCCAACGTGAATGAGACAATGTTTGTTGATTCATTGCGATTGGAAGAAATAAGTTGTTAATAAAAGATGAAGTACATATTGATTGAAAGAAATATCTTCTGAAAATCGAAAAATACTTGAAGATTGAATAGAAAGGTAAAGAAAGAAGGGCTTCTCAACGCACAATTAGCGCAAAAATTTGATTTGGTACCCCCGCGTTTTCGAGCACCGCTTTGAATCGGCAACAATGGAGACTCTTTTTTTCATTTAATTCTAAGTCATCCAGAAAACCCTCAAAATATTGAGGCGTAGTGTCTATAGTAGTCAATGCAAATCAAGGGTCAAAAAAGATGAACGTCGGTGAAGAAAAAAGGAATTCTATCTTTTTGAAGGCATCTCGAGACCATTGGGAAGGCCACATCCCAAGGGGATTTCCCTCAAAATCCCGTAGAGTGGCCAAGGCAAGCAAATGTTTTCCATTTTTCACCGCCCGCTTTTCTCCAACTACTCAAAAAAGTTTACAATTCACCAATGAGTCAAAGTTTGGGAAAATTTATCAACAACTGGAGGCTTTTCGAGGGGCTTTATGGGATTTTAGCATAGAGTGAAATGGGTGCTCGAAGAGGAACATTTAGCATGATGTGAGTCATAAAAGTTGAGAACTCCGGAAAGCTTCTGCAAAAAGCTGAGAAAGTTTAGAAATTATAAAAAGGCAAAACTGTTCAGAAGAGTTTAGAATGAGTTTTATATAAAAATCAAACATATCGAGCAATATCGAGCAAAGCCAAGCAAGCAAAGCAAAGCAAAGCCAAATAAATGACAAAAACAGACATGTATGTCTAAAGAACAAAGAAAAATGGCCAAAAGTTTCAACAACAACTGCTTTACTAAGACAAGCAACACCAAGAAATTTATTTTTAAATATACAACCTTACGATTGAAATACTTCTCACAGTGTAATGATCAAATTCGGCACAAATTGTTGCACGAAGTGTCTCACTGGGACTCACAACCAATGTGCGGTGACGCGCCAAAGCATATTATGCAAATTTGGACGGGGCGTGGGGAGGGAGGGGAGAAGGCCCTGATTCCTCTCTTGGATCTCGGAGGATGGGTGGACACAACTTTGTTGGAGTGGTGAAGAGTCAAAGAGTTGTGGACAACTGCTTCCCCATCGCATCTAACGAAAGAGAGAAGAAAAGTCAATCTAGAGAGAGAGCCGAATCGAGACGCTAATTCGCCTTATTACGGATTGGTCGCCGAAGTTCTCTCCTGTGGATTTCCGAAGAGAAAACGACCCGAGAAGCCATTCATTCTTTGCAACAAATGTCTACTATTTTATACGTTTTGCAAAAGTTGGTAAACGTTTTTATAAGAAAATGCCATTACCATTTGTATTTTCCCAGAAAAAACTATCTAATAAAAGATTCATGGACCCTCAGAAACATACGGACTTATAAAAAATTTGTAGGTTGGTTGTGCTTTGATGACTGAGATTGGGATTAATGGTTTGTGAGAGAAAAGAAGAAAACAGGAAGCCCATATCAATGCAAGAATGGGCCGTTGAAACGACTTTTCCACTATTCCTAAGAAAACCCCTAGGATGGAAAAAGGGGTGGGTGAAGGGAGAGAAAGGAATAGTCACGCAACTCCTCTCCCGCTTTTATTCGTTTCAAACAAGAAATGGTGTCTCCTGGAGCGAAAACGTCAGATCGCCTTTCAACTTTGCTCCTCACAAAAAAACCCCTTAATATGGGCGGTGTTGAAAGTTGAAAATGTTGTATGTATTTTAGCTAAAAATGAGAACTTCTGCCATATCAAAGCGGTACTCTTTTCTTATTGGCACCGCTAAGTAACTCTTGAAAAATGCTATTGGCATTTTAGTAATAAGTGGCGAGTCTTAGTATCTCTTTTGTGTGAAAAAGGTGGAAAGTCGTAAATGGATAGTTTTGGTGGGGAGAGATTGCGAGGATCAAACAGATGGCCCCTTTTCACTTTTGAGCGGAAAGGAATCGACTCATAAATTTATGGTCTTCGAAAAAAGTGAGAAGAGTTGGGAGTGTAGTTGAGTGGATAAATGAGAGTCTCCACCTTCCTATTGTGTAATGAAGTGCTTAAATTTACCAACCTACCTAAAAAGAGCTTGGGGTAAAGTGTATAGTTGCTTCTTAAAACTAGACCAGCATACTAAATATTGTTACCAAGACGAACAAGAAATCCAATACATCTGAGATTTGGAAAAATAAGGAATAGATAAGAAAAGACAAGAGATAATGCAAGTAAATGTTCGTGAGAGGCACCAGGTTGTGGCTGGCTCTCCTCCTGAGGGAAGATGAGTGGATGAAGGAGAAAGGAGAAAATCGAGATCACAGGTGGCCCTTTGCCTCATTGAGGTCTCCCAAGTTACACTTATGATCAACAGAAAAGACAAAAAGGTGAAAGAGGATCAGTGATACATTGTGGTGTCCGCTGATGGGTCAACCCCGGAATCAAAATGTAAATTCGATAAGCCAAGATCAAAACTGACGTCAGTTCAGTTCCATTAAAAAGGGCTTCTCTTTGGAGATGCTCTGGATTCTTCTAGTTAGAACTCACAATAGTTTCTAAAGCACTAATCATTCAGAAATCTGGTCAGATTTTTTCACAGTAAGTAAACATAAACTAGCAAAAAGTTGATTGTTTTGCTTGATTAGTGCTTACTTACTGGGAAAGAATCTGATCCTGGGATTTTTGAAAGACTAGTGCTTAAGAAACTGTTACAATTCGCCAGTTCCATTTATTTTATTTGATTCAAAAAGAAATGAGTTCTTTAAAGCTAGTACATGTAAAAAAGTGTTGTTTTAACATAACAAAAAAAACTTTGAATAACTAAATAGCCGACTCAAAAACTTTTACTCGCTCACTAGAGGATGCTTCCCTTTCTTTTGTTAGGAAGTGAGCAAGGGTGTGAAATTTGACTCAAGGTCAAAGCACTCCATGAATTATTACAAATTAGCAAAACAAATGCTGTTTTCAAAAAAAGTCAAAATAAACTCAAAGAAGCAAAAGCTCTTGTGTTATTCTGTTCAATGAGAGTCTAATGATAATAAGGTGGTTGGATGAATGAGTGAAGAATAAGAGGAATAGAGGTTACATCGATGGATTGACCGAATGAAGAAGAGAAGAAACGAGAAAGAGGCAAATCCCTCTACGAGCAGCAGAAAGCTAATTGTTTGGCGCTTCATGGGATATTTGTCGGTCAGTCGCAAAAAGAAGAGGGATCCGTTTATGAAATAGAATTTCGAGATCAATGAATGAATCCTTTAAGGAAAGAGGGGAAAAGAGTCAATCAGAGTCCCTCTAACTGACTCTTTCCTTTGCCTTCTTTTTGCTTTCAATCGAGAAGGGTTTCTAGGATTTTGTTGGAAGAGCTCTTTACATGACCATTAGGCCGATTGAGACTCCTCTTTTGGAAACTGCTGAGTGACCAACAAATTTCTTTCGATTACCCGAAAACTCCAAAAACATCGATTTCCGGCAAAAACACCCACAAATAGAATTTGAAATACAAGGGTTTTTGTGAAATTTATGAGAAACTGTGATACGAAAAGAATACAAAAGAAAAAAGAAAAGAAAATACAAGTATTATGATCACCAACTTGGCAGGTCGGCCGCCGGGATGCACTACCACTCCGCCACGCGGTAGTATGTATTTGTACTGTATTCTTATCGCTTTTTAGGAAAAACGCTCAAATTATGTGCCAAATATTATTCGATTTTTGGAAACTATGCAAACAATTAGGTTTATAATGTCAAACTTTTAGCTCGATCAGAAACTTTCAGATCGCTGTCTTTTCTCAAACAACGGAATAGACAGACACACACATACTCTCTCACTTATAATAAGTAGGATGTTATACATCTGGACTATACCAAATCAAAAGCAAAAGCTTTACTTTCATTTAGGAAACCTGATTGTAAGTTAGTTATATGTTTATATTCATATACATTTGAGCGGATCACTTTTCTCCCGCCTCTCGAAGAACTCAATGTTTGCAATGAGATCCATGTGATGTGAAGCGCTCACCCGAATAACCAAAGAATAATGGAGAGTCCTTGTTGTGGATACCCGTAAAAGAGAGTCCATGAAAAAGAGAAAAGCTTGGATTCAAATTTCAATTGGGCTCCCATTCATTCATACTTCTTTGCCTTTGGTGCACACCTGAGTTCACTTCTCAAACGGATAAACCACTTCAGTTGTTTGATGATATAATGTTTACAGTTTAATAGTAAGAGTCAGGTTAATGGTGCATACACAGCCGTGTAAGACAAAGTCCAACAAATAAAATGACAACTTAGGTTTAGGTAATGATTACAAGCATAAAAACAGAGTTACTAATTGTAAGCTACATGCGGAAAGTACAGACTTGACAATTTTTGGCCATAATCGAATAAATTCGAGAAATAATCAAATTGGAGTAACAGTTGTGTGGGTGGGTCATTCAAAAGCTTTAGAGGTGCAAGGATTGAGAGAAAGGGGAGAAAGGGGACGGAGACTGTAAATGACAGCTCGACCATAAAGGGCGATCACTCATCGAATCTCTAACGAAGAAACTAAAAGAAAAAAGAAAGACACCAACTGGTCATCTTCAATGGTCAAAAGAAGGGTCGCTGCCTTTTACCCCATCACACTCATCATTGACACCCGGCATTCTCTTTTCACGCAAAGGCTTTGGCTTTCATCAGGAACCTTGTAAATCAAAGCATATGGACGTTTAGGCTCTGGGAAAAGTTCTACGTGGATGAGCTTTGAAATATTAAAAACATTAGGCCAGAATTGCTTTCAAAAAGACAGAGGAACAATTGCGCAACAAAACAAACGGACAAAATGAGATAAGAGGAAATAAATTACACGGTATAGATGGACAGCTGCCATTTTTATTGAGCTATCTTTGCTGGCAGAAAACAGACGAAAAATAAAATAGGTAGAACTTGTATGTAGTGAAAACGAAGGAGTTGTTTGGTATGCAAATGTTGGTAGTTGTGTTTCCAAGGGATAACCCCCGGATGAGCCTCGATGGGTCACATTTACTTTCATTTGTTCGTTGACAATGTTTGCTGTCACCAAACTGACAGTCACTAACAGAAATGGAGATAAAAAATAAAAGGTAAAGGTTATCATTACTGTGAAAAGTTGTGAAAACTATATTCTAGAGAAATCCACTAACATTTCAAGCATCTTTTTTGTCTCTTTTTCAACAAGCTTGCCCTCTTTTTGTCACTTTTTGAGCTGGCGTGAATAGAAATGTCTCCAGGGAATCGGAAAGATCGAAACCTCGACAAAATGGCTAAAGGCTAAAGGACATAATTGTTTTTTTTTGTTATAAAGCTCTTGTTCAAATGAATGAAGATGCCTTTTACTTTTATCTGATAGATTTTGTTTTCATTAGATACATATTTTTAAGACTGATAGTGAGTTTTATCCTTTTCAATAGCGGGCATAATATCATTTGCTTTTTGGCATGCAATAAATCCTTGAAAACCAGCTAAAAAGCACAAGCATATGCGTGTAACAAGTTTCTTTGAATGACTGAGAGATGTCCATTCTATTGCTTCCTATTCTTCACTCATTTACAGAGCCGAAAGCAATCACGCGGAATCGACGATTACTTACACAAATCCACAGTCGAGTTCTTTATTAGTGTGTTTTTGCAAAACAAATGAATTTCTTCTTAATGTTTCATTTGAACATAGTTATCGGTTTAGCTGACTGTCTGGCATCCATAAACCGATCAATTAAAACACAATTTTTAAAGATTTTCCTTGAAAATAGCTTTAAGCAAACCTTAATTGATTCCTGAAACTGGCTAAAATGAACGTTTTTTGAGAACTTGAGATCCGTCCGTATGTTTCATTCAAACGGGGTCAATCAGGTCGAATGCAAATTCACAGCATGTCATTGAAGGGCTCAATCATTGAAACTTCTTCTCCCTTTCCATACGTTTTCATTCTCGCAAATTTTGTAAATAAATTTTTCTGTACCAATTGAGTTTTAGGTGCTATTGACAAAAGTTTATTTTGAAATGTAACTAACAACCTTCTCAGCTGATCCCCAGGACGTTTTTTCTGACCTCACTAAAAGTTCGCAAAATAAAACTACAAGAAACAAGAAAGAAAGCACCAAACATAGAGAAGGGGCACTTATCGTTTCTCACTCTTGAATAGGAGATGCCATTGAGAACTAAATAGAAAAGAAAAGATGAGAAAACGCCTTGAGGAATGATCGCTTTTCTTCAATTTACAATTATTTACATCGATCAGTTTTCTTTCTTTTATTTTATTTAGGTTCTCTTCTTTACTTTTACTTCTTAACATGCTTTTAGATGTTAATATTTGTGATAATCTATTCAAGCCTACGAATAGTTCGAACACTTTCGCCCGATGATTCACCGCCAAACATTTATCGCTTCATTTCAGAAAACTCTTATATTTGTAAGTTGTTGAATTCGTATTCAAGCTTAATTTAAAGCGACCGCCATCAAAGCTGGTTAGAGCAACTCTTCGAAATGAACTTCACCTCTGAAATAAGCAAAATTTGAGGTCCATCGGTGACAAATCCGGATGGGAGTACTGTGCAATTTTTGGACGAAAAGGATGGACTGAATTGTGAAATGTGTCCACAGGTTATATCTATAATACAAAAGTATATTTAAAAGTTAAACACTAAATTGATTTAGACTGCAGAGACTGAAATGGCTTGTGGATTGAGAATTCACGCAAATGGTTTTGATGTGATGATTGGATGCTTTGATGGTAAAAAGCTTATAACCAAAAAAAAACAATTAAGCTTACAGTTCCGAAGATTTGTTTGGAGGAGTATCAATTCCGATTTCATCCTCTCATTTCAAATGGAGAGGAAACTGAAGCGACAACTTTTGCCGATGACGCTAATTCAAATCAAATTATTACAGAAAACTTGAGCGAGCAAGTCAGATTTTTCCTAAGATCGCATAAATAAAAGCTGATTTTAGTCGTCATTTTCTGAAGAAACGATGGCAGATTCAACAAAGTCAGACAGTGCAGAGCTGGAATTTCCTACTGAGTTGCCCATTGCTCAACCTCTTATTGCTGATGTGTCTCAACAAAAGAATGATGTCACCAACAACATCACAAAGAAAAGCAAGTATCAGTCTTTATAAACTCTTTAAATAAAATTTTATAGAAAATCTCGAGAGTTTTATTCATGATGTCGACGCTGTTAGCATGGTTATTGGAGAGCCGCCTGACTATGAATTGGAATTCTTGAAAAATGATACAAAACCAACAAAGAAACTCAAAACTGCTGCCAAATCCCATCCTGTTACGACACCATTTCCATTACCTATTTCTCTTTCATCAACTCATTCAAAACTTCGTGACAAGAGCAACAAAATTTCAATGTGGAACAAGATTGTCGAGTCCAAGATTCAAAACAAGCAACGAATACTCTCAATTCATCAGCAATTACCCGTTGAGACAGATATTGAAGCGATTGCCATTGATAATCATCTAATTTCTAAAGATCTTAACAGTGAAAAGATTGAATTTGGTTCACCTGATAAAGAAGGAATGATTCGCAATGAAAAACGACGAAGAATTGGCCCTGAAATAACAGAGGCACCATTTGGGTACGTCTTTGAAATTAAAGTGTTCTATTATAGATTATTTTTCAGATCTTTGCTAATTCATAAACTTAATGAAACAAGGATTTGTGAAGACAAAAATGAGGTTTTGGTGTAATTTTGCAAAGGTTTCACACTTTTTCAGTTATGTTGCTTTTGGGCGATAGCTGGTGAATGTTCTAAAAATCCTTTTTGGATGAGAATGAATTGTGCGAAAAGTTGTGGAACTTGTAATTGCACTTGTAAGTTTGATATTCGATACTTAATAGCTCAATTTTTTAGTGAGACTTGCTGATAAATGTAAATCTACTGGCGTAAAATGTGTTCTACCAACGACAACAACCACAACCACGACAACCACAACCACAACCACCACCACAACCACCACTACCACTACGGTTGAAGTTTGAATTTGTCTTCATTACTTTCAAAAATTTTAGACAACACTAAAAACCAGAAGAACAAGACCTCCTCGTCCAAGAGGACAATGGGGCTTTTGGAGAACCGATTCACCCCCCACCACCACAACTACAACTACAACGGTATCCCTAAAATGAAAGCAAACCACTTAGTTATTAAAGACCACAACTACAACAACAACTACAACAACAACTACTACTACGACTACCACAACCACTACAACAACTACTACAACCACTACAACGGATGACCCATGCAAAGTAAGTCCAAACGATTTGAAATGTAGTCGAGCGAGTTTAGAATCTTGATGAAAACTGTGAATTCTGGGCTGGACTTGGAGAGTGTGAGAAAAACCCGTTTTGGATGAGGCCACATTGTCAAAGAGCCTGCAAAAGTTGTGGGGAGAGGGTGGAAACCGTTTTTGCTCCGACACCAAAGAAAGGTTTGAAAATAAAGTGTATTCAACTCTTGATGGGGAACCGGGCCCGATTTCACCAAAATATTTAGCATCTAGCCAATTTGCTAAATGCCAAATGTTAAACGCTAAATGGAGAAGGAATGTTGCTAAATTTAGCAAATGTGCTTTCGTTTTTGTACACTAGTTGGTGTTTTTTGACGGCAACCTATTTTTCTGATGACTTTCTGATGATTTCTGATGAAGTTTATCAAGGAATGTGCGAAAAAATAATAGAATATGTACGCTATTCTATTATTTTTCTAATACACACTTATACATTTACCTATGCCCAATATGAAGTATTTTATTGCTAACTATAAAAACATTTATCAATCAATAACAATCAGTACAGAACGCAAACGTTAAACAGAAAAGCCTATGACTTTTATATTGACATGCTAATTTACGTCTTGTAAATATTGCATCCTATCCAGAAAATGGGCATTTCAAGTCGGATTTACTTTCAAAAAAGTTAACAAGTGTTGACTCAATAACAAATTTTGTTTAGGTTGTGAAAATATGCACATGAACTGCAATTTTTGGGCATGGAGTGGAGAATGTGAAAAGAATCCGAATTACATGTTACCTTTTTGCCCTTTGAGTTGTTTGATTTGTTGATTACCCTTTGATTTCTTTGCTTTACCTAGACATTTCCGTGCTCAATTTCGCTTTACTGGGTCTCTTCTGAACATTAAAAGTTTTATTGATGCAAACTTACCAACCTGTTATTATTTCTCAAAAATAATAATTTAAAAACAAGGACTTGATTCAATTTAATAAAGCAGTTAAATGTTTTTATCCAAGATTCCAGAGATGACGTTGTTACATGTGTCTTGACAGATCTGGCGACAGATTGAGAAACTCGATTTCTCGTTCTCTGTTGGCCCTAAACGTTTCAACTTTTAAACTTGACAAAAAGTTTGGTGATACTTGTTGAAAAAGATTTCTTACCAATGTAAAAAGATCTCCAGGTTGTCTCAGTTGATTGATCTTTTGGAGTCACTCCACAATCATAACGGCCGTTATCCTAGAATATTTTTGTCTAAAAAAAGCTATGCAAACATTTAGCTCATTATTTTCTTCTTGAGCGAGTTGTCTAGTCAAACTTGCATTGATACATTTATGTGACTCACAATCTTTGCATTGTAGTTTTTGATTCTGAGCACAGAGCCTCCCTTCAAAAGAACCCAGTTGGTCTGACTCTGGGCTAAACTTTTTTCTAATAAAAGAGTTGCAAAATGTTTACCTTGTTCAAGCCGATCAAAAAAGAGTTCGTGTCTCGACCAAACTGTCTTGTGTGGCGTGACTCCGGGAATAGTTTCACACGAGAGATCAAGGCTCTTTCCTTCGGTCAAATGACCGATTTTCACTGTTTTCAAATGTCCGTGTTCCGCGAACAAACTGTTTCCTCCATTTGTTCCTATTTGAAATATTCATTTGGAAAATTGTTTTTCTTTACCAAAAACATGAACATCAACACTTTTGTTAGCCGATTCTCCATCAATGATTGCGTTGCAAGTGTAAACACCCGAATCTCTTGCAATCGTTCTGTCAATCACAAGAGAAAGAGTGGCATTATCCAAACGAGAGACTTTTACATTGTCTCTGCTAAAATTTTGGACTTATCAAGTATATAAGTCTAACATTTTAAAAATATAGTCAAGATTTTACTTTGGCAATCCTTTGTGTCGACTCCATGTAATCCCCGGCTTCACTTCAGGCGAAAGACCAGTCACTTTACAGAGCAAACTAAAAAAATTCTCTCTTTTTTATACAAAAGTGAAACCTGAGTTGTGCACCAACTTCAAGCTCAATTGAGCTTTTCTGAGGGTTAATTTGAACTTCAATAGCACAAATTATAGGTAAAAAGAATACATATAGCAACATTTTAAAGAGTCAAGTCTGGCTGAGAATGAAAGTGATTTGAAGTTCCTTCTTTGCCTCCCCTTTTTAACGACTTTTCTTTTTCATTTCTGAATAGCATCTGGACTGAACTTTTGGGTCATCTGGTAGTGGAGACTCCCACTTGGACCTCATGTGGCTGAAGGAACACCAAAAACACTCGATCACTTCCCATCCTGAGTCACTAAAACTCAAAGTGGATGAAACTTCTAAACTTTTCATTTTCAGGGGCTGTGAAGAATCAAGTCAAATTAAACAAAAAAATTAGCAATGCCTCTTTTTGCCACACTCATTATAGGTAGGCAAAGCTTACAGCTCTTAAGATTTATTTAAAACTAAAGTTTGCTTTAAGCCTAAAGAGCCGCAAGACTAAAAATTCATGATTAAAAACGTGAAATTTTCATAAACGTGCATTTTCATAAAGTTTTCCACAAAGGATATTCCAACCAAACTTTGCGAATTATTAGGTTGATGCAAAAGTCTTTTTCATTTTTTTCGTACTTCCGTTAAAAAGTAACAAATGCACCAATTGAACAACGGTTTATTGCATTCGAAAGGCCAATTATTTTTCTGCAAAATGACATTAAAACGAGTTTAAAATGTCTTATGTCTAGATTTTTTTGAGAGCCTGAAGTCGGGTAGTCAAAAAAGGCGACGGCTCGATGATGCATTTTAGACGCTTTAGCTAAGGAAACCAATCTTGATGTTATAAAAAGATAGAGCACAAAAAGTTGGATAATTTTCAGATTTTCAGAGAAATGATCAGCCAATTTCTTTATAGAGGTTTTATAGATTTTATGAAAAACCCGTTTTCACTCTCGAATTTGCTTGAAAGTGAACCCAAATTGACTAAAAGATGGGAAATTGAACAATAAACACTTTTCATTTGAGCAAACCAAGGTTAATTGTGACTTTGTTATTTTTCAAAGAAGACGAAAAGAAAAAGACTTTTGCATCAACCTAATAGAATAGTAATAAGTCTGATTACTATTATGATTTTTTTTTCATCTCCTTCTTATAAATAATCACTATTTTTCCAAACTAATGTAATGAAATGTGAAGAACCGCATAATAAAGACTTTTCCTTACAAAAGGTCCTAGTGGGAAAGAGAAAAAGTTACCGTAGTCTTGGTGAAAGATGTGTAGTCTTGACTCATCGCCAGTTGTGCTCTGTCCTTTGTCTCAAAAGACTTCATTTGAAATCAGCTGGAGAATGAAAATCTGCACGCTATGTCTAAAATTTATGTTTGTAATCTTGATTCATCTGCTCGCAAATTTTCTTTAGAGATTTGCTCTACAAATATCTGTTAAAACGTCTATTCTTCGATCATTTCATTTGATTTCGGATTTTACTGCCATCTACGAAAATATGATAGCCTTTTGAAAAGTAAAAATTTGAACGATTTCAGGTGATGACTACTCCAAGCTTGCAAAATATTGGACCAAAACCGAATCCGCAGAGATTAGTACTTGGTGGGTTTTGATCGGTGTAACTGATACCAAATTCTGAGCGCATTTGTTCAAAGGAATTAAAAAGTTTAAATAAAAAAATTTTTAGTTCCTGTGCAAGTAAGTCCCAACACAACGTTCATTCCATCGACACATCTTCCAAGGTTGATCGTTAGAAGTGAATCGAGTCCGGTTGTCGGTTAGTTTTGAAGGAAACTGAAGAAATGACCTAATAGTAAATAAAATGCGACAACCGTTCACATTGATTTACTCGCTCTTACTCATGTTATCAAAGTGTTTGCTGCATCTATTTCTGCATCATTCTAGGCTCATCACAATGGCACTCTCCATCACCGGCACCATCATTTCAAAGCAATAAATCGCCCCATGGATTGAGCGGTCTCATAAAACAAAGTTCAGCTTCCAACTGCGCTTCAAACTCATATTTCTTCTCACCGTCAGCATCATCTTCAACTTCTGCATCACCTTTTATTCAGCCGATGTCCCCGATGCAATGGAATCAACAATCGTCAAGCAATCAGGTTTTAAAACAAAAGAAAGCTCTACGAAACTGTAATAGATGAGAACTAAATAAAGTAACTAAAATTAAAAAACCACAACTTCTATCGAAGTTTTAGAAATTCTCGATCGCTCCACCAAAACCTCCCCCCTTGCCACCGCAATCTTTCTCAACCATTCCTCAACAACAGCCGATTGTCCATCGAGTTCAATTGGCTCCTCCATCTCCAAAATATAGGAGCTTGGATACAAGTAATTACACTTTTGAGTATTTTAGATATAGGAGTAAAGAGTGGGAAGAGTCATGACGAAAATGCAAGCACAGTTCAATCAGGCGGTAAAAAAATAAATTCCTCACTATTAGTTCTAAAAAACAGCTACTTAAGTATGAAGATGCTATTAATAGTGTGACTCAAACTTGAGAAAAAAGCTACTCCAATTTTTGTTTAATCTTTGGTTTGCTTCTTCCTTGATTTCCTAATCATCAAGCCATCTCATTTCAAAAGAAACGAAGAACTTTCTTGGTATTTCATAGAGTCATGTGCTTCTTTTCAAAACAACACAACGAAAAGTGTTGTTTAGAAAAGCCTGGGAAAAGGATCTTCTCATTCTCAACTTCTTGAGCCTTTTGTCTTGTTCTTTCCATAGTTCTTTTCGATAGTCCAAGTCCCTGCTTGAATCTTTTCTTTTTCCGGAGTTGTGGAATACGATTGGAAGCAGATGTCTCAGACCATTCTCTCAGCCAATTCTTTAGACTTGCAAAATCCATTTGGGAAAAATTCGGTTTTCGGTATTTTTTCGATTTCCACGATTTCAATCATTCTTTTGTGTTACACTTTTTGACGTACAGAGATGACTGATTTCCTGTGATGAATCATAAAGTGGGGGATATGAAGAGAGGTGGAAGCAAGGGATTTTGACCACATTTCAACTCCACAACTTATTCAAAGGCTTATTCTAAGTGATTTTGAAAATTTTTAATAAATCTTGGGCTAGATTTCTAAAATTTAAAATTAAAATTGAAATTTCTTGCAGTTATATTTTTGTTTTTGAGTTGGGGGAGGCAGGAATGCCTCCCCGAGTCACATGTTTGGAATGGTTTTTTCTGAAGACTCAACTTGAGTGATTTCTTTTTTTCTTCTGGAATCATTTGTGGGTTTGACAGTCTTTCCCTCTTGCCTCTTATTTGTGTTTATGATGTCAAAGGAGCGCTTCGATGATTTCGAGAGATTTCCAAAGAAAAGATGGGATTCGAGTGGGTTTCTTGAAGGCTTTACTCTGGTTGACATCTTCTTCTCAAGTTCAACTCTTACCTATCTTTCCTTTTTCATTCCACCCACAAGTTGTCGATGACCGATACTTCAACCACTTCAAATACTGGCCACTGGGCACTTTTTTATTAGAAACAGTGGTAATTCTTTCATGTCTTGCAAGTAATTCTGGAAGAAGTGCGTTAAATAACTTTTGATTGATTATTGATAAAAGGGTAGACTGGTTAGGCTGTTCAGAAAATCTTTTCGTTCCTTTTCTATTGAAAACCAACAAATGAAACTACTGAACTACGGTTTGTTTCATTAGAAACGCCAGTTATTTTTTTGCAAAATAACATTAAAACGGGTTTAAAATGTCTTATGTCTGCATTTTTTTTGGGAGTGTGAAGTCGGGTAGTCAAAAAGAGCGACGACCTGATGATGCGGGTTAGACACTTTAGCTAAGGAAACCTATCTTGGTGTTAGTAAATAAAAGATAGAGCACAAGAAGTTAGGTATCTAACCAAATTTTTAGAGTAATTGATTCAGCCAATTTCTTCGTAGAGGTTTTTATATGCCTTTATGAAAAACAAGTTTTTTCGCTCCCGAATTTGCATGAAAGGGAACCCAAATTGGCTTAAAAAGATGGAAACTTGAACAATAAACACTTTATATTTAGAGCAAACCATAGGTTAATTGATGAATTTGTTATTTTTTCAACGGAAATACGAAAAGGAACGAAAATATTTTCTGGACAGCCAAATAATCTTGCGCTGTGAACCTAGCTAGTTTTATATTATATTTGAAAAATTTCTAGTTTCGTAAAATTTATTCCCAACACTATTCTAGCTAATCAGCCCTTTATTCTAAAAAAGCAAAAAGATATCAATTTGATCAGTGAAACTAATCGATTTCGTCAATCCAATTTAATATGAATTTCTGAATCTAGTTCTCATGGTCCTCTCAGCAGAAAGAGAGTAAAAGCAAGAGACTCAATCATGAGTTATTTCCTAGCCTCTACCCGACCCACCCCTCCTTCTGTCCATCCTATTCTCTTCTATGAGATCTTCTCAATCGTGTACAGTCTCTCTTTTCTTTTCTCTCTTTAAATGCACGGCATTTTCCCTCTTTTTGAGGATTGCTCGAGTGCCTTCTTTACCCTCTCTTCTTTTCTTCCAAAGGTCTCAACGCCTTGCCACTTTAGCACCTCAATGCAACTTTGTTCATGTAAACGTTAATTTTCAAAATGCTTTATAACTTTTGTTATTCTGAATACTGATTAACAATCTCCAAAATTCTTGTTCTTTCTTTTTCAAGAACGAGTTCAGTATGAGTTTGGTGCATCAAACGAGCGGTGGCCTTTGTGATCTTTGATACCCAAAAGCTCTCTTGAACTTTTTTTAGCTCTCTAACAGTTATCTCAAACCAATTTTTCCCTTTAAACTCCTCTAAATAGGCTCATGATTGTTGCGTAAACAATACTCTTCGACCTTCGATTCCGTCTGGGAAAATCCCATTCTCATTGCTCTCAAATCCAATTAAGCAAACGTCAATTTGTACACCAGTTCTATCAGGATCGACATGATTATTTTTTTGATTTTATTCTCAAATGTTCATTTATTATTTGCGCATCTTGATCTCTTTTAATGCTGACGAACCGCCTATTTTTTGCAATCAAGTGAAGGCTAAACCCTTTCTGTTTGCTGATTTGTTGAACACTTTCAGATCACTATGATCTTTGCCTAGAATCGATTTTCCAAGAGAGCAAACTTTTCTATTGGAAATCGATTAAACATTTTCTTCCTGCAATGCCGGAAACCAATCAAAGTGATCTTGCTGGATAAAAAGTGAGCTCGAAAAGAATGGCCCTTTTCCCAGCCCAAAGAGATCTCCTTGAAGCATGTGCAAGTTGAGGCTCATTTGATGCATCTCCTCTGTTTTTCTCCATCTCTTTTCTCCAATCTTCACTTCTTTTTTCATCCTCAAATTTCTTTTTGTTTAGGAAAGGCCAACTGACGCCTGTTTATGGTGTAGAAATGAGAGCTAGAAAATCTCTGCCACTTTTCCTTTGAGTTTCTCCTCACAGAAACCGCTTTTCAATCCATAGTAAAATTTCTTACAATTTTTAAATCTTAATAACAAACCTGATTTCTAGTTCACCAAACTTTTGGTGCTTTATTGTATCTTAAGTTAAGTCATAAAAGAGTGTTTAATGCAGAAAACTTTTGATTTAGTTTTTTTCTGCAAATTAATGCTTGCATGCCAAATGTTCAATTGATATATACGCCTAATTTCATTGACCCTGCTGGCTTTTTCTTATAAGCTCTTGGTGTCATGATAGTCATTTGGATGTGAAATGAACTTTCATCTAATGAGTGCCCTTCGTGATCTAAAGGGAAAAGAATCCATTCGAATCCCATAGTCAGTCTGGGATCTCTAAAAGAATAGAAAATTCTCAACAAAAAGTATCTATAAAACGAAAAATTTCTTGAGTTCTCGATAAAAAGACAAAGCATATGGTGGCGCGTCTCTCGATGAATTCCCTTTAGCATTTCTTTTGCGACAAAAAAGATTTTTCCATTTCGTTCTTTCTTGTGTTCAATATGGTTCTCAAAAAAAATTTGCTTTCTGCCAGATTCCAAATTGGCTGTCTAGTACAAGGCAAACCTTGGATTTTGGCATTATTTCAATGTTTTCATGCAATTGAGGTTAAAATTTTCAATTTCAAGGGCTTCAAAGCTATTTTTTGATTTTTCAATCCCTAAACTGATTGTGAGCTAGTATGAAGATCCATTCGATTCGATTATTTTAAAAGAAAATTTTCTATTATACTTATCTTTCAGCGGCTTGTATCACCTCGTTGACTGGTTCGGGATCCTCTTCCCTCTCGTCAACAACCCAATCCTTTCAAGGATCGGGTTTTCCTTCATCGTCGTTCATTTCATTGGGTTCTCCCCGTGTGGCTGCTTCGATTCGCCACCGAAGGGACGTGTTGAGAAAGAAAATCGAACAGCGACCTTCACGACAAAATCTTGTCACTCAACATATCCTACTCACTGGTTGGTGCATAACTTGTTTACTTATACCTACAGCTCTTTGACTTTTTTTATATATAGCATTGTAAATAATACTTCCGGTAATCTTTAGCGGAAAAGAGGTTCTACAACAACAGTTGTTTCCCGGTTGGGTGCCCAATTTTTGACCTCACCATTCATGTTCTTTTTCTAGTTTTTCTAGAGGTTCACTAGGGAATGATCATGCACTGACAGAGCCGTTTATTGGGAGTTGCCGAGGCTTTTTGAAAAAAAGCAAGAACTCAAGGCAAAGTTGATTGACGTTGAGACACAAGCTAAAAATGAAAAGAAAGATTCACCTCAACAACTGTGCACTCTTTTCTTTTCTTAAATTTTTGAGCTAAAGCTTCGTGACTATAGGCTAAGTGTGAGCATCAAAAATCGTGAAAATTTTGAGATGCAAAATGACAGATATCAAATTTAGCTTCTCGTGCTGATCCGCTTATTCAACAACGAGCGGCTTCATTGCGAAAGTGTGGCATTGTCTCAAATCTAAATCGAAAACTTCGGCAAAGACCAGGACCACTCGAATTGATTACCCGAAAGATTTTGAGAGCCGATGCTGAATTGGAACAAGCTATACAAGGTTATTTGATCAACATTGTTTTTTTTCAAAAGCTTTTTCAGAAGGTCGTCTTCTCTTCAAGCCCACTTCAGCTGAAGAAGACGAACTTGTCTCCTCCACTATAGAAGCCGAGTTCAATCCTATCAATCCAGGTTGTTTCCATGCTAAATTCTAAAATAGCATAAGTTCTAGATATGGAAGTTGTTTCCGTTTCAACTCCAAAAGAAGAAATCATTCCCTCTCCAAGTTTTCCAAAAATAGCCGTCCTGAAGAGCAAAAAGGTTTGTTTACTATTGATAAATTACAAATTACAAGTGGCAATCCAAAGAGTTCCTTGTCCACTTTTTAATCACCAAGCAGTTGTTGGGTTCTCGGCTTTTCCTTAGTTTTTCTTGAGTTTCAGCCCATTTTTTGTGAATCCTAACAAGATCGGCAGCGATTTTTCTGAGTGTTACACTCGGTTTTTTGATCATTATCGGTTAAATCAACCTTTTTTTCGTTGAAGTGTCAAAAGTTGAGGGAGGTGAAGAAAGATCACAAGTTTAAACCACAAGTTGAAGATCGCACTTGACGAAAAAGTGAAAAGACAGAAGAGTACTTCTATGGATTATCCATAAGATCTCTAGAGGCTGGTTGGCAATAGTGTTTGACGCAAACCATGAAGATAAGCAAAAATGAAGAGAGAGAAAAAGATGTGTGGATAGAGATGATTTGTGCTCTTCTTTCTCATCTCATTTCTAGCGAAGCGTGGTCGACGCGCATCGTTTGCTAAACAACCTCTCGAGTGTTTCTTTCCTTTCGACCAAAATTGAAAAAATGCGAATCAAATAGATAGAAGCTAATTGTAAGGTCATCAATCAGGAATTAGTGTTCTGAAATTAGAGAAAAATTATTAGATTGGGAACTTGAAAGTTGGTACACTTATTCATTGTACTTTTTTGAAATAACTAGTGCACCAATTAATCTACATTTTTCAACAATAAAAGGCCCATTTATTCTCTAAAACAGGCTTTTGATAGATTTAGAAAAGCTTCGATTTAGTAGGTTTCTAGGAAGTTGAGGAACCAAAAATGATGAACATTTGATGTAGCGGTTTGAGCACTTTCTTCCACATAAACCTATTTTGATGTCAATAGAAAAAAAGATAGAGCATGAAAAGTTAGGCATATAGCCGAATTCTCAGCTCGATTTCTCTAATTGCTTTAGTTATATGTCTGTTATATAAAGAATTTTCAGGAAAACTTGAATTTCTGCTCCAATTCCTTTCAAAAGTTGCCCGAATTTGCTTAAGGGTGTCTTAAATTCGATACTAAATAACTTTTATTTAGAGAATTCTAATTCAATTGGCGTATTAAATATGTTTTCTGAGAAATACGAAAAAGTGTACCAACTTTCAAGTTGCCAACCTAATAGATTGGTGTATCCCAATTTGCTTAACCAACCTTCTGTGCACTTTTACGGTTTTTAATTATAATATAAGACTAGCTAGGTATATTAGTTCACAGTGCAAGGCTAGGTGAAAGAGTGAAAAGAAGCGTCACCTCAGGCAATGGAATGACGCACATTGAGGGTGGATGAACAAAATGAAGCTCACAAAACAGCCGACAACTGTTTGTTGAATGAAAAGAGAAAAGAAAACCTTTGACATATAAAGCAATTACCCGATAAGTACTATTAAATTGTTTAGAAGGCAACTCCTTATCAAAGTCCAACCGAGAATGTCATGAAAGCAAAGAATCGATCTTCAAACGTAAAAGAGCATGAGAGTCTAGTAAGCTTTTATTGATTTTCACTTTTGGTTAGAATTTAAGGGTCTGATGGGTTTATACAAAATATCAGCAAGTGTAAAAATTTGAGTTTTAGGTTCAAGGTGACAACGATGGAACCACAAATAATTATCAAATCTTGTTGAAGCAGCAGCAAATCTTTCTGGATTGGCAGCCGGAAATTGAGGAAACAAATGTCAGTTGAAATAAAGAAAAATACAATTTATAAATTTTTTATTTACAGAATGATCCCCAAACGATCCTGGGACATAAAGGAGAGCAGTCTCCGCTCAGCAACAATCTCAACTCAGAAGGGTCAGTTTTTTGCAACAATTTGAACCCATTTTTTTTGGGTTCCTCTGCTGATTGAGCAAAAAAAATCAGCAGAGAGTGATTGCTGATTTCTTTTTCAATTCTTCATTTCCTCTAATCGATTGGATGTGAACTTTTTTTAAACCAGTATTTTTAGGGTGAACGCCATTGAGACCGCCATTCATCAGGCAAGAGAGGCCCTTCCACTCAACCAGACAATCCTCATTCAGGCAATCCATTTCGCAAATTTTAAAAGAACATTTAGATGATCAATTGTGTCCTATTAAAGTATACTAATACTTAAAGAATTATTTGCTTATAATTTTATGTTTAGGAAGCATCAGAAACTGGGAACGCAGTTGAGCCGGCAGTTAGTGCAGCAACATCGACCACAAATCCCGGATTTCTCATTTTCCCACCGAGAAGTCTGAATGATTTGAGAGTTCAAGATTTGAAGAACGAATGCAAGAAAAGAGCACTGCCTGTATCAGGTTCGAATTAAATAATATAGAATCAAAAATGAGTTTCTAGGGGCAAAACCTCAATTGGTTGAAAGGTTGCGCGTTCACGAGCAAGTAATTCTGTCATCAATTGTGAATGCAATAGAAGGAGGACCATCAACTCCTCCCGTTTCACCAACTGATGATCAGAATATGACAACAGCTCCTCATACCCCAATGGTGAGTAATGAATACAAAGGATTTTTTTTATTTTAAGCAACACTAATACATCCAATTTAGCCGCCAGGTCCCCCAGTTGTGCGGGAACAAACACGAGAAACAATTCATGACTTCTTGCAACAGAATGCCGCCAAGATTCGATCAGCCAACGCTAGTGCGGCACAGACTCAGCCGCAATCGCAAATTGTGATGACAATTCCAAATCAAAAGATTTCTCAACCCAATCTGCCAATCACTCAACCACAACAGTTTGTTAAGGTATGGCAACTTTTCAGCTGAAAATAACAATGGTTCTTCGGTTTTTTGTAAAGTTTGATCTTCAAATTACCTCATTCCACGGTTATAGCGGCCATTCTAGATGTTTCAAGTCAGCTCCCTAAACATTTAAGTACTCCAGGAAAGAGCTCAAAAACTTGAGATCAAAAATCGAGAGCACCCATTCCAAAAAGAAACCATAGACACTTTAAAGAGGAAGAGCAGTTGTTGTTTGCATCCACTTTTTCTTTTCCCAAACTAGGGAGATGCTCACCTGTCATCTCATAAATGGGACTCATTCTCACTCTTTTCAAAAAAAGAGTCAGTTGGTCTTTCCCCACTTCCAACACACCATCACATTCCTCACTGACTACATGCCGAAAGCGAAAAAAACAAGTCGCGAGTAAAGAATAATACAAAGATCAATTGGTTATTTAAAGAATTTAATAGAAAGAAAACAATTAACCATTTTTAGTTAGTTGATCAAAATGGAACAGTGCTCGGAATGGCAACAGTGATGAATGGAGGAGGTCCGATGAATTTAGTTGGCCCTGGTTCTTTCTTGAAGCAAGGATCACAAACAATGACTTATGACATTTCAAACGGAACGAGTAGACCGACAAATCTTGTTGGGTGAGTAATTTAACTCTCATACTATTTTATTACGCTTGATATTTTAGTTCAATGATTCACAAGCCTCAGACAACAATTGTGACATCACTTCCAAATTCAAACGGGTTGAGTCTCAACACTGGAGATCCGCCAACTTTTCGATTTGCCCAAATGGGATCTGGGGGACAGGTGAGAAAACTAATGGAATCATTTGCAGTTGCACTTTAAGGATCCCAACAGTTAGCTCTAACTCAAAGCAATCCATCAAAAATTTGTTCAAAAAGATCATACTTTAAGTCTTTTCTTTCCCTCCATTTTTGAGATTAGCACGAAGAAACCCTCGTGCAGGAGATACACAGCTGTCTCCGTCTGAGGGACTCAATTTCACTACGTCTAAACTGATCCAAGATAGCATTATGTCTTCAAAAAAATGGTAGTATCGGGTATTAAGACAAATCAGCAATTCAGCAATTTGACAATTCAACTTTGAAAACCTTTGTTTAATAGCTAGGGTGTTGAAAGATACTATAAAGTCATAAAATGAAGCAGCAAATTTGTCCCAATTTTACTTTTGCCTTCAAATAAACACGTAAAGCTCAAAATTCTTGAAATTCTTAGTTGTTTTCAATAAGATGAAACGACTGTTCCTCCTACGTCACAAAAAGAACCTCCCCCTCATGCTCATTCCTTTCCTTGTTGTTTGTCTTTTATCTAGATCAAAGTTGAGTCCCAGATGTTAAATGACTCCTCGAGAGGGTCTCCTCCACCCTCGCACACCACGTGTCCTCAACCGAGGACAGACATTTTGAAAGAATGGATTCATTCACCTCTTGTGTGTTGGGGGAGGTTGACATTTGTTCTCTATTTTCTCTTTTTTTCTGTTTCATTTCCGGCATTTCTCTCCTTCAAAAAGCCCAGGATGACCCTCAGTTTTCAAATCTAAGTTCTCTATCTCTTGAGCTTCCCTTTCAAAATTACCCCCCGCCAACAGTTGGCTCACGTTTTTAGCTCACTCACACATTGTCTCCTAAGCTGATCAAGAATCTTTTTCTTAGCTTTTTTTAGCCTCAAACTTTATAATGATTTTTAGTTCACTATTGTGCAGCCAAGTGATCAACAAGGTACGGGAACAGTCGAGACAGTCTCTTCAACAAATCCACCTCCTCCTGCCACTCCCCAACAAAATCTCCAAATGGTTCCCGTCTCTAACATTACTACACAGGTACACCTTTTTACACAAATATTATAGTTACACAATCACTTAAATTGACCTAGTTCTTGACGCACACAACCTATATTTGACTTGTTTGAACTAAAAACTTGTGTTTATGGTGCGAATTTACGCACCTGTTTCTCGATAATCCAATTTGTCGCTAGGAAATTTTGCCAAAATTTGCTTGATACCGATTATTTATGATACATAAATTCTAACAAAAAGTAAAAGTTCTCAAATGGATACTTACTACTTTCCCCAGGTATCCAATTTGAATCTTCAAGTTGATTTTGATAGATTTCTAACATGGTTGAACGCTTTAGATGCAACCACTTGGCAATCAATCAATCATGACTGGTAACAATGGAATTGTTTCAACAATGACAATGGTTGGTCAAAATGGAGTACCAATGCAAGTCGTTCATATTGCACAACCACAAGAGGTATGGAAAAAAGAATTGTTATTTATAAAACCAATCCTAGGTTGTGCATTTTGAAGATCAGCAGCATATGAGAGCAACGTTTCAAGCAGGAAATGTCACCCAGTCATCACAAGTGGTTCAGGTATTTTTTCCGAAATTTCTGACAAAGATGGAATTATAGGTGGCATATGTTGATGGAGATGGAATTGTGCGAAGAATGTGCCCAAGTGGAAGTCCCGTTGTGGGAGATGCGCCTGCAAGCTCTCCAAACATGCCTCCACCATCAGTGAATCATGAAGGAGCTCTCACTCCAATTCCTCCACCATCAGCTCTCTCTCAATCACAAGCCACAAATACGTCGCACACGATAACTATCGATACAAATGATTCCTCTTCATTGTGAGTTTTTCTAATCAAATACTTTATCGCTTTTATCGCTTTAGAGCTACCACTCTACAAATGCACGAAGAGATGCTGAAATTTCAACAGAAAAAGATCGAGGAAATGAGAGCTGAGCTAATCCGTTCTCAACAACAGCTCAGAGCTCAACAATCTCTTATTATGGTGGCAAAAAAGCAGCAAGTAAACTGAAATCAAAATCAACTTAAAACTGGTCAATGTTTAGTTTGGTGAAGGAGGTCGGACAGCCATGTCTGATCATTATTTGGCTCAACTCAAAAATGCTTACCGAAGCCATATGCATCAAGTGATGTTACATAAAGATCAAGAAGTACAATTACAGGTTTGAAAGTAAACACAAACAACCCAAAGACCAAAAGTTATAGCAACATGTATTGGAGCAAAACTCACTGGTGGCAGGAGAAGCCAAACTGCAAGAAGAACTTCATGTTGAACAAGCCGTAAATGATATTGTGAGACTCATCAAACAAGATGCCCGAACGGCTCTCCTGATTGTGCAACTTTTAAGAAAATATCAACTTGAAAGACAGGTAACAAGCAAATCTAAAAAAGGCTAAGTTTCTGTTTAGGCTGAATTGACCCAACAACAGAAGGCTCAACAAGAAAAGCAAAAGAAAAATGAAGATTCGCCGATTGGTGCACCACAATCGGTTCAACCCCAACCGCTCATCCCATCACCCACCAATCCGACTAAACGAAGCAAATCAAAAGCTAAGACACAGAATCCCGCTCCAGCTCCTGTGGATAGAGCTCATTCAGAAACACCGCAGCAAATGGTGAGAGATCTGGGCTCCCATCTTATTTTAAAAAATACGAATTTTAGAATAATAGTTCGTTGCTTGTCCCCGGAAATCCTCTCAGCCTCACCCAACAGAGACGAGCAAGCAATCCAGAGACTATGAGAAACAAGGAAGAAGTGGTTGAGGTGAGAATGAGGTATTGAAATGTAATCACTTGATTTAGATTCACACAATTTCTGATGATGAAACAGTCCATTCTGTGGTGAAACCTCCTGTCTCATCAAAATCAAAAGCAAAATCGAAGAAATCAAACAATCATCAAAATGGAGAACACCCACGGCCAAAAACTCAAGTTGACATGGAGGAAATTTTCAAGACTGTATTGAAAGATGCAAGTCGAGCCATTGGACAACAAATAAGCGATGATTCTTTCAGTGTAAGTTTAAAAAGATTGACATACTTCTGTAAAGATTCGAAAGTAACATGTATAATGAATAAGTTTTAGGATGGAGCTGCAACAACTGCCTATGGATCTCCGATCAACATTTCCCAAGAAAACATTGCTTTGGATGTGGCGTGCAATCTTTCCGTTCCACAAATGAATGCTGAAACGATTGTTGGTGAAAGGAATCATGGAGTTGATGCCCAAAATTTCATTGTAAGCTAATAGTAAGTTATTCAGAAACGAACTCGAAGTTTTCAGATGGTTCATCAACCGTGCACATCGGATATTCAAATGGATGAATGCTCAAGAGAAGCCGATACATCTCTTCATGGAGATCGAAATTTCCAGTCAGCAATTCTACCCTTCCATCCCTCACTGGAACACAATGCACAAACGCCTCCATGTTTTGCGAAAAACGAAGATTTTGATGACTTGATGGATGTGCTGAGGGATGATCAAGTACAATCAATCAGCTCAAATCAAATCATGGACTTTGGTCTTGGATATGGACAAGAAGAATTAGCAAAACTGATTGGAGATGATTGGATTGAATCAGCCGAGAGAAGTCTTAGACAAGAGAATCAGCATCATCATGATCAGGTAAACAGTCTAGTATATATAAAAGAGCGGTGTCTGTCTGTCCGTCTGTACGAGTTTTTTTTGCTGATAATGAATAAATCAAATCAATCTTTCCTAAATAGATCCTATTAAACTATTTTCTGAACAATTCAACATTTAGTCAGCTCAATCATGCGCAGTGGAGTGTCTTGGAGAATCTGGTCTCTTGGGTGGAAATGGAGAAGACACAAATATGGATTGGCTAGATATGATGCTTCAAAACGCTCCATTAGATGAAGGGACATTTGATGGATTAAGAACTCCATCTTTTTATCAAAGAAATCAAATGGATGCTCCTTGTTAATCCCCATAAAGTCCAACTCTAGTACTTTAAATTCAATCTGTGAGTTTAAGTGTAAGATTTAAGTCTGTAAGTAGTTCTTTTCATAAAAATAGTTTTTTCGCTTGCCTTTTTTGCAATTTGGTGCTTTTTCCTGTTCAGTTATTGTCTGTAACAATTTCCCCACACAATTCTGGTCACAAACGAATCGGTGAACTCTTTTCTCAAGGTTTTATTTTGATCTTTTTTTAGTAATTTCTTTTTTATTTGTTTTAGTCACAAGTCCTAGAAGTTATTGAATCTTTGCAATTTCTAGGATCTAGGATTTTTGTTACTTTTTTCCATTTCCGTATGATTCCACATGGTGTGATCCCCTCCTTAAATCCCATCGAGTGGGACACACAAAGAGAATTCCATCATTAAAACATTCTTCCGATCTTCCATCCATGATCAATCCATTCAATTCATTCTTTACTTTTCTGATCAAAACTTATGCTTGTATCTTTCGTGCTTTTTTTCTCAATCCATTGATAGACGTTGCTTAGATCCCGGGTTTTTTCACGCCAATTCAGTCAGCCTTCCCCCTCTCCATCGTTTGCTGTTTCCCGTGTTTTTTATTTCAAGTTTTAATGTGATTTTTCAAAAAAAAGCAGTTGCTAAAACGATAAGAAGTATCAAATATTTGAAAAATCACATGAACATGTTTCACTGATTTGTGTCTTTTCGGCCTTGCTGGTTTCAAGTGTTCACCCACGCAACAATTAAGGGTGATATCTATTTGTGCATTAGAGAAATAGCCCGATGTTTTACCTGTGAATTTTGTGAACACTTTCTCTTTATATATTGGATTGATCATTTCGGTGTTGATCTAAAGTTCTTCACTAGTGATAGGGCTAGCAATTTTTTTATGGCTAACCAAGCCTTTTCCACCTAAATATTTTCCAGTTTGTAAATCTGTTCCCCTGTATTCCATTCCGACAAAAAACCATTCTGAAAATAGGTTTACTGAAAATTCATTTTGAGTATGTAAATTAAGCTTTTTCATTTTGCAGCTTTCTAAGTGGGCCTGATGATAGTGTGAATAAATTTGTGCTTAAACATTTATTTTAAAAAAGCAAAATAGCACCAAAATGAACGAAAAAAGAATCGTCACAGAAGTCTGTCAACAAATAGATTTTAAAAAGCGTCTAACTATAAATCTTTTTTCTCTCCTGGGTTGCTAAGTTGAGAATGATTGGAAGCGGTTGAGCTTTGCAGTCTTTTACGAACAACTGGTCCATATTCATTCACCTGGGATTAAACAACTTTTTTCATACATTAAAATTCATGTTCAAATTGATAATCAACTGTTTTTAGAGTACCTTTTTGACTAGAGTAGCTTCATCCATTGTGTCATCTAATTCCTTCAAAAGTAGCGATCTCTCTTCCTCGGTCATTTGCTATTCTTGCATTTGAAACAATGAATCAACTTGGAACCAACCTGCATTAGTTGCAAAGCTTCGCTTTGTTCTTCACCAATTGTGTTAATTGAAGTGGTTCTTTGTAATCGTTCAAAGTAACGTTTTTGGTGGAGTTGAACTAATTTGCTTGAAACCTGAAAATCCTCGAGTATTTGAATTGTATTTTAACGACATACCTAGGTAGCCAAATTTCAAGAAAGTTTTAACTGTTCTTTTCACAATCTATTCAATTATTTAACGAACCCTTTCCCTTTTCAGCATTCCATCCCATTCAAGATCAACTAATCCTCCTTTTTGTGCAATCGCTCTTTTCACTCTTCTCGCAAAAGCAATCGCATCTTCTCCCTCCTTCAATTCTCTTCTTTTTTTCAAAAAACCAATTTTCCTACTTGTTTTGTCATTTTGGGTAGATACCAAATATCGCAAATAATCGCCCATGATGTCATCATACGCCACAAATACTAAAAGCAAGGAGTTGCGGGTCAATGCTTTTTAAATCAACTCTCCTACCTCACCATATGACTGTTCAGAAGAGTTCCAGAAAGCATCGGTTAATCGACTATCATATTTCATAGCTATTGGGTAGATTGTCGAACCTATCTGAAATTGAGTGTTTTTAATGTTTAAATTTTGATTTTTAAGCTTTAGTCTAACCTCAAATGACCCTTTTTTGAACATCATAACTCCCGTGTTGTTAATGCAAGTACCTTCCGGAAAAATGATAATTGGAAGTTTTGATTCATCATTTGTATGTTCTTTCAGTCTAAATTTAAGTCTTTTAGTTCTACATTTACCAAAAGCTAGCCAACCTTTCCGTGACTTGTTTTCGATCGTTCGCCTCACTACGTTCAAACCAAATATGATGTTCACCACGACTGAGAGCTGTTTGCATAAATCCTATATGTAACTCATAGAAGTTTTTATCGCATAAATAGTAATTTAAACACTGAACCTAAAATTCCTCCTTGTTTTTGCCCAATCATTGCATAACAATTGTCAGTGCTCAAAATGAGAACATCAATTGGTGAGGTGTGATTTGCCACACATATTCCACCACGATCTGCTCGATTTTCTCTGTAAATTTATAAAATGACTATGGCTGAGAAAAAGCCCGGACAGACAGACTCTGCTCTTTTACGTACAGTAGATTAATTACTCAATTTCTGTCTTAGAGAGCTAAAAGTTTGATCGTTTGTAGTACAAGAAATACCGCTGCTGAACAGTAACTCACTGATCGTGGTAGCGAATAATCGAAGAAAAACTTCTTGCCACGATTCTCATTGACATTAGCATTGCATGTCGATACAACCATTTTCGTGTTCTTAATTTTTATCGTTGCTTCAATTTAAACTATTAACAAATACCCTTGATGAGGGATGAGTCCAATAGTGAAACAAGTGATCACCATCATGAAAAATCCCACTCCGAAAACGGCCGTTCGCAAGGGAACAAGCACAAAATAGCGAAGGAAAAATCCGCCAACCCATAGCGTTGTCAACTTCCAACTGAAAAAAATATTTTTGAGATCAAGAATGCAGCTAAGTAGCTTGAAGGAAAGAAAAACCATGCATAAAAAGAAAGTCTAGTCATGCGGTATTCTACTCACTCACCCCAACGGCAACATTTGACCTCTGAATAAGAAAGTTAAAACTACAAACACGTAAAATCAAATGAATAAGAATTTACAAAATACACAATTCTATAATTCTTACCTAATATACTGAAACGAAAACCGGGTTCTTGTGAGTAGATTCCATGATGGAAGTTGTTCGGCCTTAAACCGACTTGTGACTTGGTCCTCGATTATTGCCTTCCATTCCTGCCTAGAAATCTAATTTCTAAAATATTATTTATTTTCTACCGTAATGAAATCAAGACTGTCATTAACGATCACTCTAACAGTCTTTTGATTGCCTGGTTCGATCTCATTTCCATACAATTTTGACTCAAGTGCTTCGGATTTCTCTCGAACAATCAATGTGCCTAAAACCGAAATCGGTGAATCTTTTGCACATTTGAAGATTTCTACAATTTTAATAACACAGACCAATATCGCTACTGGAAGATCTTCTCAGTCGAGTTGTTCCTTCGAGAGTTTCATCAGTTTCATACTCGATCTCATTAATTGGATATGCCGAAGAACCCCACTAAATTTTTTTTTTACTTACGATGTGTTCCAAAGACAACCAAAAATTTAAATCATATATTTACCTCAAATATCCGCAACAAAACATCAGCGTAGAATTCTCGAATACCAAGTGACTTGCCAAATGTCGCGAGGATAATCACTACTATCAATAAAAGCACAACGGGTGGTACCAACAATAGTAATAAAATTCCAAACATCCGAATTTACTTTTGTTCTGAATACTTTCAAGCAATCAAGTGTTCTAAAAAATTTTCTTTTGCTCAATCGAAAATTTATTCTCTGGACAGAATAGAGGCAAAAGGGTTTGAGGCAAGATAAGTGTATAGGTGAAGCAAAAGATAAAAGGGTCAACGGTGGGACAACACAAAACAGACCACCAGGAATCAAGCATAATTTCTCTTATGATTTGGCATAAACAACATCCGATGGGCTGAAAGTTCAACTTTTGAAAGATGCTAGCTGTCTGGAAATTTTAGTTTATTGTTAGGCACTCAAACGCAGATACCTAGCGTTTTGTATTTTCCCTTTGGCAAAAAATCAAAAGAAAATCAATTGCCGGATGAAAAGGAGTGACTTGTGATTAGAAAGAAAAAAGTTGTTTATTGGGTTCCTTTCATATATTTGGGAAAAGAGGGGTCAATCTCAAAAATACGAGTAGCGATAGGAAATGAGAGAATTTGGGAGAAAAGGTAACAAGAGAGGGAAAAGGGAAAGTTCCTTGTGAAATATCTATTGCTAATCTTTCTCTTTCTTTTCTTGAAAACCAGCAGCAGCAAGGCAAAGTACAAGTCGACAATAAAATATGTTTTCGTAACTTATTTGATTTTACATATGTGTTTAGTTATGTATATTATTAGATTTCAACATTCTGAAATTTATTGATTGAGTAAACAGAATAAACCCGTTTTAATATATTTTTTGCAAATGAATTTATTTTCCATGTGCATCACCCAATTGAACTTCTTGACTTTCAGCCAACAAATCAGAGCTTCGATTGTGAGATTGCAATTTGTTCGAAGCTGCTGCCTAAACCTTTTCCTAAGTGATTATTAAACTTTATCATAAACAAAAATACCTTTGCTTTCTTCTGTTTATCGATTCGTTTCACCACACATTTATACCATAAAAAGATCATCACAAAGCTTAGAATGAACGGGAGAAATACGGGAGCAATAACTGCCTGAATTGTATGCAATTGTTAAGAAATCAAATCAGGTAACTTGCCACTAACGCAATAATTCGCTGTTCACTGAAAAGTTCATTGCCCAAACCAGTAGAAGATGGATTCTGTATAGGTTAAAATTTATTTGTGGATTTAGTGATCTTGCAACCTGTTGTACATCAGGATCGATCCATCCATTATCAGCTAATCGATTATTCCCGGCTGATTCCGACATCGAAATAGAATTGGTGTTTGCAAGAGTTGAAGTGTTTTCGAGTTCCCCTTTTCACTTCAAGAATGGCAAGCTGTGGGTATGGGTTGGCACTCGTTTTCTCCCTTTTTCTCTCCAATGGTCGGCAATGGTCGTCACACGAGTGGAGGGATTCCTGGAGAAGGCAAGAAGGCAGAGCAATGGAAAGAGAAAAACTCCTCCTCACAAAAAGCAAGACCGGTTTCTCTCCTTTTTTTTGTCCTTAAGTGGAGAGATTTGCGGTTGATCGGAGACGAGTCGAGAAACACCCAAACAAAATGAGAATAGGTTTTAGTCGTAACAAGTTAAAGATACAAAAGGTAATATGGATGAGACGAATGGATGGCAGAGTTCAGGACTATTTGGAGAATCCAAAAGATAGGATCTAAAGGTCAAGGTGGAAATTAAGACAAAAAGCAAGATGGCTGAAGAAAAGAAGACTTCGCTAAACCGGATCAGTTTTGCCTGAAATTATTTGCAATCCATCAAAAGGTCTTCCGGGTTTTGAAATTCTTTCTTGATTTAATTCGATGTTATTAGGCTGTCCAGAAAGTCTTTTCTTTCATGATAAATATTTCTTATTCTTTCTATTAATCGATTGTAAATTAAGCTAGTGGATTTATCTTTTTGCATTGCATCGATTGTGACTTGAACTCAATAGCACATTTACCTAATAAACGTTAGGTGTGCAGTGTTTTATTGTTTTTAGATTGCAGTTTTTGTCAGAGGAAAAGGCACTTTATTATAGAACCCTCATGAAAGGTATTATAGTTACAACAATGACATGAAATTAAAAATATTTGGCAAAAAAGATACCGGTGAAAGGGGAAAAAAAGTGCGTAGCTACACGTTTTGATTGAATGTTTTAATCGTTAACGAGTGTTAGATGAAGACAAAATGTACAGAAATTGAAAACGATGGGTCTGCAAGTCAGAAAGCTAAGCGAAATCAAAGTAGAAATTAACACGAATTGTCAATTTGCAATCAAACTGGAGCCACAGCAGAAGAGATCGAATTTACTTCTTCATCCTCATCTTTGTCGCGATTTTTCTCGGCTTCGCCATCAAGCTGAATATTTGTTGAATAAATTTAGATTTAACGAAGCTTTTGAGCCAAGTTTTTCCCTAATAATACCTACGGAGCAAAGTTCAAAATCACCGTCTCCAGTAATTTATTGTATGGCTTAGGCTCTGTGTTGTTGCTGCCGAAAGTAGCCACCATTATCATTACCATTCGTATATTTGCAACTTTTTGTATTTCACCCACCACCAAAAGTTCAAATATAGAAAACAAATGCGGAAGGACATAAACCCGAGAAAAGGCAATAAGAATAATTGCAAATGGAAACATCCAAGCGGTTCTCTAAAAAACTTCAGTAAATTCCTTTGTTTACAAGAAAAAGAACCCGATCCATTTTGAGAGCCAATGTCACAGTGACTAGCACCACTTGAATCCCTGTGTACAACCAGAGCTTTTTAGGGTTTATCTATAATAGTTCTTTTCAAATTGACATACTCATTTTCTTACCCGATCATATCCAGAAACCGCTTTTGAGTAATGCTTCAATGGCGTCACGATTAACAGAGCTCTTTCGACCAACCGAATATCTCGAAGATTTCGACAACCCAAATACATAAACACACCGAATAAGACAGCCATTGGAACACTTATTGTGTTATCTAAAAAGGTAATGACATAAATCATTCTGATGACTCGTACCTAGTTCTCCTCCAAGAATGATAACTACAACGAACAATATGGCCACTCCAAATGTCGATACTCTCTGTTCGATGACATACAATGGTTCTAGAATCTTCAATAGTTCTTGAAAGGCTTTTTAATCTCACCTTCTTTCTCTCCTGGTGCTTTTCTTTTGTTAACTGTTAAAGCATCGATGTGAGCCATTGATTGAGCTGCTGCTGCACACATCCATGGTAATCCAAATGTTGAACAAAGTGCTGTTAGTAGGCCTGAAAAATAAAATTTTAAAAGTGCTGTTTATCAACATTAAATTGTTTCTAATAGTTACTTCTTTTTGAATCAATTTATGGTTTAAAGTTATTTACCCATTAAAATCACATCTCCGTGAAGACCACCACCTTTGGAGACTCGTTTTTTCTTCAGAATCAACAATCTTAAACTTATTTCATATTTTAAAGAACAGCTCAAATACTCAGTGATGCCAGTTTCCAAAAACAAAAGTGTGTAAACAAGGAATCCAGCAAGAAGCGCCAATGCGTGAACTTTGCATGAATGCTCTTTTAGAGAGATTTCAAAAAGACCAAAAAATTTCTCATTTGAAGACCACAATTTCTTTCGATCAGTCATATCAATTTCCTTAAAATACGTTTTTGATGTTATTTCCTATTTTCATGCCTGTAATTGAACATCCCCAGACAGAATATAATAAGCAGCAGTGGCGATGCCCACCGATAGAACGGCTCCAAAATCAGAAATCACTCGTCGAAGCTGGAATCCTTTTGCTCGAAAAATTACTAGATTTTTATACAAACCCGTCTCTCGATGCGAAATGAGTTCTTGGCGTTCTTGAAGATATTGGCCAGTTGGAAAGTTCCGAGGAAAAGAACCAAACTCAAAAGAGCCACATTGGGAGAACCTTTTGAAGAACAATTTTCTTTCACAGTCCCGTTTTGAAGTTGCTAAATTTATTTATCAGCTTGATTCAAGCCATTGCAATTTACGTTGCTAAATGTTACGTTACCTTTCCATTCGATGTACAATCTTCGTAGTGTTTGAGGTTCATGATTGGATTTTCGTTAAGAGCCGATTGCAAGAAAAAGAAGCTCTCCATGATAAAAATGGCACAAATCAATGTCTCAAATATATCTTCCGTAAACGATGTAACTAAAACATGTTTATAAAGTATAACTTCCCAATTTGAAACCTTTGTGTAATAACTTCGAGAGTCCAAAACAGCAATGAACAATACAAATCACCAAGCACCACCATCCTGTGAAATATCGCACTGTTTGATAATCCACTCCCATTTCCGTGCTGATCTAAAAAGTTTTCAGTATTAATTTAAAATTTCTTTGCTGACCTCATAAAGAGCCACTTCAAAAATGAGAACCGGTCCAGTTGGAGCTTGAATGATCAATGGTTGACAAGAGGCAAACGACCAAATTCCATTTGATAGTACCATTGAGATCAAAGTTTGGAAAACTCCAAACTGATTATTTGTGTATTTGCCTAGAATTGTCTGATAGTTGGATAATGTTTTTAATAACTCACCCAAAAGTCCGCCAAAACATAAGCCAGCAGGGATTGTGGCGATGAGAGTAAAGAGAGTCGCCCAAATCACTTTCTTGTGGCAAGCATCTGTCCAATCACTCCTAAAAACAAAGTTTCATTTTTTGTCAAATAAAATCACATTGCAAAATCGTTTAATCTGAAGTTAAACTTACGAGAATTGTTGAAATCTCCGTTTGTAATCTCTAATCACTCCACCAAAGAATCGCCGTTCTCTCATTGAATGCCAGAAGGCATCTTTTGGCACAATCAATGTTGTTTCTTCGTAAAATGGAGCAGCTAAATTTTGTTTAGTATTAAAATTTTATTCTATTTTTTTGCCTATAAAGTACATAAAGCTAAAAACATACGTGCAAGATGAACTTTTCCTTTCATATCTTGGACAATCCATTGAGGATGAATTCCTGCAACTCTTTTTCATTTTTTTCTTTTTTTCTAATTAATACCGCTTTTCTTTCTTGTTATTGCTACTTTTTCTGTCCATCTTCTCTCTCGTTCAGCCAAAGTTTGTCGAATTTCATCTGTTCGAATCAATTTTCTGCTATCGATGCTTCCAGGAGGGATAATTATTGCCTCTGACAAAAAACTAAACACAAAACAGTCAAATAAATGCAGTTTAATTACCAGTCAAGATTTTGCGCAATATCGTTAGCTGATTTTGCCGTGTATAATAACGGTTTAAAGATCTAAAATAAAGTACAAAATTTATCCGGTTGCTAATTTTATAAACCTTATTCGAAAGGACCGCGCAGAGTGCCTTTCCGGCTTGAAGCGAATCAAGAATTTCTGGTTGTGGCGGAACACACAAAAAGATAAAGAAACGAACAGCCACATTACCCTGCAAACAAACTTTTTATAGTAAATTCTCAATAAAATATGAGTGTTTACCTCCTTTCCACAAATCGGAGTTGACAAACGACAAATAACCAGTCGACTCTCTTTCATTCCATATTGCTCACAAACATACACCTACGAATTTAAAGATTAATACAGAGTGGCTAATAAGTATTGTCGCGTGCCTGAAAGCGTGTTACTCCTCGAGCTTAGTGCCAAACCTCATGAGTAACATATCAAAATGTTGCTAAGAGTCTAGGAAATCTAAATATACGCATGGATTTTTGAGACAATGCCTGTGAAAGATTTTATTGCGATTTTATTCTTGTGCTTCTCAAACAAGACAAGACACAAGACGCTGTTCGCTTTTTTATAGTGCAAATTAGATTTCCTAGATTTCTGGCAATATTTTTTTATGATTCCGAACTAATCTCGAGGAGTAACACGTGTTCAAACACGCGATAATACTTATTAGCCACTCTGTATTAACATTGTTAATAATAGTAAACCTGCACAACATCGGCAGCTTCAGCTACTAAAGAATCATCAAGCATCGGCTGGGCTCCATCTCGTTCTGGATGATAAAAAAGAGATAAGCTGTAATTGGAGCTTTGATTTGCTTTTTGGGAATTTTCTTACGCTCTGCTTCTCTTGAATGATTCTCTCAGTCGATTTCCATTACGGAAGTCAGAATCAGTGCTTCGGCGTGGGAATGCTGTCTCAGCTAGACTCTATTTAATAAAGCAAACTTTATTTTAACTCACAAGGTACAATAGAAGGGTTTCGATTCATGATTGCCGATCTAGTGTGAGGTAACTAAATTGGATTATAATGCTTCAGTAAAAACGAGTCGTTAAACCATTTGTCCAACCGAAGAATTTCGAGGTATACGATCTTTTGGAGTCCATCTAAATTCACTTTTTGTTTTTACTCTTGACCTATTCTTACCCATCGGCTGCCAGCAAAGAATGAACATGTTCTTTCATCGTTGGATTGTTTTGCACTAATTCCTGAATTTAAGATGCTTTTCCCAATAGAAACTCTTCCAACTTTTGTCACAATATCACATAATTCCATGTAGTGTTCAACTGTGACGTCAAGAATTGTGGCCCCTAAAACTTCTCATGGATCTGGATAATTGGCTGGGAAACACATGGAAACAATAAAGATTGCAACGCACCTTTTTGTAAAACGTTTTTTAGATATTGAAAATAGAAGAAGAGAATTGTTGGTTGATAGGGTTCTCCCCATTTGGTGTTTCCACCGGTTACATCCTAAATTGGCACATTGTTTGACACAAGCAATAAAAATAAATTGAGTTGAACTTTACTCATGAAATTGGAATTACCCACCTCTTCGTATCGTAGAAAGCGAGATGCCTCTTTCCATTGAAGTTCCTCTGGATCGTGATGGTAAAGCTCGAAGAGCAGCTAAATTTTCCGTTTGTCATTTAAATTGTAAACAAAAAATAATGTTTCTTACTTAGTTGATTTTTGAAAAACTCACAGGAATTGAAGCGCCGTCGACTTGTGAAATTTGCTCCAAACTCGGTTCACCCGGAATCATAAAATCTAAATTTAGAAGCCACTTGAAGATTTGGTAGAACTTGAAAAGCTTAATAAAGTTTTCAACATTGTAGTGTTTCTTAAGACCGAATGTGTATTTTGCAGCTAGGCAGCTAGCCAAAATTGTTGAAGAAAGGTGGATTTTAAAGGAGAACTTTATTGAGAATGTGGAAATCCCTTTGATGGAATAAAAGGAATAAATTTCGGTAGTAAGATTTTGCTTGAGCTCCGCTGTATGATTCATGCTAGATTTAAACAAAAAAAAATATTTCTAAGGCTTTTGAAAATAAACAGAAAGATTTTGCAATAACTCTTTTAACCAATTCAGTTTCGTAAACAAGATGCTAACATGATGGATTGCGGGGAAATAGGTAATCTCAAGCTGGAAGTATTGGCGTGTTTTGTAAAGAGATCTCTTCTCACATTGAAACGAACATAAATAATCGTGGTTTTTAGAATGAAAAAGAAAAGAAAGCAAGGATTTCCTTTGTGATGGCCTCGATGAACATATGTTTCCTCCTTCTTCTTGAACCTATTGAGAGTTCACATGTGTGTGTTGGCACGCGAGTTTCTCCCTTCGTTTCATTGGGCTTCCACTTGATCCTTCTTTACTTTGAAGTGAATGAAAAGGGTGAAAGCTTCAAGAAGAAAGTTGTTGTGACTTTTCACACGAATTAGCTCCCTGATTTTAACTCTCGAAAGGGGAAAAGCTCTGATTTAAAACCCACGAAGTACTTTGGCATTTTCTGGAGAAATTCTGAAAATATGTAGCCCTAGAAAATTTACGAAATCTATGAATCATCTTAACTTTTTCGATTTCTAAATATTTGCAAACAGCACAAGATCCGTAATAGCAGAAATTTAAAAAAAAATAATCTTTATAAAAAGTGAGTCATAATTGCAAAAACGTATGCTATATTTTGAAAAAAAAAATTGTAGCCATTATTTTTGTGAGAAGTGGAACGCCCATTCAAAAGTAGTTGAAGGCTAGAGGGGTAGAGAGGCGGATTGAAACGTGTTCGGGGATTTCCCCGTCCAAGTCCAGAAAAGAAATTTGAGGCCTAGTCTTCCTTCATCTTTTCCCTCCTTATCCGTCCACCACTTCTATTCAATCGGTCTTCCGCTTTTTTTAAACAACCCCCGGAAAAAGGTCATATACTACAACAACAATTCAGAGGATTAATCGGAAAAATGGATTGTTGGAAAAGGAAAAGAGTCAAACAATGGAAAGTTAAAGAAAAGGAGTTGTAAAAACCCTAAATTTAGCTCTCAAAGCTTTTCAAGATAAAAAATGGATTCAAAGACCCAAGGCTATGGCCGAAAATTCTCATTTTGTGGCCATCCAAGTGACCATCAAGTGGCCGATATTGGCCCTGCTTCTTTCGGAAAAAGAGACACTGAGATCTTTATTGTTTTTGGTTTTCAATCCACAAAAATTTTAAGTCATGTTTCGTCAATTGTTTTTTGTTACAAAAACGAGAAATCTCTTCAGTATACCCACGTAAAAATCGATTCAATCCGAGCGTTAATTTTCGCAGGAAATCCATTATGAAGGTCACATTCAAATTTTGAACCCAATCCACCATTTTTTGCACTTTTTATATAGTGCCAAAAATGGGGACAAAAAGAGGTTATCAGTTTGAGCTTAAATGGATGAATAACCCTATTGTTCTTCCCAACACAGAATAAGCCTTTTCCATTGTCTGTTAGGTGATAGCCAAGGAACCCTCAAAAGAACAAAAGGAAATCACTGCACGAGCACAGATTTTGGCATCATTTGAGAAAATGAATTCAAATGGAAATAAGATCCCATGTGAATCCTTAAATATTCCCCGATGAACTTGGATTCCGTTGTCTTTTTGACAATGCATGAAGACCAAAAGATTCAATAGAAACGTGGAAAAACGAAATTAAAAATTTTGGCAAAATCTTAAAGGATGTCTATTATTGGAATAAAAAAGAACAGACTTCAAGCCATGGTACATTTTTTCATATGTAATTGCAAGAAGATAAATTTGTAGTCACTAAGAAGGCCACTTGCTTTATCCAACAGTTTTTGCATGGTGACTAATACTAGTTTACTCAAAATGTAAAGATCAAAAAACATTCGCGTTTCTAATGTTTTGTCTTTTTTTGTATCAAAACGAACACGAGGAGGTTTTTTAATTTAGGAGCAGATTACAAATTTTGGGTGGACAAGCGATGGATAGATTGAAGGATGGATGGACAGACCCCATCCCATCCTTCCTCTTCCCCAATCCTCCTCCTCTTTCCACCGATAAACCTTCCTGTGCCTTCTTTTTTACTCATTTCTTTTCGCGAACAAATCAACAAGTCTTTTCTTTTTCGAAGGTCTTTTGGAAAAAACGAACCAAAACCAAAATTGCGCCTTCAATTTGGTAACTTTAATCCCGTGTTTAAAGAAGAGGAACTGGAGAAATTATCTCAAGAAATGGCGACTACAAAATCAAAGTTTAAATTTTCGCAAAATTGCTGAGTTTGCTGAGTTTTGAACAGACTCTTAAAAAAATATTTTAAAAAATGTGATGGGGAAAAACTTACTATTAGGGGATTTTTCTAAAATACTTAAGTTATCGAGTTATATACAAAATCGGGTGAACGATGTACATGGTAAACCGTCGGTTTTTATTGGATTTTGCTTTAAAATATAAGAAAATGTTTTGATAAAACATCAGTTTAAATGCCACCAACAATTGTGAGAGGAATAGAGAATTTGAATTTGAGAGGTGAAATATGAATCTCCCAAGAGGGATTTGATCCCTGGGGACTTTTCTCCAAAAGTGACACAGGATTCCTTTTGATATCCAAAGAATCAAAAGGTTCCAAAATCTTTCCACTTATTGGTAAACTTTTTGATCGGCATCAACAATGAAAAATAAGGTTTCTGATTATTGACGGACAAAAAATTAACTTGTAAAAGCGTCGAAAAGGTTTTGTAATTGATTTGATTCTAAAAAAATCACCGTGACTATCGAAATCGGAAGAACGTCTGTTGATCATCTGACGTGAAGAATTGCAAGAAGAGGCACGGAGATCTGAAAGAATAAATATGTAGAGATGAATGTAGAGACGCACAAATACAGATGCATTAGTTTTATTAACTCTTGGCCGGAGAACACGAGAAAAAGGTCTATCGGGGTCGTGATGAAGTAAATGTGATTACCTTTGCTCAACGCAAGAAGAGCGATATTCATAGCTTTGAGCCTGAATTGAATGAGGAAACTATGAAGGATTCTTTTCTTTTGAATGATGACTCGGCAATCACGAGCACATATTCATAGATTATCGTTTGTTCCAAAAAATTAATTTCGCTCTTCCAGTCGAGGGGATATGAATTAGAATAACATTTATTTATTCAAGAAGTTTATCTAAAAACAGATGTGAACCTCAAATAAGTTCAGAAAGTCTTTTCGTTCCTTTCTACTTTCATTGAAAAATAAAAAATTCACCAATTAAACTATGGTTTGCTCTAAATAAAAAGTGTTTATTGAACAATTTCCCATCCTTTTAAGTCAATTTGGGTTCACTTTTAAGCAAATTCGAGAGTGAAAAAGTGTTTTTCGTAAAAATCTATAAAAATCTCCACGAAGAAATTGTCTTAATCAATTTCTCTGAAAATTTGACTATTTATCTAATTTTTTGTTCTCTATCTTTTATCTATTGACACCTAGATAGGTTTCCTTAGCTAAAGTGTCTAAAGTGTCATTATCGAGCCGTCGCTCTTTTTGGCTACCCGACTTCACGCTCTCAAAAAAATCCAGATATCAGAGATTTTAAACCCGTTTTAATGTTATTTTGCAGAAAAATAATTGGCCTTTCTAATGAAACAAACCGTAGTTCAATTTGTTGGTTTTAAACGGAAATTAGAAAAAAAACGAAAAGACTTTCTGGAGAGCCTAATAGTCAGTGCCTCAATAATTAAATGAATGGACAAGGCGTTCGCGTTAAATACCCCTGCTTTAAACATTTAGACCTTGTTATTAATCTGCGAAAAGCGTAAGATTGTGGGTTTTTTGATTTTTCATAGGATAAAACCTTAAAACTAACGGTCATGCCCATGAGAATCGTAATGTTTTCTGTCTTGTGTTTTCTGTTTCTGTTTTTTTTGAAAAATAATCACCAATTAATCTAGGGTTTGTGTTTTGCTCTAAATAAAAAGTATTTATTGTTCAATTTCCCATCCTTTTAAGTCAATTTCAAGCAAATTCGAGAGTGAAAACGTGATTTTCGTAAAAATCTATTAAAATCTCTACGAAGAAATTGGCTGAATCATTTTCTCTGAAAATTTGGCTATATGCCTAGCTTTTTGTGCTCTATCTTTTATCTACTGACACCTAGATAGGTTTCCTTAGCTAAAGTGTCTAAACCGCATCATCGAGCCGTCGCGACGGCTCGATGCGTCGCCCTTTTTAAACTACCCGACTTCATGCTCCCAAAAAAATGCAGACATAAGACATTTTAAACTAGCTTTAATGTTATTTTGTAGAAAAATGATTGGCCATTCTAATGAAACAAACCGTAGTTCAATTGGTGCATTTGTTGGTTTTAAACGGCAGTACGAAGCGACTTTCTGGACAGCCGAATACTTAAAAATTACCTAACTTGTAGACTGTAAGCAAAATAAGTGGCTAGCTAGCTAAACAGGAAAACAATTTTTGGTAAATCAATTTTACTTTGGGCATGTTAGTCCTAAAAGATACGGTTCTGGGAAAATTTTTTGATATGTCGTCTACGTTATGAACAAAACGAAATAAACGCAAATACCCAAGAAAGGATAAATTTCAATACAAAAATTTCAATTTCACGCCCCCGTACAAAAAGAAACAAATCAAGCCCTATTGAAATCATTCTGCTCAGAATGGGCTTTTAATTTTCAAAAGAAAGGTGCAAAATTGTTCCGATTTCAACCAAGAAATACAAAAAAACTGGAAATAAATAAAAAATTATGTTTGTGACACAAAATTCAACCCCTCAAACAATCCCATTAAAATCTTCAACAACTCTCAATTATCTTTCGGGCAAAGATTTACGTCAACTTGAAATAATATTTGGCTATCTAACAAATTGCAAAGTTTAAAAAATGCAATGTTTTCGATGACAAGTATTGCCAAAAATGCTTCCCAGTGAAATTCCCCACAAATTTGTAGCAGCGGTTTATAGAAAATCGGCTATGGCAAAAGCCAAAAACAGATTTATGTGGTAGAGAAATGACTTAATAAAACGAAAGAAGAGAAACAAACCATCTCCGAGATTGAATTGTACCCGACTACGTTTAGCTGGGCCATCAGATGGATGGAGATGAAATGAAGAGGGAATGAGGAGAGGAGACAAATGGCCATCCTCCACTCCTTCATCATCACTTGTTGAAGTCATTGTAAACATTTGACGAGGTGATGGACTACTAAAAATAAATCGTTTTGGATTAAATGTCTGAGATTTATTTTTAAGTGCTTAAGAAAGCCTGGTTGATTGGTAAAGTAACTTTTTTAGCAATAAGTTAAATTTATTTAAATCAGTAAGTCACAAAAATAGAGTTGTGGAAAACTTGCTCCATTTGTGGCTGACTCTCAGATTTTGGGATAGTAGTAGTTGTCGTCTGAATTTTTCATTAACGAAAGAATGTTTGGTGAAAGCTACCTGTGGAGAGTCACAATCCTCCATTTGTTGCCACTTGTCGCATTCTATAAAGACTTTTCATTTCAAGCTACTTACTTTTAACCCACCGGAAGCAGAATGTGAATGATTCGGATTTACAAAGCTCATTGATCGGCATCCAAGAGCTGAATTTCAAATTACAAAATATTAAGAAAAGAAATCAAGCCACAAATAGAAACTTCCTTGTTCACTTCATTCAAAGCAATTTAACCGTGAATTGAAAAAATTAGGTCAATTTGTGTGAAAAAACGTCTCTGAAAGTTTTAGAAGTACTTCCGGGACATAAAAAGGAACATATGAGAAATTTGGAGGCAAAAGGCAAGAGCAATTATATGAAAGCTTCATGAACAAAAAGAAACCCGAAATTTTGATGTCAGATTTCCGTTTTTCTTTGAGAAGATTAGTATCTTTGAGAAAAAAAAAGAATTATTTGCGGATAAATTTTTCATCAAAAAGCAGAGATTAAAAAAATCTGGATTGAAGTTGATTCGAAGTTGCATTCAAAAGATAACATCTCTTGGTTTTCATCTAGCGTATCAGTTTAAAGACTACAATCATATAATTCTTGAATACCAAAATGAGCGAACATTGTTGTGGCTAAATCCCTCTTTTTTCGAAGCAACAGGTGCAACCTTGGAGGCGGGAAATTCATGTTTTATGGCTAAAAAAGTCTAAATAAAAATGATGAATAATATTCTTTCCTTTAAGAAAATTAAGCTTGTTATTACATAACAGCCCAGTAGTAAGATTTTGAGTTTAAAACCCAAAGAGTTTAGAACGTCGTTCAAAAGCTATACCGATCACTGATTTTTAAGTATTAGTGAAAAGGAAAAAAAGAGAAAACCCTTGATTTCCTTCAAAAAAAAAGAAAATAGTGAAGTGTGAGCTTTTCTACTCGTCTAAATAGTGAAGTGTGAGCTTTTCTACTTTTCTGCAATTCTCGTCCCCTTTCTCCTTCTTTCACATATCAAAGAATCAAAGGAAATGAGTCTGTTGCGTAAATATTCACAACCTACACAGCTCAATATACTTCTCCCGTTGGGAAATCAATGATTTTTGAATACCAAAATGCGAGAAAATTGTTGTGGCTATATTCATCTTTTTTCAGAGTAACAGCTGCAACTTTGAAAGTAGAAAATTCAAATAAATTCCAATTCAACACGGATCAATTGAAAAAGCACAAATGATTTATGTTTTCGAAAAGATAAAACCAAGTTTTTGCCCATAAACGGGTCAAATAGCAGAAAAAAAGCGAGATAAAGGTTTTGATAGGTCCTTGGTTTTTTGCTCTCGCTTCCAAAATCAGGTTTGAGAATAAAATTGAAAAAAAATCGTAACATTGAATCAGAAGTCAACCACTCATCCAATATTTTTGTTGTGAATGATTGATCTGAATGTGAATGGATTTCGAGATTCTCGGTAGATAAAGGCTTTCCCTCCTTTTATTTTCTCACTTTCATCAACGATTCTTTTTCGAGAGATCCATTTGAGAGTTTTTCCCCGTCTTCACACAATAAAAATATTTTTTCAAAAAGCCATCTTGCACGTGATATCATAACATCTAAAGAGAACGCAAAAAAACGCTTTCATTTATTTAAAGACCAGCAAAAAACCACCAGCTGGATGATTTGGGGCTGAAAAATAGTTTTTGTCGCCGTGGCGCAGTCAGGAGCGCCATCCCGGGTTCGATTCCCCGTAGTGCCACTCAATTTTGTTATTTTAAATAGCACAACTATATTATACTTTAAGACTTTTTAAAAAATTTCGATTTTTTGGCCTAAAGACGGCTGAGAATAAGTTCGTACAGACGGACCGACGGACAGACACTGCTCTTTTATATATAGTAGATTCTGATTCAATAAATTAGGCACTAATTAAATCGCGTAATGCTTTTCTGAAGGTCATAAGCCATGTACTATAATTTATTTCAGTTGAACCTGGATAGAAATTTCAAGTAACGACTTCAATAGACTCCGCCTGATCAAATTTCACGTTGAATCTTCTTTTTGACAACGCTTCCGTTGAGATAAAACCTTTCTATACAAGAAAAAAAAATCGAGGTTTTAGAAATAAAAAAATACTGCAGCAATGAAAACTAGGAATTTTTCATGAAACCTTTCAAAAAACAACTGCTCCATAGTGACCTGTGGACAACCCCAAACAAAAAGAAGAGTTTTATGAGTGATCTGTCAAAAAATGAATGATTGAATGAAGGAACCATGTTTGTTTAAGACTGTATTTGAGATGTTTAGGATTCACGACACATCGAAAAGATCAACATTTCCAAAAATGTATCTGAAGCTTAAGAATCAATAAAGCCATTTAGGTTCACAGAGTACGCATAGTCAGGAAAATCAATAGAACATCAAAATCTATAACTAACAATTTCTCTTCAATTTGTGCTCATTTCAAAATGGGCATTTTTTGCAATAGTAATGATAGCCCAGCAAAAGTCATAAGATGAAATTCTGAAGAAGAGGAAATCATTTAAAATTCATTAATTTACTAGAATCTTCAATTAATGCCATTGTGCTGTTCCTTAGAAAACTACTGTACAAAAAAAATAATTTTAAGCTAAAATTAAGATAACAAACTTTAGAATAAGCAATCCCTTTGCAAACAAGTTGTCACTTGCAGCCTATACATTTGTTAATAATCAAAAAAAAATTCCTATTCAAAAAATGGCCTATAAACACATTAACACTTTTGCGGTCTGAAAGAATAGTCAGAAATAAACGTTTCGCATGCAAAAATAGCCCCGATCGGGGCGACCCCTTCAACGATTTTTTTGGATCAAAGAGGGTAGAAGAAAAGAGAAACCAAAACAAAAACACTGTCTAATGAATGGAAAAAAGAAAGAAAAAAAGAAAGAAAAAAGAAAGAGATACATATGTCTTTTGACAGATTTCATAATGGAGACAGCAGCTTGAAACTCATGAGCTCAAAGTTTACTAAAAATTTTTGGTTGAGTCAGGAATGTTCTTTTGCACAAACCTGACTGTAAGCTAGCTACAAAAGTTAAAAATCCTAAGGGAATATTGAATTTCTAGTTTATTGAACTTGCTACACTCTGATGTAAAGTTGTTCATCAGAGTGCCATTGAATGAGGAAGTCGATGGGCTTTTCATGCTTGGATAATCACTACGACGCTTCGGCTCTTTGCCAAAAGGAATAAACCATTATTTTGCTGAATCCATCACTCGAAGGCACTCTTCCAGAAAGTATTAGAGATAAATAGAAGAATTGTGCCTTACCACGCAATCATTTTTCTCTTGATTTACAGTTCAAATATTTTGGCGCCAACTGGATTCACAGGGGCGAATGGAATGAGCCTTTGATATGAACAGGGATTTTGGGATAAGTAAAGGAATAAATGGCCTTGAGAAGCAAGTCTCCATATGCAAATAATGTGAGGTTTGTCTGGAGGCAAAATGAATGAAGAGCCATCGATTCTTTTTCTTTTCTTTGAACAGGCAGCCAAATCGAAATCCACAAAGTCAACAACAAAAAAGAGCTGTCCATTCCGACCTCGTTTTCAGGGGGAATGAACGGACAGATGGTCAAACGAACAGAATATACGGAAGTAGGCTAAACTTACCCGATATATTAGGCTTTTTCAGTCATGTTGTACCTAAAGACATCGTTCGGTTGAAACTATTAGACTGTCCACAAAGTCTTTTTGTTCCTTTTCGTACTTCCGTTGAAAATTAACAAATTCATCAATTAACCTATGGTTTGCACTAAATAAAAAGTGTTTATTGTTGTTCAATTTTCCATCTTTTAAAGTCAATTTGGGTTCACTTTCAAGCAAATTCGATAATGAAAACGTGTTTTTCGTAAAAATCTCTACGAAGAAATTGTCTTAATCAATTTCTCTGAAAATTTGACTATATACCTAGCTTTTTGTGCTCTATCTTTTATCGAGTGACACCAAGATAGATTTCCTTAGCTAAACTATCTAAACCGCATCATCGAGCCGTCGCCCTTTTTGGACTACCCGACTTCACCCTCCCAAGAAAGATCCAGATATCAGACATTTTAAACCCGTTTTAATGTTATTTTGCAGAAAAATAATTGGCCTTTCTAATGAAAAAAACCGTAGTTCAATTGGTGCATTTGTTGGTTTTAAAAGAAAGTACGAAAAGAAACAAAAAGAATTTCTGGGCAGCCTAATTTTCCCTTACAGCGAACCGCATTCTCGGTTCAACAAACGAGAAAATGAGTATTTTCTACAATTTTTTGTTTTCCAATCAGATGTTTAGTTCTTTGTGGCGTTTTTTGTATCGTCTAACGTCTGTTCGTAGGGCAGTCGCATGTGCAATACATACATCATCTCACATCTCGTTCTAGAGGATTTTAACTTTCAGATAGAAGGATAGATACATGGATTTTTGTTCACCATTACTATCAAGGATGCATTTTAGGATTTTGCTATATTTTTTTACCTTTGCAAAACTTCCCTAAATTATCTGGATTTGACATTTCTAACGTGAAGATAAATATTAAGGGAAACTCGGGGCGTGTCCACAAAAAAGATGGCAGAAAAAAGAAACGGAGAAAATAGGAGAGGACCCTTTAGAGAAAGAAGAAGAAAGGGTCGGGATTGAGGCTTTGTTGAGGTCCCGTTCCCTTTCCTTTCCCTCCAGCCTCGTGCAAGTAACGAGGGTCACAACAATCAACCTCCCCTATTTTTTTCCAATTGCAACTTCTATTCAAATTTGAAACGAATTCATGAACTTTCCTTCACTTCAACAACCATCAATTGATGAATTCTCTCAAGCTCTCCTTTTAGCTCACAATCGACTCCGAGTTCAGGTACTAGTTGACTCTTCTGATCGTTAGACTGTTTGATTGTTTTGCGCTCACTGTCAGATAATTTAGAAATCCAGTGTCTGCAATAACATTTTGAGGTAAAAAGCAGTTTTTTCGATCAGAAATCTAAAATCGAAAGATGGAAGTGAATTGACACTTCAATCTCGACAGCAACCATTTTGTCGTTTTTTGAAAGCTCTTCAAATCTGTCAGTGGCGTTTGGTTTTTCCGGAAAATGGAGGCCAATCTAGCAAAAGAATAAATGCATACACTCTTTTTCTTCTTTTAATCTTTTCCGTTTTCCTTAAAAAACTTTTCTTAGAACCTTTTCTCGGATCAAGTTACAACCAATGAGCCACCGGGAAAATTGAATTTTCTCCAATTTTCCTCTCTTTACATTGCTCTCAAAGCCCGAAAAACATTATGATAACGCAAAAAATCAGCAATTATTTAACCCTCCAATAGTTGATTGGATATATTTATCGCTTAGACTTTCCTGTTTTAAATTTTTGTGCTTCCCATTTAGAACTTTTTCTTTTAGCAATTTCTTTTAGTTTTGAGAGCCCATTAATGATTCATTTGTGAGAAATTTCTTTTACGGCGCCGAAATGCATTAATATTTATATCAAACCGCCACGGACACCTTCCAGATTGGAAAGTTTTCTTCTTCCAGACTACAGCAGGAAATTCAAACGTTTTAGCTTAGAAAACTGGTTAAAGGTAGATAGAACCCAATTTTTTGACAACCAAATTCAATCAGAGAAGAAATTTTCTCGAGAGAGACGCCGACTCGGATTGGAAAGATGGGATTTTTCTTGTCGTGGCTCAAATAGTGCTTTACCTTTAAAAGTTTTAAAATTCAAAACACTAAGAGCTGGCAATTAAGAAAATGCAAACCTAAAAATGAGAGATCAAAAAATTCCCGCATGACACAATGTGAAAGATCGTAAAAAAATCTCAGCACCATGCTCGGGAGCTTCATTGGGATGATGAATTGGGCCAATTAGCGCAGGTAAATCCTAAGAAAAACTTTTATAGCAAACTATCTTGCAGAGCTGGGCCAATCGAATAGCAAATAAGGCTCATCTCGAATATTCACAGATTAGCGGAGTTGGCGAAAATATCACTTTCTTTCCACCGGACATAAACCCGGATAAGATCGTGGAGTATTGGTAAGAACTTTTTAAGTAGTTCCAACTGAACGATGTCTGTAGGTATAACGAGAATGAAAAATACGAATACGAAACTCCTGGTTGGCAGACGGGTACAAATTACTTTACGCAAGTGATTTGGAAATCTACGGAACAAGTGGACTCAGAATCAAAAGGCTAAGCAATAAATTGATTGATTTTCAGATAGGCATTGGAAAAGCAATTGTTAATGGAGATCATCTTGAGATTTGCAAACATATGAAAATACGGTGAGTTCCTTCAATGAGTCCACTTTACAATTTCGGTAAGTTAAAGTAGTGATTGTTAATATGGTGAAAAACAGTAGAAAAAGTGCACAGATTAAAAAGATTTACTAGAAAATTTAGTGGAGCAACGGGAATCGTCTCAGAAATTGGTGCAATGGTGGTTGTTGCTTTTTATCGACCAGCTGGAAATAATAACAAAGATGGACAATTTGCCGTCAATGTACAAAAACCAATCAGAAACACTTCTTAACGTAATATAAAACTGTCTGTCATACATATCCACTTTAAAGAGCTTTTGCCTAGGGACCGCCACCGCCGCCATTTTAGACCGTAAACGGTCGGTTTTTCGCCAAAACAAATACGAAATTCAAAATTTTTGACTAAAATAACCGCTAGAAGTAAGAAAATAAAGAGTTTTATTGGGGCTTATAGGGTAGATTGGAGACGCCCCCCTTACACGCCGTTGCAATGGCGTCTGGGCTAAAACGTCCAAAGAAGGAGTGGGACACCTGTTGAGACTTCTAAAACATTTTGTTTGCAACAGATTGAGCTCATTTTTATATCAAAAGAAAGGCAAATATTGACAGATAAAATATCTGCAAAAAGCATGTAAAAATATTAGATTTGAATAAAGTTATGAGTTTTTTCGTGAAATAAAGGAAACCACGCCGGCGGCGGTCCCTACTTATGCCTTTTTTTCTTTATGATTTTAGCGATTTGATCAATAAATTTTTATGAACGAACATCGCCAATTTTTCGAGTACGACGTTGAAAAAAGAAAATTTGACCTCCAAGTCACCGTCGTATTTCGGTAACTCTTGTGTTTAACAAAGGAAAACCATTGTGTTTGCCTTTTCAACAATTGGAGGTGTGATGACTCAGATGCCCTGAAGAAAAACGAGAAAGGAAAAGAGAAACTTTTGACTTCTTTTCTGTGGGAATTGGTGGAGAGAAAGAAAGGAATGAGAGCCGGTTGGGTGAAAAGAGGAGGTCTGATCTGCACCTTTGACTGAATGAGTGAATGGCTTTGATATGTTTTCATCCAAAATATCTTTGATATGTTTCCTAAATATTATCTGTAATTTATTCGACTTGTCAAAATCTCTACGAACTCCAAAAGCCAATCCGAACCAGTTGCACCAGTTACAAGCGCTGCTCGAAGAAGAAGTAGTCCAGTAAGTTCAACACTTGATTCGACATTTTTCAAGAGCCGACTGAATTGAGCCAACACAAACTTCACGTTATATTGCAGGAAAGCGGCTTTACTTCAATCAGATGGAATTGACATTTTTGCCGATGTGAGAAGACAACCAGGAGCTCGGGCGCATTACAATGAACTTTCAATCAATCAACTTGAAAACTACTTTCAGGTTTAAAAAAAAAATACTCAATGAAGGTTTGCAATTTAGGGAGATGTGGATCTTTCTGTCTCACAGCTTAAAGCAATCACTCAAAATATAAAAGAGACTGGCAGAAGTCGCCAAAAGAGAAAGGTTAAGCAAACAGTCCTTAAGATTTAAACTAAATTTTAGATAGGTAAAACACCTTACTATGAGCTGTGGGACAAAGGAAACCCCATAAGTTTTGATTTTGCAGAAAATATTCCTCGAGAAACCAAAGCAAAAATCAGGTAAATCATGTATGAACTGAACAAAAAAAGTTGTTTTTTAGAGATGCAATGAGATTATGGCAGAGGAATACTTGCATTAGATTTGAAGAAAATGGCCCTTCAATTAATCGAATTGAATTTTTTGATGGTGGTGGATGTTCATCGTTTGTGGGAAAAGTTGGAGGAACGCAGGTTTCCATGTTTGTATGCTCTCAACGTTGCCTTTAAATTTAGGGAATCTCAATTGCCACTCCCGGCTGTGATGCGGTAGGAATTATTAGTCACGAAATCGGGCATTCGCTTGGAAATTTTCATGAACAAGGTATTTTTGCCAAGTTCGTATTGTTCTGAATTGGTCTTACAGCCAGACCTGACCAAGAACAACATATTAGTGTAAATTGGAACAATATTCCCCTCGGGCGATGGAATAATTTCAATCCCGTTGGCAATGAACAAGCTGATGTATATGGTTTACCTTATGATACAGGTTAGTAATTCTGCCAAAGAACTACTGGGTTTTTCACGATTATTTCCAGGCTCGGTGATGCATTATGGTCCCTTTGGATTTGCAACAGACCCTTACGTTCCCACAATTCGCACCATTGAAAGAACGCAACAAACTACTATTGGACAAAGGGCAGGCCCTTCATTTTTGGATTACATGGCTGTAAATATGAACTACTTTATGAATAATTAGACCTTTTATAGATCAATTTGGCATATGGGTGTTCTGCCAATTGCCCCCAAATACCTTGCCAGCGGTAAGACAAACTTTGAAAGCTTTTCAAAAGATTTATTTCAGTGGAGGATACCCTCATCCTAATAATTGTTCTATTTGTCAATGTGCAGATGGATTAGCTGGTGATCTTTGTGATTATGTACGCCAAAGCAATCAAGATTGTGGCGGAGTTCTCGGGGTAATAAAATTGCTATACCGTATTTATTCTAAAAGAAGCACAGCCTCCAATAGAAGCAATTTTAAGGAATGATTGAAAAATAGAAGCGCTTCTATTAGAATAAATACGATACCTACGAATGGAGAATGATCTATTTTTAGGTAACTGAAAAAGGTATTCAAATCTCAAGTCCTCACTATCCAGAAGCGTTCCCAAAAAATACAGAATGTTTTTGGTTGGTTTCTGGCATTCAGCATAACTTTTTGAGATTTAGGTTGTTGAAAGCGCCCATCGGTAGCACAATTTTATTGAATTTTGGGGATGAAATTTTTGATTTTCTTTGTGAAGACACTTGTGATAAATCCTACGTGGAAGTGAAATTTCATCGAGATTTTCGCCTTACTGGTGCAAGGTAAATAACGTTCTTAAAATATCTTAACGATAAAATTACCTTAACTCTTTCAGGTTTTGTTGCGGTGCCGCCCCTCGTCGAACTTTCGAATCTGAAAGAAATGAAATGTTGATCTTGATGAGAGGTTTTGGAGGAGCTGGTCGGGGGTTTTCAGCTTTTGCTAGATTAAATTCTTCAATGATTAAGGTTCACCTCTTATTCGTAGCTACCAGAAAAATTCAAATTTCAGCCCATAAAAACAAGCGTAATAACTCAACCTTCATTTGTTATTGAATCAACAATCGCAACAACGACTACACCAACAACCATAGGAAAAACAACGCAATCACTTCGGCAACTCTTTACGTTATTGCCAGTCACTGAAACCACTAAAACAAGTCATAGACCAAAGATACACCATGGTAATGGACTTCAAGAGGTAAGAAGTTGTGGCGAGTAAAAATAACACACTTTGACAGAGAGTCCGTCCATTCACAACAAGGATCACCACTCATGGCCGAACGCTGGCAACAACAACCCCGAGCCCGGATGGAAATATTCCGTTGACAGGTTCGCTTCAGCAGTTTCAAAATAAAAAACACTTTAGAATGTGACTGTGGCGATTGGTCGGATTGGATGGGAGAGTGCTCACAACGTTGTGGAGGATGTGGACACAAACAGAGAGTTCGAGTCAGTGATTTACATGCTAGTTTTTATACCGATCGAGATAATCTAAAAGATTGCTTACTTAGACTTGTTCCAAGTCAACATGCAGAACCACTGACCAAAGGCCATGCAATTTCAAAGCATGTCCCGAGGGTACGAACTTTATGATCAATAATGGTAAGTCATGTTGCAAAGACAGTTTGAAAACCATTTTAGGAGAGTTTCACATTTTATGGAGAGGTTGCTGTGTGGGAATGTTCAGATCAGGAGGAGAATGTGCGGCATTGGAAGGGGGAGAAAATCCTTTTCTGAGAATTCTTTCATCTCTTCTTTCTCCAAACGATCAGGCAAATTAAATTTTTGGTTGAATCATTCCAGAAAGTTTTTAGTCAATATCTATCTGATTTTCTGAAAGTATAAAATCTATTTAAGCACTGTTTTGTTTTAAAATGTCAACTATTTGTCAACTATATCATGATTTAGAAAAAAGAAACGAACAATTCAATAACTGACGAACATGGTGGGTCCTCCCGAGGAGCTCTGGATTTACAAAAAAGAAGGGCTTGGCTTGATTACTGAAATGTTTTTATAATTTATCCAAACAATGCAATTTATTCACTGTAATGCTTTTTTCATGCTATGATGTGCTATTACAAAGTCGTTTCAACTCTGGTGTGAGTCGATCAATCTCGTCAGGCCTAAAACCTTTGATTGTATGCATTTTCATACACTTACTTGATCATCAAACTTTCGAATTGATTCTGAATTGTTTGTAACTCATTTTCCTGATTTGAATTTTCTGATATTTCTTTACCGTTCATCGACTCTCTTGATATCTTTAAAATAAATGTATTTATGAAAACGGTTGACGCATACCCGGTATGAATAAATGAATAAATGATTGCTGTTCATTGGAAAAACACCAGGAACTTCCTCCAAAAGCGATGGAATTGAATTGGCTAGATGAACCGAATGAACCTAAAAGGGAAAAGAGAGAAAAGCGTTTCTCTTGTCTTGAAACAAGTAGTGCTAAACGGAGAAAAGAGAACCCATCGATTGCTTTCTTTTGCTCTCATAGACACACACCGGGGAAAGCCTCGAATTTTCATCTCTGGAACCCCTCCCTATTTGCTCTCAAATGTGCACACACAAAATTCGATAACATTCCTAGAACAATAATGTCGCTTAACTTCTATAGTTTGACTGCGAGTTTTCTTGCAATTGAACCTTTCAAATGTTGCTTTTTTATTTTCTTCCATTGCTATTGTTAGTTTTTCATTTATAACAAAGTTACTGGGCATTTTAAGTACGACAGCAACATATATTAGGACTCTTCCTTTGTCTTTATTTTATTAAGTTAACCCCAGGCTAAACGCCGGGGGTTTTTATTGATCAATTTTTGCAAAAATAGCATTTTAAATTTTACTGCCGCTAAAATATTGCTAGGTTTTAGGCCTAGATCTATCCATAGAACCCCCACAATGGAGTCTAAAGTTAAGATTTCGAGGGGTCAGGGGGTGTCATTCTAATACATACCTGTCTTCTCTCTAAAGTTATGGCTAGCTTCAATCTTGAAAACGACATGGACAATGAAAACGTATTCGCCAGGAGGGGGTAGAATGAGAGAAAGCTTGGATGCGAAAAGTCAGCGTTTCTCTTTCTCTCATCCCATACACCCAACAAATCTAGACAAGACCACAGAGAGGAGCAGTCTAGGCTATAGACCAGTCTTCTTTGCACTTGATTCCTCCCCATTTCCTCTTTCACTCATTCATCCATCCATTGATTGACTTAAAGTTCATTTTCACACTCACCAAGTTCTTTTAGCTCTTTAGCTTTTTAAATCATTTCTGCTATTCTTTAAATGTCTTACAACTACATAATTTCTATTTGATTTAATATTTTGTGTTTGATATTTGTTCCAAATATTTTTTTTTATTCTCAAATAATATCAAGGTGTTTGGGGTGTAAAAATAGAATGCTAAACGCGGGTTGCTTTGTTTCCATAAAAAGGGGTAAAGAAGAGAGAAACAATCGATCGATTTCTCTTTCGCTCTCTTTTCTCTTTGTTATCCCTTTGAGCACACAGCTGACATGTTTTCTCTTTCGTCTGCGCACCCTCTCTTTTTGATTCTCTCTTTTCTTTCCTCACCTCCCCGCACTCAATTGCGGCGAATTGGGGTGGTGAGCACCTCCGATCCTTGTCTGTCTTGCTTTCACCCTTCTTTTCTTTTCCATATTTAACCATAAAGAATTTATTTATTATTTTTTTAAATGATTTTCTTTACTATCACCAATAAATCAATCTTACCTTGTCAATTTTTCTGGATTTCAGATCGATTTCGCCTGATTTGAGAACTGATCGGCATGGAATATGATCTTATTATTGCATCTGATGATCAGCAAACGCCATCTTTTCAGGATAATCAAACACAGGTAAAGAAATTTTTATGTTTAAAAAGCAACATTTTCAGTTAATGGAAACTGTCTCAGAATCAGGAACGGCAGCACTTTTAGCTGTGATGAGCTTACATGAAGATGGCACTGATCATAAGATGTTCAGAGAACGATTAGAGGTATTAAAATACAACAGAAAAATAATTCTTTCTGTAGTGCTTTCATACATGGCCCCAAGAAGCACAAATTGCTTTTGTGAAGACTCTTATTCGACATTTGAAGCACCCACAATTGGCAGAAGTTGCTGCTTTCCTTACTCCACTTTTGCAACGAGATTTTATAGCCGCTCTGCCAAGTAAGTAAACCAAAAATAAAATGTTATTCATGCTTCTATGCATTAACACAACATTTAAACTCTTATATTTTCTAGGTTGTGCCGCAGAACATGTTCTTCAATACCTCGATGCACCGGCACTTTCCAGATGTGAGGCTGTATCGAAAAATTGGCAACGCGTGATCGCTGAGAGTCAGATGTGGAAAAGATTGATTGAAGCAAAAGTAAATTACAGAGCCATAGATTTTAGACAACATTACGTTTCTAGGCACGTGGTGACCCTTTGTGGAGGGGGTTGATGAAACAAAGGGATTGGTTGCGCTTCATTTTCTCCAATAGAGACAATTGCATCAATGCCATTTGTAGCGAAGAATCTATCGATCCAAAGACAATTTGTGACAATCAAACTATATGCTTCATTTTGCACAGATTCTTTAGGTTTGTAAACAAAGATGAATAATTCTTGTAAGATTTCTTATGAAGTCGGTCAAGTTAAAACAACAGTCGATTTTTGTAAATAAAGTTATTCAGAAAACTCTACCCAAAGATTGTCAAAGAGTTGGCAAATCTGGAGACAAATTGGAGAAATGGGACTAATCATCAGACGTTGATCAACTGTAATTCAGAAAATAGCAAAGGTTTTATTTGAAGTACATTCTTTAATTATCAACAGCGCAATTCCAGGAGTTTACTGTTTACAATATGATGACGACAAGATTGTTTCTGGATTGAGAGATAATACTATTAAGGTGCGTCATGCTCCCCGGTTTCATAACTATTTCATCTAGGTTTGGCACCGCAACAACTTATCAATTCCGAGTCTAACTTTGACTGGACATACAGGCTCTGTGCTTTGTCTTCAATATGATCAGAGAATAATTGTTAGCGGGTGAGTTAAAATGGTGTCGCTTTTTCATTACCTTAGGCTACTGTAAACAAATAAGTTAGTGAAGATTGAATCGTACTTTCTAGATCATCGGATGGCACAATTCGTATATGGGATATACATACTGGAGAATGCTTGAACACATTGATCCATCATGCAGAGGCCGTGCTTCATCTACGATTTGGTAGTGGAAGAATGGTCACATGGTTAGTTAGTAAAAGTATCAAAATTAACACTTTTTTATTTAGATCGCAATTTTTAGTACTGAGGTGTTGTTTTACGTTGAGTTTTAGTTCAAAGGATCGGACGGTTGTCGTTTGGGAGATGACTTCACCCAAACAAATGTCAGTTCAAAATGTTCTTTCTGGTCATCGAGCTGCTGTGAATGTTGTGGATTTTGATGAAACCTACATTGTGAGTGCAAGTGGAGATCGCACTATTAAGGTGAGACTGCCATTATTTTTTCTTAACTAAACTTTTAGCATAAATAATCACAAAAGCTTATTCAGGTTTGGGGAACTGATGATTGTGCGCCTATTAGGACCTTGACGGGTCATCGAAGAGGAATAGCTTGTCTTCAATATAAGGGAAAACTGATCGTGTCAGGAAGCAGTGACAACACGATTAGGTAAGACGTCAAAATAGGAATGTTCTGCAAACAAAAACCAATGTAGAGTCTGGGACATCGATCGTGGTGCATGTATCCGAGTTCTAGAAGGTCATGATGAACTTGTTCGATGTCTTCGATTTGATTCCAAGAGAATCGTTTCTGGGGCGTATGATGGGTAGGTCATTGAAAAGTTTCAGAGGCTAATGTCACAAACTTTAGCAAGATCAAAATATGGGACATGGAGGCTGCTCTCGATCCAAACTCAACAACCCATTCGTTATGTCTCGCAACATTGAACGTACGTTTATATTAGGCCGTCCAAAAAGTCTTTTCGTTCCTTTTCATACCTCTGTTGAAAAATAATAACCAATTAATCTAGGGTTTGTGTTTTGCTCTAAATAAAAAGTGTTTATGGTTCAATTTCCCATCCTTTTAAGTCAATTTCAAGCAAATTCGAGAGTGAAAAAGTGTTTTTCGTAAAAATCTATAAAAACCTCTACGAAGAAATTGTCTTAATCAATTTCTCTGAAAATTTGGCTATATACCTAGCTTTTTGTGCTCTATCTTTTATCGATTTACACCTAGATAGGTTTCCTTAGCTAAAGTGTCATCATCGAGCCGTCGCGACGGCTCGATGCGTCGCCCTTTTTAAACTACCCGATTTCATGCTCCCAAAAAAATGCAGACATAAGACATTTTAAACCCGCTTTAATGTTATTTTGTAGAAAAATAATTGGCCTTTCTAATGAAACAAACTGTAGTTCAATTGGTGCATTTGTTGGTTTTAAACGGAAGTACGAAAAGAAACAAAAAGAATTTCTGGACAGCCTATGAGACATATTTGTGAGACATTTTAAACAAAGAAAAATAAACATAAATAACAAATAAAATAAATCAAAATTTCCTAATTTAGCGTCACACCGGACGTGTTTTTCGACTGCAATTTGATGATTTCCAAGTGGTCAGCTCCTCCCATGATGACACAATCATTGTTTGGGATTTCCTCTCTCATTGTCCACTGCTTCCATCCGCACTGATGGTAAATAACCTAAACTCAATTTTTAACGGTAAACATTATTTAGACGACTTGCCATGAGTCAGCTCCAGTTCCAATTCCAATGGAACATGCACTGTAAATTTTTTATATCCCTCTGCATATAAATGACCAATTTTTAATGTCTTATTGATGATCAATCGATATCGACTTTAGTCAAAAACTTGAAGAAACCTATCTTTTGCAAATTCGTTTTTGTTCCTTCACATTCCCAAAGCTCAGCCTAGTCACCTCACTCTGATTTTAGGAATTAATCAACTTTTGCTTTCATTTCATTTGCCCATTGTGATCGTATATTTTTGTTGCCTTTCTAGAATTTTTGTCATTTTCAAATACTTACTGGTATTTTGCCTAATGAAAATTCTCTGCCAATAAACATTTGATTTTGTTTAAAGATAAATACCCATTTTATGCAGACTCTTGATGCAGACTTTAGTCTTATTGTACTCAATGTATCTTTTCAACAAAGCATATAACCAATAATTGGTCCCAGCTGGAAATTGATACATGTTGTATAATTTCTGCCAGATTTTTAGTTTTGACTTAGTTAAATGTCTTGAGTTAAATCTTGCTTTTATTTTGAATTTTCAGAGGGTAAAAATGGCGGACGGACTTCTCGGAGAGGTTTCCCAATTACTTGCTGCTCGTCTCACCATCCGAGCTGCTGATGAGGCTCACTTTGGTGGAAAGCAAGTTTGTTTTTCAGAAGTTTTGCAAAAATTACTTAAATTTAAATAATAAACTTGCCTTAAGGAGGACTACCAAATCATATTTGGAATAGAATTCAATACCTAAGCAACATTTAGGTGTATGGAGATGTTCCATTGTCTGTTGGTGGTGATCATCATCACGCTTCCACTTCTCATCACGATCATGGAAAGAAGGGCAAAGACAGAAAACATCACGATTCTCATGGGCATGACCGTTAGTTTCAAGGTTTTATCCTATGAAAAATCAAAAAACCCACAATCTTACGCTTTTCGCAGATTAACAACAACGTCTAAGTGTTTAACGCAGGGGTATTTAACGCGAACGCCTTGTCCATTCATTTAATTATTGAGGCACTGACTATTAGGCTGTCCAGAAAGTCTTTTCGTTTTTTTTCTAATTTCCGTTTAAAACCAACAAATTGAACTACGGTTTGTTTCATTAGAAAGGCCAATTATTTTTCTGCAAAACATTAAAACAAGTTTAAAATGTTTTCTGTCTGCATTTTTTTTGAGAGTGTGAAGTCGGGTAGTCAAAAAGGGCGATGGCTCGATGATGTAGTTTAGACACTTTAACTAAGGAAACCTATCTCGATGTTAATAGATAAAAGATAGAGCACAAAAAGTTAGGTATATAGACAAATTGGACAATAAACACTTTTTATTTAGAGCAAACCATAGGTTAATTGGTGAATTTGTTATTTCTCAACGGAAGTACGAAAAGGAACAAAAAGACTTTCTGGACAGCCTAATATATTTTTGCATGCTGTGTGATAGTGCACGTCCTGAATTGCTCTTTCAGACAAAAACCCCGTACATGGCGCTATTGCATCGGCTCGTTCGATCATCGACGCGGCCTTAGGTGGTTCAGCCCCACCACCATCTGGGGGTTCGTTAAAAAGCAGCCAAAAACAACTAACCTAAATGACACCGATGTGCTAATATATTTGCTAACTTGTTACTTTCAGATGTGAGCCGTGTATTTGACGAGTTGGCTTCTTTGCGCAACGAGAACGTCGAAATCAAAAAAGAAATTGCAACTCTCAAAGAGCTTATCAGCAAACTTCAGGTGCCTTCTACTAAGATTCAAACAAGATTTTTTGCAAAGTACGAAAAAATACGAAAATATATAACTGCTTTCAGGGAGTTTCGGTTAGTTCGGCTCCAGCCCAAACTGCCGCCAAAGCACCGGGTCCTTCAAAAGAAGCCGCTGGTAGGAAAATTAGTCAAATTATCCAGTTTTAAAAGTCAAAGGCTTCCCTCGTTCAACATAGAATAGCTATTGTTTTTGTTTGTTGTAGAGTCTACTTGTATTTCTACCCTTAATTTTAATTTTCTACTATCTCAGGTGATGATGACGATTTCGATCTTTTCGGATCAGGAGATGAAGAAGAAGATGAGGAAAAGAAGAGAGTTGTTGAGGAGAGACTCAAGGCTTATAATGAAAAGAAGGTATTGAATGAAATAAAAATGAAAACGTTTTGAATTCAGTCAAAGAAGCCCGGTCCAATTGCTAAATCATCGATTATTCTTGACGTGAAACCGTGGGATGATGAGACCGATCTTGGAGAGATGGAGAAACTTGTTCGCTCTGTTGAGGTTTGCAATTTGCCACAAAGATGACTTATTATATCATTTTATTTGATTTTTAACAACACGTTTAATTAAGAAAGACGGACTTGTGTGGGGTGGTGGCAAATTGATTGCTATCGGCTATGGAATCCAGAAGCTTCAAATTATTTGCGTTGTTGAGGACGCCAAGGTAATTAGCTAATCTTTGAAATTTTAGTTTAAGGTTTATCTTTTAAAAAAAGCAGCTCACTAAACATTTCAGGTTTCCGTTGATGATGTTGTTGAGGAGATCCAAGCCTTTGAGGATTACGTCCAATCGGTTGATATTGTTGCCTTCAATAAAATCTAAATCACCTTCTTGCACTTGGATTTATCAGTTGTTCTTACTAAATAAACGTTTTGTTTTATAAAAACAAATTCAAGCAATATAATGTTTAAGTAAATGGTTTTGTAGAAAATTTATTCTTACTCAACTTGGCTCGAAGTTAGCAAAACACAAGAAAATAGTAGGCAATTTAATACATAGGATTAGTAATAACGTAATAATTTCGAGAGCCTGCGGCCTGATTTAAACCGTTTTTAACATCTTACAAGGGAAAGGCACAGAGTCAAGCTGGCCTTTTGACTCGATATCCATCTTATAGAGTCGGCCATGGGGATTTCGAATCCGTTTTTAGTTTTTGCAGAACGCTTTGCAAACGCGAGATATCTAAATTTCGGATTCTTTAAGAAGCTGTCACACGCTGTCCTTTAGCAACTGCTTAGGTGGTCTAGTGGGTAGTCCGCTAGATCACCTATTTTTGCCCTCAAGTTCGAGTCCCACTCTCGCCAAAGTTTTTTGCTTTCTTTAAAAAACTGTTTTTCTACGTATTTGCGTGGATAATAGAGTTAAATTTTATGCACCTGTAGCTTTCAGAAACGTGACAACAAATATTAAAATTTTCGATACTTATCTACTGATTCTGATACTTTGGAAGGTTCCAGCTTTTGTAAATCCTTTTTGAATTTATAGAAAGCGGTGTAGAAAACTCGAGTCAATAATTCAATGCAAATACAGGCAACAGTTTTTTAAAAAGCAAAAATGTTTGGAGGGAGTGGAACTCGAACTTGAGGGCAAAAAATGTAACGGTTTGGTAGTCGAGCAGACTATCTACTAGACCACCGAAGCAGTTGTTAGAAAAGGACATAAGGATAAGCCTTCATAAGGAGCTCAAAGTTTAAGGTGATTTTTTATGCCAAATATCTCGCGTTTGCAAAGCGTTCTGCAAAAACTAGAAACGGATTCGAGATCCGCATGACCGACTCTATAAGATGGACTTGGTATCGAGTCAAAAGATCAGCTTGACTGCCTTTCCCTTGTTAATATAAACGTCTATTTCTCTTGCCTATTAAAGGGCTGCTTGTGCACTATGGATCATGAGTTTGGGACTCTGCAAAACAGTGCCCAAAAAGCTCTCAAGTCTGTTTATCCGACCGACTGTTGGGTGGATGGAAAAGAGATCGGTGAAGAGGATTTCTGTTGACTTTCATGACCCCAAGAAGAGATTCGAGAACGATATTGATGTGAAAACATCTCTCTTTGAATAGACCGAGACAGTTTGTGGCTTTCCACTTGTTGTGCTGCTTAAATGTCCTCTGATCACCTCTTTTCTTTCTTCGAGGTTCCTCCCATTCCATTGGATTTACCACCGTCAACCCACACATGTGGGAGTGCTTTCGACTTACTTTAGCCCCATTGCTCTTCCAAAGCTTGTAGTTCTTATTAGTTGTAATTTTCTTAAAATAAGTTTTAACAATCTTATAACAAAGTACCTAATTTCATTTAAAGCCAAATGTCGACTGTTCCTCTCACACATGATTGGGCGGCTCCCCAATGGGATTGGCCTCTTCAACATCATGACGGAGTTGTCAAGGTTTGTAGAAGTAAGTTAAATCAAATAACTTTTTTAGGTTAACAACACCAGCAGCGGCTTTGAAGTTGGCCTCGATTGTGCCTTTTTCACTCCGAATGAAATTGAGGTGAGCTAAAGAATCTCTGACTAGGAGTGGAGAACCCCGATACTTTTTTTACTAATTACTAATTAGAAACAAGAAACAAGTGTTTATTTTAGAAATTAAGATTTTTTACTTTATGTACAATTAGATTCAATAATATTTCGTTTGTAGGTCAAAGTGGCCGGTCAAGAGGTTTTGATCAATTGTAGACACGAAGTCCGCACCGATAATCACGGAACTGTTACCCGTCAAATTCAAGTACATTTACTATACTTAACTTTAAATAATTTCAACATACACCCCTTAGATGAGTTACACATAAGTTTTCACTTCAGCGTGCCTACAAACTTCCCGAAGATGTTGATCCAGCTTCGGTGAAGAGTGCTTTGAATGCTCGTGGAGTTCTCTCGATCACTGCCTCCAAGAAATGAAAACTTTCTGAAACTCACCCAGGTGTTAATAACCTTGACTAGCTAAAGAATTTATAACTTTTCTTTGTCTTATTCATGAACTGATCATTTTATTTTGAAAAGAATAAACTTCTGCAAAAAGCTACTACAAATCTCGCAATCTCAGCCCAAATGCTGCAGTGGCTCATTTTTACAAAGAAATGGTTGTTAAAGCTAAACATTTTAAACAAACAGATGATTCGCAGATACCGTATTGCCTCTAATAAAAGCCACTCTTCAGTAAACGCTACATCCAATAGTAAGACTCGATCAAAAAATGGTCGTAGCCACAAACTTAGTGATCGAATTGTAAAGCTTTCATAAGCTGGAAGCATTGTGTATTATTGATGCATTTAAATGTAATATGTCTAGCCATGTTTTGATTATCATTCATCGGTTTTCTGTTTTCTATTTTCACTTTGCAGTGATTTGTGACCCAAGTACAAGAGACTCAAAACGTACAAGTTTGGTTCAGTTCGGCCCGATCTCCCACCGCTTCTACCCATATTAAGAGGGCTTTCTCTTTCTGGCTTATCAGTGGCGTTCTGATCGCCTCAGACTCTTCTCTCAAAATTGGACAGTGGTCCCTTGGTTTCCGAGAGGCCTTTCATATTAGACTGTCCAGAAAATTTTTTCTTTCCTTTTCGTATTTCCAGTTAAAACCAGCAAATGCACCAATTGAACTACGGTTTGTTTCGGTTTTTTGTTTGTTGAAAAGGCCAATTATTTTTCTGCAAAATAACATTAAAACGGGTTTAAAAGGTCTTATGTCTGCATTCTTTTGGGAGCGTGAAGTCGGGTAATCAAAAACGGCTTAATGGCATCATTAAGCCATTTTTAACTTTGACTTTTGGTTTAGACACTTCAGCTAAGGAAACATATTTTGGTGTCGATAGATAAAAGATAGGGCACAAAAAGTTAGGTATCTAGCCAAATTGGACAATAAACAATTTTTATTTAGAGCAAACCATAGGTTAATTGGTGAATTTGTTATTTTTCAACGGAGGTACGAAAAGGAACAAAAAGACCTTCTGGAAAGCCTAATAGAAAGGCATAGATTTTGATCTAGTTACTTCGACATTTCCCATTGAACACTTTATACCTGATGTCTTTTTTGCAATCCTTTATTTTTCGAAAATTTGATATAGTTACCAGTTTTATTTCATTTTTTTCTAAAACCTTCCATGCATTAATCTCAAAATTTAACAAAGTGCATTTTCCGTTCGAAAAGTTGCCCTTTGAAAGTTTTCGACAATAATTTTCGAATGAAAGAGATGGAGTCATATGGCGCTTAAGAGAAAAAGAGAAAAAAGGTTGTGAATCATTTTTTTTGTTTATTTTTCTTTCTCTTTTCACCTATTTGTCTGCCTCTTCATCAAAGACTTTACGAGGGGAAATACAGGGTGCGTCAAAACACCCCTGCCCACCCTTTCTGTTTTTGTCTCTTTCCTTGCCAATGTACATACACGTGCTTGAATTTTTCTTTTTTAAAGTCATAATATTCTGTTATTCTGTAGAAAACAAATTTTCAGAAATGCAGTTCATGAAGAAAAAAGACTGGCTCATTTCAGCACTCTTTACTTTCACATTTCCTATTTTCATCTCACACCTATATTGCGCTGTATTTCCGTTAAATGTCGATGACACTGTACATGGCTTTGTAAATGAAAGCTTTTTACAAGTCTACGACACATTTCGGTGAGTTTTGTTTTTGAAACTCATAAAATATTCGACTTGTCTTATCAAAAGTATGTTCTGAACTAGGCTGTCGGCTCTCAAACGGCCTTTTCTTGAAAACTGATATGACTTTAATTTTCGGAATGATTTTTAGTGAGAACTTTGCTTATGGTTATGAAAGAGATGGAGCCTCAGTAGCTGTATATCACAAAAGTCAATTGGTTGTACATTTATGGGGAGGATGGGCTGATCGAGAAAAGAAAACCCCTTGGTTACCATCGACAAGAGCCGCTTATTTTTCGGCGACAAAGGTGAGCACAAAACAAGGAAACCACTATTCCTCAAAAACCCAAAAACAAACATTTCATGAAAATTCGAGTCTAGTAAAGACTAGAGTGATTAATTCAATATATTTTGCATCCAAATGCAAAAGTAGAGAACAAAATAAGACAAAATTTACAAAATTAAAAAATAAGCATAAAATTTTGCCACGGCTTTTAATATTAATTTAATTTTTAACGCCGATTCCGAAAAAAAATGGTTTCAGCACAGGTTTCGATACAAAAACAAATAGATCTATTTTTTTGAAATTTGTGGTCAAAGGCACCTCAGTAAAACGGCTGCAAAAACTTTGAAAGTTGATGAATAGACAAAAGGTCTTTTCCATTCAATTTGCAAAATAATTAGCTTTCGAATGAGCTATTACACGATGAAATCGGATAAGTTTAAGACCCTCTTCCAAAAAACGACGGGAACTTTCTTCCTAACCTGATACCTTCATTTAACAGCTGAATAACTGAATAACTGCGAGGGCTCGTTTCAAAAAACGCATTCATCGCGCATTAAAATTTTAATCGTCCAACTTTAATCGATTAATTGATCGCGGGGAACACACTCTAGTGAAGATTATCTGTGCAAAAGACAAATGATCAGATCTTGTTTATTAGTTTCATAAGTGACATCATTCATCAAGTCTATTTCTTTCGCAACCGACTTTTTGCATTTAGTTTTATCTCGTTATTTGATGAATTTTCAGAACTAACAATAAGAAAATAGGCAAAGCAAATATAACAATTTGAAAACAACCATATTTACAGGCAATTGCTTCGCTTTGCATGGCGCTACTTGTGGATAAAGGAAAGATTGAATATGACGATCTTGTCACAAAACATTGGCCTGAATATGGGCAATTTGGCAAAAATCGAACAACTATAGAAGATATTTTGACGCATAAGGTTATTTAGATTTTGGCTTTTTTCAACTACTGGGCTTTTAGGCTGGTTTGCCGTATCTGGAAGAAGCCATATTACTTGAACATGTTGACGATTCATTGATTTGGATGAAGATGTTTGAGAAAGCAAAACCTTTATGGGAACCTGGAACTGCTTCAGGGTAATTTTTAGTTATCCAGATCAATTCTCAAACATGAATTTCAGTTACCATCCAGTAACTTTTGGTTTCCTTGTGGATGGAATTCTGCGAAAAGTTGATGGGCGAAGTTTGCAGATATTCTTTCATGAGGAAATCGCTCAACCCTATGGTACCTTGGCAAAGTGCGAAAAAAGAAAAATAACTTTTAGGTTTGAACCTCCGAATTGGGAATGTTTTGTCAGAAGCTCACCATGTTGCTAAAATCACACAACCAAGCCTTTCGGAATATTTTGAAACCGTTGTAAAGGTGAATTTAAAGCTTTAAAGATTATTAATCAAATTGTACGAATCAATATCAAACAAATTGTATTAAATTCAGGATCCACGAATCTTGTTTATGTTGTCTTTTCTTTTTTTGCGGCCATTTGATGATATAATTCATCGCATTCAAAGCAACCCTAGTTGGCTAATCATGGACACGGTTTGTTAACCTAGTAAATGCCAAACAACAAACCCTTCTTTAGCAAACTGTTGCTTTAAATGATCCACACATTCTCAAATTGAATCTCCCAGCAGTGACAGGAGTGGGAACTGCTGACTCGTTTGCTCGATTGTTCAGGTAAAGCTTTGATACAAAAATGCTAATCAAATATTATTTATCTTGTGTAGTTTGGCCATCGATGGAACACTTTTGTCAAACGAGACCTTAACACATTTGAAAGAGCCTACACTTAATAGCTGGCACTTTGAGCGAGTAAGTTAAAATTATAAATTTTGTATATTATAAACTTTTAGACAGTTGTTTGGCCAGTCTTGAAAGGAAGAGGATTTTTCTATGAGCCCCATCCATTCATTAAAGTAAGCTATGAAAGTTTTTACTCACTAGGGAACCCTTTGAAGTTAAATTTCAGGAGCGATCTGATTCCGAGGTGCAAAAGCCCCCTGGTTAAGAGCATCCCGAAACTGCTTTCAAATCCTACATACCTTAAGACGTTTTTGAGATAGTCATCATTTAACATTTTTTAAAGGCTCAAAATAGCAAATTAATTTTTGTAAAGACTTTAAAACACTTAAAAATCAATTTTTATGCCTTAATAAAAAAGCAAAAAAATTTTGCCAGCGAGAACCAGGCACAAAAAGTGGGAGACGCTAGCACACTATCGACTAGACTACCGAGGCACTCCGATGGATCGGCGCCAAGGCTTTAAGTAGGCTAGCTTGCTGTTTGGCGAAATTGACCGAAACTTTGAAGGCTTATATCTTGAAAACGGTTTATGATGAGTAGGATTTGAAAGCAGTTTCGGGATGCCCTTAACCAGGGCGTGTTTGCACCTCGGAATCGGAAATGTAACTTCAAAGAATCCCCTGGGCTGCAATGTCATCTTTGTTTTTGAATCGATCATTACACGTACTTCCACAAAACTAAATCGTTTAGGATGCCTATTTGTTTGGACACCCAGGCTATGGGGGTCAGCAGATAATCGTGGATCTTCATACACAGACCACGATGGTTTACGTGAGCAATGGACTAAAGACAGGGTCCGGAGAATTATGCAAAACATACATGAGACTTTTCAAAGCAACTTATAGGTTGGCTCCAATGCTAAATACCTCATTTTACATCCATTTTAGAAGTCTTTCTCAAAAGGGATCGATCTAAAATCTTCAAGATCTTCATGGAATGCGGGTATAATTGATCTCATAAGCTTCAATCAACTGTTTCATGTAAATAATAAATCTTGTAAAATGGTAAAAAGAAACAATGCACCTCATTTATTATAACACCCTGGACTTTATGTTTTGAGTGAGTAGAAGTGATGATGAATCGATGAGATCTTCAGGCTGAGTCACAACTGATGCTCACCACGCTTAACATTTGACCATAGGCCATAGCCTAAAAATAACAAATCTAAAATTATTCAAGTTTCACTTTCACTTACTTACATTTTGACTCGTTTCACCGCTTAAAATTTGATTAACTACAGTTTCTATCTCCGTTCATCATTTGTTTAAATAGACTCACAGTCCACGTAGATTCATCGTTGCATCGCATCGGAATTGTCAATTCGCCCATCCCCTCAACAATTCCACCTTTTCCATGATTAAACTAAAATTTTTTTAGCTGAAAACGAAATTTCGAACGAATTAACCTCAAATATAGCAGGCGAATACTCATCACTCCCTCGACAAGTCAACTGGCTTATCATACACCCCTTTGAGTCCCAATCTACCTAAATTAATTTTCAAACTTGACACGGATATGTTTTTTGATTCGGAATGATTAGAATCTGCCAAAACCACACACCTTGAATGTAACGTTTCCTGAGACGGAATCCTGAGATTTGATAATGATCGGCGAATCACATGAGGCACATGCTGAACTCTCTGTTTTTCCATAAATGAATATGTTTGTACGGATTACTTTTTACACAAGCCTTCAGTTCAAGCAGTTCTTAAATTTAGCAGAATAATTGAGTTCTATTGTTTCAAACTGACCAAGTTCGGTAGAAAAAGGGCTCCAAAAAGTGAGTGTGAGAGCGGGTAGGGCTGAAAGGAGAGCCAGGGTGGGCAGAAGGCCTTGCATCATGAGAGGGCCAACGCGAAGAATAGTGATCCTCACCGCCAAGCAAGGGATATTCCCTCTCAATTGAGAGACAATAGACTGTTAGAGACAGCTAAATCAACAACAGTCAAAAGTTTCCGCTTAACCATATAGCTTTCCGGAAATGTTGCCCCCTTTTTTTTCTTTGAATTTACTCAGCTTGCCTATCGTGCTTTACGAGACGTCGCCCAAGTGTCCCCTGTGGAATTTGAAAAGGATAAAAACAGTTATTGGCCGTTTTGTGTAAAATAATCAATCTCTTGGTCTTTTGTAGTGATTTAGAGCATTGATAGATATTGAAAGATAAAATGTTTATTGAAGCAAATCGTTAATAGTAAGTTTTGTTCTGTACATATGCAGGCTCTTTCTGTCGATTCTTTAATCACAGCAACAACACAAGCAATCTCCGCAGCAGTCACAGCACTCAGCTGCACAACAGCCACAGCAGAGACCTGTAAAAATGTTCGTCTCGTATTTGATTCTGATTCCAAGCTGGTTCCAGTAGATCTCAAGTAAATTCTCAAAACGTACCAGCTAGAAGGGCCGGGATAAAGCTTCCACCACCACCACCTCTATTATTGCTTGGCTGTTGAACGCTAAAAATTTACTATATATAAAAGAGCATTGTCTGTCCGTCCGTCTGCAAGGACTTTTTCTCAGCGGTCTCAAAACAACTAAAGTTTTTTAAAAAGACTCAAAATACCCAGCTGGTCTTGCATATTTTAACGACTTTAATCAATTTTGACTTACTAAACTGTTTGCGGTTGTGGATATCCTCCTTGTGGTGGATATTGTGGATACGGTTGTTGTGGATAATATCCACCTTGTGGAGGGTATCCTTGCTGTGGTGGATAGCCGGGTGCACCCTAAATCACTGCTAGATAGCCTCTTTGTTTTGATTTTAAATATCTTTTCTCTCGCTAAAAGCCATAAGTTCAAGTTACGAACATCATGATAATATTAACTCAAGCCTTAATACTCCAAGAGTTAGAAATATTTACGACAACTTGTGTTCATGCTAGCTTTAACTGACCATTGGTTGTTGATTATAGTATCCGCCATGATGGTGATGGTGGTCGTGATGCCCCATAATTAGAGTTAAATTTAAATCTAAAAGAGCTATGATTCATACAACCGCAAAAGAGTGAAATTCGTCGAGTTCTCAAAGAAAACACACGGACTATCATGCGTCATCTTGTCGCTTGAGTTACGAAATAAAGCCTATATCAAAAACAAGTGAAAAAGTTAAAAGTTTCTTGAATCGATAAGTTTGATTTTTTCCAAAGCATAGATCGAAAATTTTGAGTAAAAAAACGATTGAAGTTTTTTGAGAAAAGAGAGCTGCCGCGCACATAGAATAAAACGCAAATATGATAGATTGGGAGAAATGTTTGTGTTGAAAGAGAAAAAAGAGTAGCGATAGAAGAGAATCAAAAAAGGACAAAAACATACGGAGAGTCAAAAGGAAAGCTGGGAGAAGAGATGGGGAGGGGTTATTTACCTGTCTCACGATTTTTTCCTTTTTTCTTCTCGTTTGCATGAGAATATATCGATCCAGTTGATGACACATGATTGTTTGTGAAAAACATTTATTTCATCCAAAACATAATATTGACAAGCTTGAGATAATAGGTAATCAAGAAATTTTAGTTTGCATTTTAGATTAGTTATCAATGAGACATTTTTTTGTTCGCATAATTATTCATCTTTTTAATATACAGTGAAACCTCGTTGGTAAAACCCTCTAGAGTCTCAAGTTTCTTTAACAGTTTATTAAAGAGCTTTCACTGTACGCTTACCACATTGAAAATCATTCAGCGTAACAGTTAAATATATAAAAAAATGTTTTTAATCACAGCAGCAATCGGTCATACAATCACAACATTCTAAAGCACAGCAACCACAGCAAAGACCAGCAAGAAGTCCAGCACAACAACCACCACCGCCGCCTGAGTTATTTCGATTCGGTTCTTGCACTCTAAACTTTTACTATTATAATTGAGATTAAAAATTGGAGCTCTAAAACCAATGCAATAGACAAATAGGAGAATTCGAATCAAAGTTGGAATGAGGAGAAGTGCATTTACACTCTGGCAAAGCTGAAACTCACATGATTGTTTGTGGTTGCGGATATCCTTGTTGTGGAGGATAACCGGGAGGACCCTGTAGAGATTTAGTAAATGAATTTTATTTGCTAAATTTGCTTAACACTGATTCTATCAGGTTAACTGGCGATAAAACTGACCATCGGTTGTTGATTGTAGTATCCAGGTTGATCTCCGTAGCCCATTTTGTTATTTGGGTATCTGAAACTTTTTGCTATATGCTTTTTGCCAAATCATTTTTATGCTTCCTGGACACCAATACATTAAATAAAAACATAATCAGGAATTTTAGGAAAAAACAGGTTTTTGCTGAAAATTGGGCTCGATCCGCACCCCTCCTGAAAAGAATGATGTTTTTGTATTAAAATCACTAAATTACTAAGCAAATTATAGTTTTTGCTCAAGTTACTTTGAAAATGAAAAAAGATGCATTTCTTTTGTAATGCTTTTGACTTAACTTTTGGACTTTTGACTTAACTATTGTTTCAAATTTGATTAATAAATCAAAAGAACGTGATTTCGAAAGCTTTAAGATCAAACTTCCGTTAAGGCACTAAAGTGCAGAACAAAACACAAAAGAATTGTGTTTGTTTTTACTCGATTTGGTCGAAGATTTTCATAAAATTCTTGGTGAAATGACTTTTCTAGGTAAAAAGGGTTTTCGAAGATAAAAGGTTTTAAAGTCAGACGATTTTCAAAATCGGACGTAACATATAAATAAAACCTTAGGCTAAGGCAAAAATAGAGAACAACTAGCAACCATGGCTACCCACGATACACCCCACCTCTTTAAACGTCATCCATATTTCAAAAGAAATCCCAAGAAAAGAAATAACTAAAATAAATAACTAAAAATCTTCAAATGAATCATCGATGTGGTGATGTTTGTTTGGCTTGTATTTGATGAGGAAAAAGGGCCCACTTTACCTAACCAATGAAACAACTCAAAATTTGAGCTCGTGAAACTTTTAAACTTAAAAAATCCTAACCTTTATTTATTACTTGACATTTAAAAAATGAAGAAAATCTTTTCTTAGGATTATAATAGCAAGATGTAAAAGATTGCCAATTTACTCGCACGAAATTGATAGAAAAGAACCCAACAATAAGCACGGTTTGTAAAGCTCATAAAGCATTTATGTGAGTTGTTTCGATCAAATAAAATAACCAAATTTCAAAATGGAAACAGAGTCGAATTGCATCGAACCGATTTGCGTATAATAGTTCTGTTGTGTGAACGTCTATTTTTTCTTTTCTCTCTTTTTGCCCTTTCACTAGAGATCCTTCAAAAACATATTTCTATAGAGGAAAACCAGTTTCGATTCAATTGATTTGACTCTCACACAGGGTGAGTCACAAATTTTGAAATGAAAGAAGTCGAAGTATTAAAATGCTAGGAAAATTTTGAAAATTTACAGAAGGAAAAGAATGCTTAATCTACCTCAAGAACAACACAAGCTCTCACAAGCAGAAAAAAACGATTACCCATCAGGAAGAACTGATCAGGACCTACTATTAGCTTGTTTTGTTCCACTAGCACATTGCACATCGGCGCGAAAATGCGTTTTCTATAGGATTTTTCTGGGAGTACCTTTTTTAGATGCGGAAAATTGTGCTGATGCCGAATTTGAAGAAATTTTCCAAATCCCTCTGGCAAAAATTTTTTAAATTGAGTTTTAGCAGTTTTTTGGTCATTTTGTATGGGAAATTTTGTGGTACCCTGCAGTTTGGAGCTCGTAACTCGACAACGAGAGTCTAGAACCAAAAACGAAGGGATAATTTTTATTCTAGAGACTCTTACGAACATTTTGATGCAAAAATCATAAAATTTGCTCAACTCTACAAAAAGTTATAATATTTTTTAAAAAAGAAATGAGGAAATTTTAAAAAATTCTCTATTGCACAATTGTTTTGTTCAAAAGAGCAATGTCGCTATGTATCGTATTCACTCAAAATAATTAAGGAATATGCAAAATAATAGCTCAAGTGCGCGGGAGAGCCGATGTGCATTGGGTTTCGGCTCGACTTTAGCTGATTCAACTACTACAAGCCCGTGCGCCAGACGGTGAGCCGCACAAAAAAACACCGTGCGCTCTCTTCGCTCAGGAATTTCTTTTGTTCTGTAAACATTACTTATTAGGCTGGCCGGAAAGTTCTTTCCGTTTTTTGACGCTAGATCTAACGTTTTATTTTACGCATCAAAAACGCCGCCAAATAAAAAAACAGAATTTATCTACTCGAAATATTCACTGTCAACATCAATAACATCCTGCCACTTATCCGGCAACAAATAGATTCCGCGGCGGTAAAACTCACGTGGCTTCGAATCGAAAAACTGAGTGAGTGACAAGCGCATTTCCTCGACGTTTTGAAAGGTCTTTTCACGCAAATGATACTCCAGAGACCTGAAAAAATGATAATCGGACGATTCCGGAGAAAATACCTGAACAGATGATAGTCCGATGGTGCGTTTTCGTTTTCGTATCGCTTGTTGTATCTTCAAGCAAAATATCTAAGTTGTGCTGAAATTGAGCCATTTTTCCCGTATTTTGGTTGCAAATAACTAACGCGAGGGTACAACCCATAAGAACCGAAAGCTTATTACGCAAAAATGTGTAATGCCATGATGATGAATTTATATATTGATTTCTTTTTCTCCTCTTTTCCTCATCATGCATAATTCTCATCCATCGAACAGGTGTTCACACGTTCCGACTCTTTTCCTCGAAGCCTTCTATCCCAAATAATCCCTAGAAATTTGGATATTAGTTATATTGATTATCCAAGAATCTCACATGATCCTCAGTGCCAACAGGTCACTTTGCCAACTAATCTCAATGATAACGAATCGTTTTCAAATAATTGTATGCTTTTTTCTTAAAATTTATCCATTCAACACTGCTCGATCGAAAGAGACATTATCCGAAACACCATTGTTAATTGTCATTTCATTGTGGGGAAAACACTCAAATTTCGTTGCGAAACGCCTCGAGTGCGATCCAATTTGGAGCTCTCCTTCAACGAGGAGAGCGAGAAGGAGAAGAGAGTAGTGTTTGCCTGGCTCTCGCTCCTTTCGATCTTTTTCTCTTGGACATCCGTCGTTCTCTTTTGTCTTCTTCTTGAGGGGTGTAGGACTATAGAGAAGAGGGCATCGATTCAGAAGAGCCTTTTCTCTTGCTCCCCCTTTCCTTTCTAAAGAGGAGAAAGCTGTGGGTTGTGTCCCTTGAGGCCCCAACAACCTCCCGTTTCTCTTTCCTTTCATTTCATCTTTCTTTTTGCATCTCTCTTTATTTTGTTGAGCCCACTGGTCTTGTCTTAAGTAATGCTTCAAAACCAACTCTCTTTTTTTACTCACTACAGGGTGCGTCATAATTACTCATACTCACTCTGGAGGGTGTAGCTCAGTCAAAAGATAGCCGATTCCCACAAAAATTTTACAGGTTACAGGTCGCAATAAGTTGAGTGGGTCTCCTGTAGCAGTGCCCATTATCTAACCGGTTGCAGCTCACAAACTTTTCAAACAAGCTTCCAAAGTTAGGAGTCACACTTAGCCTGGCGCGCGACCTAGTTCTGGGGTTTTTGAAAAACGAGCTGCTTACTGAGAGGAGCTAAGTTCTTGTTAGTTTTCAATCAATAATGTCCAGATACGAATTTTAAGAACTAAAAATCACTAAACGATTAGCCAATCTTTCTCAACTTTTTAAATACCTCTCGGCCCGGATTTACATGATGAAAATCATAAATAAGCAGGGTTTTGTTAATTTTGTGTGAGATTTTCCCCGTAAACGATGACTGGAAGTTTAAAACGATCTTTCTGATAAATTTGGTGCAAAAATTTCCCAATCGGCTTTGAATGTCACTTCAAAAACCCCAGAATTAGGTCGCGCCCTAGGCTAAGCGCGACTCCCAACTTTGAGAGCTTGTTTGAAAAGTTTATGAGCTCCTATCGGTTAGATAATGGGCACCGCGACAAGAGACCCACTCAACATTTACCTGTAAAATTTCTGGGAATCGGTTATCTTTTGACTGAGCTCCACCCTCCAGAGTGAGTATGAGTAAATATGACGCACCCTGTACAGCGGTACTTGACACCCTGAAGCTGGTTCTAGGGCCACCCAATTTTGCCTTTAAATTTTTTTTAAAATCGCACAACTATATTATGTTTTAAGACTCTTAAAAAAATTTCAATGTTTTTTGGCCCAAAGACGGCTAAGAAACTCCCTTCAGGCGGACGAACGGACAGACACTGCTCTTTTATAATATAGGCTTTATTATAGATCTATTTGTTACGGAGCTTTTTCACGCCTTTTAAAACTCAAATTTGTTCCTATAAATTTTTTCTATAAATTTTATAGCTTCTCTTATCAATTATTCATGCACCTTTTGGAATATTTATAAAGTTTTTCAAATGCCCTTTCGGCGTCGTTCAAATTTAGTCATTTATGAGGTGGTGAGAAAAAAAGCGATTCCGTAAAATTTCCGATAGAAATGGCAAGAGCCACACGCAAACGAAATATCCCTCTCAATCCATCCACTTGTGGCTTTTTCGATATAAAGAGAGTAAAAGAGAAACGGCATTCATTGCATCCATCTCTCCCCCAATTCCTCTTCCAATCCTTTTCTATATTCTTCCTCTCATTGGTCTTTCAGGGAAACACATCCATCGCTTAAATTGTCATAGTTATAATACTTTGAAACTCTAAAACAGCGCATATTAGGTGAAGAGAATTAGTGCAAAAATTTAATTGATCGTCGAATCAGTTGCTAAAGTGACGCAGTTTTTGCATCATTAACTAGCTGTGCTCTCTATGGATAGGCATTCCATAAAGTGCTCCAAATTTCCACAATTTCAGAAGCTTATAAAAGTCTATATTTATGATTTTTACTATTGAGAATCCTAATCCATTTTCCTTCTCTCTTCCGGTCTCCATGGCGTCGAGAAGAGAGTTTTCTTTGATTCGAGATCTCACAATCTTGGGCTCCTCTAGAAAAAGAAAAGAAGAGTTATATGTACTACTTGAGCTGACTTGAGACTCTATGTATCTTTTAGAAACTATAAAATACTTTAATCAATACAAAAAATAAATCCTTATATTATATTAAATTATATTATAGTTTTGGGTTTGCTTTTTTCTAGACGGCTCTAGAGGTTACTTTTCATTGCAAAGGCAGCAAGAAACGATATTCTCTTTTCACTTTCCATTGTTAGGTTATTCTCTGTGACTGGTTTTCTATTTCCTTTTTTCGTAATAGTATTTCTGTGGAATCGAATTTTTTTCTAACACCATAACTTAGGTCTAGAGCTTTCAAGTTTATAACTTGCAAAAGCCTGGCCGAAACAAACTCAAGGGTTAATTCTTGTTTTAACATGGACACACCAAGAAGTTTGTCGCTGAGAGAAAAAGTAAGTTATGATGGAAAGTCTCAAAAATGAAAAAAACTAGACTCAGCCGGTGAATTCTTGCTATGGAAGCTTGATTGCATCAACCTCGACAGGAATTCAAAGATCATCGTAATAATATGGTTTTTGATTTTTATAGGAATGACCAAATTTAGAAATGACATTCCACCAGAAGACGAAGAATTCGTTCAAGCTCCAGCTTTTTTCTATGACATGGATTTTGATTTGAGAGCCCTGAAGGTTTGTTTGAGAGACATTTTTAGATTTTAATTAAAAGCCTCCTATTAGGATTTTGAGGGGAAAATAAGTGCAGCGTTAGTACTCGTGCTTTTTTGTTGCTCCCTCTACACTTTTCAAATCCAATTTCGTTTTTTACATTTCGAGCAACGATGCCTCTTTCCCAAAAAAAGTGCTGGAAAGTTGTCAAAACGAGTGCCCCAAAGTGCGAAACAAAATCAAGATATATGGATAGGTTAAGTTTAGAAATCTATACAACTGGATTCACTAAAAAATGGAATGAGCCATTAGATAAGAGCTTGATTTCCTTTTTTCTGAATCGATTTTTATGAAATTTGATCTCTGTTCAGGCATCCCTCAAATCCGCCTCTCTATTAGCGGATTCGGGTTATCGATCAACAGTCGTCACATCATCAACAGGAACATCTGTTATCAATGATCCTTCATCTCAACCACCACCACGATTTGGAACTGGTTGGATGGTGGCCGAGGCTCTCAGTGATGACGGTGATACTGATTCAGCTGATGATTCTTGGGGTTGGTGATTTAAGCAAAAAGGTTTTGACTCATACACAAAGTGAAAGTGCTGCCATCAGCAAAATACTCAAATGCAATTTCAAAAAACTAAAAAACCCTGCTCAGGTTATGGGTATTCAGGGTATAACCTGATGTTGATATTTATTACTGATCTTGTTTTCAGACGGTCAAATGAACGTGGGAACACACCGCGTAAAGATTAAAGATATGTCCGATATCTTGGCTTCTAGATATGCTTTCATATCAGGTATTTGTTTCTGAATTGTCATGATCGCAACTAAAAGACTTTCCTATTTCTGTGTTCATTTTGGATTACGTACTTGAACATTAATGAGCTCGTCGACAAACAGACAGCTCATTTTTTTCGCTAAAAGAAAGAGGAGAGTCTAATTTGTGAGAACTAACAAAGAAACTCGAGGGACTTTTATGAATTAGCTATTTCACTATCATTCATCCCACATTTGAATGCTTTTTCATCAAAACTAATGACTCCTCTGCCAAAATTTATATTTATTATTTTATCTCTACCTATTTACTTATTTTTGATGGGAGTTTGGGTTTACGAAAAAGTTATAAATAAGTGCTATGCTTGCAAAAGTGGTTTTATCAACAATTTTAAAAACAAAATTTTTTCAAGGTGCCCGATCGAATGAGGGTTTGACAGTTGTGACTTTTCCTGATAGTCGAACAAATCTGATTCTTGATGATTATCAGTTGTTGATTACATATCTAATTCAAGTACCATCGTAAGTTTATTTAATAATAACATTAAAGTTGTGAGTGAATGTTTTTAGTTTGGAAGAAAGTCATAGTGGTTTTATATTAATCGTCGATCGACGGAACGATAAATGGTCATCAGTGAGAAGTGTTCTCCTTCAAATTGCAGTAAGCATCAGCTTATATTAAAAAGGAATACGACTTAACTCTTCTTTTATGTTTTGCTTGTCAAAAATCTTTGCTTAACACCAACTCTAAGATCCTTATAGAGAAATACGAAAGATGAAAGGAGTAGGTCGGGGAATGAAAAGAAAAGAAAGACGAGTGTCCATCCAAAGCAAGGGTGAAGAAGAGATGGTGGTGGAGAAAAATAGGAATGGTCGGTCCCTTTCCCTTTTGCCTGGTTGTGTGAATGCACGTTGAAGAGCCAGCCAAGGGTTCCGCGTTTCTCTTTTCATTCTTCACACCCTCTCATCTTCTTAACCATTTTTTTGCCTTATACATATTAATTGTTAATTCTTATATTCAGGCTTACTTTCCGGGATCGATTCGAGTCGCCTTTGTTTTGAAGCCAGAAGGTGTACTTCAAAGAGCTCTCGAAGTTGGATATCGAACAATCGCTGAACAGTGCCGATTCAAGGTAATTGAGGCTATGAGCAAAGATAAAAGAAGAGGGAAAGGGACAAATGATAGAGAATCATTTATTGAGAGAAGACAATCGTGGGAAATAGATCGAAAATTAAAAAAAATTTTGGGAAAAGTTCTTGAAGGAACCGCCTAAGTTCGTACAAAATTAGCCATAAGATCAAACTTTTTGTGTATCTTATTCTTTTCCTACCTTAAACTAGTCATGCCTTATTATTCGAGATGGAGTCGCAAGCAGCCGGTAAAGAAAACTTTTAGTCCTTTGGTATTTAGTAAAAACGTTTATCACAAAACATTCACAGATGTTACAGAACAGTATTTTATCCTAGGTCATACTGTGCGAATCGTCATTAGAGCTTCGGCGTTATCTGAGACCGGAACAATTATCGATGGATGTGGGAGGCCTCATCAAATACAATCATCTCGAATGGGTCCAGCATAGAATGGTGAATGATTACTGCTTGAAGTTATTGATTGGCTTTCATTTATGTTATAACTTTTCCATTGTTTTACTATTTCAGGACATCGAACGAATGAAATCCTCAGCGGCTGTAATTGCTCAATCTTTGAGTGATTTCGGAAGAACCCTTCGGGAAACCGAACTACCAAATGACGCTGAAACGACGGCGAGGATTTTGGATGCACAGACAGCTGAAAGAGATGCTATTAAGGTTTTTTATGAACGTTTTTATGAAATGAATTTGTCCTTCAATTTAAATGAGATCCTGTATAATGCCCAAATAGGAAAGCTAGTTTTCAAGTTGTTCGGGAATTGATGGTTGATGATGGATAGGTGGGCAAGGGATCCGGTTGATCAGACCTTAAAAGGCCAAAAACGGAGTCATCGATGAAGAGACGGTCGATGGCGAGTGCGAGTGGGAACATGTGTGCCTGTCCGATTTGTTCTCTTCTTTTTCTCTTTTTTGCGTGGACCTTTTCGGGGCTCTCAACGTGATCTCTCTTTTCACTCTTCCGTGCGCGAATATCTTTGTTAACATGATCTCTTAAAATGCTGTTATATTTCTGTTAGTTAGTCGAGTGTTTATATTTTTGCCTGACGACTTCTTTGTGTTAGAACACAAATCCCGTATTCTATGTAACTTGATCTTGACCGGTTTTGCTCCAGACTAGTTCATGTTTTTCGAAACGATTCCTGTGAACAGTCATTCAGCTGCTAAAATTCACTTTTTCTGCTTTCCCAAAACAAAAAATATTTTAATTTAACAAAAATTTTAATTTTAATTTAACAAATACTTAAACACTCGCGTTTCATTGCAAAATACAGTATTTTGTTATTTCTTCTTTGCTTGTAGTTGACAATAATCAATATTTCATAGGGTAAGGGTGAAAGCTTCCTTGGATGGAATTGTTTGTAGAGAAAAAGCTTCCGTTCCCATCTTTTTCTTTTCCTTTCTTTCTTCAGTCGACCCTTTCCCCATTCCAAGTCTTTTCATTGTTCCAAAAACAGCCCTTCCATACAGACATTTCTTCCTAAAATAGACATACAGGCCCCGCATAGATTTTGCTAAAATATTCACATTTATTCATGTTTATATCAGAGTTCTTTAGGAGGATTTTCGTATTTCGGTACGAAAAGGACTTTCTTTATTGAGAAGTGTTCGGCAGTTGGATAAGAAACCCCGGGCCGATCAGGTAAAAAATTGATTTGATTGAAAATAAAACAGAGCAACTTTAGTTATCTCCAACTCGGCTTCATAACGTGACAGCCATTGAAAGAATGTTAGTGCAACTTGAGGAAACAGAAAGGTGTGATCACTCTAATTAGCTAAAACTCGGGTTTAAATATTCAGATCTTTTGATGCATTCTGGGAACGTCATGAACGTCGTCTTATGCATTGTCTTCAGCTTAGACAATTCGAAGATGCCTTCAGAAAAGTTTTTTGATTAAAGTCAGTTAGGTAGTTGATTAAAAAATTCAGTTGCAAGCAGCCTTTGCAAGACATATGATGTACTTGGAAGAGCATCGAGAAGTTGGCGATGGACCTGAAAGAGCTGAAATATTGGCAAAGCAACACGATGAATATTCACTAACAGCTCAGGTTTCTCTGTATTTTTTTTATCTGATTACCTATACCATTTAAGGATGATGTGACCATAGCACGGTCTTTGCGACAAACGGGGGAGGATCTAGTGGCTAGCCATGATGCAGAGGGTGCTGGTAGCCTACTGCCTAAATGCGAAGAGCTTGGTAATTATTTATTCATAGATAAAAAATAATATGAAAGAATGACTTTAGAAAGAATGGCTGAAGCCCTGACTAGCGCTTTAGAGAGAAGACGAGCTGTTCTCGAGTTGAGCAAGAGAATGCACTCACAAATTTCACAGGTAATATGAAAAACAAAGTTTTTCTCATTTCCATTAAGTTTCAATAAGGTAACTTTAGGTTTTGTAATCAAGTAAATATAATACTATGAAATTTAGGCAAATGCGTGGTGCAAAAAAGGTGTAGAAGTGCTTTCAACTGTTCCATTTGAAGTCACTCCATCGTCAGTTTCGAATCATATCGATCGTATGGACGCTCTTTTACAAGAGGCTTCTACACTTCAAGTAATTTTTAGTTATATTTACTGATAAAATTCAAATTTAAAGTTGGACAGCTTGTCCCAATCGCCAACAATGAACAAATTGATTCTTCTCACGACTACTGAAACCTCCACACTGTTAGCTCAAGTTCGTTAGCAGTTATTAAAAGCCTGATGTTTTATGTTTAAAGGTTTATTTTTGTTCAAGTAGTAAGAAATAACATGAACTAAGCACATCCGGTTAATGCAAGATAGAGCTAATCCGGAGCAAAGAACATATTAACACAGGACCTTTGTCGGTTAATTCTGCAGCTGGCATCTAATTCTATCATAATTGTAAACAGAGCTTGTCAGATCTAAATGATGATAAAATAATTTCGTTTATTTTTGAATCTCAGTTAAAGCTTTACAAACTCACAAAATTGGCCAAGCAGTATATAAAAGAAAGAGGAAACACATGTGTCTTTGAGAAAATGAGTCACCCTTCATGATTCAACCTCCGTATGATCAAATATGGATCGTAAAGCCTCAAATAAAATTTTCTAGCATTTTCAGATGTACACGGTAAATTCAGCAGTTTTAGGTAGCTGAAAGAATCGATGACATCAGAAGAATGTCTGTAGCGAGAAGGGATGCTCTGTTGAAAGTCAGAGAAAAGGAAAGCCCTTCACGACCAATACAAGTATTCAACATTTAAGAAACTCATCTTCACTTGATTTAGATTGTCTCACCAGAAAAATCGAAGAAGCAATTTCCTGCTGAAAAGGTCTGTTTTAATCTTTTACTCTTAGGCTGTCTAGAAAGTCTTTTCATTCCTTTTCATACTTCCGTTAGAAAAGAACAAATTCACCAATTAACTTTGCCCTAAATAAAAAGTGTTTATTGTTCAATTTTCCATCTTTATAAGTCAATTTGGGCTCACTTTCACTTTCAAGCAAATTCGATAGTGAAAACTTGTTTTTCGTAAAAATCTCTATGAAGAAATTGGCTGAATCATTTTCTCTGAGAATTTGGCTATATACCCAGCTTTTTGTGCTCTATCTTTTATCGATTGACACCAAGATAGATTTCCTTAGCTAAAGTGTCATCGAGCCGTCGCCCTTTTTGGACTACACGGTTTCACGCTCCCAAAAAAACCCAAACATAAGGCATTTTAAATCCGTTTTAATGTTATTTTGCAGAAAAATAATTGGCCTTTCTAATGAAACAAACCGTAGTTCAATTTGTTGGTTTTAAACGGAAGTAAGAAAAGGAACGAAAAGACTTTCTGGACAGCCTAATAGATAACTACAATTGTTGGTATGCAAGACAAATGCAAAAATAGTCTCGATAATGTGAATAGCCAAAGTACTGAACTTAAGTTTACTTGACTTTTACACCTGACTACTTATATTGCAGCTGCTTTGGAAGAAAAAAGCAATGAAGAAGAGACAACTTTTGTCTTTTTCTCCATATTTTATGGAAAGCTCCTTTTTCATGTTTTCCCTCTTCGTTCCTTGTTCCTATCTCTAACACCAGATGGATAGATCGGCAAAGAATGGGCCCTTCTGTTAGTTTCGCACTCTTCATCTCTCAATCCCCTGTATTCCTCATCCAAAAGGATCTTTTCCCCGCGAGAGTCATTATTCAATTCTTTTAGCACCTTCTATAAACCCCAGACCAACTCATGAAGTTTTATTTTTGTTCTTCCAAAATTTTCTTTCATTCTTTATTATCGCTTCTTTTTATTGAATGACTTTTTAATAATTGTGGTGTGGAAGCATGATTCGAAAGCATAAGACTTCACACCCTTCATCATTCAATAGTCTTTTCTTTCTTTTTTCTCTTCTCCTTTCTGCCTCTAAGGTATGGTTGAAAACCCATCACATTGAAGTCAGAGAACCGGATGCAAAATGGGGTGCTCTTTCTTGTGTTTGGGAACTCGAAAGCCTTTTCTTTTCTGTTCAAGTCTTCGACCGCTCCTTCTTTTTATCAGATTTATTAGTTGAATAGGCGTCAAGCCCTTCCATTCCTTATTTTGGTTGTCTTGGTTTATGCAGTTCGCAAAGTAATTATTTTTTGCGAAGATAAAACTAGTGATGTGTTGTTTCAAGCTTTTTTTTCAATCAAAATGTAGGCGTTCTATCTAAAAGAAATGTATTTGCTCTCATCATCTTTTCTTCTTTATTCGCCTTTTTCTAGAATGTGCATCGGGTCAGGTTTACCCCCGTCGCCCGAGTGCACTTCGTCCCATCATCCTTTTTCCTTTATTCTTTCAATCGGATCATTGCCTCCCAGATCAAGCGCTGCTTTTTGTGTGTCTGATCCACCAACAACATCGGCACACAATGAAATGATTCTTTGATTGCTCAAGCGCCCACTTAAGACTATCACTTATCAAAGTCAATCTCGTCTTTCTATTATCTTTTAGCAATTTAAATGAATTCACTATTTTGAGGCAGAAGTCATTTGGAAATTGAAGCTGGCTTTTTTCCCTTTTCTTGTCATATAGGAGAAACGGCATGAGCGAGTCAAAATAATCCGATTACGTATCCGATTTTTGACTGACGTTTCAATCAATTTCTATTTCAAAAAGTACGCGCTTTTAGTTAATCCGAACGAGAAACAAAGTTGCAAATTAATTGAAACAGATAAAATGATTGTTTCATGTGCCAATAAGTGTAATGTTTTGTCGTTTGGTTGAACTAACAATTTGATATTGGTTTAGAGCCATATTTGACCGGTCCCTTTTCTCTGTCTTTACGAGGTCATTCCTGCAGCCGGAGGCATCTAAAGACTGAGAAATCAATGAGGGTCAAGAGATAAAAAACCGAAGAGAGACATGCAAAGTGATGCTCTTTTTTCTCTAAGCCTCCATACTTTTTTACTCTTCACCGCCTTTCAAAACAGCCATATTCAAATCTGGACGCCACACACTTTTTTTCCTTGATCTGCACTGTTATTCGACTTTTTTTTACCTTTCATATTTAACAACATCACTTTTTCTGATCGGTAAAGAAAATATAGAATCACCAATCCCTGTTAATCACTGTGGTCAATTCAAATGCATAAATCCCCTAAAGCTTTCCGATTAATGATTAAAAGTCGTTACAAAATAACTTTTCTCTTGGGCAATAAAATGACTCATCAGGTATTGTTTTCTAAAATATTTAAAGCAATGCTTGATGAGCAAGCTGATAAGCATTGAAAAGAGATTTCTCCTCCATTTCCACAACAATAGAGGGAAAGAAGCTCTCATATTCGGGGTGCTCGTAGATTCCCTTCTCGTGCAAACAGCAAGTGGCCCTCGATTTCCCACTTTTTCAACCAATCTTTTCTTTTCTTCCGCTTCTAAGTTTAGAATTTTTACTGTCAATTTATTTGATTTTGGCAGTTCGCTCTGACACCTTTCTTTCCTGATAAATTTTTAATTTTTTTTGCCCAATTAAGCAAATCAACGACTCTTGATTATGGCGACGGATACAATACAACAGAGAAACGGACCTTCTTTCACAAGATTTCTCTCGTTTCGAAGATCCAAGCGGAAGCCCACAGTTGCCAATTCTTCATCAATTTTTCTTTCGGTGACCTCTGAACATCTAGATCTTTGTATTCCTACGGCTTCGACTAGCAAAGCGGTTTTAGTGGTAAGTCGAAATTTTTAAGTTAAGTTTGGAATAAAAACAACGGGTGTGGGGATAATGTTGATATTTTGTTGATAAGTGCCAAAAAAGATTTTCTTTAACCTGGAGAATAAACATCTCAAGTTTAAAAAAGTCTAAAATATTCCGCTCGTTTCTTTTCAGAAAAACGTTAATCAAGTTTTTGTCTATTAACTAGTTTGACTTTAAGCTTAGCCTTTTGATGTGCCAAGAGATTTAATACTGTCGCTTCAATCAGCTTTCGATCATACCTTTTCTTCACCAAACCCATTTCTTTTCGTTCCCATGCTAGGGAGTGTCAAAAAGAAAGAGTTTCCATTTGGTTGCTCTCACACAAAGCATCGAAAACACAAATGCTTGATGTGATCAAATACATTGATGGGCTGAGTTTTGTCTTCTTCTCTTTAAAATGATAGCCCTTGTCGTTTCCATACTAACAAACGACAATACATTTTTCTCTAAAGGCTTTACAAGACAATTTTCGAATCGCTTGGCTTCTTCGCTTTTTATGAGCCTTCCAATATTGACTCAATGATTAGCTTTCCCTCGTGATTTTAGCACCGATATAAAACATTTTATAGATTTACTTAATGTGGTTTTCATGAAAAGATCTCATAAGGTAAGCAAAAATTTGAAAAATCTTGCTTTTGGGGGAAACTCTTAAATTTTGAGGGTATTTGAGGTGTTTGAGGAAACTTCGAAAATTTTGCTTTTTCATAGGCAGAGGCTGGCACAATGACTTTCCCATCAGTTTCTTTATAAAACTCACAGATGGGATGGGGAAGAAGAAAGCTATTCGGGGCTTCACACTCTCCTCCCATTCTTGCCTACTCCCATCCCCTTCTTGTTCAACTGCTCGCCTCTTCACGCCACAGTTGACTCTATTTCTTTCTCTTACTTTACCCATCCTACTCATTATCTTTTGATACTAAGTCAGTAGCTTTTTTTAATTTGGTGATTTCATAAAAGCTATTGCAGTTATTGCACAATTAGGACTATTGAAGATTTACTTTTATTTTCATCAGATTCTTTTCTGAATGGCTGTGGTTGTGCTTCGAAGTAATTTCTTCGAGCGAATTTTTTTTCAATATCGACAATTCTATTCAATCATTAAATCCAATACAAAGGTAATGTTAGAAAAAAAATTTTTGCTAAGGGAAAAAGCTGTCTCTAAGCACTCTATTTGCTAACAAATGCGCGTCATTAAACTTAAGTGTTTAACATTTATCTAAGCAAACAGTCATAGTTTTATTTATAATGAATATGTAGGTATGGACTAATAGGGCAAACTCTCTCTTTTGGTTGACCGATTGCCTTGTCGGTTTGCCAAGATACTTAACGCGTCGTTAAGCGCAAAAAAATGAAAAAACGGTGTGTATTTAAGAAGATAGAAAAGAGTTGTGTCTCTTGAGTTCTCACAGAGTCCCCATCTCATCATAGAGGTGCGGCAAGAGTTATGATGGGCTTTAGACAGGTGTGGTGAAAAGAGAAAAAGAAAGGACAAAAGGACCAATGTTGTCTGTCTTTCACTCATATCTCATTTCTCTTCCACAACACTGGCCCATACTTTTCATTATTTATTTTATCTCTATATTTTTTTTGTATCAAGTATTGACCGTGGCGAAAGCTCATGCTTTTTTGTTCCAACAAAGAAGAAAGGTTAGCGTTAGCAGTCGTGTAATTTTTTATAATAAGTGAGAGGAAAATACCTTACAAAGTTAATTATCAAAACCGACATAAAAATATCACAATTCTATAGATTCCAATGAACCGCTTTTAGAAGGAAATCGAGGTGGTGAGAGGAGACCTGTCGTGCTGTCGAGAGACTCCCACCCAATTCGTCCATCCATCCGCGATTTCTCACCAACCACAGAGTCCCCGTTCAATTTCCCGGGAAATGCATGTCATCGCGGAATTGGTTGGTTCTATTTTAAGCACAAAATCTCTTTACTTTCCCTTTAAAATCATCTTTGATTTCTTCGTATTTTGTGTATTTTTAACTTGAAACCACTCAAGAACCTTAATATAAAAAGGCAAAAAGACTTTTTTACGATAGCTTTTCTTTTTCATCTTTCTTACGACTCGAGTAGGGTTGAGACTCTCAAAGTTTTTCCCACTGCACTCAACCTTTACTCTTCAGGTCTAACAAAATAACTCTATCAAAGTTCAAAAAGCCACGCATGAATGGGTGCTGCAGAAAGAGAGCATTAAGAAAAGCTAAAAATTGAAATTTAGTTAAATACGGAAAGAAGCTATGTTGGAGAGCTTGAATCGATAGTTGAGCATTATGTGGATCCATTTTCTGCAACCGAACATCAAACTCAAATTGCTCCACCAATCCGAGGCCGGCCCGACCTTGTTTTTGGTTGGTTTTGATAGGTCAAGCAATAAAGTCATTACTGATTTGTTGATTAACAGTTTGTAACAAAAAAACCTTTCTTTCAGGAAATCTCAAGGACCTCTTGTTATTTCATTCGAGCTTTTTGATCAATTTGCAAGAAGCTGAAAACTCACCTTCAGCCATTTGCCGATGTTTCCTACAGAATCAATCCAAGTGACTTTGCAAGATTTGTCTTGAGTCAAAAGTTATTTAGATTTCTAAATCTGTACATTCCATACTGCCAAAATAAAAGCCCTTCTGAAGCAATCCGAAAAGAATTCGCTGATAGCACTTCGTTCTTTACGGTTTGTTCACGATTTCCATTTTAACTTTGTTATTTTCCTTCTGCAAAAGAAAGTTTTTGAACACAAAACATCTATAATAATAGGAATGTCAACGCCGTGCTGGTCATCCTTTACCACTTGGAGCTTATTTACTGAAACCGGTGCAGAGAATCACAAAATATCAATTGCTATTGAAAGAACTGGAAAGGAATTCTAGAGCAGAGGTTTGTTTGCTAAATGTGTTCGACAGAATCAATCTAACTAACTTTGTAAAATTTATTTTGATTCAAAAATATTTAAGCTTTTAACTTTGTACATTCCAATACGTTTCATACGTTTCATAGATGTATTTAGGTCCGATCTGAAGTTGAGGCAGCTGTATGTTGCATGTTAGAACTTTTGAATAGAATCAATTCGGCTATTCAACAACTTCATATTATTGGATTTGCTGTAAGTCGAAATGAAATCAAGCAAATCCAAATACTGGACAATTAATGTCATTTAGGGAGATCTTCGATTGATGGGACCACTAAGATTACAAACGGAATGCGACGTATTTGCTTTCAACCGAAAAAAGGTAAGCCTATTTTTTGAAAGGAGAAAACATTGTTCCATCTAAATTCAACCAAATAAAAACATTTTTCTGATGAATGAATAAGCAAATTCCAGGGTCGGCGAACGACAAGAGCCCAAAGACGGCATTTATTCTTATTCGATGGTGGCCTCGTTCTCTGCAAAAAAAGAAATCCGCTCAACTCATCAGAGCCTGAATATTATGAATATAAAAATTCAATATCGGTTTGTTGGTTTTCAGAAAACCCAAGTATTTTTCTTAGACTTCTTGCTTGAACTACTGCGACCAAAGTAAAAGTGGGTCATCAAGATTTGAAGTGTGGGATGAGACGAAAAATGATGGATGGGCTGTTGAAACCTTAGATACAAATTCACGGTAAAAAAAATCAAACAACACTTAATAGCATTGTTTAAGAAGTCGATGGGTGGATTGTTTGAATGGATTGACAGTCTCTAGAGAAGATCAAGGCAGCCAGAAAACAAAAGGGGAAGAAGGGGGAAGACCCAGAAGTTGGACCTCGACATTGTCTACTGACAGTGTCACCTCAACACGATCGCCGAGTGAACATTCGAATGAAAGGTCAAAAAAATAGTTAAACTAAAGCAAAAAATAATAAATTTTAGCATGGATAGCAATGGAAATGGTTCACAAAGTCAAACAGTTCAATGTCTACTGGACAGTCCAACAGGGAACAGCCAGGTTAGAAGATAAAGGCTTTTACAGTAGCAAACCTTTTATAAAGGCTATGTTTCTCTCGTTGAAACGATTTCTAAAAAAGCCTAACAAAAAGTTAACGTATGGTTACAAAAACAACCAAAATAACCCCATTTTACCTGTTTGTTGGTTCAATCGATGAGCAAAGAATACTTAAAGGCAGCACACCTTTATAAAAAGCCGAAATACGATAGATATTTCTTTAAACCCTTTAGTTGTACGAAATTTCTTGTATCGATGGCCAAAATGCAACAAAATGATTTTTAGGACTTGTTGATAGAAGAAGCCCCTCCACTCCCAGACAGCCAACCACCAAGATCAACAACATTCCATTCGACTTCTTCTTTTGTGCCAAATATTGAAGAATCTCATTCACCAGAAGAAAATGTAAATTGCTAGTTCCTACTGTGACTACGACAAACCAAAATTGATTTACCTCTAGTGGACTTATCTCGAACTGTGCAGTGTACAAATATCCATTATTAAATGAAATCTCTAAACATATCCATCATACCCTCTTGGGTTTCATGTTGTGTCATCTATTTATTGAGCTGATATTGTTGATACTTGCTTTTGCTTTCTTTTTGTTTGTAATGCTTCATGGGTATTTATATTCGTTCAACCGAGTGTTTTATGTATACCTAATTTGTTTGAACTGATACCAAAGTTCAAGAATTCAGCAGATAAATAATTAGCGCTTTTTGTGTAGTATCACATAGCACTTCCAAAGTTTATGCTAAAATCAATAATACAGATCAGTTACATTTGTCATTGTTGAAACAACATTCGCATCCAGTACCCCAAGAATTGTAGACTCCTACAGCATTGATCTGAAAACACTTGAATTTTTTGCAAATAAAAGTTTGAATTAAATAAACCCCAATTTACCGTGAGCAATCCAGAAGATAAAGCTTTTCCCATGCAACATTTATGACAACTATCACCGTCCGATGTTTTATGACAATGCAGAACCTAAAGATAAAGTTTAGTTTTTTAGGGGTGATACTGTTAGTCAAAAACTTTGGATTGCTTTATCAAAAATAATAACAGTGCGTAGCAAAATTGAAAATTTCTAATATGCATGTGTATAAGAAGTTTTTGCTTTACACACATTAGCTAAAAAGTTTCAAACCTGTACTTCATCTCCATCATCGTGAAATCGTGTCGTAAAACCCACCCGATCCGGGCAGCCTAGTTTTCATAAACTAAATTTTACCAAAAAATGCCCAACTTACTGAAGCCACATGGCAACTCATTGTGATTTTGAGAAGCAGTCGTTAATTGGATAATTCCAAACGAAATAATAAGAGAAGGAGTGTATAAAATTATTAAGGACTTTCCAGGGTCGTGAAACATTTTGTATAAGCTACTCTTTTCCAATCTAGTCCTTTGCATTTAAAGAAGAACCCTTGGCTTTCAAATCATCTTTCAATGGGCTCTTGTGGATAATCGAAAAGCCAATTTGAATTTTTTTTACTGCCTATGAGAAGCGTAGAAGAATCCAGTAGACAATACACTTTATTACTAAATTTTCTTTTGAGAATCATTTGAACTAGATTAAAAGATCTTTTTTGCATCTTTGAGCAAGAAATTCATCATGCTTAATTCCAAAGTAGGTTATGTGATCATTGAAATCTGCGGCAAGAGCGAGATTGCGACAACCATGATCATCGGACATTTCACAAATCTGCAAAGAGTTTTTCATGCTACTACAAACATAGTTACCTATTTTACAATACTACTTACTTTATAGCCATCATTTTTCTCCATATTGTTATCATAATGAACAAGAAATCGATAGAAAAGAGGTTGCCGATCAAAAACTGCATTCGTAACCATCAAACCATTCGGGTCCAATGACCCAGGAATGTTTGTCACCTAAACTTTACATGCAATTTCAAATTTCGCTAATTTACAAAGTCATTTCTCTTGACGATTCGATATCTGAACTCAATGTTGTTTTCAATCGCCTTTGCAAAAGCGACGTTTCCTGTTCTTGGTTCACCGAAAGTCACCAAACGAACCTAAAGTACGAATCATAATTATTGTAAAGCAATTTTCTTTGCAAAAATATATAACCTAAGCTTTTTATCACTACAAACCCTAGAAGGCTCGACAAGTTTATTGACGACAAGATGAAGAGCTGTCATTGAAGCAAGTGATCCTCCAAGTGAATGTCCTGTAAGCCATATTCGGTAATTTGGAAACTTCTTCTTCATTTCCATTAAATCCTTTTTCATTCCACCCTGAATGTAAATTCTAATCGGAAAGTTTGTTGAAAATCCAACATCAATAAAAAGTCGATTCCAAGCTTGATGAAAATAGGTAATCACTCCTGTACCATTTTCAAATTTCTCCCAAGCACCAAGTTGGGCTACCAGTGAATGTACAAATTCGGTGAATAACTAGAAATTCTTATTTGAAAAATTACTAATATTATGAAAAACCTGTTTATCAAGAGAATGCCCCTTGTATGCCACATAAATAGCTTTGGCCTCTTCGGAAACAGCGAGCAATCCGGAGCACATATTATGTGATTGGTCGCATTCAACTTCGTAGGTTTTGACATGACTGAATATTAGACAAATTTAGTTTAGACAAAAAATAGCTCTACAAAATAAAAAATCAACTTAATATCCGGTCGACTATTCAACAGACACTCAGTTGCATTCGCATCTCGAACGGAGAGAGCCACCGCAAAAAGGGATCTTCCCAAACGGTCCGTGTACCGTTTACCCTTTGTTGTTGGAAACTAAAATATAACTAGGTGTTCGGCTATCCCAAATTGAAAAATTATTCAGAAAGGCAGATCTTAGTCGAACCTTTACTGGGCATCTAAAAGATTCTCGTTGCACAACTGGTTTCCCAAAAGGACAAGAAAGGGGTCCTCCACAAGTCTGTGATTCAACGCACCATCTATAATTTTCGTGGATAAGTGTACACGAAATAATCTAGAATACTAATTTGAAAAGACTTACTAATTGTATCGGTACATGTGACTTTGGCCGACTCAAAATTTACATAGCGCTTTCTCAATCTGTATATGTGTTGCTAGCTTTACAAAAGGCCATTTTCATTTGCTGATGCTCGTTATCACGAATTTGCGGGCTGGAATTTTCTTGAGACGTCAGGCTTTTTATAAAGATTTCGCATTCAAATCATGTTCATTATGCTAATGTTGCGTGTTTATGTTTAATTTACTGCCCACTGTTTGGTGGTTAAATGCAAATTTGCGATGCTTGTCCAGACAAAATTGCGTCGGTCAGAGTCACATGTACCATTGTATCTTTTTACAATTCGTTAGCAGTTTTGCGAAGATTTTGTTTTGGTTTGGTCGACAAGAATACATATATGCCCTTATAACAACCTGCAGTTTTCTTTGAATCCAAAAACGTGAATGTAGGACTCGGAGCAAGAAGCACAATCAGTTGATGCTTTACAAACGGCTACATTTTCTCCATTCACTAATGCGAGTAATGGTATTAAAAATATCAGCTTCATATACGCTATAGAATGTTATAGCAAGGAAAGTGATAGAATGCTCAATGAAATGGGAAGGTGGAAAGGAAAATCGACTTCTCAAATCCATGCTCAAATCGCTGACCCATTTTCGTTTTCTTTTCAATTCAGAGAAAATATCCGGTCGCTTATGACAAGTTTTTTTCTCGTTGACAGGCGGTGGCTTTATAAAAGAAAATTTTTAAATTTTCGTGAAAATAAAACTATATTTCAAAGAGGGTAAAGACGGTCAAATTCAAATTTAACCACCAATGAGTTTTTACTACTATGGTGCTTTCCAGTGTGTTATTTCACCAACAACAAACAAACAACCAAAAAATTACATATTTGAACATATCCATCTATTTTTCTTATGTTTTATCGGAAAATCGAAATCATAAATATTGCCAAAAATTGAAAACAAAGATTTGAACGCTTTTTGTATTCCTTTATTTTGCGCTCGCCGTGATTTTCGAAAGTGCTTTGATATTCGCTCAAGAGGACTCTTTTCTCTTTCTGTTTTGAATTCAATCGATTTAGCACTGATGCTTTTTTCTAAACAAGACATCTTTTTGGCGCTTTGTTCATGGAGCTCAGGGTTCTTAGTTTATCAGGTAAAAACAACTTACAACTTTGAGAATAAAGTTTAGTCTATTAAAAATGTCTATCGATATTTTTCGGAAGCTCACAAAGAATGGATTCCTGTTGGAAAAGTAAAACAATTGACTCTATTTCCGTTGAAATCTGGACAAGGGTTACCGGTAAAAGCTTTTTCAATGTTTCCATTAAGGTTCTAGGTTTTTGCTATTTTTTGTGGTTTCAATGGACCAAAAAGTGGTGAAAATCTTGACCGTCTATTTCTCGTCACTGATTCCACAAATAAGTTAGTTAATCCGAAAACATACATCAACCAAGATAATGTTCAGTTTTTTTCGAGCAAGATTGAAGCCTCAACTTGTGATGGTAAAAGCTGTCATTAGGTATTTTTTGAGCCCGTTTTTGACTATTCAACCCTTTTATTCAGAGATCAGATGCTTCATTTGCAGTTTAAAAATCTTGTTTGCAAAGTCGCTCTTACAAAAGTTGCTTCAAGACAACAAGCATCAACTTTGACAAAGTAAATTACTGTTGACTAACTTTTAGAGAGAATAAGGCAACTTATTTTTAATTACTTTTAAAGCGTTCGAGGACAAATATATGAAGCATTTGACTGTGGAAAAGAAGCAGCACAATTTTTTTCACAAATTATGGGAGAACGTAAGTAGTGAATTGTTCAAAGTTTTTGATAGTTCTGCATAGAAAAGCATTAGCCATTTATGATTTATTGACATGTACCATCAGTTTATTTAGCCTCAAAGTTGTTGATGCATCAAAGATCAATTGTTGTTCAGAAAGCAAAGGTAAATTATCAACACAGAAGTCATTTTATGATAGCTAAATAAATTTAGTCAACCTTTTCCGATGAATTTCCTTACATGATCGCTACTCAAAGCTCACTAAATGAACTCAATCAAACATTAAATGAAAAAGTAAGCGTTTTAATTTGTTAAGTTAGAACGATAAGAAGTTTGCAGGATTTTTGTGACGTTTCAAATGCTAATATGAGACCAAATATCGTTGTAGAGCAATGTCAAGCTTGGGATGAGCAAAAATGGGAAGAGATACAGTAGGTAAAAAATTATTGCAAAAATTTGAAGCGCTTTTAGATTTGGTGAGAGTCTTTACACACAAAATGTTGCAATGAATTGTGTTGAGCCTTGCTTTCGGTAAGTTTCTATTTAACGCTTTGCCTAATTAAAAGAAACAGATGCTTAATGACAACAATTGATCCTCAAGAGGGAAAATTGCATCCAACGCACGAACCACTTGTGACGTTACGAAGGTTGAGTGTTTTTTGTTTTCATTTAGGTAGAAGAGAAGATTTTATACATATTATTGTTAGTTCACTTTTATTCGAAGGTGCTCTGACAAGTTCAACATCGAACTGGTGTCACTATCACACTATTACTTTTAAAAGTTTAAAAGCTAGGCTGAAAATAGGAAAATCCTTGTTTAGCAAGTTTTTTTCTAAACTGAGACAATGATCAAGTGTTAAATTGGATGTAAAGCAAATGGTGATAATCTAGTGTCTCGACTGTGATGGATGGGAATGCTCCATCCTTTGGTGTGTATGCAAATGCGAAAAAAGAAGGATTTATTTATGTTGGAATGACTGTTTGGGCACGATACAAAAACGAATAACAAATTAATAGATAGAGAAATTATCAAGTAAAAATTTTTTGTTTTTAATTGCTGCAATCATGATCGTCACTCGTTGTGAATTTTGCTCCCAAATTGATAGTCCCGATATCAAAATACTAAATCTTTAATCTATCAAGATTGCTTTGTATCTTATAAAACCTTTTCGGGCGTAGCCGAGTTTTGTGTAATGTATTCTCTTGGCACAACAATTGTTAATTTTCGTAGACATTCCTGAATTGATAGCTCGATAAGCGTATGTAGCAATATTTGGTTTGAATGACGTCATAATTTAAATGCAAATGCCGATTACTCACCACAGTTTCATCATTGCAATCGTGAAAGATAGAGATCTTAGGATCAATCCATCCAGTTTCTGACTCATTACCTGAAAAAGGCCAAACATGTTTCAGAGATTGAGGAAATGACCTTGTACTTTGAAGAAACCCTGGCTATCAGAAAATGTCTCCATCCACAAATCATCAGGAATTGGACCTGTAAGGATAACACAATTAGAAAAAAATGAAACATGTTTCTTACTGAAGAAGGAAAAGTTATTTTTAAATAAAGAATGCAGCAAAAGCCTGCTTTGCTTTACATAAAAATGTACCAATATCTACTTCCCACATCTTGATTCGAGCATGAGAATACGGCGCTCCATTACAGGTCAAATTACCCTAAATTCATTCTTATAAGCAGCAGTTTGCGCTAACAGCTTGAGAGTCTAGGGTTAAAAAGAGCAGCTACCTAACTAATCATTTTATTAAATTTTAGACTCCGAAATATTATAGACGCAAACAATTAGTTTACCTGTACACCTGCGCTTTGAAGAGTACCCAGAGTTTCAATTCCGAAAATGGAGAGTATTGGTAGAAATTGAATAGATAAACAAAGTAAAACTCGTAACATTTTAGACCTTGAAATCGATAGTTTCCGTAAAAAAATTAAATGTAGGTGTAAGAAATCTTTCACCGAAAAGTTTTATTGAAAAATTTTCTCTCTCAAACCCTCGAGAAAGTGAAACTTTTTTGGAATTTCGCCCGAGATCTTGATAAAAAATGCGGCAAAAACTTAAACTCATTTGTAGTGAATTTCTAAAATTTCAGAAACTGCTTTTACAAATACCAGCTAGGGTTCGACCCCCCCTCATAACGCCACTCAATTTTGCCTTTTTCATTTTTACTTTAAAGGGCACAATTATATTATATTTTAAGACTTATAAAATTTTTAGTTTTTTGGCCCATACAGACGGACGGGAAAAAGCCCGTACAGACGGACGGGCGGCCACTTGTCCAGGCCTACACAACCCGGGTTCGACTCCCGGCTGTCTCGCGACTTTTACTTTTTAAAAAGTGAAATATGAGAAAGTGAAACGACTACATAGAATTCTAAACCTAGCAAACTATAAAAATGTAAATCGGCCCGCGGGGAGCCGTGAACTCGCGCGTACAGACGAACGGACGACCAGACACTGCTCTTTTATATATATAGTCTTCTTTATAATTTCTTTATCCCTAGAGGAATTGAAAACATGACCTTTATCACTCAAAAAGTGTAAAAACAAAGAAAGCAAAAAAGTTGCATCGGGCCGGGATCGAACCCGAGACTAACCGGGCCCAACGTTGCTCAATTTGGCAGATCAGACGTCGGGACGCACTACCACTCGGCCTCGCGGTAGCATGTATGCTTTAATTTCCCTTTTTAGGAAAAACCGTTAAATTAAGTGCTGAATATTATTAGATTTTATGAAACTACGTAAAAAGTTAGGTTTACAATGAAGAAACTGCTCAGCCTTTTTTTCTAAAATCGCATAACAGACAGACAGACGCACACATACAGACATACTCTCTCTCTCTTATAAGAATTAAGAAGATATTTTCATTTTGTAAATTCAAGATTATTTTTTCATTTTTGGAATTTTCATTTTTGGAATTTTCAATTTTTAATGATAGGTATCTTTTGCACTGAAGAAGAAACACAAAATGAAAAGAAAATGTGGAATGTGATCGTATCAAATTACACCCAACTGCCTTTCGAGAGACACGAGCAACTTTTGCTCAACTTTCCTTCCTTCATTCATAAAAAAACTATTGTTTTTAAAACGGAAATCATTTCGGGAAACTCACACTCTTACAATTAGATAATCTCTCTATCTCTTTTACTGAGATTGGTAATGTTCTTAACTTGTCATCCTGACTAACGAGAAGAGACAAATTTTCTTCTTTCTGCTTCATTTTTTTACCACTCCAAATTTAGTGAAGAGATCGGAGGTCTATTCTGAAAAAAACGAATGAAAAAGAGTTACATCCGGGCCTTTGTCATCTTTCTCCACACCTCGATTAGCCAACACAATGCTTCCCAAAGTGCTTTTCTTTTTTTGCGTTTCACTCCCAACTCACCCCTAGCCAGATTCCTCAAATATATATGGTTTGATGTTTTCAGGTCATTTAATAATTGACTTTATCGGGTTTGCCTTCAACAAGTCATACAAAAAGATTTTTAAAGTGCGCCACATAAATAAGCACACTATAAGAAACACAGTCAACTTTAAAAAAATCAACCAGGTTGCTAACAAAGGATTGTGTGAGTACCTTTCTTTCCCCAAATTAAACTTACTTTCTTTCAATTTCTTGGTTTCGTTGAGAGTGGGACGCATTAAAGGATACCCATTTGGATTGAAAGAAGCAAAAATGAATGACTCCTTCGAGCCGCATTAGGGTAATGACGACTCTCCGCTCTCTTCTCTTCATTCATTTTTTGTTGAATACCTTTTTCCACCACTATTATGCTATGCCATCTTACGCTGATTTTAGAATTTCCCATGTGTTTCATTTACAATAATTTATTGATTAAGAAAAGCTAAGCTCGCCATTTTGGCAAATTTGAGAAAAGTTGAAGTGAAATTGTGAGATTTTGGTGATTGCAAAGGGTTTTTAAAAAATACTGTTCACTGGAACGTTTTGAAAATCACAAAGAGAGTCAAAAAAATCGCAATACACGTATCAAATGACCAGACTTTAGGTATTACTGTACGTAAGTATACCGGATTCGTATTTCAGGTAAAAAGTTATAAAAGCTTTAAAGAAAAGTCTCCCGGACAGGACGAGAGAATACCGTATTGAAGAGAATCATAGAAGGAGAACCACCCGATGTACTACATGAAGTGGTTGTTGTAGCTGAAGTTTCCATTAAAGAAGCTCTTGCTGTTGATAAAACTGGACAGGGACATTCATTTGATGAGTCTATCCACTCTGAAAATTAAGAAGTCGAATTCGATCCAATTTCTGGCACCGGATTTGGACGTCCGAACCAGTTCTTTGGATCGAATTTGTTGCAAGCTGTATTTAAATTGATGCAAATATGAACGTACATAGTACTGAAATAGGAATCTATTTCTATCTCCATAGTTTTATGACTTTATAGCAAAAAGCAATTATCGGTTTGCTCTAATACTTTGTACAGTACGGACCATTATTAAGTAATACGGACCAATACAGAATTAGCATATTTAAATACAACTTGCATCCGATTCGATGCAAAGGATCGAACGTCCGAATCTGGCTCGGACGCTGCACCGGATTCGGACGTAACATACACAGTATGTGACTTTGAACGGTTCGTCAAACATAAGCGATTTACATACCATTTATGGAGTCATCTGTTTTCTCTTTGTTATTTGTGCTATTCTCCATTGAAGCTGTCACCCAATCAGAGCTAGCCGAATGAAACATAGAATGGTTTGAAGTAATCATCGAAGTACCAATTGATGTCATCGAACGCCGCACCATTGTCACCTTAAAATTTAATTTGTAATTTCATCTTGTTTGCCCTGCTTGGAAAAAAATGAGATACATGTGCACAAGACATGTTTACAAAGTTGACTACTGCGCAAATATAGTGTCTCTTGTCGAGCAATTTGCCCATAACCTCCTTAAAACTATAATGAGCATTGAAATGCTACAAGTCATATGATGTGTACTTTATTTGGTGAATAATCTGCATTTGCATCTGCTCAATCTGCAAACTAAAATGCACATATCTAGAGTATTCGGTTTCGTGAGTTTTTAGAACCAACAAACCGGTCTAGGAAGTGGTGGTGGAAGTGGTCCGTCGAGTGTTATCGCCCTTGTGCCTCTTCGACTCCCTATTTCAATTTTTCCACCATTTTGATCGGGAGACGAAGGGCCCTCTGATATCCATTGATCGATTTTGCTTCCGGCTAAAATTGTGCATAAGCTGCTTCTTTTATATTTAAAGGCAGGGCCACAAACTCAAGATGTTAGTAGACATATCTTTGCCGGGTAAGCATTAGTTTGTTTCACACTCTGAACCAAAGCAAAACTAATCACAACTTACGGTATTTTTGCCGAATGCTTCTCATCAAAAACTCTGAAATTGAAAAAACTAGTTCCCTTTTGAAAAAAAGCAGTTTTTCAGCTCAGTAGCCTTTTAAAGAAAAAAAACTGTTATCTGGGGGTGATGTTCTCTTAGCGAAAACATAAAACCACGGCTCTTTTTCCGGACTCTGTCCCGGTCGAATTGCAAACATAAAAAGGTGCATAAAAAAGTTTAGCGTCTTACACCCTGGAATGTGCAATAAAATGATCTTTCGTGAATTCTTACAATTAGCTTATTTAGCTTCTAGCAAAGAAGAAATCTTAAATGAAAGTGTTTCATAGGCATTCTTTTCTCATTTCCAAGGTAAACATGAAAAGCATCACTAATCCATACTCCAAGTTTTTTGAAAGAGCCTAAAAAAATGATATGCTGCCTTTATGAAAGAGAGAATCAAGAAACCATGCGGTTGTGTGAAAAAGATTGATACTTGGAACATTTTAAGAAACTTACGGTTCAGGCTTTATTTCTCCAGTTTCGGTAATTTTATTTGATTCACTATTATCTTAGCGCATGCTTTATTAACTTTATTTCTAAATGCGAGACCTAACCTGCAGCTTCTTTTCTCGTTGTCATTCCATCTCCAACTCCATTTTCTTCTCTCGACGTTGCCCGTTCGGCATTTGAGCTAAATAATAAATTTTCGTGTTGATATTAGAACACTTAGTTTGTTAGTGGATCGTTTGAAAAATTTAAAAAATTTTCTTGCTTGTGCTTACTAATGTTTGACAACAAGTTTACATGAGAACCATTGACTCCTTCTTGTTTATGTTCAGAAATTTTTGAAGCGAAAATTAATAGCCGCAACAAAGCCATATGTTACATGCATGTCATCAATCAGCACCAAGCCCGCGAAAACGTTGAATAAATAGGAAACTTCTTGTGGTTAGTGAAAAAGTTTGGGTTTCCTCGGCTTGATGGATTAGATTTAGAAAAATAATACTTTTGATAGTCTAGACTTTCGTGGTTTAGAAAAACTGTGAAATAGAAAATAGGAGAAGAGAAACGAAATAGAATAGGTATGAGCAACCTGCTCAAAATTAGAAGAAAGAAATTTCTGTTTATATATATTGGTAGAATGATTGCATAAAGTTTTAGAAGCTTTGATGTGCATTGAAACAACAATTAAACTCCATTTTCATGTATTGATGCACTCACCTTACATGGTATGCCAACGGCAATAAACTGTAGAAAATAGTGTTACTTTACAACTCAATGAGACGATTTTGAGTTTAATAACAAATTGATATCTTGAATGAAAAACTTTAACTCACCAAGTGTAATAAGTGTCAGGAAGAATGGTTGTGTGACGCGAATAAAAACTATAAGGATCCCTCAATGAATGGAAACATTGACAACGAAGAATTCGAACAAAAGCTTGACGAAAACGTTTGTTGAAGATTGTATAGATGAGAGGGTTTATTGTGCTTGAGATATAACCCAACCACAAAAAAACTGAACCCATCCAAGGAGGCAGTTCGCATGCCTGAAAATTTTAAAATATTAAATTCAATATTGAATTATTCAACTTCGAGAAGTTTTTTGTGTAACTCTTCACATAAAATCTCATCTTTTTTTTCCGGATCGAATTTCAGGTCCATGAAACTTTGACTCTTCTTTACTTTTCAATTTATTGAGAAAAAATTTAGGAGACTCTTGAGAATTTTTCAGAAAAGAGAGAAAGTTTTGGTGATTCTTAGGATTGAGGACCGATGCTCTCGAGATGCATCCATCCAGATAAATATTGACCGATTGAAGTAAACCCCTTGCTGTTTTGCTTGTACTTTGAGCAATTTTCTCTAGTTATTATTCTTTCAACCAACCTCACCACAAAACCCATAAGTAAAATTTGCGATAAAAAATGGAGTCCAGCAAATGAAGAAACAGACAAAGACAACTGCAAGAACTCGAGTTGCTTTGTGCTCGTTAGCTAACTCTTGATTGGCTGAAGACAATGAGGCCTTCTTTGTGACCTAAAAATAAATACACTTGAAATATTCGATATGCATACTTTTGATGTTAGAGCTTGCAAACAATTTGTGGTCATCGTTTTCCATCGATAAAAAGCTGAACTCATCCTAGAAGAATCTTTTCCAGCTTCTCCATTCCTAGCAGTTGATTCTTTTTTCAATAATCTCTCCATCTCTTGTTCTCCCACTGATGCATATCTCAGCAACGGTTTTTTTGTATTTCCATTTCCAGCCGAAATCAATCCTGAATTTGTCCGACAATATCCCAATTTGCGATGATTAGGCATCGTCCTTCTTAGACCATCTCCTGTTCCTTCGCTTGCTTTTTCACTTAAGATTCTCGCTTGTTTGTTTAGTAGGTTTGTTGTTCGCACGTAGGTAATAGTCATAATAAAGAATGGAATCAGAAATGAGAGAGTTGATCCATATAACATATAATATCGATTGAAAACCATACATGAGTTGTTTTGGAGTACATTTGATGGATCATGCAAAGCCACAACAGCCAATGGACATGATATGAGGACGGTGATTATCCAAACAAGGGTTATCTTGATGAAAATCATTGTTTTTGATTTATTTCTCGTTTTGAGTGGTTGTGATATTCCAAGATATCGATCCAATGAGATCACTGACATGTGCACAATTGAGGCCGAACAAAGGAACACATCGGCATATACGTAGAGCAAACACATCGAGAAATTCCATGTCCAAACACCTGAATAATTTTGTAGAATTATCTGCATTGTTTTGCTTTTTCTTTTTTACCTTGGCAGCTGAAATGTTGGAATTTAGAAATTGTAAAGCTGCGCCGATTTCCTACGGGTAATTAGACCTCACATTCTCTTTTAGAGAAGTTACGTTGCAAAGCAAATTGCAAGCACGAGCTCTCATCTATCCTATCTCAAATTAATTCTTTTTTTCTTTTCAGATAAAGTTTACGTTGCCTTCACAACTTCCAAGGGAAACTTCGATCAAAAAGCTTTACTCAAAGTTCGTTTGAATGCATTTACTTATCTCAAACTTCTCTTTATTTCGAATGGACTCGAAAATTTTCTGAAGGCTAGCACTTTTTTAGTGCATTTTGGTCATGTTTTCCATTTTCTTTCGAAATTCAAAAATATTTAAAATTATTTAAACATTAGCAAAGTCAGCCGTTAAAATTTTAACAAAGAGCAAAAAGTATTGAGGCGCCCTGGTAATGGTTCAAAGCGAGTTCGAGACCATAGGTGGCAAGAAAAGGAGCACGGGGAAAGGGGTAGCTTGGGTGAAGAGAGGCGACGAAAGGCGACCGCTCATTTTCTTCATGTGGGCTCTCAAAGCGAAAAATTGCTCAACGTGGCCCCTTTCAAAGCTCTTTGTGTCTTTTTTGTCCAAACGAGGTTCCCAAGAGCTCTCTTTTTAGTAGAGATCGGCAAAAGTGAAACCCAAGTAGAGACAGAGCATCGCTCTCGTTTGTTTTCACTCTTTCTCAACACTTTGTTCTACCTCACAGCGGATTTGATGGCAATTATTATTATTGCTTCAAGGCAAAAACAATAATTTTTTCAGCCAAGCTTTTAAAAACCCAAAAAAATCAGTTCCACAAAGTTCCTTGTCAAAGCAAGAATGCTGGCAATCAGCTCTATAGAAAATGTTCTTCAAAATTCTTATAGTGACAAGATTTTCGAGAGAATTTCTTTGGGATGTTCAGCGTAATTGCCCTGAAAGCTTTTGTGCCCTTGTTGTGTTGGGGATAGGGTAGGTCTGTGGAAGTGAAAGGGCCTGCCTTCTTCGACACAACTCTTTTTTTTTGCTTCACTCAGTCACAAGTCGCAACCAACAAGAAATTCAATTTGCATGAGTTGTCTATAAAGCAACTCAACAGAACAGTTTTTGTGACTCAATTTTGGGGTTGCTTTCTGAAAAGAGATTTAGCAATGAAAAGTACCTATATGCTAATTTAAACAGAAAGAACAGCATGAACGAGCAAGATTATTTTGAACAACGACTTGTCTCCGGGATAAAGTTTAGAAGATAAAAACGGTGAGTGCTTAGACGTGGGTCAATGGTGCCTAGGGAAACGGCATGAATTCACAATGGGAAGGACGGGGGCGCCTTCTCTGAAGAAAATGTGCAAGAATTGTCCCTTCTTCCCACATAACCGAGAAGAAAAAGGGAATGGAGGGTGGGCGTTAAAGGAAACCCCTCTTTCCTTTCCTTATCTCCAATTCTTAAGATATTTTTGGGTAACTTCACTTACGTGGCTTCTAGTTTCAGTTATTTTTAGAATATTAATCTGGTCGAACATGTGAACAACTAACCATGTCGCACTTCAACAACTATTGAAAGAGGCATCACGATGCAACAGACGAGGAGATCGGCGAGGGCCAAGGAGAAAAGAAAATAATTGGTGACATTATGCAAACGTCTATCGGTGGCAATTGCTACACAAACGAAAGCATTACCTGAAATATTACTTCATGAATATGCAATATTTGATAATTATTCTTGGTGAATATGCTGGAAGAGCCTTTTTTTCCACGACTATTTTTATGTTTACAAACGAATCGCATCCATAGAAAGACTTTTGGGCGCAGTTTTGCACGTGACTACTAGTTCAAAATCCTCACATCGCATTAAACAATGTGTTCTCATAGAAGCTCTGAAATTGCCCGGATTTGTCTAATCCCTTCTGCAGGGATCATTGTGAAAATTGGAATTGATGTTGACTTCAATAAACTGGATTTTCCTTTCCAAAAAATTGTTCTACGTAAAAGATCATTGAATACGAACCAATAAGTCCAACGGCACAAAGAATTGGGAGAAGAAGTAGGGCGAGAGTGTTGAGGGGACGAGTTGCGTGAACCGATACCCTCACTGATGAAATCAAGAACTAAACCAAATACTGTCCACAATCCATTAAAAGATAATGGATCAGGGCTATTCAGCATTGTACCAAGTAGCTTACTTTAGTGCTTTAAAACAAATGTTTCTTGTTCACAAATGAGTGACTTAAGTAAACTCAGGAAGGTAAATAAATCGCAAGTTTGAACTGTATAATATAAACCCAACTAACTATACGTAACAAAATAGTTCGTTTTCTTTTTTAGAGGACTTAATCTAATGTATACCATAGATGTATCAATGAATGCAAATGCGTGATACATGGTCTAGAATACTTACTTGACTGGGAGTAGTTGATGGGAGATCGGTGAAAGCTATGATATGACTGCTCATCGAAGGTGACCCCCTTCGTTTATACCTTCAGATTCTGATAGTGGTGATCAATTCAAAAATGTTGGCTGAGCGGTCTCGTTTATCATAGAGAAAGCAACAGATCTCAATTTGTTAAAATTTTTTTTTATAGTAATGAATTTAAATTCTTATTTAAAATCCAAGGTGGTATTGTATAACACTATGAAGAGATGAAAATATCAACGGAGATTCTCAAAAGAATCCACTAATCAACAAACCATAAAAATGTAAGATAAAAAGCAAGCAAAAAAAGAGCAAAGTGGGATGAGGGGAGTGAGGTGAGTGGGGGGAATGGGGCCAGCTCTGACAAAAAAAAGAAAGCAAAAGGAGGGAAGGACCGCCCCTCTTCTCCGCTCTTTTGGTAACCCTCTCCAACCATCGAAGCCTCTTCTCTTTCTACACTTGCTGTACATATTCTATGCTTTTCCCACTGGAATACAGATCAACACAGTAGAACACCTAACAACTCCTCAAAGGGATGTTTATTGAATAATTAGAAACGTGCCCTCAAGTTACCACAAAAATCGAACCAACTTTGTTATTGTTCGCGTGAAAAGTCACAAAGTATACAAGGCCTCTTATTTCTTGGTAAAGATTTTCGAAGAAATCTGAAAAACTCGATATTCTAGAAAAGGTGATGAACGTGTGGATGGGACGAGAAAAATGGCTCCCAAGTGTACCCTCCTAAATCAAATATAACGAGAGCGCAGATTTTGCATAAAAATCGAAGACTTTAGGTCTTAGAGATTTTGATTCACAGAATTTCCAAATAGCACTTTAGCATTGAGTAAATCATAAACAAAACCACAACGCTAGGGCTTTTGGTTGTTTAGTGTAAATTGGATTAGGAGGAATTAGCTGAAAAAACTTTAGACACTAGGGCGGCAAGCTCAGAAATTCAATAATGAAAAATAGTTACCCTTCTATGAAAAGCGAAACAACGTTTGAAGTGTATTAATTTTCAAAAAAGAAGAAGAAAAAAGCAAAATTGTAACCATTTTTTGTTTTTCTCACAATCAGCCGGCAGCTCCCCTCTCGTTCATGCTAACACCTGTGCATGATTCCATTTTGAAAAATTGCTTTTGCTGCTGCTTTTCTTGACGTGTTTTCTAAATTATAAACGGACAAGGTTTATCTAAAAGCTGTGATGATAGTTGCGCATTCTCTCACTCCAGCACGTTTTTTACCGGCCCAAGGAGCCCACAAGAAGATTCAACTCTTGTTTTAAAACCTTTAGGTGTGTGATTATTAGAGCTAAATGATCATAGAACTTATCCTAACGGTTAAAGAAACGAACCAAACGGACCGCGAAATTAAATTTCTCTCCAACCAAAACGATACAAGAAAGGGGTACGGCGCAGCATATAATCAATCAAAACTCAAAAGCTTTTAAATATTAGCGCTTTTGGGCTACACTTTTATGACAGATACGTGGTGAATCCAAAATTCACATTCACAAAATATATTGCTATAATCAATTAATGGAGATGCAAATTTTTCGACCAGAAAGATTGTCGTACTGTAGTAAATAATGCCATAAAGAAATAAAAAAATCCTTTAAATGAACAAAGAGTAATGAAATTTTAGAATTAAATGCTTAGACACAATAAATCCTGAAAATCTATTTTCTCCGAAGTAAATGGATTAGATCGCATGTTGCCAACTTATTCCCGAGCTTATAGTTGTTGATGTTCTGTCAAGTTATTGAAAAAGTCTAAAAACCAAGCAAAACAACTTTTTGTTTCAAATTTCAAACTCTTTGATGTAAATTTCTCATGAAACTAATTTTGTGAGAAAATTTGTAGACTTTGGTCACTAATTTTAAATAAACAAAGTTGTTTGAGCTTCAGAAATGGTCATGCGAATCAGTCATTTAGTGTTGGATAAAATCATTGTCAGTTTTGGTGTTCGGTGTAATTTAGAGGAAGTCTTAACAATAAGATTTATTAAACACTCAAGGTCATAAATAATGTCCAAAGTAGAAATTTCCCACATCGTTTTTATTACTTCATACCAAGCTTTTCTTTTTAGGAAAAAATGCAAAGAGATTCGGAAACCGAACAAGTCCTTCCTGTTCCACAATCAGCATCTGTTCGACACGAAGAGCCGACTTCATAGATGAATCGGTTCATGTAGTTGCCACTAAAAGCAACAGAAATTTCTTGAAGAGAATAATTTATTTGCTGCAGTTTAAGATCAAGGATCAGTTAGATATGTTGTCTAAGAAGCTAACGAAAATTCAATAGCGAGAGTTTAGAAGGAAACCTATGTTGGATAGTGTTGACGCACCACGCAGGTCATTGTAGGACAATGAGCAATTCCACAACCAACAGCAGTTGTCTCTTGCCGGGCCATCTAAATATTTATTCATACAATCTTCTTTGTTTTTCCTTACTTGAGTGTAGTGGCCAACACCTTTACTGAAGACTGTTGAAATCAAGTTCACAGTTGGGCCGACTCCAAAATCAATTCAGACCACCATGCTTGTGGTGCCAAAATTTTATTAGGTTGGAAAAAAAGTTCTCGGAAGAAGTTTGACTGGAATTTCTTAAAAACGAATCCACCAATTCAAGAACATTTTGTTCCATTATTTACAAGTCCCAGAAATTGCTCGTAAAAAATGAGTGTAACTTTCTCTTAAAGATTTTAGAAAAATTATTATTTTCCAGCTTAAATCCAGCTCACTTTTTGCACCAGAAAAACGATTTCTTATGAGGTAAAGTTAGCATAAATGAGTAATATGCTCTATAATCTTTATTTTTGGCCAAAAAGTTTTTACAGAGAAGCTGTATTTCAAAAAATAATTTTTTGGTGTCATCTTCTCGGCACTGAGTGTTTGCTAAAATAGGTTATTCTGAAAAGTTAAAGCATCAGATAAAATTTGCCTTAATCACAAATTTTCCCTATTTTAAGTACTTTATTTTTAGTTTTTGAATTGGACGCATTGCCTATCCATTCACCCATTGAAAACTTGTCTAAAGGCTGGTCACTCACAAAGTGACGAAGTCACTTCAGCTGAAGAAATCTCTTATTTTTTTACCTGAAGCCCATCCTGATTTTTTGTCAAAAACTTTTTGAAATATAGTCAAGTTTATCAAAAAATCTGGGAAGAATTCATGGCTTGGTTATTGAGAAATCACCTTGCAAACTTTTTCTACGAACTTTCTTGCCAACCTAATATTGATGTAAGAAAGACTTTAAATTTTAATATAGTGGCTGCGGCAGCAGCGTTATCTTGATTGACATCAGAATTTTGATAAGGATTTTCTCCCATTCCTGAGCTTTGCGTCCGCCCATTTGAAAGAGCCCAAATACAGTGTGGAGCATACGAGTTAGCATTGATCCCGATTGTGCAGTTATAGATCTGAAAATAAAATATTTGCTGTTGGCTTTTTAAAGTTCTGAACATTTTAGTCATTCTCTTTGTTGAAGGAGCATAAGTGATTCCGTTGGCAATTCCATAGTTTTCTTTGCCCTTAGTGAGACTCGACCGTAGCTGATTGTGCCATTGCAACATCAAGCTTCGCTGTACGTCGGTCCATTGGGCCGGTGAACCAGAACACATCGTGTTTGCTCCACTATCTGAAACAAGAGTGGTCTTCTGTTGATTAGACAAATTAATTGGTTAAAAATTTGCATTTAAAGATTAATCAATTAACCAAGAATTAAGCAGACAAAACGTTGGTCAAAGGGCTGATTAATAGATTTGTAGGCAGATGACTGAATATCTTAAGTTTTCTCTTGTGGGCTAATAATTTACCATAAATAAGCGCGCGAATATTTATTTTCATTCGTTATTTTTTATTCATGTTTGATTTAGCTATGGCCAATGTCAAAAGCGTATCATCTCTCCTAGTTTATTATTAGAGGTGGAAGTTGTCGTCGAGATGGAGAAGCAAATTTCTTAAAATAACATTTTCTATCTGGAAACGTCTACCTACATTGCCTATATCTACATTCTGCTTTTACGACATATTATCGAGTTTTTTGCGTTTAAATCGTTTAATCTAAAAGAGAATGTTTTTGGTGAAAAACTAGAGGAAAAACGAAACAGAAAAATTGAAAGCAAGGTAAATTGACTAGTTTACATTTATCCGGTAATTAATCAGACATTATTCAAATTTAAAAGCTCACTCTATCTGAAACCAACTACCTAGTTGATCTTGTTCACGAGTCGCTAGATGTGCAATCACACCGTACTTACCAATGAGTTGATATTGGCATGTGCATCGCATCGCATGTGCTGCCCAAATATGTGGTGCAGTCGGAGTCAGCAGCACATTTTGTCCCTACTTCATACGCAGCTTTACCAGTAGCAGCAGATCTGAATTCTTGTAGCATACAAAAAACCTTTTCAAATACGGAGTGCCAAAGAAACATGCAATCCATATCCATATGGAAAATTAGTATTGCCCGTTGAACAGCCCAATTTGTACGAACATCCAACAGCGGTTTTAGTTCCAGTCACATACTATAGAAACAATTCTTAATTCATATCCAAAAGCATACATTGTTTCATCCTTTAATGGCGCTACTGCTGTAGACAGCATTGCTTGCGATTCCGTTTGTGACAATTTATGAAAGATCACTTTTGAATATATTAAGTAGCCTATTCTTTCTTTGCTGTCGAGTCAGCCATTGCAGCAGATGACATTCCTCTTAATCAAGGTTTTAGGTAAAAAAAAGTAGCAACAAACAAGTAGGTAATAGCGTTTGATAGCCATTTTCCTCCATTACTACAAGTGGATATCCATTGATAAGCTGTATCTTCATGCTTGCAGCTGTAGTACTGAACAGTTTTGGGGAAAATAAAGAACAATTTTTATTCATAATTACCAATTTGTACATATTTTTTTTGCTGTTGGCAGTGTTCCACAGTTATTTAGAGCGGTGCCGTTTGCAAGAATTTGAAGATAGATATTTAGATTGTTCCAGTGTTGTTAATGGGAAGGACCTGCTGAATGGAGAGCCGATTCTCAAGTCAGACTTTGATGATCTTCATTCGTGATATATATACATCATGTAGAACATCACGTCATATAAGTTCATTTGTACAACTTCTAAAATGGCTCTGACTTTTATTGCTTTTCCAAATTAAAGGATACACGTGGATATATTAGATTGGCAACTTGAAAGTTGGTACACTTATTCATTACACTTTTTAGAAATAACTAGTGCACCAATTAATCTACAGTTTTACCAATAAAAAGGCCCATTTATTCTCTAAAACAGGTTTTTGACAGACTTAGAAAAGCTTCGGTTTTGTAGGTTTCTAGGGGGCAAGAAGTTGAGGAACCTAAAATGATGCACACTCGATGAAGTATGTCAGCACTTTCTTCCACATAAACCCATTTTAGTGTCAATAAAAAAAGAGAGAGCATAACAAGTTGGATAAATAGCCAAATTTTCAGCTAGATATAATCAATCGTTTTTGCTAAAGTGTACCAACATTTGAAGAATTTTCAGAGAAACTTGAATTTCTGTTCAAATTCGTTTCAAAAGTTCCCCAAATTTGCTTCAGCATGGCTTAAATTAGATAATATATAACTTTTATTTAGAGAAATCTAAATCATTTGGCGTATTAATTATTAATAGTAATTATTAATATTATGAAGATACGAAAAAAAGTGTACCGACTTTCAAGTTGCGAATCTGATACTTAGACAATTGATCCCAATAGCTTTTGAAACAATCATATTTGCAGCGAAGATGAACCTATTAGAGTGATTACCTTTTGCTGTGTAATCACTTTCTTGCAAATTATGATTATTTTACCTTGCTAAAAGCATAAGAACTATTGTAGATCCAACCATAGTTATTATTAGGAAAACAAAAACTATTAAACACTATAGAACGCTAGATAAATGAAATGTTTTTTTCCAGAAGCATTTTTGTGCCCGGTGTTATTGGCAAGTCAAAATTATAAGTTTAATTAATTATTTACTAAAACGATCAACAATTATTAAGTGAGAGAGCACAAAAAACGATCGACGATGTGAGAAACGATTTGCTGAAAACTGCTTGTTCAGCCGATATGTTCTAGGCTATGGAAATTTTAACATTCAATGAATGGCAATCATAAAATTGTATTTTAATAAGTTTAGAAAAACAAAAATCAACGAACTCTTTTTTGAATCTAGTTTTTTTCATCCAAGCTGATAATCGATTCATCTTCATCATCTGACCAAATATGTTTTCCTCTGTTTACCACATTTAATGAGTGAGGACCCAATCTCATATTGTACTTCGCTCCAAACTAAAAGGTTGAATGTAAAAATGCTCTTTAATAGTCAAAACAGCCCAAAGCATAGCATACGCGGAAAGAAATTTACGCGAGACTTTTACTTTTAATAGCTAGAGTCTCAGATTACTGTTCATAAAGTATACTTATGTAATCTCTTATCATTCTTAATTCATGCTTACCTTTTCAAAAACCGTGATATCATCCGTTTTTGTGATACAAAAGAAATTGATGAACACAAAATTAAAGAAAGAAATCACACTAAAAAGTATACCGACGACAACTGGCCCCATATAATCGATGAGATCGAAGTCCTGAGATGGCATAGTCTGAAAATATTTTCTAGGGCCTTGAATGAACAAAAAGCTGCTCAAAATAAGAATTAATTCTAGATGTGTTCAAGAACAGCCAGACCTTTTTCGGTAATTGGTATGAATACGGCTGGATGCACAATGAAGGGAAAACCGATCTTTCTTGTCTCGCCACCCCCTCCCATTTCACTTTGAAACCCTTTTGGGAAAAATTTGCGATCACATTCCCTCAGTCTTTGAGAAATCATTGAGAAATTGCATTTCTCTAGATCCGGATATGCCTCGAAAACAAGAAATCTCAAATAGACTCTTAATTTTCGGCAAAAACTTGTCACCGTAATACCTGTAATAGAAGCGCCGGCGCTTCCATTTTTCCCTCCCCCTGGGGGGCGCTATTATTAGAAGGGGTGCTACTAATATTTTTCCGAAAAATTTTTAAACAACCCAATCTGGAAGTTTTCAAGGTAATTCACCAGAATTTTTAAGCTTTGAATTTCATTTATTCATCTTTAACAAACAACAAAATAACCGTAAAATCAAACATAAAAACAGATCAATTAGCAAAGCAAATTGAAATATCTGAATCAACAAATTCGTCATTTTCTTCTTCCTGATCATTAACTTCTCGGAATTCTCAAGTCCTGTTGATTGAAGCGGCACCAGAAGATCATTAATTTCTTTCTCCATTCGAGCGTCTTTTAGCAGCTGTAGCCCATTTGGAATAGCGCCCTCGGCCTTGAAACACTGAATCATATTGTTCTCATCATCATTTGCTGCAATTCCGATGCCATTCCACATCATTCGACGGGGCACTCGCTTATTTCGCTTTTTTTCAAGAATCTATATTGCCAAAGCTTCAACAATTATCTTTGAAATTATCTTTGAGGCCAAAGCGCGTCCGCCACCATGGAGCCACTTCCTTTTTTCCCGCATTTTGATCAGCTAATTTGTTCGTTTGACGTATCTTGAACACAAGCTCGATCAATTTTGTAGAATCTGGCAGCGGTATGAACGGAGACTTCGCAAGCCATTTTTGCAGCATCGAGTTTAATATTAGCATCTATTGCTTTTCTCTTTCGCTTTGGCTTTTCCGTTCCCTCGTTTGCTTCTTTGTCCGATTCCTCGTGCGATTCTTCATGCGATTTTTCGTTCAATCCACGTTGATGTCCTCGTCTTTATTCAAAGAATCCTTTTAGTTCATGCTCACGTCGATCGCGAAACGCTTCAAGGTCATCCCAGCTTTTGTGATCGCTCATCGAACCTTAAAAATAAAATTATCAAAGAAAACGAATAAGAAATGCTAGAAAAGCAGTAATAAGGAGAAGAATTGAATGCAAATGTTGCAGTTGCAAGCTAAAAAGCAAAAAAGCTGAATATCTTGAGATTTCTCGTAGGCGTTACGATATTCAGTTAGGGGGTGCCACTATTGCAGGTATTACGGTAGTTATTATATGTAAGAATTTTTGTGATCTAACCATGTATAAGCACTGCATAGAAATTGCAAAAGCACAGGTATTTGCTTCGAGTCGGTGTCTGGTAAACAAGACGGTGCACATATGAAGCCTTACATAACAGAATATGCATATCTTTCTTAAATTCTGCCTTAAATATACATGCTATGTGTTAGCAAAAAAAAATAATGCCGCTAAACCAGATTTTGAATTTACGAATTCAGCACGGAGATATGCATCAACCCACTCCCAAGTGAAGAAAAAAGAGCACCATCGATTTATTCCTTTCCACGCATTTGAATATTTCATTCACAATTATTAATGTATTTATTTGATCAAAAACTGCAATCGATTATTTCCAAAAGTAATGTGATTCCCTATTTAATTCTTTTTGTGCCCTACTATCTTATGATCAAAGAAATTTGGATTGTCGGCAAGTGAGCTAATCAAAGATTTTTCCGCGAGTTTGTAGAACTCTTTAATTCTTTTTTATAAACCACAAGGTTTTTTTACTCACTTTTTCCTTAAAATTTGTTAACCGATACATGAAATTGATAGGTCTATAATACTTTGGTGCTCTACGGAAAAATGGACAAAAAATTTGATTGCGGTAAAAGCAGAGTACTGTTTACAAGCTTTCAAAGAGCTTTCAGAAAATAGTTAAGACCGAATAGAATTTTTTAGTATTAAACAATTACTCAAGCTGCGATTTCTAGAGACATTCGACAAGTGTGTGCTCTGACCAATCACCCAGCTCGTTTACAAGCGTTAGGGTGTCTGAAACTGGATGAGAAACAAGTTTTTGTTTTTAATTTTCTTAAACAAAACTAAGTATTAAATTGTAGTAAAACCTTCTCACTCATTTAGTTTGTCCCTATCATAAAAATAATTTATTTATTCAGATGGAAACCGCAATGACAATGTATAGAAATTTGTGCCCAAATGGAGAACGGGAATGTGACATAGTGAACCCGTTCATCAGTTTTCCAACAACGTTTAATGTAACGTTAAAAATAAAAAGTCGCCTAATTTTTTTCAGATTGTTCCTGGACATTCCATCAATACTTGTGATATTAGTGATAATTTATCGAGTCTACTGAAAGGTTTTAAAAGATCCCTATCATATACATGTATAAACCTACACGTCAATTCTAGCGATAATGTGTTTTTTGTCTCGACCCGAGTATTTCTCACTCAAACACGTGAGCCTTTTGGGCGATGATAGTGATTTGGAGTAAGCGAATCGTCACAAGATAATAGTCAAAAAAATTGCCAGATCATGCAAATATGATACCGAATTGACAAGAATGGTACCAAATGCAGAAGAATGGCTGAATATCGCACTTATCCGAGATCCCCTCGAAAGAACTGTTTCGACGTTTCTGAAACATTGCAGGTTTGTATTAGGTTGGTGCAGATGAAACTTCCGTTGGAATCATAAACAAAATTTGTTATAAAAACCATAATACAGAACCTTAATTAATCCAAAAGATATTCGCCATCATTATCAAAGACTCTTTGCCATCTTCCACGCAGAAAGAAAAAAACTTCGCGAAAATTTCTTCCCGATTTTTGAATTTTTTTCTACCAAAGGGTGCTGCATCGTCCGAACCAAGTGGTAGTGGGATGGAGCCAAGTCCGGGCTATATGGTGAATGAGGCAGAACTTCCCAGCCCAATTCCTCGATTTTCTGCTGAGTGATCTTCGCCGTGTGGGGTCGAGCATTGTCGTGGAGGAATTTTGTAGTCGCCGTGTTTATGCCTTGACGACGCAACGCCTTGTCCACGCGGCTCAATTGGGCTTTATAGAGATCCGCCGTAACTCTTTGGCCTGAATCCAGCACCTCAGACTAAACGAGACCTTTATTGGTCCACCAAATAAAAAGCATCACCTTTTTCCGTGGATATTCGGTTTTGGAGTCGGTTTTGGCGGTTCACCGGCGTCCAACCACTGCCGTTTTCTCGTCGTGTTGTCGCAACATATCCACTTTTCCTCTGACCTAAAAATGGAGTCGAGAAAACCGGCGGTCTTTGCGACAAGAATTTTAGCCATTGTAACTCGAGCCGCCTTGTTTGCGTCGCTGAGCTGATGTAGCACCCATTTTCCACACCGATTCGTCTTACCAATTGCGGAGGATGGTTGATGGTCGCAGTCAAACGGCTCTGCAAGCTCCCGAGTTGTTTGGCATGGATCCGATTCGATAGCGCTCTTCAACTCGTCCTTGTCGACAATCTGAGGCGGATTCCCGCGTTATTCGTCTTCCAGCCTTTCATCACTGTCTCGGAAGCGCTGAAACCAAGTCCGACATTGACGTTCGGACAACGCGTCATCGCCGAATGCTTTGCACAGAGCACGATGAGATTCCGCAGCCTTTCTGCCTTATTTAAAATCATCTAACAAGCAAACCCCCACTCGAAATTTTTGGCCAACCATTTTCTAGAAGCTAAAAATGACTTCAAATTAATTAAACACGCCTGAGTCATATATCAAAAGACGCGCAAAGAGACGCTCTTCCAGATAGACAAATATATTCAATAAAAACTTTTATTATGTCCAAAAATAAGCGAACAAGTGAGACGGAATTTTCATCTGCACCAATCTAATAGAATTAAAAAGTAATCTACTATATATAAAAGAGCAGTGTCTGTTCATTGTACTAACTGTAAAATCTAACAAATTTTTTTCTAACATTATTTGAGCTTTTAGAGATGCTTTCACTGGATCTTCAGAAAATATTGCGGGTCGATGTCATGGATGCGATGATGATCTTGAATGCTTCCTCAAAAGACAACATCTATCTGATCTTCTCTGGGTGAAAAAACAGGGAATGCCTGGAATTTTAAATAAACTGCTCACACCCCAAAATTGGTTTGTTGTTTGTAAAATTGGTTTAAAAATTAAATAATAGGCAATGCGAATTTCGATATTTTTATGATCTGTTTTATCTGCTACGTTATGATCCAAGGACCCCAAAGCCAACAATATTAAAATTACGTGATATGTGGCAAGGTAGTTCGTCCTGGGCAAGCAAAAAAAATAAAGCATCATTATAGAAAATGGTGTTCCTAAAAAATATCTAAATCGAGTGCTTTCGGAGATTTTCCCAAGCAGAAATCATGAATTCGTCGATTATGACCATTATGAGGTATCCATCACTTAAATGGGATTTCATTCAAACATTTTAGTTTGCTGAATACCGTCGACTGATTTTAAACACAACAACACTTTACGAAAACTTTATGAAGCAATATTTTTACGATTTCATTCTCTTTCGATTTCCACCACCCAAACAAATCCCTGTTTATTGAATCCTAATATTTGATTAAATCTCAAAATAAATGGGTTCATGATTTATTCTATTTTCTTCCACTTAGCTCCTTACTAACAGTTATGTCAACAGCGAATCAGTAGCAGTTGAAAGTATTTGAAATTTCGAGAGGAAGAGGAGGGAGCTCTCTCGAAACGAATGGCAGTCACCGAGAAGGGCAAACCATAGGGGAGGCTGGGGCTTTCCGGTCTCTTTTCTCTCATCGAATTCCGCCTTTCTTCTCCCATTCTCCTCCCCAAATGTCACGGCTCTATGTGTTCAGTGAAGGGATGTAGAGAGAGAGGAAAATAGAAAGGAGAGGGATTGGTGGAGGAGACGAAGGGGTAGGGGTTGTGGGAGAGCCTCTCTATCGTCCATCCAATCGATTCTCGGCAAGGCAGCCCCCTCCCCTCCCCTTTGAGCCACCCTTCTCTTTGAGAGTGTGCAGCCAGCCAGCAAGCCATCCCCTCCTCTCTTTTCTTTTTCTTTTCCTCCTCCCGCTTGCCCGGCTTCCCCTTTACCAACATTCACTAACACCACTCTTCATATTCATATTATGGGTAAGTATTACTTTTTGTATATCAAATTTAAAATTGTGCTTTGTGATTTAAATGAACTAACAACAAAAGTTGTCATTTTCGCAAACAAGAAGTATCTATGATATGTAAAAGTTACTTGAAGTAATGATTCGTCACTCTTTCTTTTTAGGCAAGAAGTGCGATGTGTGCAAGAAAAAATGCAGTGGAGATATTTTGAAAAGTGGAGACAAATACTTTCATCTTGATTGTTTTGTTTGTAGAGGTTTGTTTATTGACTTATTGAGTGTTTTTATTAGGTTTAAACCCGCACTACTCTAAGCTATCACGCTCAACAAATTGCAGAATGTCGTCGTCAATTGAACGAGACTGGTTTCTACACTACAAGTGATGGGATTTATCTGTGTCCGGAAGACTATCGTCGACTTGCAAAAACGACCCCACAAGAGGTAATTAAACTCATAACTGGATCTGAAATTTTTATTGTTTTATAACTGTTTCACTTGTACTTACTGTGCTTTTCATTTCAGGAGCAAGGCCGGAAATCAACTACTCAGCCATCCTCAAAACAAAGTATTGTTATTCAAAAATTAGGCTATTCAAGCTATCAATACGCGTATACGTCATAAAAATTGGCGTTTCAAAATTGATTTAGTTAGCGTCGTATTTTTTCAGAAGAGCAGGAACCTCGGCACGAGTTTCATCAATTGCGAGACAGCACAAATGCCTTGAATGAAAGACGCCCCAGTTCACCCTTATCACCACAAAGTTTGTTTTCATTTTTCTTGCTTGAACTGAGACACAAACAGGAGTTTGATAGCCATTTCATTCAAAAAACAACTTTTTGAATGGGAATAGTATCTACTGAGTTCATTTTTTGATCACAGCATAAATCTAACGTCAAATGAAAAATGACAAAATCTTCAAAAGAAGTCTATGCATTTAGCTTGTGCTGCTTGCGATCAAGCCCTTCATACCGGTCAAATTCTTCTTGCATTGGGCCAATCATGGCATGTATTTTGTTTCAAATGTATCGAGTGTGGGGCTGTTCTTCATGGAGAGTACATGAGTCATCAAGGAAAGCCACTTTGCATTCGGTTTGTTTTTAATTTAGGTACGATATGGCGAGGGTCAGCTGTATTATGCATACCAAGGGATCAATTTTTAGAGACTACAATGAAAAGCATGGAGTTCGTTGTTATGAATGTCAAAAGTTTATCGCCGGAAAAGTTCTACAAGTGAGTTTGCCTCAAAACTTAATAAATTATTGAAGTTAACACTTGAAAAAGGCTTAGAATTTGTTTTCCTTGTTTTGTAAAAGAAAAAGGTCAATTCAAGGCGGGCGGCTACAAATTTCACCCAACTTGTGCTCGATGCTCGAGATGTGGAGATCACTTCGGCGATGGGCAAGAAATGTATATGCAGGTTTGAAAGATTATGTTTCACTTGGCAAATCCATAAATCTTCTGTGCTGTGTCTAAATATTTAAACCCCTCCTGATAATGAAACATAAAAGTCATTGCAAAATATTGCAGGGAGACGAAATTTGGCATCCTCACTGTGAAACATCACGAACCACCGAGGATATTGCAGTGAGAAAACCCGATTTTAGCTTATGTATCAAGATATTTTTCTAGCCATCCAAGAAAGCAACTTTGACTGCCAAGAAAACAAATACAAAATATCAGGCTACTTTTGGACAACACCTTGCTTATACGTTAGTTAAAAAACGTTTACTCTTGCATTTTAATTTAGTTTCTTACTTCCGGAAGCCGAACAGACCTACTTGAAGCATCCAATTCCACCTCATGATCCGCACGTTCCGCAGTTTCACGTCCCGCAAGGTCTTGAAACCAAATACATAGTTTCAAATAATTATACTATAGGTCCCATAAAGATTCGCAAATCACGCCTTGCCCTGCTAAAAACCGGAATGCAAAGATTGAGTAAGTTACCTTACATTAATTTTAGGAACACTACAACTAGCGCAGCAGTTTAGGTACTTACTTATTGAGTTTGCCTATGCATTATTAGATATAGTGCATTTATTACAGCTGAGGACATGACGAAAGATCAACTACCAAGAGCAAAGTCGCCTCATATGGATAATGAAGAGCCCATTGAACTAGCTCATTATCCGGCAGCTCAGGTTCCCGACCCAAGCAAGGTATTCAATAAATAAATATTATTTAATAAGTTGGAACTGTAGCCAATCTAGGAAAACCAAAAGTTTAATCGATAAGCCATTTTAGTTGCCTCCAATTGAACGCGAAGACTTTCCGGCTCCACCCTTTCCTTATGCTGTCGAAGGTTTAGTTAACACTCAAAACAACCTTTCATGCTAATTCAGAACTCAAACGTCGTCTTTCGACATCTTCTATTGAAAACGAGATATCAGATGATGAAGAAGAGCTCTCAGAGAAGGAAACTGATGAAAAGCTGAAGAAAACCGTCAAGGTTTGTATGCTGATTGAGAGACACATACATCGTGGAATTTGGAACCATCTAAATGGTTTGGTAATTTTAAAATTACAGCAACTCGAGCAATATGAGGACTCGTCGATTGCAGCTGTCATCCGTCAGAACATTGAAGAAAGTCAAAAGAAACAACGGTAAGATAAAGTGTTTTTGTTAAATTCTCAGGTAAATTAGCTGCGTTAAAGGGCTTTTTTTAATTACAGATTGCCTTTGCATTGGGATCCTCGAAATGCTTCGAGAACACCTTCAGCCAAGAAAATGCCTCATCTCCGATTCCGCTACGATACACCAATCAATGCTTGTAAGTGAACAATGTGGTCATTTCTCAGATCTTTTCTCAACCCTTTAAACTGTCTAAACTTTTTCCCAAGAAAAATGCAAAATAGTGAAGTTTTTTCCATTTCCACTTACAGCTCCATCTCGTCATCTCAGTCGTCCCCGTCCATGGGTGGCATGGCAGGGTGGTGAAAGAATGCAAGGAAACACTCTTCCATGTTTCCATGTACCTGAGAGTCGCTCGTCTACAATGCGTCCTGCTACCTTACCCACCGGAGCCTATTATGGACACACAACTTCGATGGAAAATCTTGATACCACCATCTCAAGTCACTATTCTGAGAGTAAGTTAAATACTATGCTTACAACAAACATTTTATTCTACTTATCAAAGTTAATTCTTTGACTTCAGATATTCCATCTACGGGCACAATGCCAGGTGCGCGAAGTGCAGGTGAAGTAAAATCATCCCTTCGCTCATCTCTTCCCGATATGAGTAAACCTGTTAAGACGTATTCTCTACAAACACTTCAAACTTGTAATAAGGTGATTAGTAAGTATCTAGTCCTTTAACTCATTTCTTTTAGGAAATGCCTGATGATATTGATCGACAACATCTGGAACGCCATCTGCGACGAGAGGACTTTGAGGTTTGAAAAGAAAAGCTACTAGACAAACAACAAAAACAATTATTGATAACAAGAAATTCTAAAATACTTCATATTCAGATGAAACAAAGCATTTAGGAAATCTTCGGAATGTCGCCAATTGAGTTCTACAAGTTGCCCGAATGGAAAAGAATCAATTTGAAAAGAAAAGCAAAGCTATTTTAATATTCTATGATCAAATTTTCAAACCGTTTCTATGGAATGATAAAACTGCATTTTGAACTAGAGATTTTGTGACACTGCTTTGTTGTTAGTCTTTATTCATCTAGGTATCATTTCTTATTGAACTTGACATAAAAAGGCCCGTTTTGTTTTTCATCAAATTTCCATATAATACTTGTTTTGCTGAAGTTTTTATGGTTAGCAACACGAATTATGTTTTAAGGATAAGTTTTAAGTAATCGTAAGCTTTTAACTCTGTGATTTTTCATTCTAGTTTTTTTTCAATGTTTTGAATCTATTCTATTAACCTAATCTGTTTTAGTTCTTAACGTCCATTTATCAATTCAACATTACTTTAATAATCATTAGATCAAAAAATGACAAGACATGTGAGCCTGCGAAAAATGTGCTGGAGAGATTTCAGAATATTTGTGGCTTCATTTCTGAGAATTAAATGATCCTGTGAAAATTATTTTTTATCTGTTAGCCTATATTTTGCAGAGTTTCTTTAAATGCAAGTCAAATTTACAAAAACATCAAAATTCCACACTTTTTATTTATTGCTGAATTTCTTGCTTAATTTGCCTTATTATGCCTTTTGTGCTCGTGCAAAATTCTGTTGCTTTATACAACTTTTTCAAAGGTTTACTTTTTTATTTTATTGATCTTGCTCTACAACATGTTTTTACCAAATCGAAATATCAAGCAGCTTTTATAATAAACCTATAAAGAAAAACTGGATAAAATTGAAAACAAAGATTAATAGAATGGTAATAGATTTTGACCTAGCAAAAAAGAAGTGCAAATTCCAATTGCAGAAATTAACGTTTAATTAAAAAGCAATTGATTATAATATCGAGAACAATTGAGAAGACCGGTTCGACACATTTCTGTCGTTCTAAATTTTTTTCAGCTGAAATGAGTCTGAGAGTTTGGTTATTACTCCCTATTTAATCCAATAGTAAATAAAGTTTTTGAACTGCCAACTATTTACCTCACAACTGACATTCGGTCAGCTCTTTCGAAATTTGACCGAACAAGCTCATAATATTGGCCATCGGAGAGTACCATTGAGTGCAATTTCAAGCATTTGAGCCTCATCACATCAATAAATTTACTATAATTTTACTATAATTTCTCGTGTGAATGCTATACACCTTGATTTATCGGAAAACCTTAACGTATCATCATCCCATCGAATCTCCAGTCTCGCCAATCGGGGACAATTTCCAGCAATGCAATCTACAAAATTGATTCACTTTAATAGTAATGTAATTTGGTGTAAGTAGTACCTAAGTCACCCTGCTAGCTCTAAACATTTTCAACAAACCAATAAATTGATCGACGTGTATTTTGGCTGTTACTTTTGGACAACAATCTTCGGCAATTCCCATTACCAGCACGCTAAATTTCTTTATAGCTTTGTCAAATCTATTTGAAAACTTTATATTTCTCATTTGTGGAATCATGTTGATCCAGAAATACTCAAGCAATTTATGATGCCCACCAAGGTTCAATCCACGAAGTTGATGACCATGTCGCATGACAAATTCTGATATTGAATTATTAACAGTATTTTAAAGTCGTTTGTGATTTTTTATTCCGACTTCTTACCTGACAAACAATTTTCATTCAAAGAATCACATGTATCTAAATTGAGATACTGTATGTTACTTGCCGTCCCTGAAGCCATCCATGCCTCCAAAACCTGGAAAGAACATTTAAGGAGTAATTTTTTTCTTTGAATACCGAATCGTTAAAGTTTTCGAGCCAACTTGCGTCCAACCATCTCAGATTTGGCAATCTTGTCAGAATTGAAATAATCGTGTCTGCACTCACTTCGGTACCTAGATAGTTTATTTTTAAAATTGGCTGTATCGTTCACCTTTAATGTCAAGTTCTTCAACTTTTGTATTTTGCCATTCAATTGATTGAATTGTCGCGTTATCCAGCTCTAAATTTTGCTGAGCCTATAAAAAATAGAGAAACTTACTCGCATGAGCCAAAAACAAGGTCCGCAATTTTTTGCATCTTTGAAGCAATAGCTTCAAACAAGACCCTGTTACCTAAAAATAGCTTTTATGCTGTTTAAGTTATGTCTAATTGTGATTTCTTTACCTTTTCGCAATAATTTACACACAAACACTCAAGATAGGCACAATTTGATGATAGGGCTTCAACATGTTCGTCGGTGATAAATGGAACCTAAAAGTGAAATTTGTGTTAAATTTGGACTGTTTTTGAACATAAACAGCAAACTCACTCCCCACAAGTTGACAACTCGAAGGTTAGGCAAATATTGTTTTAGCTTGTGGACATTCACCGTTTCATAAACTTCTTCCTCTTCGTCTTCCACTTTTTCATATGTCCCTTAAAGTATCAGCATAGAATGACTTATTTTTCATTTTTTTCAGTTACCCACCAACAATGTGTAAAATTTCTACTGAAGAAATAAAAGTATAAACTTTTCGAAGAAATCCTTCCAGAAAAATGTTTTCTAAAGAGGTAGGTTTTGTTTGAGTTTTTTAAAATGCAGAGCTCACCTGACAAGCAGAGGGTCAATCCCTTTAAACGAGAAGGAAAGCTCTGAAGATCCGTAAAATCGTGAAGTTGCATTGCCGTCGAAAAATCTAAATTTGCTTTCTAATTTGAAGTTTCATTACTGCTACCCAAAGTTAAATATTGAAGTTTGAGACATCGGTTTGCCATTTCATGAAGAACAGAAGGAGTGATCAGATCAGTAGCCAATTCGGTGATTTTCAATTCACAGAAGCGAGAACCAATCAACCCCAAGAAATAATCGAGGTTAGCCACCTAAAGAAAAGCTAGGATTACAGGATACTTAGATATTCTTTTTTACCACAAGTCCACCATAATTTTGTCGGAAAGAAACAAATTTCCATAAAGCGGGATTATCAACGACACGTTTCCATCTTTTGCAGACTTGCCGAGCCCGAAGCATCTTAATGACGTGCTTTTAAAATTTGTGAATTTTTGAAATAAACCTGTTGCGAAGGTAAATAAGAAAATATGTTCATCAAGACTTTATCCGGCAATTTATCGATCGTCTAAATTTTTGGCATATTTGAAAACGAAGGTTTTGTTCCATGCTATATTCTAAATTTCAGTTTTACAGGTTTCAACTTCTGATTTCCCATAAATCTTATATTTTAAAGCATTCGGACCCCGACTCGATGCTGAATGTTTTGTTGAGGTGTTTGCGCAAATAGTTCTTCTCCATCCCCTTCTGTTTCCCCATCATCTTGGATTTGTTGGCGAAAATTGTCTGCATCGGCAGTGTCATGCATGGTAACACGCCGTGTCATATCGAAGATCGCCGTCATTGTTTCCACTATTTCTTTGTGGAATAGAGCCAAGTAAAAGTAAAAACAAGCAACTAAGTGTATAATTTTTTGCAAAATATCAAGATTAAAGTGAATTAATTTCCAAAGTAATGTGATCTAGGAGCCGATAGGACAAAGAATTAAGGCGATTTCCTGAATCGATTCCTCAATGAATGAGCATGTGTTGAGGAGAAGAGAATATATTTTCTTTCGCTCTTAACAGAGGAGAGAGTCAGTTGGCGTTGTTCAGCTTGTGTAGGAAAACGAGAGAAAGGAGAGAAAACAAAACGCATGCCAGATGGTCGCTCTGCTTTTGCTGAATCGGAAACAAACTAGTTTTTTCATTAGTGTGACACTGGCCATACCTAACTATAATTATTATAAACAGTGAACTCACAGTCGAGAATATTCGAAATATAGGCCTCCAATTGGTCGTGGTTTTCTTCATTCTTGTATTTGACTCCAGTTTTACGGTAATAAACTACCACTTAAACAGAGTATCTTGAAGTTTCGAATAGATCTGTGAAAAATGGGTCTCTATTGGGCGACATTCAATGAAGTGAGAAGGGAGATCAAATAAAACCTCGACAGCTCAAGACATTCGGTTTGTTAGACTTAAAAGCGAGGCTGGAAAATGCATAGCAAATTGTTATGGAAATTGTAAAGGACAAAACAAACACAGGTACTGATTACGTACTCGTGTGTTACAAACTTGAGTCATCTACGATCACAAACAAAGAAAGAATAAAGTGTTCAAATGTAGTTTATCGGATTTTTGAATTTAGCATTTAATTTTAACGAAGCTTATGTATACTTACAAACACGATTATTACCAACTTTTAAAAATGTAGAATATGAATGCCACCGTATTTTGATCAATAAGACAAAACGCTAGAATTTTTGACCTTGTTAAAGGAAAAGTAAATGTAAAATTATATAATACTCTTGCAAGTTATATTTCAACTCACTGGTAAACGTGAAAGAACAAGTGCTAGATTGAATTTGCTCATGATCTTCAACTTGCTGATGATTCTTCTCTTCTTTAATTTCCATTCTTCTGTATCACGAAAATGTTTCTTTCGGGTCAAGAAAGTTTGCGATGAGATCAATTCGTTGCTTGGAGACTATAAGATTCTTTAAAGGTTAGCGGATGCATTGAGGTATCGATACTTTTTGCGTTACGTAAGTTAATTGCAATCTGTAGGGATGCAAAAAAGCAGAACAAACCGGTTTGTCAATTTTATTCTTGAATATTTCCAGCATGCTTCCCGCTCATAGATCAGTTATAATGATGGCATAGGAACCTCAGCATAAATTTTTGCTGGTTTGCTTTTATTCTGAAAAATTACCATTGACACTAAATTTCATCGTAGTAACAAAAAAGTTGCACAATAAAGAGTGAAACAAGAAAATTGCCATAGTATTTTACCAAAAAAAGTTTGATTGATCGGATCCGTTCAAGTTAAAAGCCCAAAGAAGCAGCTTGTGGGAAGGCGATCCGAGAGAGAACCCAAACGATAAAAAGAGAAAGAGGAAAGGAAAACGGGTGTACTCCATCTAGACAGGAAAGAGAAATATCCAATGGGGTGTCCAGGGACACCAGCCAGGGTCGGTAAGGTGAGCCGACTCGAGAAAAAGAGGGCTAGAAAGACGAAAAGCTTTCTTTTTAATCCCACTCTAGGCGAAGACTTTGTTCCAATCAATTCATCCTATCAATTTAATTTGACTTCTTGTTTGAGCTATTTTCAAGCTACTATGACATAAGCTTCTTTTTTTACAAAATTTAATTTTGAGAATTGACATCGATGACCATTTTGTCAAAGCATAAGAGTTGCCTAATTTTAGCACTAATCAACAAGGCTTAAAGTCAATCTTTATTACACAATCTTAGTCAATCTTTATTTCCGTAAGTGTGTTCCGTAAATGTAGACTGCATCCTACTGTTAGCTGGTTCCAATTTGCAAATGCTTATGCTAAAAACAAAATTTAGTTATATTTTTATAGTTTAAAATGATTTCAAGTGCACAAAATTGCAAGACAAATTTATTTTGTGTGGAGAATCTCATGTCTCTCTTGGATATCAAAAGTAAGCAGCAACCAGATTGAGTGTTCCGCAAACAAAAGAAAATTGCAACCAGAAAAATAGTGATCAGGATGATAGAATGAATTCATTTAATTTCGAATGCCAATAACGTTAAGCAAAAATGAACAGAGTGAACCCATATTGTAGAATTGCTTCAATTTCATAAATCATGGATACAAAATGAGAAACACTATAAAAACTCTCTAATCAATTCTTTAATCAATAGTGAAAATATATATAAAGAAATTTTACAAATAGCTATCGCACTTGAAAGAGTGAAAAATGGAAGGGATGACACGGTTAAAGATGATTTTGTTTCTCAATAAGTCCGCTCGTTTCCAGACTACTAGACTTTTGTTAAGCAAATGTTTTTATAATTGAAAAAATCGACTTACTAATATTAGTGTAGAATTGAATGTGGAATGTTTTGCCGTGTTGCCAAACGACTATCAGAGAAAACATGTGGTTGCAGAAAAAGACCGGCGAAGCAAAAGAGTCGAAATTATAGCAAGGATCTAGAGGCAAATTCAATCATTTCTTATTTGATGTTTTTGATTATATTTACCAAATCATGAATGAGCCCAAGAGCCATGCAACTGGGCTCCAAGCAATTTGCGATATTCGATCTTTGAGGGTCAAGCTGGCTGATGAAGTTACTCCAACCTGAAATCATGAAACTAACTATGATTTTAACGTTTGCTTTGCTTTTGGAATACTCACTTAGTAGCTTCGACAGAAATCTTTGTTTTCCTTTTAAATTCCATAAAATCTTGAAGGATTTCTTGAAACAGAAAACTCGTAAAACAGAAAACTGAATTACGGACAGGTCGGCGGTTTTGCAATAACATAGAAACTGTGATTTGGCTTTGATCACCAATCCAAACGTGTTAATTCAAGCGTATTAATTTCTTATCCAAGCTACCCGGTATGGAAAATTGCGAGACATCAAATGAATAAGTAGGTATGAAACCTTTGTCTGAAGTTTCATTGTTAGTGCAGGCTTGATGGCTTCAGTGTCTCGTCTTGTTGCGTGTAGGGCAGAGTATTCATTTGGATGTACTTCCTTTGCACATGACGGTGGCTAAAAACATTTTAAACAGCTCACTGTTTCGTATAGCTTACAGTCACTCCATTGCATCCATTTTCTTCTTTTGAACATAACGTTACACTGCATGTAAATTGCAATGAGGAACCATTTTCAAAAGCGAATGCCTGAAAGCAAAACATTATTTATTATTTTATAATACCTTGATGCACTTTTGAAGCAAACTTTTGAAGATTTTTCAATCCTTTTACCTTGGTTTCGCCATAAGCCATGAGATTTTCCTGATCATATACAATTTCCGAGATCAATTCGCCATCTGTCGAGCATCTAAAGCAAAAACGGCGTCTTCAAGTCTTTAAGTTAGTATAAGTTTATTTTGTTTATGTGATAATAATACGAACAGAACAGAAAAACATGCCCTTCAGCATCAAGTAAAGGAATTTGGTTGTTGTATTCGGATCCAACATAGCAATCATGAATTAGCATTCCGTAATCGTCATTTATCTCTGGTATATTCAATTTTTTTATTAAAACCGGCGGATTAAACCTTTTATTGCATCACATTTCCACGTGTGAAACACGGAATCGCCCAATTTCGCTTTCTTGATAAGCTCGCCTCCAGGATTGGACTGGAATTTAGTTAGATTAAATTTTAAAACTGGGTATAAAATGAGTATAAAAATTGATTAGATTTCGATTTTTGGTTTTTACCTAGGTAGGGTTAGTGCTAACCCACGCCCCAGGCCTACCGTAGCTTGCATTTGTCTTTTTTGTTCAGAGAAAATTCTTCGGCATTAAAACTTTTAACACGCGCTCTCGGATCCTTTAACTCGCTATCCTTACCTTTGTTTTTAATAAAGTTTCTAAATTATAAACTGCGAGCATCGTAACACTTTTGGGAAGACTCCAACTTGTGTTATGACCAGCTATGAGCAGCTATTTTTTAGATTGGCTTTTTTGATAAGGTTTCATTTCAGATTTGTGCACTAACCTTGTGAATTGAATAATTACAAGTTGGCGGAACTGCTTGAAGAGAAATTGTTTGCCCGATGGTGATCTCACTGTGAAAATCAATTTTGTATTAGAAAAAATCTTCTAATTATACAACACCTTACCTTTGCAAATCATCTCTAATCCTTTTTATATAAAGATTTCATTTCAAGAAATCTTTTTCAAACGTTTGCAAAAAGAGACCTACTTTGTAATGACCATTAGATCGGCGGAGATTGTTTGTGATTGCGCTTTTTTCATGTTCAGTGAGCATTGAAGTATAAAAGCTCTAAATTTGTTTATGTGAAAATAATTTAGCGTCATGTCTTAGAACCTGTCTTCCAATGTAATGAACGAGATATTATGCTGAACATTTAGGATGATTGAGCTATTTCTTTCCCATTTCTTAAACACAAATTAAACCACAAAAAGAATGGTTACTGAGTGAGTCCTGGTGGCACCGCATATATCATGATCAATATACATTTCAATGGGACGAGGTTGAGCTGACAAAATGTCCTGAAAAGAATTGAAAAGGTTCATAAATTAGAAATTAGAACTTATTGTTAGAATTATCAAGAAAGCACGACGATAGTTTTGAGAATAATGTTCAAACAATATCACGTTTAAAAGAACTCAACTGTTTTTGATTAAACTACCACAAACAAACTGACCAAAATCTTTCATCATAAATGATCTTTAATAGATGATTTCTCAAACCTGTCTGCACCGATTATCATTTTCATGACCTTTGATGAAGACCGAGCCTTCAAACTTTAACGGTAAATCAAAGTGCAACTAAACTTTGTACACTAGCGACATATTTGCTCAACGAACCCTAAAAGCATGAGGCAAGCATTGAAGTTGCAAAATGTTTGGTTGATCAAGAGGATTTACAGTGGAAAGTCTATTATTCTCATTGACATGTTTTCTTTGAAAGATTTTACATATTGGCATCAGCGTATTCTGAAGATTGTTGCGATACAGAGTCTGAAGGTTCCGTCTCCTCTGAAAACATTTGCCTAATTAGTAATCAAAGTTCATACGAGAAATTGTGCTTGGCAAAACCAAAGTTTCGTTTTCGTCTTTTATTTGAGCTCTTTCGATCGCCGTATAACCTAAAATTGTTAAAACATACCAAAAGTTTGTCGTTCTCCATTTAATTTTTTGACATTCTTGCTTTCTATTATAGTTTAAAAATAAATTTCGTGTAATTGATAATCATGACTATTGAATGCAACTTCATTGAAAAGCTGGGCACTAAGCCTATACAGTCATGGACAAAAGTCTTTACCCCTACCGAGGTCAGCTTTTAAAACGCAAAATTTTTCAACTTTTTAACAAGTTTTAAAAATTGTTTTCAAAGTATTTTGTAGCATTTTTACTCTAGTTTTTATATCCCATAACCAAAAGAAACAACGATTTATTTTAGGCAACAAAGAACGACGTTAACAAAAAAAACCCTCAAAACAGGTGGACAAAAGTCTTTACCCCTTTTCAACTTTTTATTTTCTTGCTGTTGTTTCGTTATTTTTCACATAACAATGCTTTATTATTTTTTAATTCTAGTGATGCCTGGAGCCTATCTGACCACTCCCGACAAAGGAAAGATTATGGAAGCAAGGAAACGAGGCGACAAAGTAAAGGATGTTGCGAGCGTATTCAAACGCAGCCCCGAAACGGTGAAAAAGCTTTGCAAGAAAGAAAAAACGACTGGAATTCTTCACCGAGCATTCAAAACAGGTCGTCCACCCGTCACAACACCAAGAGAAGACAAGGTTCTAATTTTGGCCCACAAAAAGGATCCAAATCTTAATGCTTCCGATGGACTCAGATTAATCAAGCATCAATTTAACAAGGACATTAATCGAAAGACAGTAAGCAGACGTTTGATTCATGCAGGATTGATGACTAGAAGACCTGCCAAGAAGCCCCTGATGGTCGCCAAACACCGGAAGGTTCGACTCGACTTTGCCGAGAAGTATGAAAGTTGGACGAGCAACGACTGGGCCAATGTCATCTTCACCGATGAATCGAAGATCAACTTTTTCAATCCCGACGGCAATCATTTGATCCGGAAACCTGTCGGACAACGATATAGCACCAAATACCTTCGTGCGACAGTCAAATTTGGTGGCGGATCAATCATGTTGTGGGGTAAGAAACTTTTATCTTTATGCCTATTGACTTTTTTTTTTCAGGAGCGATGACTAGAAGTTCACCAGGTCCGCTCGTTCTTCTCAATTCAACTTTGGATGCTCAACGATACAAGGTGATTTTGGAGAACGATCTTCTTCCATTTGCGACCACAAAAATTGGACAAGGATGGTTGCTGTACCAGGACAACGCTCCATGCCACAAGTCGCAACTGCTAATGGGACGAGTTGTTCGCCTTGCCAACGGTGGTAGAGGTCGTCTACCCGGATGGTTCCGATCGAATGGAGTTCAGCTCGTATCTGCTCCTCCCTACAGTCGGATTTGAACGTTATCGAACATTTGTGGGCGTTTTTGAAGCAGAAATTGAAGGGAAAACGCTTCAATACCAAGATTGAGCTATGGTACTTCATTCGACACGTCTGGACAAAGATCGGTCCTCAAATTTTACAGGATTTGGTCGACTCAATGCCGAGAAGGATTCAAGCAATAATTTCATCAAAAGGAGGCCCTACCAAATATTAAAATACTCGGTTTTTTCTCACTTTTTGTTCGAGGGGTAAAGACTTTTGTCCACCTGTTTTGAGGGTTTTTTTTTGTTAACGTCGTTCTTTGTTGCCTAAAATAACTCGTTGTTTCTTTTGGTTATGGGATATAAAAACTAGAGTAAAAATGCTACAAAATACTTTGAAAACAATTTTTAAAACTTGTTAAAAAGTTGAAAAATTTTGCGTTTTAAAAGCTGACCTCGGTAGGGGTAAAGACTTTTGTCCATGACTGTAGTCACAAAAGAGACAAAAACTTACCAAAGTAGGGAGTCGAAATGGCAGCTGGAACGGTGGTGATAGCTGATACTGAGGAAGATAACCAATCTTTATATTGTCAAAAGTATACCTAAAGGTGTAGTTGTTGTTCCACGGGATTCCAATGTCGTTGAAGGAACTCTAGTGTGAATTTCCGGGGGCTAAAAATAAAGAAGACGTTAATGTGCAAAAAACACAACTCAATATCCACTTACTTGTATACCAGGAGGTTTGGACTTGGTCGGTCCCTTTGAAGGATTAACTTTGTGCGAAGCTTCCTCAAAAATAAGTCTTGCAATTTTAGCACTCGTATCTCCGTTATTTCTAAAGAGAACATTCTTGAATTTGAAGTTCTTAATAACAAACAAGAGTCGTTGTTGCTAAAGATTTCAAACTCAACTACCTTTGACGGAGAACAAATATGTTTGAGGTGAAACTTGTGAGTGTAATTAATTGATTTGGATCGGCCTTTTGTGTTGCTAAGATCACAAGCTCGATTTCATTCTCCTTTAACTTCTAAAATTTTATTTCAAGCTTGCAGGGCTATAGTAATTCTTTGTATTAGAGAAAACCATATTGCTTATTATTATATTAGATTAGGTTGTGGAAAAGGCACCTTGGCATCATTCAAAAATGACGGATCGGGTTGTCCAGCAGTAATCACAATCATCAGATTCTTGGCATTCTCTCGATCTCCCTTAAGTTTTTATTTTGGATTTTTTCTTTATTTAATAATACCCTTGATTTGGTGAACGCAAACTGAGCAATCCTAAATAGTATAAATTATGGTTGCAGTATGCCTATAAGTAGCTATTATCTTTGCTAGCTAATTTCCAAGAGATTACTTCTCAAGTTCACCCCCTTTTCCGGAAAGGCTTGGCAGAAATGTTGTATCCTTTATGTCTTCCAAAAGCCAATCAAGGCATTGATGACGTTGAAAAGAAAACTCGAGATATGGCTCTCCATGACGAAGTTGAATTAACGACACCTAAGTTTAAGTTCTTTAATTAAAATTTTTTAATAGCTTGAGTTATACCTGAATTCCCTTTGAACCAACATTCCGAAGATTTTTGAGACTGTCATAAAACACTTCAATTGCTTCAGCAAACTCTAGACGTGTGAGGAAACTTGTTGAATCGATGAAAAGTAAAACATCGGCTTGAATATTCAACTTTTCGTCGTTCTGAGTTGTGCAGATTCTCTTGGGGGCCGAAGTGGCTAAAAAATTAATATAGATTTACGAAAGAGTTGGCATAAAAATTTGAATGAACCTAAGGTAGAGTCGGTTTCAAAAATTTGTGCGCTGCTAGTTGAAGATTCAGCTCTGCGAGTACTAGTTGTTTGCGGAACCTAAAACTCATATTTAGCTAAAGAAGTGAATCAAACTTCTTTGACAGAAGCTATTGTGCTTGTCACGTCTTTAGTTGAGCTCCCAGAGGATGTATAGAATGTAGAAGAATGAATAAAGCCAGGAGAAGGTTTTTGCGTTGTGTCTGGCCTTTTTGAGGAAATTGATGTTCTGGGGGGTGTCTCAAAATGTTGATGTCTGGATGTAGAGGATGTAGAGCTATGAAAGAGGCTAGGATAGAGTTTTTGCGTCATTTTCGATCTCCCTGAAGACGTCGCACTTTCAGTATTTTTGAATGTAGAGAATGTTGAAGTACTAATGGAGCTTGAATCTGGCCTTTGTTGCGTGAATATTTTGGCTTTTCTGGTCGTCGTCGAAGATCTAATATTGTAAGTGGAAGCCGTGTGCCCCAGTGTGGTTGTTTTGCTTATGCGTCTAGTTGGAAGCTTTGAAGTGTGAGATTGGCTTGAAAAGGATGACCAAAATGTAACAGCTGTTTTTGGTTTTCTTGATGTTGTTTCAAAAAATGGCGACCGACTGTTATCCTTGGTGAAAGCGATGGAAGCGGTTGAAGAAGGCGGATGTGAAAAACTAGATGAGGATTTGGATGATTTTTTCTTGGTGTATAAAATCGGTTTCTGTGTAGACACTGTTTTCGCTGTAGTTGCCTTCGTTGTAGTTGCCTTCGTTGTATTTGCCTTCGTTGTAGTTGCCTTCGTTGTAGTTGCCTTCGTTGTAGTTGCCTTCGTTGTAGTGTCAGTTCTTACTGTGCTGAAGTTTGAAACATGAGAGAATGATGTCCGAATTGTTGATGGAATAGTAGCTAGCGGAAGAGTTGGTCTCGGTGATGTTGTATGAGTCGTTTGAGATGCTGTCGCTATAGTTATTCTAGGAGGTGATGAGTTGGCTGGTCTAGGTAAAGTTGTTGTAGCCATTGTCGTTGTTGTTGCCGATACATTTGTGGAAAGATTTGTTTTTTTGGCAGTTGAATTGGCGTTCGTGGGAGAAACAGGGGGAGTAGTTTGTGAGGGTTGTAAAACAACCGACGTTGTCAGAGAAACATTTTTTTCCTGCAAAAATATTTTAGATTTTTTAGTTGCTGGGTAACCTTTTCCAATTCATCAAATCCTTCTTCAATGGCTTTGCTAAGATCTTCACTTGTTATTCCCGCTGGCTCGCTCTCTTCTAGTGTTTCACTCAAGTTTCTGAATTTTTTTTTCTTGTAAAAATAGTCTAATTAACTAACTTTGAAATTTCATCAATCAGTGATTCCTCAAGTTGCTTTCTTAAACTCACATCCATCTTTGGCGATTGCGGATCTTTGTCTAGACTAAAAAAAAATGCGTGCTATGATTTTCTTCGATTAGGACTTTCTACAGACAACAAAAGGTATTTATTCTAATCAAATTTTTTATTTTCAGTACTCCTAAATCGCAGAAAAGGAAAACCACAAAAATTTAAAGATTTAAAAATTGTTAACTCCGAAGAGAACGAAGAGAAAGTTCACAACGTCTGATACAAAACTTGTTAAAAGATCTATCTTTCAATTTTGTTTTTTTCTTACAAAACAACTCACCTGAGCAAAACATTCGATAGAGCTTCATCAATTTCCATTTCAATGGCTTTCTCAAGACTCAAATCGACCTGAGGATCATTTGCTCCAAAAACGGCGTCCAGACGAACGATGGGTGGGTTTCCGGCAGTTGTTTTAAAATTCTAAGTTCAAGTTTAGTTTTACTTTCAATTATCACAAGTTAGTAGCTTCAAATTATAAAGAAAGTCTTTTCGTTTCTTTTCGTACTTCCGTTGAAAAATAACAAATTCACCTAAATTCACCTACAAATTCACCTATTCACCGTTTCTATAACCTAAGGCTTGTTCTAAATAAAAAGTGTTGATTGTACAATTTTGGGCTCACTTTCAAGGAAATTCGAGTGTGAAAACGTATTTTTCGTAAAAATCTATAAAAACCAACCATGAAGAAATTAGCTGAACCAATTTCTCTGAAAATTGATTGCTGCCTTTTGTGTTCTATCTTTTATCTATTGACATCAAGATAGGTTTCTTTAGCTAAAGTGTCTCAACCGCATCACCCAATCGTCGCCTTTTTTTGACTACCCGACCACGAGCCCAAAAAAAATTCAGATATAAGACGTTTCAATGTTATTTTGCAGAAAAATAATTGGCCTTTCTAATGAAAAAAACCGTAGTTCAATTGGTGCATTTGTTTGTTTTAAACGGAAATACGAAAAGAAACGAAAGGACTTTCTGGACAACGTAATACTTTAATGTCAACAATAAGAGAAATCAAATTCATGAGAATAACGACCTCCCGCTTTGTCTTCTCGCCCCAGAATTTAAGCGTATCGCGTCGTATTTCACGGTGTAAAAAATGAGGAATAAAAGGTCCTGCATGTTCTCTAAATTGTCAAAGATTTCACAACAATAATTTCGCAGTTCTTGTGTATGATGGATAATATGCAAAATCAAAGAGATTTGATTAAGCTTCACCTGAACTTTTCATGCAGCATGTTCAAAATTTTGTGGTCACTATGATTGTTTTGTTCGTTTTGCATCGAGAGGAGAACGTGTATCAAAAACTTCTTTTTAAACGGCAACTGAAAATCAACTTGATTTTGCATGTTAATAAATGAATATATTCCTTTTAAATCATGCCATGATCCCACTATCTTTGGTCAAAACTATCGATACTGACTTTAGGTTTGGAGGAGCAAAAAACTTTTGCGTTTCTAAACAAAAGCTTACTATGTTCACCTAACAATAAGTTACTTGTCATAAAGGATTTATTGAAAATTAAAAGAAGATAGTAAATCGTTAAAATCTCATCCTTAAAGGAAAATATTTAGTACTTGCCTTTTTGGTTGTTTCAAATTCAGGTTGAGGAGCTGGCGGGTGAAAGTGAGAACGCGTTTGGTGCAAAGAACGTATTTTCTAAAACGTATGATTCAACTATTTAATCTAAAGCAAAGTGTTGCCAAAACTTACATTGTCTCGTAATTGATTTCAGAAAAATTGACCCGTCAAAAAAAGTACCAAACCATGTTTTAATTCACAAGTAAATCACGGATTAACTTACAGGACCATAGACATCTGGGTCTTCGGAGCGTTGAACTACGTTAGAAGAGAGCTAAAAATCGGCTCTTTGAGGTCAAATTTAGACTTATACACCGCATTGTACCAAATTAAAAAACCAATTGTAAATATGAACTTTCAACTCAAAATTCGAACCAGTGGTGGTTGAGGAGGGGGCTGATAACCAAGAAATACCCTTCCTTCTGCATTATCAATTCTGTAGTACAGTAGAAGAACCTAAAAAGCGGAGAATAATGGTATTGGTATAGTAGTATTTAGACGTTTGCCGGAACAAAAAAGAGTTCGGCTTCTCTGTCCTGATTAGTGGTCACTACCGGCAAAGCAAAAATCTCCTTCAAAACCTTCAAAATCTCTTCCAATAAATTTTTTTGATTGGTTAAAGGAAATTTGGGGTTAATATATAACTTCATAGATGAGTGACTTAATGTTCACTTTCCTAACCGAAAACAATCAACTCAAATCTTTTTATGGCTTTCAGAGTCTTTACGTCGATTTCAGATCTGACAATGAGAAAACCACTCATCAGTGGCCAGCAAAAGCGATATTGTGAACATTTTGAGATCTGTGAAAACTTACCAGAAAAAGAAACGATTGTGAAAGTAGATGAAATACTTGCACATTCATTGCGATTAGTTCCTGAATATCAATTTCTTCGGAAAATCAGATTCAATTTAATCTTTGAGTTTCCAAAAATCAAAGAAAAACAAAAATCCTAAAACAAAGTGACTGGTGGTTTGAAGAGCTTTCTGGAAAAAAAATCATTGTGTCGGAAAAATGCCATGATTTGCAATCAAAGAAAAATTGAGACAAAAAGCCAGTTTTTATGTCAGGAGAGGGCGATCCAAATGAGTCGCACTCTTTTCTCTTTTCATTAGCTTCCCAAAGCTTTCGGCCAAGCGATATGAGAATGGCACAAATGTGAGAGAGCAAAAATAGCACGTACAAAGTATCATTACTAGTAGATAATATCATTGCATTTTGCAGGTAATTTTGGGGATAGCAAAGCTTCGTTTCCTTTGCCCCTACCCCTCACAGGTAGGGCAACTAGATGAAAAGTGTAATAAAAAGTAAAGTATTTCTCGGTTTAAAGCTGACATTAATTTGTAATTTAATGGTGAAATCAAAAGCGAAAACTCTTTAATGTTTCTACAAATTTTGTTAAGTCGCAATTTTTATTGGCTTAGGCTTAGGCTTAGGCTTAGGCTTAGGCTTAGGCTTAGGCTTAGGCTTAGGCTTAGGCTTAGGCTTAGGCTTAGGCTTAGGCTTAGGCTTAGGCTTAGGCTTAGGGCTTAGGCTTAGGCTTAGGCTTAGGCTTAGGCTTAGGCTTAGGCTTAGGCTTAGGCTTAGGCTTAGGCTTAGGCTTAGGCTTAGGCTTAGGCTTAGGCTTAGGCTTAGGCCCAGGCTTAGGCTTAGGCTTAGGCTTAGGCTTAGGCTTAGGCTTAGGCTTAGGCTTAGGCTTAGGCTTAGGCTTAGGCTTGGGCTTAGGCTTGGGCTTAGGCTTAGGCTTAGCAGGCTTGGGCTTGGAGGCTTAGGCTTGGGCTTAGGCTTGGGCTTAGGCTAGGCTAGGCTTGGGCTTAGGCTTGGGCTTGGGCAGGCTTAGGCTTGAGGCTTAGGCTTGGGCTTAGGCTTGGCAGGCTTAGGCTTGGGCTTGGAGGCTTAGGCTTGGGCCAGGCTTAGGGCTTAGGCTTGGGCTAGGCTTAGGCTTAGGCTTAGGCTTGGGGCTTGGAGGCTAGGGCTTAGGCTTAGGCTTGGGCTTAGGCTTGGGCTTGGGCTTGGGCAGGCTTGGGGCTTAGGCTTAGGCTTGGGCTTAGGCTTAGGCTTAGGCAGGCTTGGGCTTGGGCAGGCTTGGGCTTGGGCTTGGGGGCCTGAGGCTTAGGCTTGGGCAGGCTTGGGCTTGGGCAGGCTTGGGCTTGGGCTTAGGCCAGGCTTAGGCAGGCTGGAAGCCGGAGGCAGAGGCTTAGGCTAGGCGGGCAGGCTGAAGCCTAAAAGCCAAGCTAAGTAAGCTAAGCCAAGCCTGTTAAATGACCTGAGCTGAAAGCCTGAAGCCTGAAGCTAGCCCTAATAAATAAGCCAAGCCACAAGCCTAGGTCTGACTAAACAATTACTAAACAAATATTCAAAGCTATAGCCCACCTGAATACAAGCCTGAAGCCTGAGCTAAATGAAGCTAAACTGAAACTGAAATACAAGCTGAAGCACTAATTTTCAAACCTAAACCCACTGGCCAAGCCTAAAGCTGAAAGAGCCTGGGCAAGCTAAGCCTGAGCTGAAGCTAAGCTGAAGCCAAGCTGAAACTGAAGCTGAAAACTGAAGCTGAGGCACAAGCCCTGCCACAATACAAGCTGGCCTAAAACAATAACCAAGCCCACAGAAACTGAAGTAAACTAATTTAATTTAAATATATTAAAAACTAAACCTGAGCCTGAAGCCTGGAGCCTGAAGCCTGGCAAGCTTAAGCCTAAGCTAATTTCAAGCCAAAGCTAACTGAAGTACTGAAGCTGAAAGCTGAAGCCTGAAAACTGGAAAGCTGACCTGAAGCCTGAAGCTGGCAGAAATGGCCTGAAGCCCTTCTAAATAATACAGCCTAATGACCTGATAAACAGAATAAACTGAACTAATAATAGACAGCAAAATTTGTGACATTAAGTTTTCTTTGATTTTGGTAGTACAAATTGGTAATCATTAAACAAATACACTTATTAAAACGTCTGATTTATTGAGAAACCAGAACATCTTCAAATCTCACCTTGCCCATCTGTTGATTATATCTTGCTTTAATTAATGTTGCTTTGTGCCAGGCTAACTATCACGACATATTTTGACATTCATATCATTGATAACTTTCAGAATGAAGAAGAAGAGTGCGACGCCCTCTGAATCGCCCTCTCCTGACAAACATTTATCTGTTTTCTTTGATTTTGATCCATTTACAATGATTCACCGAAACACAAGCCACCGATCACTTTGTTTTAAGGATTTTTTTTTTCTTGATTTTGACTCAAGATTAAGATTGAATCTGTTTTCCGGCTAAGACAATCACCCAATAATATTACCTTTTTCTTCTTTTTCCCAATCGTTACTTTCTGGCGAGATTTTCACGAATCTCAAATATTCTAATGTAGTGAATTTGTCGAATGCGAATCGACATGCGACTCTGAACCATAAGGTGATTGTTTTCGGTGAAAAGATGAGCAAGTCGCTCTTCTTTGGTCTATAACTTAGTTGTAACAATGTATTGAAGAAGGCTGAAGGTGAAGAGATTTTCTTTTGTACATTAGTGACCACTGTCAGAAACTCGAACTCTTTGTTCTGAACGTCTTAATTCTTTATATACCAATACCATTAATTTATTTCTACACCTTGATAATGCGGAGGAAGAGTATTCTTGGTTGTTTCCTCGACCACCGCTGGTTCGGATTAGTAATTTTAATTTGGTACAATGCGATCAATATCAGTGGTGAAACCGTTTAACATAACGTAGTTCAACGCTCCAGTTCAGTAATCTGTGATCTTAGCAATGTCCGTGACCTTGCGCAGCCAATTAAAACAGTGGTTTAATGCATGACGAGTCATTTCTGAAATCAGCGACAGATTAAACGGATGATCCTAATTTATCGTTCAATTCGCCTCTCAACAGGCTGGCTCAAAAGGCGAAGTACCGCTTTGGGAAACGGATTTTAACGTTGCTTTAATGTCGATAAATCCTTTTTTCGACGAAGCCAACATTGTTGAACATGATAGGCTTTGTTCAGAAACGCAAGTTTTTTTCTCCAGAAACTAAACGTCGTGTTTTATTAAATAATGGGATCTTGGCATGATAAGAGCCTCCTGTTTAATGTGCCAATCAGTTGATTTTTCAGTGCCGTTAAGAGTTTTGTCTACGTTCTCTCTCGTGGTGACACCACAAGAATTTTGGCATGCTCGAGGGTCAGATATCGAAACTCTCTTTGATTTTTCGCCAATAAACCACGCAGAACAAATTGTTATTAATCCTGTGAAGAACATCTGGTTACTGATAATTTTCCGCCGTCGAAGTGAAAAGTTAAGATATTCTCTTGGGTGATTTCTCTTGTGTGACATTAATATATTATGTCGAAAGTCCTTTAATTTCTTTCCGTTTAAAACAAACTTTCCAATTCACGGTTTTTAATTTTATACATCTTGAATTTTTGACAAATGATGTTAATCAAAGGCATTTGATGCCAGTTATTCGCTTTATTTAACTCCAATGTTAATCGGCGATAAATGAAACTCCTAAAGCAGCTGTCCATTTTCGAAATTAGTTCTTGTGATTGTTTATAGATTTTGAAAAACCATTTTCTCTCATGAGAAATATTCAAACAGCACAATCAACACTTTTATTTAAACAATATGGAGTCCTAAAACGATGAACTCAAATGAACAGCAGTGAACTGAGCAATTTGTTCATTTTCAACAGGCTGAAAGAAGCGAAGATCATTTGAGACTTCTCCTAATGTGGTGGTAAAGCTAAACGACAGGGTACAAACAACTGCCGGAAACCCACCCCGTCGTCGTCTGTTTTCAAGTTTTGAGCAAGCTGATCTCAGTCGACCAGCCATTGAAAATGAAGTGACTCTATCAGCTAAGTGAAATTGTTTTTTGAAAAGGCTAAGATCGAAAGATAGATCTTCTTCGAGACTGTTTCGGTGATATCGACTCTTTCTTCCGTTCCAGGATGGCACAGTACAATCTTGTGGTTTTCTCCGCATTTAAAAATTACTGAAAATAAGGTGATTAAGAACTAAATACAGCACATTACGGCTAAGTATCTAATCGAAAAATCATATACCGTTTACGAATCGCGTTTCGTTATCTGGTGTAGCGAGTCACGGTGATGAAATTTGAGATGATATCGAACTATTTTTAACATTCCGGAAGCGATTAATTTATGAAAGAAGAGCGACGCGAGCGTGAATGTAGCGAAAGCCATTGAAAGTGGGGCCCTTAACAGCAAAATCTAAAAATATTTTGCGGGGAAAAATGTTTCTCTGGCGATCGATTACAACCGCACAACACCACCTGGAGCTGCGCTCCGCGACGCTGATAAATGACGATCTTTTCACCATAATAATCATTGGCTAATGGCGATGTCAGCTATTTCAACTGTCCAGTAATATCATTCTTCATTTAATTCGGTATCATTCTCTCTTGTTTTCAAACTCCTTTGGCTACTAACTGGCAACTAATAAATTTACTGGCAACAACAGGTATGAAGCATGAAAATTTGCTAACAGCTCGTTACGAAACCGTTTTACAAAATAAATACGTACGTCATTTCATCGCATCTTCTGTTCATTTCCATCGCTTTCGCAGATAACGATCGGTCGCTCAGTGGCATCAGAAAATAGCGGCTGTTTTTATAAATCACTTCCAGCTTTCGACCAACGCGCCAACGATACGCGGGTTTTACGCCTGGCAGATGCGACGCGAAAAGCATTATTCGCGGCAGGCGGATTCAAACTTTCGTGTAACTCGGCATTCTGCCCGTTCAAAAAATGCTGAAAGTGCGATAAATCTTCGAAGCGCAAAAGTATCTGGCCTCTTTCGCCAACTTCTACGTCCTCGTCCAGACATCGGCTGACCTGGTGCGGGCATCCGATTTC